ATTTAGAACTTAGCAAACTGTTAAAAGGTATTTTAGATATACTATTAGATAACTAGCTAGAAAAATCTATATTAGCAAACTCTATTATAAAACCCTAATCTATAACGCTAAAACCTTTATTTTGTTGAATGTTAAAAACGGCTTTAGACTTTTTAGCTATAACTTAGTTAATAGCTTTAGTATAATTAGCCTTTTTAAATGCATTTAAAGCAGCTAAACCTTTATTTACTAGACTAGCCTTATAATGGACTAAAGATTTCCTTTGATAATGTAAACGATTTAGATAGGCTATTGCCTTACTTGCCTGATAATAAGTCTTATATAAAGCCTTTTGGGCCTTGAGCTTTTAAAAATGTAACTTCTTTTCTTCTGTAATAACCTAAGATATTAAAGGAATAGTTAAAAGAAAAAAAAAAAAAAAAAAAAAGAAAATAGAAAAATAAGGAAAACTAAAACTTATAAGTACTTATTAGCACTTTAGAGCTATTATATCTTTTACCTTGCTTAATGCAGGTAGAATAATAGGAAATACTTTTTATTATTCGATAAGACCACCCTTTTGTGGAATAAAATAAATAAAGTATAATTTTAAAGCTTAATAACTTGATAGATGCGAATAATTAATTATGCTAATCTGATTTCTTAGAATGCGGTTTTTTTATATGTAATAGTATAATTATTAGCAAAATAAATATAATAAATATATAAAAGGAAATAGGAGAAAAAAGGACTTATTTAAGTTTTTTAGGAATAAAAAAGTAATAAAGGAGGGGAATAATATTATAAATATAATAGGAATAAAACTAAGGGAGTACTATTAGTTCCCTAAAGGCGCAGATAAACCTTATAAGCTAGCAGAGTAGGCTTAAAAGGATTTGCTATATAATAAAAGCAGGTTATGTAATAGAGCGAAAAAATGACTAAGATAACTGGAGCGATGTTTTGCTTTAAATAATTTAAATAATCTAACGCTTCTATTGCTTTAGGTAAGTAACGCTTTAAGTAAGCCGCTAAAAGCAACGCTCCTATTGCTTTAGCTGAAGAGATAGACTATATAGATTACGCTTATTACTAGTAAATAGTATTAGCTTAAAATAGCTTTTTAACAGTTAATCTAAGTATTTACTTAGAATAGCTATAAAGCTTTTAATTTACTATTATTATATATTGCTTAAAATATTACTACCTTAAATATTCCCTAAATATAAACCTGCTTACTAGGTTTATTAGCTAGGAACTAGCTATAATTGTTATAGTATATAAGATTTTATATACTAAGCTCTTAAGTATATTCTCTATAAAGTTTATATTTTAAATAGCCTTTAAAGCTATTAATAATATAGCTAGCTTAAATAAACTTATACTTATACTCCTTATTTTTAAAGCTTACTTTTAGATAATATTTAACTCTTTATTTATGCTATTTACTTTAAAAAAAGCTAAGGCAATTTAAAAAACTATAAAAGCATTAAGAAAGTTAATTACTAAGCAGCAAATTAATACAGCTTTAAATACTTAAAATAAACTAGTAATATTAAATATTCTAGCACTTCCTTTATAAAGTAATATTTAAGTTTAGAGAGAGAAGAAGGGCTAGTAAAGCCTATATAAGCTTTTAGCTATTAATAGTTATAATATAACCCTTAACTTACTTAATAGCTTAATTACTTTTTAGTTAATCTTAGTTTAACTATACTATTATAGCAATAATATAAATTTAGAAAATAATGCAATAATAGTTGCTAGTATTAAACTATAATAATAAGTTTTGCTATAAATTAAACTTAATTTAAACTAATATTAACTACCCTTTAAGCTTTTTTAGCCTTAATAATAAAAATAACCTTATAAATTTAAAAATAAGCTTAAGCTAGCTAAAACTTTACTTATTTAATAAGAGAAAAACAACTATAAGCTTGCACTTAAGCTTTATTATAATAAAGTAATTACTATTTTTAATAATCTTTTTAAGGAATTTAATACCTAAGAAATATTAAACTTAATTAGATATAGTATTTTTTAATTTAAACTTTACTATTTTAATAAATATAATATATTTAGACTTTTTAAGTTTTATATAGTTTAAGAGATTAAAGGTAAGATTAAAAAGCTATATAAAAAGTTATAATTTGTTATATAAAGGTATAATAATAAGGGAAAGGAAGATATCTTAATATAATTATTAACTATATAAAGAATTAGCTAATACCTAATTACAGTTTTAGTATTATTCTTATTAAGGATAAGTATAATTGTTGAGTTTTAAGATATTACTTAAGCCTATTTATAGTTTAAAATAGTACTGGAATATATACTTTTTATAAGCTTATTGTTAGAAATTTAAAATAAGTATTTAGCAGATATTATTATAAGAGTTATTAAGCTACTTTATAATATTGCTAAAGTAGGCGTTTATTAATAAGTAATATATTATTGCTACTATTATAATAAGTTAGGTATAAAAACGTTTATTTATAACCTATACTTTTTAATTTTTGTTTATAATTAAGACTGCTTTAGTATTATAGTTATATAAATAAATAATACCCTTTTAGTAGTTATTTTTACCTTTTTAATGTTAAAAGAGGAGAAGATTTAGGAGGAATAGATTTATTATAAGTTAAAAACTAGATTTATAGTTAATAACTCTTTTAACTTTAATAATATAAAGATTACTATAGATTTTAATAAATTTATTAACTTTATTTAAAAGGGTTAAAGTATAAAGATTAATTTAATTAATATTAAGTTTTTAAACTATATTTAAAAATATTTTAAATAATATACTTATAAAGTATATTTAGTATTTATATATTAACTAAAAGTAGCTTTTAACTTATTTATAATTACTTAAATTTAAAATTTAGATAATACTATATATATTAAATTTAATTATTAGCTTTAATAGTAAATATAAAACCTTAGCTATAAATTATAATATATCCCTATTAATTTTATTTTAATTAAACTTATAGTTTTTATAAATAGTTTTTTTATAAATAACTAAAATTTTAGCTTTTAGATTAGCTTTTTAATTACTTTAGTTAATAAAAAGAAAAATATTAACTTTATAAAGTAAAAAATAATTAGTAATATTTTATACTAATTTTTAATTAAGTATAAAAGAATTATATAAAGTATATTTACTTTAAAAATTTATAATATAATTAATAACTTTAATATAAAAATTATATTTATTATAACTTTTTAATAAATTATAATTTACCTTAATACTTTTATAATATTACTAATAATCTATATAAACTTATACTTTTTTTATAAGTATTTTATTAAGTTAAAAACTATTAAAAAAAAGTAATTAATAATAAATATAATAGTATTTTAATAGTTATATAAGTAATAAAAGATTTATAAGCTATACTAAATTAATAGTAATAATAATCTAATAAATATATTTATTAAAATTAATTTAAATAAAGTATTTAAATAGCTTATAACTATTAATAAATTAATTATTAAAATTAAGAGCTATATAAATTAGAACTAATTAACTTAATAAAAGAAAAAATTACTAAAAATAAAATTAATTTATAATAATAAAGTATATTAAATTTAAATAGTAAAACTTTAAATTAATCCTATTGCCCTTAAACTAGCTTATATTAATTAATAGTTTACACTTTTAAGCTATATTTTCTTAAATCTATTTTAAAAGTATACTTTATAATAAGTTTTTATAGTATAGCTTATATATTAAGGGTTTAAATAATAAAAGTTATTATTATCCTATAGGCTAAATATTACCTAATATTTAATAAGTATTCCTAATTAAATTTTATAATACTAATACTTATATATTAAAAATTAATTAGTTAATTAACTAATTTTATATTTCTACTACCTACTACTACTTACTAAATTTACTAAATCTATTAAATTTACTAATTACACTTTTTTTTCTTATTTTATTTTATTTTATTATTACTTAATATCTAAGATAAGGTTATATCAGTATTATTAGTTAAGCTAGCTAGCACTAGCCTAGCTTAAAAGTCCGTTTTTATTTATCTATTTTTTAAATAGTAAAATTATAAATTTATAAACTATTTTAAAATAAAGTTATTTATAAAATAAAAGCAATTATTAGATATTAACTTAAAAAGCAATTTTAATAATAAAAGTATTATAGCAACTTTTATCTAAATTTAGCAAACTTACTTATTCTAAAAACCTTTAAATAAATTTAAGAAAATTAAATACTTAAATTATTTAAGCACTTAATTAAAGCATATAAGCAATTACTTTAATTATTAAGGTTTTAAATTTAAGTTATACAAAAAATAGTTTTTAAAAAGGTTTTTAATACCTATAAGTATATATATATATTTAATAAAAAACTACTAGTATATAAATTATAGCGTTAGCGTTTATAATAAGCTAATTAGTTTATTAGGCCTATAGCTATAAGTAGGCTTTAAAAGAATATAGCTTTTAGCTGCTTTTTATAACTAAACAAGCAACCTATACCTAAATAAACACTAATATCCCTAAACGCACATTATATTCAAATACGTAACCCAGCTAACAATACTACTTAAATATATACCTATACACTCGTCCCAGTCCCAGCCATGTGATGCAGTAAAATGGGAGGAAATTCACAAGTTAGCTCACTTCTGGTGAAACCATGCCAGAACTAATTTACTAGCACATTGATAGAGTGACTCACATGGCCGCTATGAATTGTTACTTCCCTAACATCTCCTATTGCAATTTGTAAAGGACCTGTAAATATTATGGATAACTACTGTAGCGTATCACGGGGCTTACTATGAATTTAGAGAACACTTAGTGTCTTGTGTTTACCTAATCATCGCTCACCCAGAGGCTTTGGAAATTGCCGTTTTTCAAAGCAAGTCGTAGGGACCGCTGCATTGCATATGGTTCGATTCTACAGACCACCGATTTGTTTTTTATGATGCAGCTTGCAAGTCTCCCACACCTTTAATAGGTGCTGGAGTTCATTTTTCCTTCCCTCAATGATAGAGGTATTTCCAGGAAGTGTTCTCAGCAACGTCACCCAGAGACACAATCAATATCTCCTTCTCACTCGATATTGAACTCGAACTCGAACTCATTTCCTGTTTAAAACCTACAGATCAGCTACCGCGACACTCAGAATCCGGCCTTCTTCATATCCAGATTACAGCTCACACAACACTGCTCACAACTGTCTCTCATTCTTCTGAATTCATCTCAACACCACGAGATGACTGATGGGGAAGATAGCACCCGCGTGAAGCACCCCTGCGTGGGCAAATATAGAGTCGAAGACACCAGTGCGATGGACATGTGGTGCGGCGTTTACGCACTCCGTATAAGCACCATCATGCAGCTCGGCCTAAAGCTCACACGCAATGACTTCATTAATATCTACCAAAGCGAGGAGATGCAAGATTACAACAGGAGACACAATTTCATCGGCGTCACAGAAAACTTTCACGAAGATCAGCTTGCCGTCGTTCTGAGTATATGGGGTCGGGAAAACGATATGAACAATCTCCAGCTCGGTGTAATTGTGCAAGATGGCGCCTGTATGCTGTTTGGGGAAGATGACAAATTCAGAATCGTGCGGGAAGAGGCGGATATGGAAGAAGAGCTTAACTATGAAACTGTGTGGATCCACAACGACAATGCAAGGGAGCTTTCGGGGACAGAATTCAACCATTTCTCCGGTGTCACAATTTTCGACTACGATAGTGAGACAGATGAAGACCCGGAGGTGGGAGACGAGACGAATCATAGAGACGATGCGGTGAGGGGACTCGACGCGGAGGAAATGGACTGTACAAAGAGATGGAATAGCGTGGATGAAGAGAACCACATGGACCAGGGGTCCGACACAGAGGGATGAAGCCTCATGGGATGATGGATCGTCATGTAACAATTTTCATCGAAACGCGGCCTGGTGTATATCAAAGTTGCTGGACAAGAAAGCCCTTGAGTGGCAATGGTTTGGTTCAGTTTGCCGGAAAGAAAGTTTGACTGAAAAGGCAGAACCAGAATTTCGTGAAATCTACCAAATGCAAAGTTCCATTTACCCCAAAATTTATCATGGGCATGATGCAGGCAATGAGACAATTGGTCTTTCATAATTTCCTGTCCAAAGTTTCGAAGGAATCAAATCCGCGTCAACACACCGATGCTAGCCATATTCTTGGTTTCCCCCACGCAAGTCGCCCTACCTAGAAGAAAAGACTCGAGAGTATGTATGAATTCCTTCGCAAGTAGAGGATTAGAACGAGCGTCATGGACAAAGTCTCAAAGGGTCAAACTCCGGGATTCGAGAAATAACAGTGTGCATACCTTGTGACACGTACGATCGTCCGTTGTTTCTATGCGCAATATCCATTTGTCCTATTCTTCTCATCAGGTAACCAGCATCTGTCGGGCCCATCACACATTTGCACAAGTTCCCACTGCTTGGTGGGCCCGCAAACGTAGAGCTCGCCGTCCTTGCTTTCGCCTTTGACAGGATGGCCACCACCACAGCCATACTCTGGAGGCTCGCACTGCGGTGAAATGGCTGAGCCCACAACAACAATTGCTGCGGTGGCTAAAAGTCTTGCTAGTTGCATTTTGTTTTCTGGTGCCAACTTGTGTGAATTTGGAATATTGCTCGGTGCTTGCGGTGCTTATACGTGTGCAGGAGGAGTTGGCGATATCAGAGTAGAGGCTCTCGAGAAATGGTGTCTTGTGAAGATATCTATGATCAGGAAGAGAGTGGAAAGCAGTTGCGGAGATTTATATCCTTTACCATGCTCCAGAGAGCTGAGAACATGGCCGCCTTCATTCTCGATTGTGATGCTTGCTTGGGCCTTACCGCACAACCAGCCAACGAACCTCTTTCAAAACGACCAGACCAGACCATTCAGACCAAAATTTTAGATATTGGTTTGGATCGCAATCATCGGTGATTGGTTCATGTGGGGGCTTCAATACTGGACGGGCCGCCCAAGACCTGTTGGTGGTGAACGCGCGGGACCAACACAAGAACAGTTTTGCATTCTAATATAGTTTGGTCCTTTCCATTGTCTATTAATATGGCTTAACGGGCTGGTCATAAAAGGTCCCGGCCAACAACTTCCCCTCTGCGCTGCGCCCCAGATACACAGCAGAAAGATCATGCCTTCACGGGCTGCTTCACTGGCAACAATGTTGGCATGTTCGAACCACACAGCAAAAAGACAAATTCTGAGCTAGCACTCTTTCTTGAGAGTAGCTTCTGCCTTTCATTCAAGTTCACAATATCTGGCTATGATCGCATTCTGTAGAATCCATCAAGATGTACTTGCTTGGTTTTAAAAAAAAAAAGGTACAGCTGTTGGTTGAATTGTCTTGGCATCGAGAGGCCCGTTTTGATGTAGACTGCATGAAGGCCAAATTATCGCGATACTGTCTTCGAGACCATACCGTAGACCTGTTTGCTCCAAATAAGGATATTGTGCCTCCCCCTAATGAGGCCGTCGTGGTCGTGTTGGTACCGGCGCTGAGGTCTCGCTCGAACCAGGATTGATATTTGGTAGGAGTCGAGATACGTCGCATACTTGATCAGTCCGCAACTCTTGACCCTGGCGTCTTCCCTTTCCATATTTACCAGATCATCGACTTAAAGAACTGCAGTGTGCGTAGGGCCGGGTCCGCTTAAAGGTTAGCCAATATGAGAAGTGCGAGTTACGGAGTGAACATTGAACGAGATCATATGTACAACCTGCGCTTTACGCGCAGTATGTCTATGTATTGTATCTCTCTCAGAGCCTGTGCATGATCTTCCACTCCTTTCTCAAGCCTCATTCGTAGAGTTTATTATTTTTGTTGTCGCCTTTGATGGGGTGGCGGCTTGATAGGATGGCCGCACCCCAGCCATGAATTTCACACTGTGGTGTGTTAGCTACGACCTTCACAACAAGTGTTGTGGTAACAACAGCCAAAATCCATCGCCATCGAGCGACGTTTGGTCGACTAAAAATGTCCTCATACAGATGAGAAAACTATAACTAAATTGCATTTGACGGTTGAGATATAATTAGTGGCAAGATGGGGAGTAGTTGAAAGGGTTAAAAATAGTAAGAGAGGTTAGCGAATGTGGAGCTTGGGACATTCGGCCACAACAGAGGCGTAGCGGCCAGGCCAGGCGGCCGTCCAGGCCGTCGCAGCGGGTGGGGTTTGGGCAGGTCAGCACTTGGGCCGGTGTGAACATCAAACCTGCCTTCTCTTCTTTTTGGCTGAGCAATCCCAAGATCATCTCTCCAACTAACGGATAATCAGCAAACCAGAAGATTTTCTGGCTCTGCACACACACTGAAATCACGATGGACGGAGCCTCTCAAACAGCCGACGAGGACCCCACCAAAGCATCGTCAGGAACGAACACAGACCCCGGAGGCGTTTTGGAGTCGGATGCGAGTGTGCCTGGTGCAACAGAACACCAAGGCCACGCCGTCGCTTCTGTACTGTCAGAAGCTGATTTACCTGGCCTCCGGTCCCATTCAGGCCGTAGCATTGCTGCAGAGGATGTGAAAGAAGTCATCGGCCTCCTTGACAAGGCGGGAGTGCCCGCCTGCGTGGCAGGCGTCTATGCTCTCCGCTACTACGGCGCCGGCCGAATCTCAAATGTGAGTTTGGTGTCATTGCTCACTCAGCCAAAACCAATTTACTGAGCCTTTTCAAGGAATGGGACATCTGTGTGCCAGATGAGAAGCTTGATGATGCCACAGTCATATTCGAGAACGATGCTCGATTTGAACGGGCGACACCGGCCCCGCTGTTGCTTGAATCCCTCCGCCATACCCGGCCAACGTTCGTGTTGAAGGGGGTAGACTTCGTCTTCATCCTAGTTCCAGCATCGGACTACTTTATCGACCCGAGCCCCGATTGTTGTGAGCTGAGCAACAAAGGTATCCCTTATCCCAAGATGCCTCAATTCGCTCGTTCGCTGCTCGTGTTGCAAAACACTAGCGATCTATGCGACTTCATCGATGGGATGGACTTGGACAGGACGTGGGGAGAATCCAATGTTGACTTCGACGACTTGCAACTCAAGGGCCTCGAGTTCACCAGGGAGCGAAATGCCGAGTTCGAGAAACTTGATCTTGGAAAGTTCAAGCTAGATGTCGACTACAGAAGCATGTGGAACCGTATAGTTGACGAGAAGGAGAAGCGCATAGAGCCGATGAAAAAAGGCCGCTACAAGACTCGGTGGAGACGGGTCAAGAATGACATGGACCCAAGGCTGAAGGAAAGACCTATATAGGTGATGCCGCATTCAATAACAGCAGATACGCACGTGTTTTGGGAGATTCCTTCAAAACCATACCCCACAACTAAAACCATTGCCATACACTTCACTGCAACCATCCAGCTTGGCTAGAGTGCTGAATAATAATACCAAGACTCTGATAACAAATGCACGAAAGATCGTGTTATCATGGAACTCTCAGGCAAGAGTGTGTACCAAGAGACTATATCAGTTGATCACGGACGAGGAGATTCGGCGTCGTGACTGAGCAAACGAGTGTATTTTAACGGGAGACTAGCTCTACCATTTCGAAACTGCCCTTCTACGACGCATATGAAACCTTTCCATCGCTGTGGCGATGGTACCACTTTCCGTTCCGGGAACTATACGTCCAATACCCGTCCTTGGACTTGTCGCCATCCCGCGGCGCCGACGACTTACCGGTGTCCCGTGACCTTGTCTTGTCGCTGCTCCGCTGCGCGGTGCTGCTCGAGCTAGATTTGGACTGGGAGCTGCTGCTGGGCTGGTCACGCCAGGAGGTGCGACCGTCCCCATGTACGTGATACCAGCCCTTATTCCTGGAACTGTACGTCCAATAGCCGTCCGACGATCTGTCACCGTCCCGCGGCGAGCTGCTCCTGGAAGATCCCCCACCGCCACCGCGCCCTCCCCTATCGTTGCCGCCGCCGCCGCCACCACCGCCGCTCTTCTTGTCCTTGGGCGAGGGGCTACGATCCATGTTGAGAGCCCATCTGACCTGCCTCTCTAGCTCGGGATTGTTATCGATGACCTTCTCCAAGAAACTCTCTTTCCACTGCGCTCGGAAGCTACCCGCGGCTTCTCTGACCAGAGGAGCGTAAGTGGCCGATCTGCAGACGAACATAAGATCCCGGTAGTCATCGTTTGTCTCCCGGTTGTAGTGGGCCTTGATCTTCGCCGCGACGAGAGGGCCGATCGAGAGAACCTTGCACTGCGTTGTGGTCGAGAGCTGCAGCGTATCGACAGCTCTCGCAAGGTCACTGGGGATGAGATGGCCCTCTGCGCCCTTTGGCTTCAGATCGACCTGGACCAGCCGGCCTTGAACGCTAACGAACAGCCTTGCGACGCCCGAGGCCCATTGCATTCTGTTGCCTGGCCGGTAAATGCTGTAGAAAGAAGAATTTCCAGTTAGTGGTCAAATCATTCTTGCGAAGAAGTGCAATAGGTACTGACTTGGGATGGCTATTGAAAATGGTCAGAAGAGAGTCCATACGTGGTGGATTATCAACAGCGATATCCACGTCACCGGTCGCCCGACCAGAACCACGCAAATAAAAGTTCATGCCGCCCATAACGCCGTATGAGATCGCATTTCTCTCAAGCAAGCCGGAAACGATAGCCAGAGCTGCTTTCTGGTCCTGGGGTGTAGAGGTTTCTGCTGCCTCCTCCAGATCATCCAGCTGGTCGTCGGTGTAAGAGGGCATGTTGAGTTATGTCAAACTTATTTTTTAAGTCAACGATAGCGCGGAGGGCTTCTTCAGGCTTGTTCTGGTGGAAATAAAAATTCAAATCTTGAAAAGCTTGATCTGTGAATAGTCTTACCATTTCTTTGTGTTGAGCGCGGTAGCCAATCTCTTTATATCCTCCGTGACGAGAGTACGTGTCTTTGGTATTGCCCGAGTGCCCCTTCAATTCTTCCAGCCTGTGCCGATCTTCCATGGCTACATAGACGTCAAATGGGTCCAACTCGGTCAAGACCGAGGCTGGCAACTCCTTGCACCGGCCCTGCATATGGGTTTTGGCTGCTCCGGGTACCATGATGTAGGGCCGGAAACACGCGGCTGCGACAAGGTCGACCATTGATGCCAGCATTTTGCTTTATCATGATACCTATTGGATAAGGAGATTTCCTACGTAAATGTTAGGACTGGCTTATATTTAGCAATTGTCGCGGTCCTTGTTCTGGTGACAGGAACTTGTCTCGCATGCGACCAAAAGAATGACCTCCATCCTCGTCCCGTTACAGCTTCGGGCTGCCGTGGGCGCTATAGCCGGTTTTCAGGGTAGATTTGAATCCCATAGCCAGTCCGGCCGGGTTTAACAATCGATCCTATGACGTTTTGTTGCCGTAGAGGTAGCAGGGAAAGCCACCTGTCTAGGGAGGATGGTAATCCCGGTCGGAAGGAATGTGCATTTTCGCCAATGACATACCTAGGTACAGATCTATCATCTGTAGCAGCGCTGTGTAGCTGAAGCCATGCGAAAAAGGTTTGAAACAACACATAATGATGAATTGGTAATTCATGCAATATTTCAACATGAATTCTTGACAAACTCCTGTGAGGGCAGGACGCAAAGGTAAGTGAAGCCCGGCGGGCTCTTGACCACAAAGTGATAAGTTCTGTATCCAGAATCTCTGTCGGGCAATACATGGTCTCCAATCGACTTAGTGACCAAAGGCAGCGGCCCATATTGATCCTGCCAAGTTGAGACCAGTGGCCGCCTCCATCGCGCTGCTGTTGTTGATCTGCACTGGGAGAAGTTGCCAAACTACCAGGGAGCAAAAGGCGAACAGGTACCTCGACAAAGATGAAAGAGCTAGAAAGTTGTTCCAACGATCCAGTATTCTTACTTCTACACTGGATAGTACGAGACTGAATCGCTCTGTGAGTAGCGATAGAACAGAAGCCACAAAGATATGAGCTAGATTTTAAGATGAGCTTTAACCCCATTTTCAATTGTTTTATACCCTGAATCTGACCATATCCATGGAAAAATATTGTGTTTATTGATACAAAGTTTAACTTGAAAACTATCAGGATGATTTGCGTGCTAACTTCTTCCAAGTCTTCTCCTGAAGAAGCCGTTGTCATACGCACGCTTCAGGCCCGGGAAGTTTGACACAGCCGAGACATGGCTGATTCCGGGTCTAGGTTCTACAATGGGCTGGCCGTCTCGTCCGTGGTTGTAATCTTCTTTTTAAGATTTCATGTCCGTGGTGTTGTGCCTGAGAGTTATGAAATTGTTGATTGCGCTTATGTTCACGGGTACGCGTTTGGTTTAGATGCACATGAAACCTCACGAGAAGCGCAACGTTGAGCTACAAGAAGAAAGAAACAAAACCAAATTCGAAAAGATAGGGTAAACTGCCAATTCCAAGTCTGTGGTCAATAACTGGTAACTTGGTGCAAGGGACAATCTGATGGAAAGATTGAGTCGATCGCTTGGGACTGGTCTGTGGTTTTGAATAGAGGAATAAGTTGTTTAGTCAGTCTGGAAGAAGTCACACATGCACCCAACTCGTAGCTGAATCTTCCACGATGAGTTTGACCGGACAGTCTCGAAGTGAATTTGGGTTTGTTATGAAGTGCGTGTTGCAGGGCGAGCGCCGAGATGATCCTCCAGGAGCCAAGGTTGATCATCTCAGAGGAGTAAGGGGCCTGCCCAAAATAACACGGAAGCCATGGCAATAACACAGCCCAACCCCTCTATCAGTTGCATTGCAGAGCGTTATTTCGCGTTTGGCTTTCTCCCCGACCAGGGCCGGGCACGTCTACGGAGGAAAATTCTCTGTTCCAAACCCTACCCAAGAGGCCAGAGAAGTCAATTGGAGAAGGCGAGCAGCACGTCTGTTTCACAGAAACCAGGCCGATGCTTGGCCTACGACCAAGGTTGAAGGCCCGGCCGTCGCTGGTGGAGCTCCTGGTACGCTCTAACAGAGCCGCAGCAAGCCCCACACTAGCCACTGTTAGCGGTGACAAGCGTGGCAACACCGCCGCATCCTCATCGACATCACCACTGCATTTGCCAGCCGAGCTCGACCTGGACCTGGACCAAGAGGTCCAGATAGCTTCCCAGCTGCCTCTGCCAGACACTCCGTCAACGCCAATCCTGCCGCCGCGATCCACACACTCCACGCCATCCTCACCCTCCACACCCGCCCCGATACAACGAGTCCCTACTATCGCCCTGCACGAGTCCACACCGCCAGCTAAACAACATCCCAATCACTCGGTCACGCCGCCCATCATGCCTCCGGTAAGCCAAGCTGCCCTACAGATAGAATTCGCTCAAGTGCAGCGCCAGCCGCCCGCGCGACCACCCAAGCTGACTAGAGCTATCTCGCCGTCTAGAAAGCCCAACAAGATGGCGCCCAGGATGGTGAATATGGTAGGTGCCCTCGAAGCTGTCCTGCAGTGTTGCGTCGTGCTGTCTCAGGCTGACCTGCTATCTCACAGGCAAGATTTACTCCATCTCGGGGTACGTAACGACTTCCCTAGATCCAGCTGCGTCACCGCACGGCCTCTACGAGCTCGACTGCTAACATGATGATTCAGACCTGTCGTGGTTGCCGAGGACATGATTGGTGTTGCTATGTACGAGTTGGTATGAGATAACAACAAAACACTCGTTGGGTGCTGGAAGCAGCCAGGCTTACAGGTTACAGGTGAAAGTCGGCCACGACCAACTAGTGGGAGAAGTCATTCGAATCAACGGTGACCAGGCCACCATTCAGGTCTACGAGGAGACAGGTTCGGCGCCCACACTTTGCCTGTACCTCTACTCATATGATGCTGACACGAGATAAAAACAGCCGGTGTCACGGTTGGCGACCCCGTCCTGCGCACTGGAAAGCCTCTCTCCGTCGAGCTGGGCCCCGGCCTGCTCAACAACATCTACGATGGTATCCAAAGACCCCTCGAGAAGATCGCCGGCGCCGCCCAGAGCATCTACATTCCCCGTGGCGTCGCTGTTCCCGCCCTCGACCGCGAAAAGAAGTGGGAGTTCAACCCCGAAATGAAGGTCGGCGACCACATTGCAGGTGGTGACGTCTGGGGTATCGTCTACGAGAACTCCTTCATCTCGAAGCACAAAATTATCTTCCCCCCGCGCGGCCGCGGAACCATCACTAAGATCGCCTCCAAGGGAGAGTACACTGTCGACGAGAAGATCCTCGAGGTCGAGTTCGACGGCAAGAAGACCGAGTACGGCATGATGCAGACGTGGCCCGTCCGAGTGCCTCGACCTACCACCGAAAAGAAGTCCTCCGATGGGCCCTTTATCGTCGGCCAGCGTGTGCTCGATGCTCTCTTCCCCTCTGTCCAGGGTGGTACCGTTGCTATTCCAGGCGCTTTCGGATGCGGCAAGACTGTCATTTCGCAATCCGTGTCCAAGTTCTCCAACTCGGATGTGATTGTTTACGTTGGATGCGTACGTATATAAGACTACACTTGCTTTAGTGCCCTGCCCCTTTGAAAATGACCACTTTGCACCTTGTCCCGCCAGATATAGCTAACGTTGACTAGGGCGAGCGAGGCAATGAAATGGCTGAAGTCTTGAAGGATTTCCCCGAGCTGTCTATCGAGGTTGAAGGCCGCAAGGAGCCCATCATGAAGCGTACGACCTTGATTGCGAACACATCCAACATGCCTGTCGCCGCGCGTGAGGCCTCTATTTACACTGGTATCACGGTCGCAGAGTACTTCCGTGACCAGGGTATGAACGTTGCCATGATGGCCGACTCCTCGTCTCGTTGGGCTGAGGCTCTTCGTGAAATCTCTGGTCGTCTGGGAGAAATGCCTGCTGATCAAGGTTTCCCCGCCTACCTCAGTGCCAAGCTGGCCTCCTTCTACGAACGTGCCGGCAAGGTCCAGTCTCTTGGATCCCCTGAGCGTGAGGGTTCCGTCTCTATTGTGGGTGCCGTCTCACCGCCCGGTGGTGATTTCTCTGATCCTGTGACGTCTTCAACACTCGGTATCGTGCAGGTGTTCTGGGGTCTCGACAAGAAGCTCGCGCAGCGGAAGCACTTCCCTTCCATCAACACGTCCGTCTCATACTCCAAGTACACAACGGTTCTGGACAAATGGTACGAGAAGTCCTACCCAGACTTCCCTCGGCTGCGTGACCGTATCAAGCAGCTCCTGTCCGACTCCGAGGAACTGGACCAGGTCGTCCAGCTGGTCGGCAAGTCTGCGCTGTCTGACCCGGACAAGATCACGCTGGATATCGCCACGCTCATTAAGGAGGATTTCCTCCAGCAGAACGGATACTCTGACTACGATCAGTTCTGCCCCATCTGGAAGACCGAGTGGATGATGAAGCTCATGATCGGATTCCACGACGAGGCCCAGAAGGCGATCGCCCAAGGCCAGAGCTGGGCCAAGGTCAAGGAAGCGACGCAGGACCTGCAATCCGAGTTGAGGAGTCTGAAGTTCGAGTTGCCGACTGACGGCGAGGAGGCTGTCACGAAGAAGGTTCGTCAGACATTTGGGTCCCACTTGTTTTCATGTCGTGCATAACGCATACTGACTTGGTCATTTTTACAGTACGAGAAGATACAGCAGGACCTGCTCGACAAGTACGCCTCTGTCATGGATGACTAAAAGATTTCAGATGTTATAGATGGCCTGTGTACAGTTCTTGTGTGACGAGCAGGTGGGGGACGGAAGCAGTGTAGGCGTGCTCTATGTAAAGTCGGACATGTCGGGGGGAAGGTCGCCGAGATGAGGTCGTCATTTTTGCATGCATGGTCGGTTTCCGGCACGAGCATAGGTATACGTTGGCGGTGGCGGCTTTTCACATATAGTCAGATCAAATGCATACATTGTTCAGTACACGCGGCATGCCTCTCTGTCACCATGTTTGTTGGTAGTGAGTTGATATTTCATCTCGAGGTTGCCTGCTCATCCGCCACGTCAAGAACGTGCCTTGTCTACACCTACTTCTTCGATGGCATCGACCTCTCACATACACCAACATATCAATTTCATGGAGTTGACGCACATGCTAATTTAACTCTATTATCGATGTCATTCCATCATGATGGGTCATTATCATTATACAATATTGACACACCGTTTGCGCCCACACCTGGTTTGGCGTCTTCTGACATGTTACAATACTCATCGAACCTGGCATGCAACCACACTCCATGCCAGATAGTGGTATCTTCTGGTATATACAGCCCCAGCACCCAGAGGATTGGCTTCCTGCCCCATGTCTACCCCGCCTCCCATTTTATTCCGTGGCCTACTCCATGATGTGTATCCAAGACCGTATAGGTGCTTTCGTGCCTTCTAAGAAGGCTTTAGTGCTTTCGAGCGCCTTGGTCGAGATGTCGCGCTTTCTGGGTGTCATTCCTTCTTGCATGTGCAGTTCGAGATGCCTTATCTACTGCAAAGGCCTTCTTGATGTTGTCTCTGACCCGTTGGCAGCCTCGAGTTTCCTTCCCAAAAGTTCCCCCTTGAGTCACTCAGTACGCCGTCCCCCAAACGAGATTCCCAATCCATTTCTCCTCTCAACTTCTCATCCTCTTTATCTATCCCACACCTGTCTCTTTTTCAACAGGCCTTGTTTTTGATAGGGGTCACAGGCTCTCCAAGACTCCTCAACTTATTCAGAACATTCAGAGACAATTCCTCCAGCTTCAGTGCTGATGGCGAAGGGGAGAGGGGAGGCTCGCAGTCGCTCGATGTCGCGGTCTGGTTCTTGCTGTGGGCGGGACAGTAATTAGTCTTGGGCGCTTTGAGTAAGCAACCAGGAAGCAAGCCAGACGAGGGGGAGCCAGAGGGCGAGATTGGAGGGTGGAGGGTGTCTCACAGTGGCGGTTCGTTTTCGTCGCCCTTTTCAGGGATTGGCGTGATAAGGTCGCCGCTGACAGTAGTGCCGCTCCATCGAGGCGAGGATGACACGGGACTGTCCCAGTTTGACCAGTCGTTGTCGTCGAAGGAGTCGACGCTGAGGGGCGTCCAGGAGAAGTGCTTCGTGCGCTTGGAGTTGGTCCGTTTTGGGCGTCCTAGGTTGGCTGTATCCGATTCCTTGAGGGGATCCGAGAACCGCGACGTGGGCGTGGGGGTAACGTCGCTGAACGTGCTGCTAAGGCGTGGCCGCGCAGGGGTGGCGGATGCTCGGATCGTGTCACCATCTTTTTCGCCCTCACTCATTCTGTTGGAGCCTCTGCGTTGAGCCCCACCCCCATTGATGGGCTCATCTCCAACAGCAACTTGGCGCAGATCATCCACGAAAGTCCACAGACCTGCTTTGAAGTCCTCTGCCATCTGCTTTACGCCGTGATTGGAGGGACTGGCCGAGCGAGGCGCCCAAGATGCGCGCTTGTTCAGCTGAGCAACCGTGATTGGTGAGGAACGACCGAGATGTTGAAGGTGAGGTTCGGAGTCCTTCACTGGCGGTTTGTGAGCGTCTAGTGGGTCGTCGAGGTCAAGGAGGTGGAATTCCTGTGGCTTTGTGGGCGACAGGAGAGACAAAGCTCGAGTATGCCCACCGCGGATGATACGTCGCCTTCCTGAATTAGGTGTGCCCTCCTTGTTGAGCTGCTGGCTCATCATCATCGTCCTTCTCCGGTCCAGCTCGATACTCCGCCGCGTACCTTCAACATCATCAGTAGCAGGTGAGTTGTGCAAAGACTGAATCGATCGTAATGGCTCCCCATTGACCATGGCGTTGCGTTTCCTGACCGAGTCGAACGCGCCCCACTGCTTCTTGAGTCGTGTCAGTTCCGCCTCGGCGTTTTTCAACTCCTCACGGATTTCCAACACGCGTCTCTCTTGAGCAGCAATAGCGTGAATGAAGTCATTGGCATCCGTCGGGGACCGAACCAGAGGAGTATCCTTTGGAGTTGGGGGAAAGGATGGCGCAGTCGTACTGATCGGAGTTGGACGAGATGGTGTGTTTGATGGTGGCGCGATTGGCAGAGTCAATGAGAGTCTGTTTGAGTTCCGAGACGTGGTAGACAGTGAGCGTGTGGATCGCGCGCCAAATGAAGACGCGGGTGACCATAGGACGTCATCTACTGGCGGCGGAGGTGGCGGCATCGTTTCTGATGCTGAACTCCTTGAGGTTTGTCTTTTGTGACCGGACAAATTCCTCGAATGAACAACTCGCTGAGGTGTGAACTCATCCATCCTGTCGGGAACTCCGCGACGGAGGGTGGTCAAAGACCGCTTAAGAGGTTGCTCGCAAAGAGGGCGCCCGAGGGCAGAGGTCGAGTGAGTGTGGATTGAAGGGACGGGTGACACGTGCTGGATGGGGCGGCCTCGACGTCTCCTGTGACTGATAATCTTATCCAAATGACTGGACGGGGCGCGATGAGCGCGCCGATGGCGTTGCCTGACGACGAAAGCCTTGTACTCAAGTAGGCTCAAGCGCTGGCGGTGCAAAAGAGTGTTGGAGCAAGCTGTAAGAAAGCAAATTGCAAAGAGGGAAGCGGTCATGGGCAAGAATTGAAGATTTGTTCCAGACTCAGGGGCGCCGGGTTGGCCAGGTCAATCCCCAGCCAAGCTACAATCATTGGGTGGTAGCGGCTCGCTTCACCCTGTTCCTGGAGCCCCGGAGCTAGCAGCTTGAGCCAGGGAAATCTCCCGGGCTGCAGAGTGGACCACTGGATGGGTTGCGACGTAAGTGCGAGTGGAAGCGGTAAAGTCTGTTGACCGGGCTGGCGAGGGGACGTCGGTGAGCTGTGCGCCTCTGCATTCGGTGGTTGCGATTGATGGCAGTGGGTTCTGTTAATCTTTGGGCGCTGCTCGGAATGAGCGTTGAAGCGTGGGCTCGTGGGCTCAGCGACCCTGGCAGATACAGGCAGGTATATGAGAGCAGTGGGATTCCAATAATGTGGCAATCTCCGGCGGGCCTTGTACAGGGTGTCTGTCTGTCTGCTCGGGCGACCCTCCCAAAGAATGTTGCCCGCGCTGACAGCGGGTTATTTGTTGGCTTTGACCTGACGAGCCGAAAGTTCGAAATGAAGGACAGTGGATTGGCGGAGTGGAGCCGACAATGCGGTAAAGGAGACAGGCGTGGGTAAGGGGTGGAGAGGAGAGTGGGCAAAGCCCAGTTGACGCGCAGAATCGCGGTCGAGGTTGAGAGACAAGGGAATGAATGGACACTCGTGGAATGTGACGGACGAATCGAGATGGTGGAGAGGAGCAAAAGAAGAAGGCCGTCCCATCAGCACAGGTGGCGGCTGCTTATTATGTACAGAGGGTGAGTATGGGCTCTCGAGGGCCGCATGATGGTGCGAGACTCATTTCCCTCGATGTAAATGTTTGTCTCTAGCAGGACTTAGGACCCTTGCACTGATCTGAGGATCCACTTTTGCAAGTGTCAGGGCAACGGGCGCTGGGGCCATCAAACAATGTTCAGCCGGTGATGAGGCCAAGAAGACGGACAAAAGATAGAAAAAAGAAGCACATTGCAAGCTGTACATCTCAGGTTTGACAGTGTGTATTAATTCGGATGGGAAGGCCATATTTTAAAACTATAGGAGATGCTTGTGTAGAGCGAGGGATAGAGAGAAAACGCACAACGGCCCGCAGCTGCCAGCTGTCAGGGCAAGAGAGCAGCTTCCCAGATGGACCATCAAGGTCACTCCATAGTACTTGCGGTGTTTCTTTCTTGCTGTCAGATGACAACTGGCGAAAGAGAAAGGGAAAGGGAAAGAGAGCAGGATCGATTGGCAACGAATGACTGGACGAACACGTCAACAAAGGACGTCAATGCAGAGAAACACCCAACACGAACATGGCTCCAAAAACACCGAACGATGCAAGGTTCACTCGAAGCTCTAACCCTGTCCCACCTCGAAACGAGCCAGCTTCTTCCCCGCTAAGATTCAGTGGAACAATTAGAAGATTCCGCGCCCGACAGATTCGTATGGGGGTTAGGGGTGTCTCAAAGCCCACGTGCTTTCGCGTCACGGACTTGGAAAGCGTACCTAGATTCGCGTCTAGTCTGGTGGTCATCTAATGTAAGCGCGATCAGGCGCGGCTTCCGCTCTGACGACAATCAACTAAGCAATTTTCTCTGCTTTCCCGTCTGTTGTTAGCATTCAATCCCTTCTACTCCCAACGCCAACTCGCGTTGGTAAGAACAACAAATCGGTGCACAACACATTTCACTGGGCTCTCTCCCAATGCCCCTGGGTGGAATTACACTCTCGCTGTAACCCGAACCCCCCTCTTTGCCCCCCGGCGCGACTCCGCAATCAGTCGCTATGAACGTTGATTGCAACAATGGGGTTGCAGGAGACAGCCAAAGCTGCACTCAATGGCGAAAGCGAGAGCCAGGACACTCAACACATTATAGGAGTCTATCACCAGCAGTACGGCGTCGGCTTTAGAAGCAGTTCCCCGTCTCAGCCCATCCCAGCCGACGATGTGCAGGCTGAGGTCCAGCGACACCCGAGACCACCTAAAGTCCATCAGAAGTTCGCCGGAACAAACGACTCTGCACATCATCCAACGTCCTTTTCAAAGCCGAATGCGAATACATCGAAGACGAAGGCGAATACAAATGCAAAAGTCAATGCACATGCCAAATCGCGGGGTCGATCGGCCATAGAGAACCCCACCACGACTGGCAGCTGCAAGGGGGTCAAGGGCAAGGGTCGGGACGCCGATGCTGGTAGTAGTGCAGCAAAGAGACCAGGGGGCGTCGGGACCAAGGCGGACGCGTCCAACAGTCGCGCTTCAACCTCACATCGTACAACACCCACCCATTCACCGAAACAAGTGACACCTTCTGAGGATGCTGGGGTCTTTGAACCTGTCCTTGTGTCTCCCATTATTGGCGAACATGCTCAGCAGCAACATGAGGATAACGTCAATCCAGTGACTTCCCAACCAGGAACCTTCGCCGGACCTGTTAATACTGCACTCTTGACGGTGCTCGATAACCATGCTCAAGGCAAGGCATCATCCTCAAGCAAGAAGCCAAAGCCACAACGGCACAAAATGGACCCTTCCCAATCCCCGACCCAGTCGAATGATGGGCGCAGCTATGAGCAGTACATCTCTCGCGGGGACGACCTGATTCCAACCGACCCCGTTGAGCAGCCCCAATTGGACTCACAACAATCTGCCCACACCTCTCTTTCTGGTGATGAGAACAGAACCCTCAACGAGGATGACACCGGTGCCGTCACATTTCGCAGCATCGATGCATACAATGACAACTTCTCTGTCCCAGACTCACTTGGTACATGCAGACCGTCTCATGGCTCGCCTGACCATTACACTGGGAATCCCGAGACTCCAGCGCCGCATAAGAACCCGTTCGCCGGAAGCAAAGCACATTTGCTGCCTGCCTCGCAGATGTTCGGGCAAACCCAAGTCTCGTCGGCCTACAAGGTAGCCAGTCCGACGTCATCGCGGCCATCACCTGACAATTTCCAACCGCAAAACAACATCTCCCCAAACCTGTTCATTTCGTCGCCGTTAAAGAATATAGGTATAGGGTTGGAACCATTAATTGGTGCCGTTTCTAGCCCCCAGCTACAGCTCCCTTACGATACCTCGCCACAGCAATACAGCGAGGAAGAGGCCGATGCCGTGGATTCAACCCCCTTACACCCAGCGCGCACCTTTCCCAGAGGCCGAGCAGAAGTGTACGAACCACTGTACTCATCTCAGCAGCAGCAGAATGATTCGTCCCCTCAGCATGCTCTTGAAGCCGAGTCAGATGGCATGGCAAGTGAGGATGATGAAATGCGCAGGCATTACCGAGCAGTTCTCAAGAGAGCCAAAGTGGAGCAGAAGCTCAAATCTATTACATACGAGCGCCCACCTTCCTCGGAGGACGCAGTGGTGCCTTCAACAAATACCAGGCAAGGTGAAAACCATAGGACAGACTCACAAGATTACCTCGATCAGTGTGAAGGCAGGGCCGGTGAAGACTCTCAGAATACTGTCGAGGACTCACAGGACCGTGTCGTGATCCCTCCCATGGGAAATTTCGACAGCCAGGAGGCAGTAATTGACGATTCTCAGGAGGGTGTCATAGTGCATTCTGCCAAGCATGCAGCTCATATCTCAAGCAATGAAGCCGTGCCGAACACAGCACGAAGTAATACTGGATCTCCTGACGAGCACGCGCCCAGATCGCCAACCAGAATCGGCAAAACAGGACGCAGTGACACCGATCCTGTCCCGGAGACGAGCCCTGCCATCTTGCAGCCAAGGCCTTTGAGCGAGATGATGCCGTCGTCGTCTGGCGAAGCTTCGAAGCAAGCTTCTTTCAACACCCTACTGCGTAGTAGCCTCCGGGAAAATTCGTCGTCGCAGAGCCGTCAACCACTCGAATCGATGTCACCTGGGAGACGATCGCGTTCAGCTTCACTGGCTCCCCAAACAGCTGCGCATCGTGAAGGATCTGTGTTGAACGCCTCGGATGCTACATCTCCTCAAGCCACCGTAAAAAATCCCACGTCAAAGGGCACTGTAGGCCAAAGTACGATAGAGGTGGCTGAGACTAGCTCTATTGTCGGTTCTCTCCAATCCATGCCAGCATTCAGCACAAGGGCCAAGCTCCGTGGCTCGCGCAACCAAATCCGCAACACTAGCCCAGCAGTTTCCGGCAGCTCAGGCTCTTCCCTAAGCAAACTGACTGCAACTCCTGATGTCTCCAGCAACACAGCGTCTTTGATGGAAGACTCGGCAGCGAAGACAGGAAAGATGACTCCATCGTCGTCTGCCGAGCCCCATATGTCTCCCACCGTCGCCAAGGTCGGCCGTCGTGTGGGCAAAGTGGCGGCGATCAAGCCAAAACCTGCGCCGACCGCCACGAAGAACCTCCGCACGTCGACAAGGCGATCCATCACGTCTTTCGGTCGGGCTGCCTCGGTGTCTACAGATGAATTGGCAAGATCACCGGCATCGTCAGCACCAACAGCGCTTGAGCAGAGCACAACCATGTCGAGGCTCGGCAGAACGTCGCTGCGAGGGCCTCCAGTTTCGCGAGAGTCCAGTCGCGCAGGCGGTGTCAATCTGTTTGCGGGGATGGTTTTTGCTGTTTCGTTCCAAGCCAAGCAGCCGGGGGAGAAGGACAGCATTTACAACTCGAGGATTGGTCTTTCGTCGAAAGTGGCCGAGCAAATTAAACAAGGAGGAGGAACACTGTTACGAGACGGATTTGACCAGCTTTTTGAATCCGCAGCGATCAAGAACGCGGAAGTGGCCTCGTCGACACCTCCACCAGACGAGGAGATCAAGCTCACCGCAGCTGCAGAAGCTATTGGATTTACAGCTCTTATTGCAGACGGCCATTCACGAAAGGCCAAATACATGCAGGCACTTGCACTTGGATTGCCCTGTATTCATGAACGGTGGATCACAACTTGCTCCGAGAAGCAGAAGCTAGTTGATTGGTCCGATTACCTTCTCTGCGCGGGCAATTCGTCGTTCCTCAGGGACGCGATAAGGTCGCGCAATCTGCCGATTTACGACGCGGCGTCTGCAAAGTTGAGAGAGGTATTTGCCAACCGACCACAGCTGCTACGTGGGTCACGGATACTTCTTGTGTTGCGGAGACAGGACGAGAGTAAAAAGATGGCATACGTCTTTCTAGCACGTGTTCTAGGCGCATCCCTGTCCAGGGTCTACACGATCGAGGAGGCCAGGAAGCAGCTCAGGGCTAGTGAGGACGCGGGGCACCCATACGATTGGGTGTATGACGATGAGAAGACTACTGGTAGGGCTGTTCTCTCCGCGGATACTGCCAGCTCAACTTCTGCAGCACCGGCTGCGAGCAAGAAGCGAAAGCGGAAGAGTGCGGTTGCCGCAACAAGTCCGGCATCGAAAAAGATCCGCACTTTAAGTAATGAGCTTGTCATCCAGAGTCTCATTCTTGGGAGGCTAATCGAGGAAGACGAGGACTTGGGATGAGACACTTGCATATCACCTGATCAGATAGGTTGCCGGCTGGTCAAGCCGTGATTGATAATGTTTGATGACGAGATACTGTATGATAGGGCGTTGCGTCGGGCTCACACGGGAGGGAAAATATGCATGCTCAAGGGAGCAGAGCACGGCTTTGCCCTGGAGTTGACGGTCATGATTGTTATTTTGAACAAAAAGGGAAGAGGAAAGTAGAACGGACGCCTTAGGGCCGCGGCTGTAAGATACCCACGGGCATCCGAAATAGATGCCTAGACTGGCCTTACTTCATGTGCATATTATCAATGCAGCCTTGCTACTCTACTTGTGTCCATACCGAATTAGAATTGTTCGCCCTGAAAGTCTGCTCTAGTTGCAGAATCTAAGATCTTGGTGACGGCATGGGAGGAGGCGACTCGACAAGGGTGCCCAGGAAGCGGGCGAAAGAAAGAGACAGAGAGAGTAGTTTGCATAACCAGTTGGTGAGTTTCCTTATGCTTCTTCCCATTATCTTACTGCTACCATTTTTCAGCAGCAGCGAAATAGACAAATAAGGCTGCACATCTGTTTCTTCTAATGTCCCCTTGGTTCAGCCTGAGGAGCAAGATCAGAGAGCATAGCAATAGTTGTAGCCGCCACCTCAACCGGGATGTCTATACCGGCTTCGACAAGAACACTGTCATGGAGTACAAATATTGAGCCGCTAAACTGTTCTTGCTGTGTGCTGTTCACTGTATCGTATTCCGCAGTAATTACTGCCTACACATAAACGAGGCGTCTGTGCAGGAGGCCCTTATCGACCGCTGACCGTGGGGAGCCCGAAAACCCCGTTGCATAAATACCAAAAATAGCCGACCATATTTTCTTCAATAACGCCTGTGAGAACTCCTTTGGCTGCCACTGCCGATACATGTGGTGTTCGGGGGCGCCGGGTTCAGTGGTCCCGCCATTGTTGCAAACCAACCGTAAAACGCCTTCGCCGCAATACATTAAGACAGAAACATTGATATCCCGTTCCCCTTGCTGGCTTGCTGGATTCCCGTGACATGTGAAATCAATTAAAGACCGAGTTTGTTTTGTTTGATGAGTGTGAATGGACCGAGCCAAATGAATGAGAGTTGTTGGGTGGTTGATTGTTGGGTGGTTGATTGTTGGGTGGTGGTGCTGTCATGAGGAGTCACGGCGCTTCAGGCTGATACGTACTCGTCTTGGAGAGGAGGATGTGGACGACGAGGACGAGGACGAGGAAGAAGAGCATGATGCCCGGGAAGCCTCCCGCTCTCGTGCCTCCTGGGTCTTGTACCAGCGCATCTTGTCAGCCGAGATGCGGATGAAGAGCTTCCGGGGCTGGCCGAGGGTGTTCTGGCGGCTTGAGGGCCGGGGCGAAGTGACGCGGGCCATTGTGGAGAGTCTTGAGTTGGTGGATGTAAACGGTTGGTGTTGTAGTAGAAGAGTACCGCGTTCCTCTTGGTGAGGTATCGGGAGGAGGCGGATTTATGTTTCTATGGTGGATTGTTAGCTGTTGTTGCAGGAAGATGATGGATTAATGCTAATGCCATTGTCTGTTCCAAGGCAGTTTTCCGTGCATGTGAACCGTCCACGTTGAAAGGGTTTAGATTGAGTTTGACCCGGTTATATGGAGTTCGAGGTATCGTGCGCGCGGCGAGAAAGTCCGCCGGGGGATGGTTTGGAGATGGGATGAAATGGTTCACTTACGCAGAGAGACCCGACCGGGGGTGCTTGGGCAGGGAAGGCGCGCGGGAGGTTTGACGTGAACGACACTGACTCTTGCTCAAACACCTAGGGACGAGTCGAGCCGATTGGTTGTGCGTTCTGCGTCAAGAGGAGTCGGAATAAAGCAGACTTGACTGGATCTCTAGAAAGAGAGCGAGAGGAGGAGGCAGGGCGAATTATAGGGAAAGATTCCCCGTTTGCAAGCAGCTCGGGTGTGGTGGTCGCTGGTGGTAAGAAGGGTCGCCCCTTTTCGCTCGCCGTCCTTCGCTGTGTATGTATGTATGTATGTGCGTGCGTGCGTGCGGGTGTATGTGTGATTCCAAGCCGTCCGCCACGTAGGAATGGGAAACAAAGCGAGGCAAATCAATGCTTATGGCAGGAGACTGTGTGGGCGAGACGATGATCAGCCTCTCTGCTGCAATTTCCCCCGAGACTTGTTTCCTGACAGGCTTTGCTGACTTACGGGAGCGATGCTCGTGGCGAGGAAGTGCGTCAATGTGCGTGCCTCTGGGAGGATTTCGGGCGCCGAACTGGGATGGTGTGGTTGGGGGGATCTGGGCGGGAGCGACGAAAGCAGCTTCTGGAGTGCAGCTTGCGAAAGGAGGCCGGCGCGGAACGGCTGACGGCGCTATTATAGCTCGGGGGAAGGGCGAGGAATGAGAGAATGATGGGATGATTTGAGATGCAGGCTCAGGTTTTGTTCTTTGGGATGATTAATTGTGAGAAGGGGTGGGAAAAAGGCTGCCTACATGCGGCTGACAGATCGGGCGTGTTCTGGAAAAAGGGATATCTATATTTCTCTTTCACCCTCGAGGTTGTTCAGCACGGACACCGGGGAGGCGGAGATTGGCAATGAATGGAGATTCTGATTCTAGGCTTCTGGAGTCAGGGCCCTCGAGAGCAAACCTCCGGAGCAACCAGGGCTCGGAAGAATGCCCGAGGCAGTCGGCATTTGCTGCTGCATTTGCTGCTAGTGAGTGCGTGTGTTTGAGGCTCAACAGCCCGCCCTGGATGCTAGTGATGGTGCTGCTGCTTGCTGTCGCAGACTGCAGCAACGAGGCCGGTCTTTGTGGCCTCGTAAGGCTGAGCCTCACCCAAGTGGCCGGCAATGCAAGGCAGGGCAGGGCAGGGTCGAGGGTCGAGGCATGGCCGGCCTTTGAGGCGGCTCGTCCTCCTTGCGGCGGGTTGGATGAAAGAGAGCAATGTGAAACCAAAAGCGGAGAAGCACCGACGGGTGGCATTTTGTTTTCCTTTCACTTTCAGTTCCTTTCAGGACCAAAGGCACGCTGCCAGGGCTGCTCGACCTATTGTAGGGTGCTTGGCAAGGGTCGTGGGCCTCAGGGCCGGCCCAGACGTCTTCCTTTGACCACCACGTGGAGTCGGCAGTGCTGAGCGTCTGACTGGGTGTTAGTCAGGGCCAGGGTTCATCTACTGAGGCGGCGATATGTCCTGCTCTTATGATCTGCATCGAAACATAGGGCCGTTGCAGTGTTGGCGCTGAGTCGGGCGCTTGAGAACGTTGGATATCAGTCTGGATATAGTCTAGGTATCGGACGTAGAGTATCAAGAAGGGAGATAGAGGTAGATGTCTTAACCAAAGGGAACTTAGTCTGGTGCTACGGTGCGCAGGAGCAAGGCACCGTCTGGCCGGAGCGCTGCTCCCGGCAAAACGGCGGGGACGGATACGGCACTTGGCTCACCTGCAGCAAGCGCTAACACAAGTCGTCACTGATCAGGGACCACGTCCAAACCTGGGAACAATTGAAATCTCAAACCAGCCCGTCTGGGACGCGGGCCGGCACCCAGCTCGAGCCAGTTCCTCGTGTTTCAGGATCAGGACCACAGCCAGTGACAGCTAATAAGCCCTGGGGGGTGGCCGACTAATCCCCCTTCACTCTCTCTCTGTCTCCCCCGCCAGGTCGAATCGAAGTCAAGTCTGGTCAAGTCAGGTCAAGCCCAGGGCTTCTAGCATGGCATGGCATGGCATGGCCTGTCATGGCATGGGCAAGGCAAGCCCCGTTGGGGTCGTTGGGTCCCCTCCCCCTGGTTAGGAATGGAACTGGAACAGGAACACATCAGATCTAAAACATCCCTCCTCGAGACATGAGGCTCTTTCATCTGGCGTGCGATCTCTGTGCCTTTACCTCTGCTTCTCTTCCCCCTTTAACCCAACCAGTCCTCCTTCTCTACCGCTTCTCTCACGGTCAATGAGCACGGTCATTCCCTCCTGCAGTACACTTTGCTGTTGTCCTGTTGTTGGTTGTGGCTCGTTCCTCTGTCATACTGACTGACTGACTGGACTGACTTTGCCGATCCTCGCCTTTGCAGTGCGTGTCTTGTGTCTCAGTCTCTCACCCAACCAACATCTCGGAGACTACTTGGAACCAGCGCAGAACTAACTGGCCAATCACCCACGCCAGGCCGACTTAACCGCTGAGACTGGGCACCCAGTGACCTCGGGAGCAAGCAAAGCAGCTCGAATGGTTCCTTGAAGCAAGCAAGCCCACCAGTCAGCCATCCAGCAGTACAATACACACACAGTCACCGTAATAATTCCTATTGCTGGGCCCCCTTTTCCCAGGACCCCACAGCTCCTCCTTCCCCTCCATCAGTTGATCTCCGTCCCCTGCACCCTGCAGCCTACGGTGCAGCCAGCTCTCTCCATTCCGGTGTTGGCGGCCGTGGCGACCTCGACCGGACCTGCAGACCACACCACCTACCTAGTCTACCTACAGGGCAGCCAGTAATCCACCTGCCTCTTTGTACCCAGACTGACAAACACCAACACTCCCGTGCCTTTCTCTCGCTTATTACACACCTCACACCATCCTGCATCCTGCAACCCATCTGTTTCTCTTCTGCGACCGCCCAGCTTCCCGGGACTACTCTCCAGCCACTTCGACCACACCGAGGACGACAAAGGCACCCCGCGCAACAGGAACGTCGAAGCCCATCACCGCGGCCCGCATACGTCCGCACTCTCTTTGTCTGCCAGTCTTCTTTCAGCCAGACAGCTTCTCCCACCCCTACCCTTCCACTCGATCCAACCGCAACATCCTCCCAACTCCTTTCCGGAAAACCTGCAGCCATGGCTTCGAGACCGAGTTTGAGCATGTTCACCCGGGGCCTCTCCAACCTATCCCAGTCCTCGGACCCGAGCTCGCCCAATGTCAACTCCCCCGCCGAGCAGCGAGCCGACTCCAAGCTCGGCTTCCTCAAGGCGATGCGCCCTCTGCCCACCCAGCACTACTGGAACGTCTACTTTGACCGGTACGCCTTCCTCCCTTTCTCTCTAGCTTCCTGGTAGGTGTGTTACCAGCGCTAACCCGGTCATAATCGAATAGGCAACAAAAAGAGCAGAAGAAGACGGATGATGGACAGGAATACCAGGCGCAGCTCGAGCAGCTCGGATCCCAGATCGAGTCTGTCCAGGACTTCTGGCGCTATGCCAACAACACCCCGGTCGACCAGATCAAGATGCGCGAGTCCCTCTACCTGTTCAAGCAGGGTTTCAAGCCCATATGGGAGGATAGGCGCAACATCCTTGGCGGCAGTTGGACATTCCGCGTGGGCAAGAACATCGGGCCAGACTTTTGGACCCGTGTGCAGCTGATGGCCATTGGCGAGCAACTCCAGGCCGCTCTGGAAGAGGGTGAGCAATTTCGAACTACATCATTCCTGAATCTTAGCTGGATATGGCAGTGCGCTGACTGGGCATGACTTCACAGGCGACCAACTCTGCGGTGTCGGCCTTTCCGTTCGCTTCAACTCGCACCTCATTACCATCTGGCACCGTGACTCCTCAAAACAAAAGTCCATCGACGGAATGATCGAGTGCGTGCTGAATGAGATGCCTGTGGAGCTGCGACCCAAGGGGGACAACTACTTCTACAAGAGGCACTGCGACCACCCTGGCTTCAATCCCCCGCCGGAGCTGAAGCTGGTGCTAGACTCGCACAATGCGCGGATAGAGGCTGCCAAGGCGGCGGCTGAGAAGTACGTCGCCGAGAAGACTGGCCAGTCGACGCCATCAACGGCCACAGAGGACTCGAAGGAGTCTGCAGAGGACAGCACTGCTCCAGCGGTCGCAATCTCTGGGGCCCCGGCTGCTGAGCCTATGCAAGCATGAGATTATGTGTATGACGTTTTCTACGGCCTGTCTTATCCATTCATTCATCAGCCATCATAGGGCCACAGCATTTTGGACCATGAAATTGGATCTCGTCCACATTGACCAAAGAGCACGACAATCGGGCTCAACGAGGGTGGGAATGCATCTCTATGGCGTTATTCGAATTATCCCAAACTACATTAAATGGCATCATCAACACAATCACAATCACAAAATATCATGAGTGTTGCATACCACACAGCATATCGTCCACGGGCAGGGAGAGACGTCCAGGAGGGCAAATCAAGCTTGGACCTTTGCAAGGAGAGTTTTGGTGGGTTCGCGGGGGTCACCTCAATTGGATTATTACTCGATCCCAGATTCAGATGAATCGAATGAGCTTCATCAATCACGCATAGCTGTTTCGTCTGATGTCTGAACTGCAGCATGGTCCCTGTGAGAGTCGTGCTTCCGACGTCAAGGGCATATCCCCGACCATAAGGTGCCATCTCGTTCTACCGTAGTATGATGACCGGCAACCGAAACAGATACTCCGTTTCTTTCGCCCACCCTGGCCCAACTTCGGCACTCTCAGGTACAGACTGTAAATACGCGTAGTGTCACACTTCGGTTTTTAGAAGACACCGAGTGATTATATCAAGTGATCGCTCGGATAGAGAGAGCATGCCACAGATCTGCCATCGTTGCCAGGTCTCAAGTTTGGAAATGAGCAGCAGTACATTGAATGGGAGCCCAACACGGCACAACGGAAAGCTAGTGAGTCGCCTCGCTGCAGGAACCAGAGTGGCAGGCCCAGGTATCCATGGCTTGCCTCAGGCTTGGGCCGCAGAGCCGAACCAGGACCAAAACCACCAGGCGGGCGGGAGCTAGTATCAACCAAGGGAAAGTGCAACGCCGGGCGTGTTATTGTCGCCCTCCCTTTCGGTAGCGAACCGCAGCCAGACAGAGAACGCGCAAGTGAACCTAGAGTCTTGCATGTCGGAAATGACATCTGCACTCCCCGAGAAGGACGAGTTTCGCTCTCATCGTGACGGTCTCGATTGGTACGCGCTCAGGACGCTCACTTACACTCGCTGTCTACCCTAACCCCGTAACGCTCCTTGCTCGCGATGGCCACCCGCATCACTGGCGGGGAGGGACCCCAGCAGCAGCAGCAGCAACGACGTCAGCAACAACAATCACAACACCACCCACAGCAGCAGCAAGGAGCCCTCAAGTCAGCCTGGCCGCCGTTGATCGAGACTACAAGGGAGATTGACGAGAACATCGGACGAACGCCCACATCCACCATGGTAAGCCAACCACCCTGCCCACGCCCCTCATGCTCGTCCTCCAGCCTACCACCCTGCAACCGAATGATACCCCCCCCCCACAAAGGCAAACCACCCAGCTCTCTAACGAACCCGTGCGCTCCCCCTCCGCAGAACAAAGACTCGCACTTCACCTCCCTCCACCTGCACCGCGCGCGCGACGCCGACCTCTTCGAGTCCTTCGCCAAGGACCGCCTGCCCGCCGACGACATCTACGTGCCCGCGCACCACCAGCCCGTCAACCCGGAGGACGAGGACGACGTCGTGCCCGACCAGCACGCCGCCTTCGGCATCCAGAAGGCCACCCTGCTGCGCCGCGAGCCCGCCTGGCGCGACTTCGGCCTCGCCGAGCTCATGGCCAAGGGGCCCGACGCCGCCGCGTGGAGGGGCGCCGCCGGCGGGAGGGGCAAGGGCGCCGGCGCTGGGGCTGGGCCTGGGGCTGGCGGTGCTGGGAAGAAGGCCGCTGGGGGTGGGAGTCGGCTGCCTAGGTAGAGGGGGTGTGGTGTATGGGCTGTCACAATTGGTTCGGTCGATCGGTCAGTCGAGTTGAGTCAGTTAGGGTCTGGCGTTGACTGCGTCCTCTTTGCGCCCAGGGGACCTCCGCGCGCACCGTGGGATGGCGTTCTGTTGGTTTGGGACAGGGTTTGTAGATTTGATACCCGCGATGCCACTCGTCAAAGGCGAGGTGTTCGCTCTGATTGTGATATACGACGTTCATGATATCTCATCACCAACAAAAGGCGTCCCAGTGACCAACTTCCGTCTTGTTCAAGCCATTCTAGCATTGACCGCCAAGCCGTGATTCCTCTTCAAAATTCACCATATCCCCAACGCCAGGCCATGCAAGATTGTAATAACACGTAGAAGCCGTCACGATGCCACGGCATTGCTCACCCTCCTAAAGAGCCCTTTTTTTCAGTGTGTTTACTTAGCAACACCCAGATACGCCTCCCTCTCAAGCACCTCCGAAGCAAACTTGACCAGGAATACCGTCTTGCCAGGCCACATCTCCTGCACGGCGCCACCAGCCGCGGCAGCAGCATCAGCGCCGGCCCCGTCACCGCCCTGCTGCTGCCCGCCGACGCTGTGGGCGGTGACGCGGGCGGGGAAACCGGCGCCGTCGCAGACGCCCTCGATCATGCCCGCGACGTAGGCGGCGCAGTTGAGCTGGGACATCTCGCGGGGCACGCTGACGTAGGCGTTGACGAGCGGCTCGTTGTCGATGATCATGTACTCGTCGGGCGTGTCCGGGTTGCTCGACCGCTGGATCTGGTCCGCCTGCCGCCCGAACAGGTGCGTCCACAGCTGGATCTTGATCAGGTGCAGCAGCGTGATGATGTCGCGCGGCCGGGCCTGCGCCCGCGGCGGCTCGCGGTACAGCAGGAGGTCGAGGAGCTTGAGGCCTATTGGGTGGCCTTGGACGTTTAGTCTGCAGTGGGTGGGAAGAGGGCCGTTAGCTTTTATGTTGTCATGAGGACTCGAAAGTCGGCCTGGGGAGAAAGGGCAGTTGAAGAACGGGGCTGGGAAGGAGTTCCGGGGTGGGGAGGACCCCATGGGCGTACCTCTTTTCTAGGTCCTGAATGCCCGTCACCCGTCGCTGCGCATAGCTGACCATCTCCGAGAACAGGTACGCGAAGCTGGACTGGCTCAGCTCCGACGTGCGCGTCCGATTCAATGGGCGGTGGTAGATCGTCTTGCCGCTCGTGGGGTATCGCAGTCCGCTGCCCGGCGGCGGCAGGGCATCTTTGCTCGCTGCTGACTTGTGTGTTGGTATGCTCGACATTGCGTGTTTTCTCTCGCTTAGTTCGACGTTTTCATGGGCCGTGGGTGGTTCAGCCGCGGGCTTAAAGACGTGACTGCAGTGCAGATGGCTGTCCAGGTGGTTGCATGTGGTAAGGAAAGTCAAGGAGCTGCAGCAGTCTACCGCATTGACAGTTGAGCTGTGCCAGGGGGTTGGAGGCTTATCCAAGATAAGGAGGGGAGGGGTGTTACTGTTCCCAAGCAATTCCCTAAATCACATCTCTGCAGCAATACGCTCAAGAGAAATGTGGAAGGTGTAAGAAAAAGAGAAGAGAGGGAAGAAAATTAAGAAGTCAGAAAATTAAGAAAGGATACACGATTTCCATTTGATGTGGAGGTATCTATTACGCTTTGCTGAGTTGCTTGATCAGTATGCAACGAATATACTACACTCTATGGTATGTCTTTCACGAACAGTTTGCTGGTCCCAATTGTCCACAAATATGGGCTTCAACCTCGCCCTCACGCGGCACTACCGACCGCAGCAGCCTGTCCTTCAACTGCACCATTTTCCGTTGTTTGTGCTTCACCCTCCCCTATGGCAAGCTTCTCCTTGACGGCGTCGGCGGCATCATCGACGACGCTGTTCACGCCCTTCTCAGTCGCTCCCTTGAGGTAGAGTTCCGACTCCCCGATGACACTGCCACCCTCAACCCATCTCCGCTTCTCGGCCTCCTTCCTTGTCTCACACAGCTTCATCAGCGCCGGCCAGTAGACCGTATGGTCGTACTCGAACTTCAGGTCGCCGTCGCTGAACTCTGTCCATAGCTGCTCCGCGGGCACGTACTGCTTCATGTCCTCATTAAACTTCATCTTCTCCTTGGTGACGGGATCCAGGAAGGGCTTAATGAGCTTGAAGAACCCATTAACCAAGAATGGTACGTTGATGATCAGCGCCTTGCCCAGGCGTTCGGGGTAGTGCGTCTGCAGGATGTTCAGGACCTCCTTGGACTGGCTCAGCGGCGGCGCGGTGTAGGTCCGGGTGGCACTGGTCTTGAAGTTGATGAGCAGCGCCAGCATCTCCTGCCCCGGCGGCATGAGCTCGATGGTTCGCTCGACCATGAAGACGAGGTGCTCGACCTGGCGGTGGCTGGGCTCTGTGTTTTGACGGCCCGGGATCAAATACTGGCATGGGCGGCCCTCCTTGTCGTAGCCGAGGATGAGCTGCTTGCCCGTCTCGTTCTCAGGCGAGATGTGGTCCGGCGTCAGCTTCTCGTTGACACCGAACTCGCGCCGCCAGAGGAGCGTGGCTATCAGGCGCTTCTCGGAGTGCTCTTTGGTCCACTTTGTAGCACGGAGGTAACGGAGCAAACATTCTCTCGTGAGCCAACGCTTCTCGTCCTCTGTGAGATCCTTTGGCGCGTCTTTGGGGACAGTAACGCCGGAGTCTGGTTGGGACCAGTTTTTGACCTGGTTAAGAAGCCATTCGTACTTTTGAAGCTGGTCATCGGTGAGTTCGCTGGCTGGCTTCACTTTGCTGGATTCAAGAGGGTGTTCGATAGGCGTCTTCAAAGGAGGCTTGTCTGCTGAGTCTGCCATCTCGACTTATAGTGTACGACTGGACGTGAAAGGGGATGAAGATGCGCGCCGTGAGAGACTGGTAGACACAAAGCCAGGAACGAGACCAGACGCAGCAGGATGTACCGGATAGCAACTACTCTCGAGTACTGGCCTAGTTTAACAACAAGCACCGCGAAGGAAACTGCTTAGATGTTGCCGCAGCAATTCGACCGTGAACTTGTCATTAAAGGGGTATGACCTGTCGGTGAGTGACCCGAGCCTGTGGACTCCCTGCCCGGATCTTCGGGGCGGGCCACTAAATCTCGCCTGATCTGTGTACTGCGCACTTAGCGGCTTGGCTGCAATCACAGCAGCACACGCTATCGATAAGATCTCAGTGCCTGGAGGGCCCTGTACCTTAGTACCTGAGAGACAGACCCCTGCTCAATTAAAGCTGTTTTCCAAGGCGCGTCAGCACGCGTCTCCCAAATCTCATCCACTCTGAGGGGCTCGAGAGATATTGGATTCGCACCACAACTTCGCCAACAGGCAACAGAGTTTGGCCAAAAAGAGAGAGACAACACCCGTGGTTCAAAAATCACCGGGCCACTCAATCATCATGGCAGACCCAGCAGTGTCAGAACTCAACGAGCTCTTCGGAGCCGGGGATAAGGGCTTGGGGCAGGACGTCGTCGTGGAGATGCAGTCCATCATGAGGCTGCACAACCTGGCGCCTCAGGACCTCTTTTTCAAGTGGGAATCATACTGCATCAAACTGGACATAGAGGCGACACATCCGTCATATGATAGGATGAGAAGCTTCAAGCAAGACCTACAAGATGCTTTAGAGAAGAGCACTCGGACTCAATCCCATGCCAAACCAGAGAAGCATCGGGTCGGCGCTACCCCGAGAGCAGGTGCCAAGGGCGGTGATGTATTTGGCATGTAAGTCGTTTTCAAGGAAGAATAAGTCTCCTGCATATACTGACCCGACGCCAGGATCGATGGTCTGTTACCAAATACTCCTGCGGCACGGAAGAGCGCTATCAAGAAAAAGGAGACACCCACGTCTCGCATCAAGTCAGAACATGCCGCGAGCTCGCCAGATCAAAGGTCTACGGCGAACCTGAAGGAGCAATTGGACTCCATGGGGGCGATGCCGTACGTCTCTGCTGTTACTTAACAAGCCACAGTCCGCTAACTCGTACCATTAGCCCGTCGTCGTTCAATGACCGTTCAAATCCAGGCGAGGTTCTTGAGGTCTTGAATAGCCAACTTCCAGCCGGAGAGCCCCCAATAGCACCATTTGGAGAGTCCCGGGTCAAATTGACCGCTGCATCAGACCAGAAGAAGCTGGGCTACAAGCCGTTGGGCATGAAACTATCGGAAGCGTCCGAGATTCTGGATGATCGGATAGATGACTTCTTGAATATCGTCATGGATCACCACAAGCTGGACCCGTCTGCATTTGGTAGTGCGGCGTCTCAAAGTACCACAGAGATTGTGGCAGTCGGTCGTATTGCTTCAGACTCTTCAGAAGGAAAGCTCAATGCCGCCTCCCTAGTCCTTGAAACGTCAAGAAGGACGGGTGGTGGCCTGCGCGTACCCCTAAACATGGAGAAAGTCCAGAAATATCAGTTCTTCCCAGGCCAGATCGTCGCCTTACGAGGAAGCAACGCATCAGGGCACAACTTCACTGTCAAGGAGATACTCGAGGTGCCTCTCCTGTCCAACGCGGCGTCTGCGCCGGCAGCCTTGCAAGCCCACCGGGAGAAGCTCCTGGGTGGCCCGGACGCTATGGAGACGGACAGCGAACCTCTTCCCCTGAATGTCCTTTACGCATCCGGCCCCTACACTGCAGACGACAATCTAGATTTTGAGCCGCTCCATCAATTATGCACTGTCGCGGCCGACACATACGTTGACGCCTTGGTGCTGACGGGTCCTTTCATCGACATCGACCACCCACTCATCGCAACCGGTGATTTCGATCTGCCCGAAGAAGCGAACGTCGACCCCGACCTGGCGACCATGGCCAGTGTGTTCAAATACATGATATCCCCCGTCCTCAACCGCCTTGCCGCCGCCAACCCTTCCGTAACAATTCTCCTCATCCCCTCCACGCGAGACGTTATCGACAAGCACGTCTCGTGGCCACAGGATTCCTTCCCAAAAAAGGATCTCGGCCTCAGCAAGACAGCCGTCAAGATCGTGGGCAACCCCATGACACTGTCCATCAACGAAATGGTCCTCGGTGTGTCTTCGCAGGACGTGCTGTGGGACCTCAGGAGTGAGGAATGCACGAGCAGGCCGCCCGTGCCGGATCTTCTAGCGCGACTTTCCAGATACCTAATCGAACAGCGACACTATTTCCCCGTCTTCCCGCCTTCAGATCGGAGTAAATACCCAAAGACGGGTGCCGAGGACGGAAGGCCGGTGGGCTCGATGCTGGATGTTAGCTACCTTAAGCTCGGTGAGATGGTCGGTGTCCGGCCGGATGTGCTGGTTGTGCCCAGCGCGCTGCCGCCTTTTGCAAAGGTACGTTCCTAGATCTGATGATATGACCCGATCGAGATGCCCGTTGGACAGGCGACTGACCAGAGATATGCAGGTTGTTGAAAGTGTCCTTGTGATCAACCCCGGGTTCCTTTCCAAGCGCCGCGGCGCCGGCACGTATGCCCGGATGACGCTATATCCACCCTCGCTGTCGGATATCGAGGGAGCGGATGGGAGCATGCTGGGGCATAAGATCTTTGACAGGGCAAGGGTGGAGGTCACCAGGATATGAAACTGGTCAAATCAAATTTGTTAAATAATGCATGAGGGCACGCAGGAGTTTTAGTTTCTTATCGTTGTGTCGCGGCTTATAGCCAGTCTCACATATACATCGAACACCATGTGCTGTTCTAATGACGGGTCGTTGCCAACGTGTCGACCGTATAGATGAGCTTCTCCAGGCAGAATGACTCCGTCTATAGATTAGCTACGTTGTGGCCGGGGAGACTAGATGGCCGGGGAACTTTGAACATTCCTTATGAAGTGCTTTCACCCAAGCAAGTCCTTTTATATGGTCACTGCTCGCCCACTGTGCACGTTTTTGCATCGATGAAGGCGGGCTTGGCTCTTCACCCTTTCAAGTAACGAGACTGGGGGCGTGCCACCCTGAGCGGATTCCCCGACAGGCCATCTACCTAGAGTCCACTCTCCTCCGCTTGTCATCGTCATATCGGTCCCTCTCTCTGGGGTACTCTCTTTTCCTGTCTCTGTGGTCATCGCGGTCTCGTCTCGGTGACCTTGACCTGGATCGCCTCCGACCCAATGGCATAGCATTCGCCCCCTTTCCACCGTAATCACCGCCTCTGTCGCCTTCCCTCTCCCCGTCACGATACTGATCCCACTGACTCCTCTGCCGCCTCGGGTCATCGAACCGTCCCCACGCTCCCGTGTCCTCGCTCTTCAAGTCCTTGTATTTTGTGGCACCCTTCTTGCCCAACTTCGTCATGTCGCGCATCTGCAGCGCCTCAGGCAGCAGCTCACGGTTGCGCACGTCGTCGGCGAAGCGCGCGCCATTGATGTCGCGCTTGTCGAGGCCCTGCGCAGCAGCCTCGTCCTGGTAGAAGGCGCCCTTGTGGAAGTATTTCTGCATGTAGCCCATCTTGCCGCGCGAGTCCTTCTCCTCGCGCTGGCGCGCGACGAGCGCCTCGTCCTCGGCCGCGCGCTCCGCCTCGCTCAGGTTCTGCCGCCGCTCCTTCTCCGCGATCTCAGCCTCCTTGGCCTCAATGGCCTCGCGCGCCCGCTTCAGCCGCTTCAGCTCCCGCAGCTTCCACGCCGCGTACTCGGCCGCCGGGTCCAGGTCGTCCGTGTCGTCCACCTCGTCCTCATCTGACTTCTCGTCGTCGTCCCAGTGCTTCTTGCCCGCCGCTCGCGCGGCTAGGTCTTTCTGGATCTGTGCCTCGACCAGCTCGTCCGCCTCGGCACGTCGCTTGGCCTCTTCCTCTTCCTCCTTTTGTGCGGGGTCTTCTTGTTTTGCACGGTTGGCTTTCGATATGAACTTGGGCCGCACCATTAACCGTCTTGGTGCCTCCTCCTCGCTGCTCTCTTCCTCTGACGAGGACTCATCCTCACTGCCGCTGCCTTCTTCCTCTCCCTCTTCGCTGTCTTCGTCCTCGTCTTCGGTGACAAAGCCCTCCTCTTTGGCTTTGCGCTCGATCTCGGCGCGCTTCTTCGCTGCTGCTAGTCTCTTTGCCTCTTCGCTTGCTTTGCTGCTGCTGCTGTTTGTGCTGATGATGCGCCCCGCGCTGGGGACTTTTGGCGGCGGTGCGATGGTGCGCTTCTTTGGGGGTTCGGGCTTAACTTCTTGTTCGGCGTCGCTGTCGTCTGAATCGGAGGATGATGAACCTCCTGCTGCTTTGCCGGCGAAGTGGCGTCCCGGCCTGACGGGGTTCGCGGTCATGCGTTTTGGAGGCATTTTCGGAGTGGTGCTTCTGATTTGGTGGATGGGTGGTGATGCTCGCGGTTGAAGCTCGAGGTTTTGACGTAAAGTGCTATCGACAGGGGTAGGGGGAGGTTCCTCAAGTACCGAAGTACCACAGTACCCAGGTAGCCATCACTAGTCTGGCGACTCAGTCACGTACTTTACGCGCCGGCAAGCCAGCCAGCCTCTTCAAGATGTTTCTTCGTCCTCACAGTGCGTGGTACATAATTCCAAAGACGATTGCTCCAGCACACGCAAGCATTCGATTTGTCTGTTCACAAGCATCCCTTGCCTGGCTCAAATATGACAGCCATTCTACACTCTGCCCCTTGCAAGTCCCGATCGAGAACCGAAGTGTCGTGGCCAAGACTGGAGCGTTGATTCCGGAAATTATTGTGGCTCTGCCAGAGTTGTTAGAGAGAAATTGACAGCAACTCTGCGACTCCGGATTAGGAGCGCATGCCAAAGAAACTCGAAGTTCATTCAAAGATAATGGTATTTTTTTTTATTTTTTTTTTTTACTTTGCTAATGCTACGGTGAAGAGTTAGGAAATAAAATCAATGATCAAGTAATTCTTGCTACGAGGGCGATCCCTTCGCTGCTGCTATCGTTCCCTCAAATGACCCAGATACCTGTCTCTCCGCGGGCTCCAGGTTACCTTTCGCAGGACCATTCAAACATAGCCCCATCGGTGAGAAACGGCTCCCATGGACCGGACAATCAAACGACTTCTCCGCCTGGTTCCAGCAGACAACACCTTTCATATGCGGACACAGCGCGCTCATCTTGGTCATGTTTCCCTCCTCGTCCCGGAACACTGCCATCGGCATCTTGGCCTTGGGGTTCAACACACCGCCGGTTCCTGGGGCGAGGTCCTCAATGTCATTGATATCTGATTGCAGGAAGCGTTTGTATTGCATGTTGATCTGCAAATCATGTGCAAGCATTGTCGGCGCCGACCTGAGGATACTGCCCACGCGCTTGGGCGAGTAAACATCCGCCACAGCGGCCCAGTCCGGCGAGTACACGTTCTTGTCGAGCTGATCTATTTCATCCTGCTCAGCCGGCTGTGGGGCGATCTCGTCTGCAAGCAGCCTCCCGGCTAGCACTCCGTGCGTGAGTCCATTACCCGAGTCTCCAGTTACGATGTAGGTGTGGTCGCATCCTTGGTTTTTCCCAATGAAGGCCATGTAATCGACGGGCTCGAATATTTGTCCGCTCCATCTGTAGTCGACTGTAATACACTGTGGGAACCGCTCACGCGCCCAGTCCTCGAGCTCCTGGAAGCGCGGTATTGTGTCTTCCTGGCCGACCTTGTGATCACCTCCGCCGACAACAAGATAGTCGAACTTGTCGTCACATTCGACAAGTCGGACGTAAATATACGGATCCGCGGTGTCGTACAGCAGGCAGTCCTCAACAGAGTCTTTGGGCACGCGGAGCGCGAGACAGTAGGTGCGGTCGAATTCCATCTCGGCAATGACGCTGAGTTTCTGCAGCGGCACACATGTTGCCTCAACGGCGTTCTGACACTGGACGTGATAGCCCATCTCTGTCTGGATATGCACCTCCTTGTTGCCATGGCCGAGGATCTCAACACCTTTCTCCTCCACGAGCATGACACGCGTGCCCGTGTAGCACCGGAAGCTGTCCTGCTTCTTTAACCATGCCATCAGGCCGTTCAAATACTTGGTGGGATGAAATCTGGCCTGGCCTTCAACAACCAGGGCATCGCGTTGGTCGTATTTGCCCTTCCAGCCTCGAACTGCCAGACCCTCCCGAAACTCTGCATTCAAGTTCAACTTCGCCGCCATATCCGCCTCGTCCCTTAATTCCTTGACGTCCTCGGCGTGCTCCTTTGGCTGTGTGAACCTGTCGAACTGCGACACGCGGTACGCAGGGATCTCTCGGTAGTCACAGTCGATGCCCAGCTTTCTCGCAATCTGCCCCACGCGCTTGATCGCCCATCCATGGCTATCTGCCGCGGCCTGAGCCCCCTTGAGACCATGTTTCTTGGCAATGCGTGTATACCCGTCGTCCAACGCGCTTGCGAGGTGGCCTGAGGTGCGACCGGTCTCACCCGAGATTGCGTCTCGGGCCTCAAGAAGGACGACATCCTGCTGTCGGCATACCAGCTCGTATGCAGTGGAGAGGCCCGCAATTCCAGCGCCGATGATACAGGTCTGGGTCTTGATGTCCTCACTCAGGGCGTCAAAGTGTGGCCGGTCAGAATAAGGGGAATTATGCACCCAGACCGAGTCGTTGGCGCCTGACGTGCGCTCGAACTGGGTGTGGCCTTTCATAGTGGTTACGGCTGTATAGGAACTGTAGCTGCACGTAGACGCCGCACGGGGACCTGCAAGTCGCAAGAATGATCGGCTCTTGTTGGCAGTTCTCGATGGGAGTCTAGCTGCGCACTGAAGCAGGGATCGGGCACACCACAACGGCATGCTGAGCGTGGTTGTTTGTTAAAACTAACTTGCGAGGGCCGAGGAGTCGACGCACGCGTGAACACAGTAGGTAAGTGTTTGTGTATCGCATCCAAAGACCAGTTCCATGGGAAGAATAGTAGCTCAGTCAGCCAACCAGCTTTTAGTATTTGAAATACCTGTTCAGCTTTCCATTGGGATATTTCCATTCCTTACGAACGCACTTCCTGTCATCACTGCGTCGTGGACATGCAGCTGTGCACTTTGGCTCGTTGGTGACACCTGAGCGGCTGATAATAATGTCTACATCATTCCGTCATACCTCCATCACAGGAAAGCTATATGGTGCGTAGGGCGGCTCACCCCTCTGTAATTAAAACTTGAGCAGCATGCCTCCCCTTCCTTCAGGACTGAATGGAGAGTAAGTGGCATTCTTGGCGGCGAATCTAATTGTAATTTCTGGCGCAAGTGCATATCACGGTAGAATGGAGGATTGAAGTTTACATATAATTAGCTGATCCTGGACCAAATGGAATTTCGCCCCAGGCTCTGGAACCCGATCTCCGAATGGAATCTCAAGGGCGATCGAAAATAGGCCGGCTTCGGATTAATTGCGTATTTGCGGTCGTTTCAATGTGAACATTGAATGCCTGTCGATGTGTACCATTTGTTGGATTTGACCAAATTGCACTAACACGTTAAGGAACAACTTGATGGAAAACCAATTATCTGTCAAAGAAGGTTGAATGAAAAAGGAATTGTCGTCATCATAATAGTCAAGAGGCGTGGAGCTAGGATTCGTGATAGATGATTAGGGAGCTTACGAAGCAGGACCATCATCAGCCCGTTTAAGGCACAGAGCCCCTTGCCCTGAAACCCAGGCCCGCAACAAAGTCACGGTCACTGTCCACTTTGACCTATCATGATATTCATCATTCTCGCTCTTCCGGCCACCTGCGTCTCCCACAGTTTTTCAACATGCTGCTCAATCTGTTGCGAAATGCACCGGAATGAGGGAGCAATCAAGGAATTGGGGTACTGGGCGCGAATCGACATGCAAACATGTAGGCAGCATTGCCATATCTTTTTCGTCACGTAGTCAAGGGTTTCCCTCGTTTTGTTCGAAGTCAAATATCAGAAATCGGCTGAAATTATCTGCGAAAAGGTCATCGTTTTCTTGTAGGTGCTGATGGCGTTCAACTGGCTCCAGCTTCATTGTCGGCAGACTATGTTCTTGTCATTGAACACATGTCTGAAGAAACCAAGAACACAAACCATTCAGAGACGAATAAGCTAAAGCAGACTAGTCGTCGGATAGTTATCGACTACTCAGTTCTTGGCTTTCTTCTTCGGCCGAAGCTCCATTGCGTACATTCGGAAAAAGTCATCAGGCTCAGTGGGATGGCTCCCAGTGACGTCGTGGAAAGCTGTAGTGGAGATGTCTTTGACAAGTCAGCCGAATTTCTACCCACAGACGAGTTGAAGTAGTCGATGACTTTGCTTACAGTTTGTCTTTCCCTCACGAACTAAGCTGTAGTATTCCAGGATGTATTCTATCTCGGAGGGGTCGATGTCGGAGTGTGACTTGAGGTTGCGCTTCGCCTCAGCTCTTTGAAAACTTTAGCATATCTCGCTCCAGAGACCACATATACATGTTTCGGACTCACTCGCTAATTTCCTCGTACTCCACATTCTGGCCCAGTGCTTTGGTGGCAGCCTCCGCCAGCTCCTTTCCAGCGCAGAGCAAAGGACCAGTGAGGACCATCATCTGGCCTCGGTGGCGGTCGTCAAAGCCATGCTTTCCCTTCCCGGCCAGAACATGCGCAGCGACATGAGCAACATCCTATCAAATATATGAGCAGATTCTGTAGGTTTAGAGCAGAGCAAAGTCAAATACGTACGCCCAATGCGACAGGTGCGAACTTATGGTTTTGGCCGATGGGCAGAGGCAAAAAACCCTCTTCACGAGTTTGTTGAGAGTATAGGAGAAGATTCTCGGCATAGAAACCGGCTCTACGAACATTTCAGTTACATATGCTAATTTGAGGCCCAGCTCACATCACTTACCGAATTACGCAAGGGGAGTGACCAAGAGGGACATTGGGATCGCCCTTGGCGGACAGGACCGCACTTTCCAGCTCGATAAACTCACGCAAACGCGGCTGCTTCTCCTTGGTGGCGTAGTCTGCGCCAGCGGAGCTAATCAACAGGACATTCGAGACGCCGGCCTTCTTGGCAGCGGTGGTGAGCTCGGTCATAAGGTCGAGTTTGTCCTGGTGAGCAGGGGGCACCAGGCAGATTGTGTCGCAGCCGATCTTTTTCAGGTCCTGCACAAGAGACCTCTCTCGGCCGGGAATATGCTCTACAATCTTTGCGCCAAGCTTCTCGAGCTCACCGGCCTTGGGGGCCGAGGGCTTCAGGGTCAGACCGGTGAGTGAGCTGATGCTCTTGCTTCAAGTGCACGAGAAAGTATTAGCCACCTGTACAATCAGGATGTACCATAGAGACTTGCGGGTCACCTACTAAAATTTTCCTTCCCTGAGGAGTAGCTCCGCAATGAGGAAACCAGTTTGACCGTCCACTGCGGTGACGCAGACATTGCGAGTCGCGGAAGACATGAGGCGGAAGTTGCTGGTCCCAGATAGAAGATAGCTGTGTGACGAAAGACGGATAGTTGAAATCTTCCACTGAAGTTGAAGATGGTAGCCTGGCAAGAATGGATGACTTTCGTCTTATGTAGGTCGTGCAAGCACGGACCCTGAGTCCCAGCGATCTTAGGCTGCGTCAGCCTTGTCTCCCTTCGCCACGGTGAGAGCTCTGCAGACGACATCAGAAGGAAAAGAAAGGTGACACCAATCAAGAGAGCATGTAGATCACCTAGAGTTGGTAGACTAAGACATTTGAAGTGGTACTTGCAGCCATGCGCACAGTTGGAATATTAATGACGTACGAATGAGCCGGGCAGTGATCAGCTAGGTCGATTTTTTTTCATCTGGTCACTTTCTCTGTGCTAATGGTCAGGACCCGATTCTGCGGCTTTCAATCAACTCTGAACAGTGACATCACCTGCTCTGGCCTGCATCCAGCTGAATGTAAACATCGCGAAAGGTCTGGCAGCCGCTAGTTCTTATTTGGCAAGTGGAATACCTTGCTTTTCGTTTTACCGGTAGATCTGCTTACTTTCCCCAAGCGAAATCTTAATGAAATGTTAATCTGGCCAAAACGTGTGAATGATGAGAGTCAGACAGGGAGCGGGCATCTCCATTTCTGGGTGTCTAAGTCACGATACCTTTGAGCATCAAAATCGATGATCTGCTCACAACTTTGGCTTGCGTGTCATACCACACATGCTATGCTTGAGACAGAACTGATCCACACCAGCCTGTATTTTAACAATTCGTAAGATGTAAAGCATTTCTTGGTGGCTAAATTGGATCGTCAACACGCACACGGGAGGTTCTTTAGAAAATTGCTTGGAAGCACATGAAATTATCTGAGATAATTGAGTTTAATATACGGAGCGTTAACGTCCTAAAACCTGGCAGTTCTATAAAGAAGTTAATTAATAATGATATGAAAGATAGTAATTAAACCTTTTCAGTTAAATGTGACGGCACAGCTATATTGGACGTATTTTAGAATGCGTTCTGCAATTGTCACGAGAGGAACATAAAAGAGGCGATGCTCTTAAGTCTTGCTTATTATTGTAGAATTCTGAATAAGACCTTGTCTTGCTTAGAAAAAAGAGTAGGAGGGAAGGTTGCCTCCGATTGCAAGTCAGGCCTTAAAAGCAGAGGGCCTTGGGGCTGCAGGTGGTCTGTGCGCTATGGCCCACCTGCAGTCACTAAACCTGCCCGCAGCGCCGTAACAGGAATTCTGACCTTTTAGTGGGAAACAGCCCTGGCTATAGTGAAGCAGTCAGGGCGTTGTCTTATTAAAATTTGAAAGTTTAACATAATTAGGCTTATATAAAGTATGAATTAAATTTTTTAAATAATTAAACTATACTGTTTTGATTAAATATTAACAAGATATAACAAATTTATAATAACTATGTATAGTAAAGGCCTTAAAATTGTAGCATAATTCTAGAATAGAATCGTCTTGTCCCCTAATTTCCCCACGATAGGAGGAAATTAATGGCAATCGCAGCAAGGACAATACGTTTTTACATAGGCTGAAGGTAGGGCTAGCCCATTGAAGACCCGGTTTTGTTGTTATGAGATGACCTTTCTTATTTTATCGTGATTGAGATATGTGTGCTGCAATGATCATTCCCAGCAAGTCTATGGTCATATGCTGATTGTGCTCAAGTTCATGATCTGGCCAAAGAGAACCCAAAAAGATAAAGATCAAATGAAATCATTACCTTCTGTTCATGATCAAAGTTTTCTGAGTCACTTTTGCGTTCAATAACTCATCAAACCTCGCATTATGAAAGGCGCGAAAATTCATCACGTCACATTGCTTATTCAATGTTACCTGTGTCACTGCATCACTGAGATTGAGTGCCTGGGACTGTGACATAAGCCACAATCTACCAAATCTAAGCAATCACATGTCCTGCAGGCGTCCTATGGCACCACAGTGTAAGGTCTTTATCAGCTAGGAAATTAAGGAGTACAACATAAATATTGAGATTTTTCTATGCACTCATTCATTCACAATTAAACAGTTGTCCACATAAGCATTAAGACTGTAGTGAGGAGACTTAGGAGCTGAAATCTATCATGAAAGCCTTATCATTAATCTAGCTCACTACCTAGGCATACAGGAATATATCTGACGCATTAGAACTTTCTTCTATGATCGGGACATGGGTTGCAGCTGGAATCGGGGTCCTTTCACTGGTAGGCATCAATGGTACTGTGCTAGTGTGGTTGGAATCTCGCATCGACAGACATAAGACACTGGATGACTTGGGAAGGGACACCAATGATTGCATTTCTCCGGGATGGCATCTTGATCCTAACAGTACCTTGGGCAGAGGATAAAAGTACCTGGCCTAATGCAGACCGGACCCCGAACGAATGGAACCTTCAGTGGTACCTTAAACTGAACACATAGTTTCGGATGTCATTTAGCACTGAGGCATATTGGGAATACTTTGGAGCTCTCTTTGAGGCTTATAGTATGGAGTTCATCAGAGAAGGAGATGCTGGGATTCGAGGTGGAAAAACGTATCTGCCCATACATCCATCATGGATTCTTGCAGTCGGTACTCTCGGGAGATGCTTCGACACAAAGGACGAGGCAGAAGAGGCCCTTGTCGAGAAGAGTCACCCTCGAGGCCGGGCTTCCCAGAGGCTACGGATTGGCCACATCGGAACATCGACCCAGGAAGAGTGATGTAGTTAGGTTCAGACGCGAAAGGTCTCGGTCAACGCTCTATCTGGAAGCACAGCCCGACGATGATATTTAGCCCTACTAAACGATTTTCACAGCCAAAATTCTCTACAATTTTGTATGGCACGATTGGCTCTTTCGAACCTTGTGATCAGGAATAGCAAGCAAACAGACCTTTCCCGACATTGAAATACCACTCCTCTTCGGTCACAACCCATGCCGTCCGGATCCAAACCGACATTCTACCTATCAAAGAGCTACATCTTCTCTCTATTGGGCTTGTCAAAAAGATAAGGTCAATAATGTGTCACTGGCAGACTCTCAACCGGTCGAAACATGGGAAAATGAAAGTTGGTCCTCCTCCTCAGGCTCTCCCCATCGCTACAATTACGAATCCCGGGACCATCAGTGGTATGGGATAGTGAGAATGCCACCACATCCACCACCGCCTAGAGCCACCATCCTCCCAGAAGCAGGCATTGTTACAGAAGCTACAGAATTTCGACTCGGGTCGCTTGATACTTCCGAGGCACTCGTAAGATTGAGCAGTGCATTCGCGGACCTGAATTCGAATCCATAATACACAGGCTTGACTCCGGATCATGATCGAAAGAGCAGGGAATATGTAGACCAGCTCGAGGGCAGTATTTATGTTCCAGCTGATGATTTCTGGGTACGAGTTGGGAGAGGGAGCTAGGTTCCAAGAGTCGATGCCCAAAGATTAGCACTTGTTCTTCTAAAGATCTCGTGGACTTGCAAAGAATATCTGATCGGAAATAATGGATCAGGCGTCGCCATGGATATGATCAAGACTGCATCGAGTCGACTAGGTCCAATGTTGGTACGGTTGCAGGACAAGGTATCGCTACTTGGCATCCGAGCAGGATAAGAAACGGCTTTCCATTATAATTGATCCCGTACTCCGAGGACTCGAAAGAGAAAACTTAATGCAAGACGTCCAGACATTTCGGAAATTATACGATCTTCACACAACTCTGCTCGGAATGGACAGCCCAGAGACTCAGGGGATGGCAGATGAGGTTGTTGCCATCCTGTGCATCACCAACGAGGAATTTCAAGATATTGTACGCCAGTCAGTTTGGAGTGTTAAAGAGTCCACGACCGTTTCAATCGACTTGTACCTGAGTTCAATGACCGTGAAAGTCCTATCAGCCTTTGGAGTTATGCAGCACTTCCACGTGCATTGGAATGCCATATCAGACACCACGAGTGGCACTCGACCGCACGAGACAGTCCTATTAAACACACGGCCATCGTACTGACGAGCATGAGAAATCTTGTACTCTGCATGATGGTGATGACTTGCTCTGATGCTGGACCACTCTTGAAGCTGGTACGAGAGTTCAACAACGTTGTGTATATGGACTCGGATGGACCAATAGAAGAGATTGTCTGACGTGGAATATAGGCTGCTACAGAATTTTACCCTAGGGTAGGTGTTGTCATCTCAAGGGCTCATTCAATGCAACATACTTGCTCAGTTAACGTGCGCTAGGCTTTGGTAGCACCATGCACTATCATCTTCTAACATCTCGGAGCCATATATGGTTGTATCTTCGTCAAGGGAACACTAGGCTTCAGGCCCTACTTCATTCCCTCCAGCTGATGCAGTTCTTTAATTGATAGCTCAAGCGCGGGCCAAGAGATGAATCAAACGTGTGTCGTTAGCTCACTCGAGGTTCAACATCGAAGGAAAATGCCACTTTCATTGGTCAACACCAGCAGTTCATTCATGAATGTTAACAAGAGAACCTCTTATGAAATTCCAGAGGAGATAGCTGCTTTATTCGCATTTATCGCAAGCTCGCAGAGAAAAATGTTGTATACATGTACATACCGTGAATAGCTTGCAGTAAGCATATACGACTATAGGTATCAGAAAACTCGGAATCCCGTCTGCTATACCATAAGTTGATAACCCCTGGATTAGTAGTCGGTCTGTGACAGTCAGCGGGCACCCGATGTTGTATTTCTTTTCATTTAGAGATTTTAAAGATTTTAACCGTATTCCGGCTCATTGTTATGGTAAACAGAGTTCGCAATTTTACACCGTGAAAAGAATCGTTATTTTCTTGAGCCACGATAGTACTGAAGGGTATCTGAATTCTAGGCTGATTGGCATTTTACACGAGGAGCCACGGCCCGTTTTCCACATGATGAAGCCACCACTGTATAAGCTGCGGGATGTCCGCCTTCGGTTGCTTTCGTCCCGAGAACTCAACGGTATCAACAATAAATCTGAAACCCTCCTACAAGCGCACCTGCATCTTCGTGTGGATCCAGAATACTCAAATGAGATAATTCCTTTGTAATGTTAAGTTGATTATCCGAAGCACTACTCGATAACGAGTTGTGACTTGTCCGCCCCACCCAGCCCCACAAATGCAGCACCGGCAGCTGGTTTCAAACAAGCACGATGTAGTTGGTCGAGACACATCTTGTGGTCGATGAAATTCGTGTCGCACGGCTAAAGTAGATTGCAATATATGGTTTCGGTAGAGTTTCTGGTTGTTCTATTCCATTTGTTCTAAACGGGAGGAAATAAAACCTACTTGTCATGGCGCTTTCAAGTCTCAATTGGTTAGTGCCATAGGTAGAGAAGGAACTACTCAAATGATTGTAATCACTTTAAATCTTCCTTCAATAACTTCATCACTAGTAGGGTCGTTCGGATTGTGGCCGAAAGGACATAGGCGAGTGTAGTAGACACCGACCCGACGAAATATCCTTTCATCACTTAAAAATCGGCCCCCGAGCTCAACGGCTTCAAGCACGAGGCCTCCCAGTCCACCTCTAATATCAAAAATTTGTAACCAAAAGAGACCGCCGCAGTCGCTAGGGGCAATGTCCCGTCTCCCATCATCAAAGGCGACCGATTCAATCTGGTCTTGTTTCTCATCCGAGCGGAAGATGTGGCCGTCCAGAGTTATTGAAACCCCCAGTTAGTGCTCCGTACGGTGCTTCCGAGTTGCGCAGAACAACGCCGACTTCCCGAACCCTCAATCCCTTCTCCCAGAATTTGAGGATGAGGTTGTCAAAAGCTTCGTACTTTGTGCCGTACGATTGGTAGTTTGTGTAGCTCATTACACTAACTCCACCCACATGGCTTGCCCATGACCATGAAGGGGCAACATAAGGTGACGGTTGAGAATTTTGTTTTTGACTTTCGAGCTCGACCCACCACGCATGCTGCCATACGAGTTGGATAGCCACTAGTCCCGACTCGAAATAGTCTTGGGGTTCATATCTGATCTCCAGTCTCGAAGAGTCCACCACTGTCAATGGATGTGCAAGTGAACAGTGCACAAGGTGGCCAGCCACAAAGTTAATCTGATGACTCCGTTCTGATGAATCAGAAGGGGTTGATAGGACGGAAGCAATCCCAGATATGGCCGGCAGCTTGTCCCTCTCGTTAGACAGAGCCCGGGCCGTGTAATCCTCGACAACACAGCGCCACACCACTACCGTACTCCAAGCCAACTCGTAATCAGATAGTTCCTCCGTTCCGCTGACAAAATCGACCAGAAGACCGCGTAAATCACGGAAATTATAACGATAATAATTTCCGTATGACGCCGTGCGGCAAGACCATCTGACGAAGCGGTCATGAAAAGAGATCAAACGATGAGAGAGTAGCTCTTCCTGTAGTGTACACGCTCGCGATTCGATGGTGTAAATCGGGTTGGAGGTTTTGAGAAGTTTCAAATTTGAAGGCTGTTCCGGAACCCCGAGGTCAACTGGGAAATAGTAAGGCCCAAACAAATCGTAGTCACCCTTGTGCGGCATTGCATGATCATGTAGAAAGCCCTCACTGCAAGATGCTGCTGTCGCTGCCGATATAGTAAAAAAAGAGTTGCTATCGTAATGATGCATTTTCGCGACCTCTTTAGCAAGCTCATCCTCATCATCCTGTACAAGGCACAAGCTATCAACCCAGAGGAGCTTAATACAAAGCTTACGGGTCAGGCGCATAGCATCTACAATAGTCTTAGGGAGTAAGTTGAGTAGAATACCATCTTCCATCTCAGCTTTGCTTGCCGACGTAGTTTTGAATACTTGGTCATGCAACAATATGAGAGCGTGGTGTAAGGCTCTGCGTCCCCTTTGTCGAGATTCTGTGCTTGTATGAACTTCACAGTGGTGTCGATTGATTCCCCGACTAGAAGAAAGCGGTTTAATCGAATGCCACTTGATACAGGCCTGCGATCGTCATGATTTGCCTTGCAGTACTGCAGCCACTGCTGGACTTGTACTATGTCCTGACTTGATGATGTGTATCCGTCAATTAACCAGGCGAAGGCATAGTTGGCGCTAGGATCATCTATCCCCTGAAAGTAAGCAAGATTGGAGTTATGTCAAACAGTTAAGACAAAGTTCGAAGGAGGGATTTTATACCCCAATCGGACAATACAGTGAATGTGGTAAGATAGCAGGAGTATTCCGGTGTGACAGCTTCAATTTAACACTTGGTGATATCATAGAATTCCTGGCTTAGGTGGTTCAGGATTGACACCAGCGAATTATCACCAGTACACTTAGGTTCAACAACAGGCCTCTGTTTCAGCTTCACAGCCTCAAGCACACAACAAAGGTTTGTTCCTTTCAGTTTCTCTTGTGAATATGCAGACAGATTTTCTCTATTTTATCAAATTCAGTATGGAATTAGAGTGTGAAGCTCGTAATCCTGCCATTTCAATGATAAGGATAACCCTAGCAATGACAGTAGCAAGTACCAGTCTCCACAAGATACTGCTAAGCACATCCCACACTGAGATAAACAACAAAGACGAAAATAGGATCATTCCAAAAACGAGGTGTACGAATGATGCGCAGCCGGCAGAGATGTGAAGAAGGACAGCAGTGATAGGCACTTTCTCGCAGGGACTCAGAAAACATGGCGCCATTTGGTTCGCACATATCGTAAATTCAGCTTGCAGGGCAGAGAGCCACCGGTTCCACAAACATCTGCTGTCTTTCTGCTCTTCTTCTCGTTTTCGGACCTGCCAGGCTATGATCCCGTAGCTAAGCGCCGACGGGATGTGCAGGACCAGCGGTAGCGACATCCACAGCAGAGGCCCAAAAGTCATGGTACAACCCCAGGACAGGATGGTCTTGTTCCCCATATCCCACGACAGGAGGAAGTTACTGAAAACCGCCGCGATGGCCAGTACGTATTCGCATAGACTGAGTGCGCGGGCGGCCCATGGCCCCAATCTCTGCATCTCTACCCGGCCCGGCCCTGGAGCCAGGAGATGGGCTGGGTCATTGTACTCAAATATCCTCAGCGGCCAGACAGCTGGAGCCGCCAGGCTGAGTAGCAGGGACAGGAACGGTCGGTGTGCGGAAAGAAGCGCGACTTCGGTAATGCTGATTCCGAGGGAGGATATCAGAGTCGGTAGCAGGCCTAGCGCGATCCCTGCACTCTGGAAGTTTAGTTGCTCATCGGTCGACAGGCCGTCATAGACACATCTCTCGTGCTGATAGCAGACAGACAAGAGCTGTGATGAGTGAAAGGAGCCTTGTGGCGCGTCGAAGGATGCGTAATAGTCCTCTAGAGTTTCGTTGCACGGCCCTGTAGACAGCGACTGGAGCTCGGAGTTGTACTTTTTGTACCAGAACCGGAACTGCCTGGACCAAGGCCGTGGACCAGGCAGTGCTGAAATATGAAGGATTACCGTGTCCATAAGCTCGAGTGATAAACTGGGACAATTCCAATAGGACAATTGTGGACTTGACAAGATATGGTACGCAGAGGCGCCGGCGCATTGCTGAAAAGGGAAGGAGTATTGCTTATTTTCCTCTAGTGTGTGATCAGGAGACCGCATGTGAAGGCTCTGAGGGGCGCATTGAATCCGAGTGCTGGGCAAAATAAGATAAGCAGAAGGATCGAGCACGCAACAAATTGCGTTGAAGTGGGAAAAGAGAAGAGGGTTGCCCTGGCGAGGTGGCATGGAGCTTGCAAAGCACCATTTTGACCAGCGGAGCGGCCCGCTCTGGTAGTACAAGTCAGGCTGCTTAAGGGGCCCCGCACACGAGGCCTCACGCGCAGGCAGAACCTGATGCCTTCTGATCTGCGGCCATGGGGGCTGGAACGATCATTTCTGCAGATGGAAGGAGCTGAAAGGGAACAGAAGAAATGCCATGAAATTGGCGTCTTTGCCACTTGATTGGTCGAGGACATCTTCCATGGTCCGAAGGGTTACTGCCTGAAAACTGCAAGTTCTGTGCCACCCCCAGCGCATCGCGCCAGGCCGGCGACGTCGAAGTTGAGTTGGCTGTGCAGTTGTACAAGCTAGGATGGATAAATGGCAAAATATCAGAGTATCCACTGTCTCTGTGTCAAGGCCAAGACGGCCACAGTTTGGGGCCATATAGGCCCGCAAGATACGATTTAACTGCCTACTCGACCCTCCATTGGCTTACATTTGACTCACGGGCTACTGCCGCTGTCGAATGATGTCGAATACATTATCTGAGTAATTGAGATACTACAGTGGTTAAAGTTGCTTCAGCTGTCGATGGATTCGCTGGTCTCGGGTAATACTGATCATTTCGAGCTGTATGACACCAATTGAGTGGCTACAGCGCAATGGCAGCCTACGCTAACTCGAGACGTCAACCAAATCATCGTGATGCGTTTATTCTAAAAATCCCAATCTGGCAACTATGTGAATGGTCTCTGCTGATCTTCTTACATTGCTGCTGCCGATAGTTTAAACATGGGAGACAGGTGGTAAATTAGCCCGCTCAGTTTCGTCCGTCCCTGTCATCGGTATGTGTAACGCACGAGTACGAAAGATTCTCATTGCCCATACCGTCGATGGTCGCCTTGAAGACCTCACGATAATGTTTCCACCACAGAAAAGTCCATGAGATTCTTGACCGTACTGGAAGAAAACCTGGATCGTTATGAGTTCTACTTCCCTCATAGTACTCTTTCAGTTTAAGCCAAATCGATTCCCCGAGGTCTAGTTGTAATTTCGCTAATTTGTAATTGATTGTTGTAAAATGGTTCTGCCTTTTGAGGACCATAAATTTGATTGTAGGGAGCAATCGCGAGTCTATCACGAAGTCATTCCAGGATCCGAAGAAGAAGCCCCCGATAAACCGGGATCTCGGTCTCAGGGGTAGCCGTGCGAGGTCCGCCAAGTCTGTTGCGTGCAAGCTCTCGAGTCTTTGGGTGTCACTGTCTTCCGAGGCTAGAAACAGCTGCATCGATTTAACGTAAATAAGGAGCAGTTTCAGTGCCTGGACATGGTTGTGGTCTAAGGATAAGCAGCGACTGAGTCTAGCCCTAGACCCGATGATTTTTTCCCATGACTGAAGACAGTCTACCAGAATTCGCTGATCGTATAGAAAATCTTGCAACTTTGCGGATATCCCATTAAGGCAGACATCCCAGTAGCAAGCAATTCTCCAAGACTCGAACCTTTGAGCGAAGGCGTTCCAGGATGCCTGAAACCCCTCCACGGAAGTGTCCAAATGGGGAGGTTTCCCCAGCGATGGACGCGGTATCGGTATTGTCTTTCGGTCCCTTCGTTCAAAGAGCCACGGCGCCCATAAGACACACATGGCTGCAAGGCGAAGATGGACCGCTTCGATTTCTTCGATTGATAGATCATTTTCATACAGAGCAGCGAGACCGAACCTATCAGAATCTCCACTCTCTGCTTTGGAGATAACAGCGTCACTGAGGACTGAGAAGCAACCTAATTGTATGTGGCAGCTAGCTACCAGGTTGCCCTGCATTATCTCGAAGCACGCCATAGCACCCATGCTCAGGAGCAAGATCCGGGGTGAAAAAGACATGGCCTCGGAGCCTAAACGCTCGCGAAGGCGCGACAAGGCGATGGTGTAGAACCGGACAGCCTTTGCGTGATGTGCATCCAGTGGAGACGATGTCGTCAAAGAAATCAGAGACTCGTCGTCACAAGTTGTCAAAGACCGAGCCACTGACGAGAGAGAAAGTGCCCCCAAGCTCATACATATATGATGAAAGATGTCATCGCTGAAGCTTTCCCTCGGAATTATCTGCGCGAATGCCTCGGAGTTAGAGAGGCCAATCGGATCGTACCGTTGGAAGGCATTGTGATAGGCGGCCCGAAGACTATCGGCCTCAGTCCATATAGGCACGGGCGCTGGTAGAAGCCTTTGCTGCAGCTGCATGCATGTGGGTTCGAGTCGAACCGAGGGCTGCGAATACTCGCATGTATGGCCTAGTCTTACACATCCCTTACAGTAGGGCTTGCGCTCGTCACATCGTACACGACGCCTTGGGTTGTGTCAGTCAATCCACAATTTGGTTGGGTGTGAAAAGGCCGTACTACCTCTTACATGTGAGACAGCCAGTACGGACTTTGGCGTGAAAAGCGCGTTTGGACTTGGACTTGGACTGCGATCGCGTTTCAGACTGTGTGTCCGCCATGATGACTTAGTACCAGGCGAAGGAGAGCTTTAAAATCTGGGCTGTCAACTGCATCTGTCGTGGTAATGCAAGGGCTCCCGGTTGCTTAAGTAAGTATGCTTGTAGTCGTCCACAGCACACCATAGGCCGGTTCACGATGTTTTAAAAAAGGGGACTGTACCCACACCAAGACGGTGCTTACGGTGGCTACTTAGTCAGCACGTGAGCGCAATGTGCAACTGAACCGCACTAATGCAGCCGTCGTACATTCAGCCATTCAGCCAAGGAAAAGGAACCTGACATGCGCGTGAGCCATTAAAATCTGACATACATGTAAGCGCTGTGTGCAGCTGTGCCGCTTTAATGCAGCGTATGAAAGAGAACTTGGATATGTACAAGCAGCTCCAACAGTTGATGTAGCTTTCTAGCATCTTGAATCCTAGTGGAAGCTCTCAGCATGCCCAGAGAGTATGGCGGTCTGTATAGATGACTCTTTGGGGTCGCCGTTCACTGCCGTCAAATGGATTTTAGAGAGTGAGGTCAACGGATGGACACTGAAAAGACAGCAGCGCCCAGAGATCGTGAATGCGCGAGACCATCCATGGGCTGTGGTAACCAGTGCACTGCCAGTGAGTCGGTAGGTGCTTGGCGAACCAATTGCTTGAATTTGTGTTCCGAGCTGATGCACATGGGATGGATCACCCACACGAACGCAGAAATTAGGGACAGTTGTAGACACACGCTGAAGACTCTGTCTGAGGAGAGAGGATGGTGAATTGTACAAGCACTTATTAGTAGAATAGAATCAAGTGGATTTCAAGTTATAAATCGTAGCATAATCAAAGCTCTAGTATGCCTACACTACGAGGGCAAGCAGAGCTTGGTGAGCTTTTTGTCTGATATCGTTCAGTCCCTAGGCCTGTCATTATTATTCCTAGCGCTCAGATGTGTGCAGCAGCACATTAGACTTTCCTTCACGTCCAATAAGCCAATTACGAAAATGATACAGTTTATTCATGTCGGAAGGCTGTTAACGCCACGTCTCTACAAAAGGAGCCAGTGTTGCTATACAAGCGGCCCAAAATAGTGAATTTACCTATCTAAATTGACATTCTGTATCACCGGCATCAATGCTTTCATCTGACTTGCATTTTACTTCATTGTTTCGTAACCAAGAAGAGTCGACACAATTAGCCATGAACACAGTTTGGCAATCCGTGGCAGCGTAATTTGTTGCCGACAAGTACTCCAACGTCAGCTTGAGGCCCGTTCAAGCTTATTGCCTGATGGTGTGGCGTTTTAAGCATTTGTGAATGGTACACGTAAGGTCAAATCTCAATTAAAATTCTTCGCCGAATACGAACACTCCTTCGATACACGTCCGAGGCGTAAGCCGTCAGTCCGAGGCTGAAGTCGCTAGTTCGATGTGATCGGTAGTATATGGCAGTAAGGCTTGAAACGTTGGTATCATGAATCTCTGTCGCCGCACCTTCGCCCCTCTCGTTGTGTTTCTTGTCTGCCCGTGGACTGTGTACTGGACCGAGTACGCTCCTTTTGCGTTACACACCGCCGGAACTGGCATTGAACAATCAGCATGTAGTCCGGACAGTAGTTATGTGCATCGTCTCGCTGTCTCTAAGAGGCTTGAAATAAGCTTTTTGCAACATAGCAGTGGCGGCGGGATCGAATTAATTAGAGGCAACATTCGATCTCAGTGGCTTTGATGATGAAATTGCTGGTGAATTGAATGGTAGTCACCGTGACGCCGAGCTCTTCGTTTGATTTGAAAAGGCTGTATGGTACTTCCCAGATAGGGAGGTTGATGATCTCAGTGGTTCAATTCCGTGACCGAACTGAGTGTCCAGACGAGGAACGCCGTTTCCAGGATTACGAGAGGGGGCAAACAGTTGAGGTCTTCGGGGCGTTTATCGAAGCGAACATTCAGTCCCGTTCTTTCGCCAGCTCCTCTATTTTTGACAGATGCATCAGTGCGAGGCCAGTACAGACTTCAGGGGATGGAACTGTTAGCAGGCTTTCGTTCAAATGAGCTTTAATGAGATTACACCCTGTCCGATGCGATCTTTGAGATACCCGTCGAAATTACTAAAGAGATGGTTCACAACATTCTCAAGAACCTCTGTACACTGCGATATTAGGTCGATGCCTAACCTGCCCGAGACGCCTGTTTCAGTGACCCTACTTACCCCTGGTTTCTTTATTCAACGACTTCCTGTAAAGCGCTCTAGTAACACTATCTTTTTCTGACCCAATCCACGGTACTGTGTAACTCGCAGGTGTCGTCGACCCTGGTGAAGATCCCAAGCTCCTCGAATCGCACCCAGATAGCGTCTCGTCCACGGGCCTTCAGAACCCAGGGTGCCTGCGCGCAAAGAGACAACAATGGTTCCATCATTTCAACGTCAATCTCCGATCTACCCCTGTTTCTGAGAGCAGGCGTTATCGAATGCCAATTTTTCAATTGGATTAGTAGCTGACTTGCAATCCGTCCCTGGTACTCTAGTGTGGTCTCAAGCCACGCAGGCTCCTCTGATGCATTTGAGACCTCATCGAAGCATACTCGGCCAAATACACAAGCTTTCTCTCTGCTAAGCCAATTTGAACATTTATTTTCAAGAAACACAAGCTTTTCCAGGAATTCTTTGCTTCCAGCTGGTTGTGGGTATTTCTCGCGCATGGTATGCAATAGAGCGTCAAGAACGTCGTGAGCTGGGAACGACACAAACAGGACGCTATTTTCCTCGCCAACTGGAACCAGAGAAGGATAGCCCCAGTTGATCTGGACAAGTAAGAAGATCTCCAATTCCCAAACCGACTCCTTGCGATCTTGCGGGACAGGACGCTTGAAATCGAAGGAAAAGGTGATTATCTCATCAAGGTTGGCCTCGTACGAGATGTAAATATGAAGGGTCTTCAGGATAGCGAAAAGCTCCTCAGAGCTCAGAAGCCTGTCATTGGCGAGCATCAATGTGCTCTCCAAATATTCCGTGAACGGTGTCTCAACCTGCGCAAATGGCCAGCGCCACAAATCTGGCGAGAACATGACCCCTTTGTAGTTGGGGTCAGCACCGTCCTTCAGCAACATTCTGACAGTTTCCTCGACAAAACAGTCGCGTCCCATCAAGCTACCATACCCATTAAGAAAGATATTGCATGCATTCAAGAGAATCTCTGATTTCGTATCTTTACTCAGCTTTCCACTACGGATCGCGGAGAAGATACGCTCATCACCGCAAGTGTTGGCCACAGCCTTCAAAAAGTCCTCGCCTCGACAAAGACGTGCTCGGCCATGGGACCCGGCGAATAGCTTGCCGCTGTTGCAGAGATTTTCGCAAATTTGAACTAAATCCCTCCAATCTGTCTCTATCCAGTCGTTTGTATCCCAATGAATGAGTCGCACAGACCTGATCAGGCACAGTGGGACGCCAGCGAAGCTTGCACCTAAGCTTACACAGTCATCGCCGTGGACAAATAGTTGACTTCCTGCCAAATAGGCCTTAATAATTCTGATCTCAAGAGACATTTCCGAAGATTTGTCGAAATCCAGTATCTCTCTACCCTCCGGTGTGTCCACAAGGAAGTCGTGCGCAGTCCGATGTATGAACCGCAGGATCCTGTCGCCGCTTGTGAAAGGTATGAGTTTATCATACTTGCTTCCATACAAGCCAGTTGCTTCGATCCGGTCTGGATTGTGACTCAATCTTGGACCCAGCTCGATGAGTCCAAAACAGTAGACATCTGCTTTCCTCTCCACTTCCTGACACCTTTGCAACAGTAGGTCTTCTGAAAAGAGCTCCGGGACTTTATCACCGGCTTGAAGTATTCTATCTGCAGTCGACGTTGACGCAAGCATGAAAGAGAGTAGACCAAAGCTGCGAAATAATGAAAAAGGAGGCCAGCGTTTGCGATGCGACAACATGAGCTTGAAATAGAGTGCTGCGGTTTGCCGATAGGCTAGCGGATCGTCCTCGCAGGCCCTTTTCCACATATCTTTGTACAAACTGACCAGGTCTCCTGGTAGTTTGTCAATTCTCTCCTGGAAGGTGACCTTGTTGTCGCCGTATTCCACACCTTTGTTGATGCTCTTTATCGCAAGAACGAGCCACAAGAACACCCCTTCCGCTCTATTAACTAAAGAATAGATAGGATCGTCATATTGGCTTTTTAAGTACCCATCAGGAAGTTTGACATGGTCTCGAGCGTAAAGTTCCAGGTCGTCCATATTTAAGTCTTGTAATCGAAGCCGAGGGTACATTGAGAGACGTCTTTGTAGCAGTGGTTCAGTTCGGCTAGACAAGCATATCTTTGTCTGGTTGCTTCGCGATAACTCGTGGACCAAGTCTAGTAACCGGATGACTCCATCTCTGGGGTCGACCTCGTCAAGTCCATCCAGAAAAATGCATACAGGGCGGTCGTAAGCCTGTAAAACCTTCAGGCATAGGGTCCGAAGCTCTGCTGTTGACCAGTCCGTATCGGAATCCTTCGCGTTCGAATGGGGCACGGATGAGAGGACGTAATTCAAGGCTGTGGTGCTGTCTCTTAATAGTTGATAGAGTAAAGAGCAGAGAAGCCCTTTGATATCCTGTTGCAATGCAGTGCCTGGCCGCCAAAAGAAATGAGAGATTATTAAGGACCCCGGTTGCCAGATGTCCAGATACTTTTGCGTGTCTGCGTGGTCCAAGATGGATTTGACGAGTGTGGACTTCCCAGACCCGGGCTTCCCGCTGATCCAATAGAATTTATCCGTCGAGCGAAGCCAATTTGAAAAGCTGTCCCACTTTATATTGGATAAATCGCTAGGACTCCGCCTTGCTCCTTCTGACTCTGTTGTCCCCGGATTGATGCCGTCAGAACTGGAGGCTGCAGAACCCTCGATCCCGTCGACTCCATCGCAATCACCGGCAAATATCCAACTCCCAGTGTTCCCGTATGCTTCACTGACCTGATTTTGTCGTTCGTTGAATCCCTGATACTTGAGACTTCGAAGAAGACAGTCTCGCTTTGCTTGGTTCACTTGGACACCTGTATCGAGGACCAAGCTGCCCAAACTTTGGTGGACCCTCTCTAAAGCCTCATTTGTTTCTGCGGATGCAGACAACACATGGTTCTTGATATCAATACTCTCTCTGGACACTAGTTCTTTTGTGCTTCGATGACCGTTTCTGGACTGCTCAATGAAAGAACGGAGGTCTCCCTTCAGGTCCTTCAAGTTCAGCTCAGCGTTGCTTGTGCTCGACCTGCGTTGTCAACGAATCGCCATCAGTTATCAATCATTACATTGATAGAAGTATTGCAGAATGAAGCATCGTGAAAAAGTCAGGAAACGATGACCTTTCATGGGAACGGGAGACATTTGGAGGGAGTGCAAGGCTATGAACTCTCGAAAATGCACTGACCATATTCTTGTCAGAAGGCCGGTCTGCATCAATTTTTCTGCGCCTTGCAAACTTTCTTTGAGCCTCTCCAGGCGACGCCTACGCCAATTTGTCCTGGCCACAACCTTTAGAGTCGACGCAAGGCTGCCTTGCTTTGCATTGCCAACCAGAAACTGAATTTCCTCCCTCAGGTCTCGTGCGGCTGTAGAACACTTTTCAGCTGCAACAAGTAATTGTTGCTCATGTTTTGCGCATTTCGTGGGACGTTCACTCGTCTTCACTTCGTGCGAAATACTCCATAGAATGGCAGCATTTTGGTCGAGAGTTTGGTCCGGTGATCCTCCCCGGTACACGACCTTAATGAGGTTGATGGTCTGCTGACCGACTTCAACGAGTTGAAGCACGTTGCAAGCCAAGCTTAAGGCCACGAGGGGTTCCATGCCAGACATTTAATACCTCAGAGGCCTGACTACTTGTAGGTTCAGATGAATTTGAAGGAAACGTATGGCCAGACCTAGAAGGCGGAAAGGAGAGGATCGAAACACGTTGATCTCCAGACCATGAGTGTGTTGCCCCTCATCAACCAATGCACGTCAGCAGCCACTTGAGCACTTGATCTAGTTGCCTGAATCCGCTCTACGCATGGAATGGGCCGGGTTGTACAGGCTGGTCTAGGCAGACAGCACTCAGCTTATGCATAAACGCTTATCCCGCGCCCGATGTAACATGGCACACGATTTACATTCCCTCCACCATGATCGGTACACCATGCGGAAGTGTAATGTGTGTCTTCCTTTTCATCCATTTGAAAGTCGGAAATTGCCGCTATTTCCCCGTGTTATAGCATTTCAGCCTAATCGGTCAAGGAGGAAGTAGAAATGTTCCATAGTAACTAGCTAAGAAGCCTACAGATCAACAAAATCCTGGAGACGCCATTACAACTGTTCGCAACACATTACTACAAAAACCGCATTTCGGTCAATGCGAAGATGATTTTATCAAAGCATATCCAACCGTGAATCCACATGCCAGTAGGCTCGCAATATTGTAGACAAATTGACGGCCTCATAGTTCGGCATGGGGGCGAGGGGCATCGGCCCGACGGTGTTGCTCAGAGCCTTGACGATCACAGTGCAAACAATTCATCATCGGATTGAGGTCCGCTCAGTAATGCTGATAGTATCGAAGACATCGCATACGTGGCCAAAGATCTGTAAGTGCGTCTGCTCATGATCTATTCGCATGAGTGTGCATTCTGCACGATTTTCTCCGAGGGAAAGGAATGGGAGAGCACAATCATGTCGAGAAGGACACGACTGTCCCGAATACCCAGGCCTGCGACAATGCAAGCCAGTTTCCAGGGTTTCGGGGTCCTCAGATCCATCCCACTCAACTTATTTCTGGTCGGGCTCTTCCTTTTGGATCCCGTCATCCGCTCACACTACTTTGTGCCGCCTTTGTCGGGTTAGCCTCCTGTTGTTTGGACAGCGTTGGAACGCTTATGGTTTCTGTTTCCTTTACTTTCATGATGATTCGCCATGGAAACTTATATTTAAAGTGATCGCGGCCTAGCACCAAGCCGACACTGGACTCTCTAGCTTTGCAGATAATATTCCATATGTCTCTATTTCCTAACAACGTACTATGGTGTCGGGCAGGTTGACAATTGTTTTTGGGGACACCAGCAGAGAGCAGTGCTCACAACATCGAAAGGCTTGCCCATGCTCGAGCTTCTATGATTAGTGGATGGAAGTAATCTTCCCATCCGGGATATGCAACATCCGAAGGGCTTGTCAGAAGTACGGGCTCTGACGAAGATGGAAATCCCCACCCGGAGAGATCCACACCGAATCAGAGGCAACCCATAGTTGACAAAGTCCTGATCATCTGGTCTGAAAGACGCATGCACATTGACTAGAGTACGCTATTGTCAATGAAGCAACACAGTCTAGGAATACCTGTATGGGCTCTGGCTATTTTCCACCATTTCCGCATTTCACAGAGGAGGTGAACCTCGCGACACTCTTTAATGTTTTCAGAAAGCTCCCACAGCAGACACCGGGACTCCTTTTACATGACCGCTAGAAATGGCTGGGGATTTGATGAATAACGAAGTAGTGTCTAGGCCAGACCCTGATGCCCCCGTGTGTTTGCCAACTACCCGCGCTTCCACAACTGTAGAGCAATGGCCTACATACACACGCACATGCTCTCTCTGCACATACGGTTGAAGCTTGGGCAGTGGGAGGTCTCCGAAATCCCAAGAGGTTCGCAGCCCTTGCATGCATGCTGACCGCACTGCCGTGCGTTCTGCATATTTCTCGACACGTCTATAACATCCTTCGTTCTCAACTTGTCCGCCCTCTGCTGATTAGCAAAGAAACATGAGATCAAGCATGCAGATGGCCTATACGAGCGTTGGTTGGTTTCCCATCAGCTCCATTGACGCTAAGATTTTCTTCGTTTCGTACGAACCCACGAACGCGACCGAGAACAGAGGTCATCCTATGTAACGCACCCTATGTGGCATGGCGTGCCGTCGGGCACGTGCAGCGAACTTTAATGCCAAAGGAAGTAAACCTGCCGCCGTTAACATATAAACGAAATCTTAAGTACCTCGAAGTTATCACAAAAGACATCTTGTTCCACAAAAATATATCTTCTTCCTTTCTTATACATAGCCTGACCGGGTTCGACCTGGGACTCGGCGGCACCTACCGGTATCGCCGCCCCTCCCCCCAGCCGGCCCTTCCAAATTTTGTTGGGGGGCCTGCGGCACTTTGGGGATAGGAAACTCTTGACGGTGACGACTTTGAGGTACATGAAAGCGGCAGGATGTGTTTAGCAGAGTGTGCTAATCACTGTTCTCGCTTCCATCTTCCATTTCCTTCTCGAGATATGGATTCAAGTATATAAAGGGTCTATACGGGCGTTGATTGGTTTCCTGTCGGCTCTATTGACGCTAAGATTTTCTTCGTTCTGTCACAGCTAGTGACGTGGCAGTTACCCCCTCCTGGACCAATACAGATGCCCCTCAAGCCTTTTCGGATCTAAGCGAATTGTCGGGGCTGACGCTCAAATAAGCGGCTACTGTTCACCTTCGGCAGGGTGTTTGTGCCGCTCAATCAAAGTATGCGCAGTAAGCCTGACTGCAGGCCACTTGGGAGCCGAATGCCAACCTCTGGAGACGAGCTTGGTCTGACATTGTTCTGTGAGCTGAGACTTCACCAACTCAGCGATACGCTAAAATTTTCCACGTTTGAATTTCTGTTGTTGATTCCCTACTGTCTTTTTGCTGCTGCTTACAGGTTTGTGAAGGTTCGAATTCTTCAAGATGGTTTTGCGAGCTGCGGTAGCGGTGTTTTTGCCGTCGAACCCGATTGTGGTCTCACAGCCCGTCGCTGATTGGTTAAGTATCGGCTCGCAGAACGCTAAAACTTTCTACAGCGCGTCTGCTTGCGGCCCAGGCGGCTCATTGGGGACTGGTCTCGCTGATTGGTCAGGCATCAGCTCGCAGAACGCTAAAATTTTCTACGGTTCATAAAATGCGGCAAAGTGCACCGGTTCTTCGAACTGCAAGACCGTGGCCGATTGGCTAAGTATCGGTTCACAGAACGCTAAAATTTCCCACGATGCGTGATACAGCCCGGAACAGGTCAGGATTAGCGACAGGCCACCCACCTGCAGCAGCTGTAGCTTAGATTTTGATTAACACGCACAATCAATAATTTACTTCGTATCTCAGGTTGAGTGAACTCGTTGTATGCTTTACCCATGGCCTTACAGTCCTTACAGTATGCCTATGGGTTGCTTCCCACCCGCAGCGGGCATCACTGTGGTGCGCAGCCGGGCGCAAGTTATTTTCGAGGTTCTGCCGGTACGTGGTTTCGATGGTGAAGATCTCGTTCATGTTCCTTCCCGAATCTTCCGTTGTTGGGGTCCGCCCGGCGCCTTGGGCAACAGTGGCAGAGTGTCTGGATGCCCCAGTTACTAAGCACTTCCCGGCTTCTCGCAACCCTTGGTGATGTTTCATGAGTGCGGTTGTGGCTTTGGTTTTGGCGCCAGGAGCGTGCTACCCGCCTCAACCGCAGCCTTCAGACTCATCTCAACTCGTAAATGCCTCCTGAGTTCGTACCTTCGGGAGAAGTATTGACGGCACAAAGCACACCTTAGCGAGCTTGATTCATCGCCCTTTATCTTGTCCTTTTTCAGCCTTGCAAACTTCGCCGGCCCGTTGCCAGCTCCAGGGTGTGTCCTCTTTTGATGTTTTTCCAGTTCTTTCTGGGAGGTAAAGCCGCATGTCTGGGCTGGACAGTCGTCCTCGGGACAACGGAAAGGTCGCTCGTGCCGGTCATTGTGGTCCCCGCGTCCTCTGCCAGAGTCGAAGCCCTGGTGGAAAAAGTAGCAAGTACGTCTTGGACACTTGAACAAATTCCTGCCGTAAAAGGTGTCGAGTTGCTGCGTTTTGCTCTGGTCGGGATGGCTGGAAACCGCAGCCTCTTCAATGACTCTCCGATTTTGTGTCAGACAAAATGCTAATGACGAGAGGCTTACAACATCCCCGCGGTCGTCTTTCTGTCCTCGTACTGTTTTTGAGTGTATCCAAAGAACTCCGAGAAGTGCAAAGCATGAAAAATTTGTGATCGAGTCCGGTATTGTGTGATGTGTAGTAGTCGGGCAATCCGCCAGATCTTGTTCAAACTGGTTTGAGAAGTCCTCTACTGCATGAGAAAGTTCGTTGTCGGGAGTTATGCAAGAAATGTTCTGTTTTGACGAGCAATCTACCAATTGAATGATGTGATCGCACCAATGAGCCACAGCGTAGTCCTGAAACGCCATGTCTCCTTGCAGTGCCGAGGCCATACGGGAGGTCGTGCTGCAATGCTGATCGAAACACTCAAAAGTCAAGTACTGAAGACACAAGACGGTCATCGAGTACGCAGCGGATAAATGAGAGATGTAGCCGGAATCTACTATGTAACTAGGAGACAATTAGCGTTGAAGTCAGGTGGAGGGAATGAATGCGAGCGCAGCCCCGACAATTAACATACAAATTGGCTGTGACGTGCACAAACTCAATCCTGTCTTCACCCAGTATCTGAATTAAGGAACCACAAACGTCCTTGACATGAAACTTCAGTCTTCGCGCCCAGTCGGCCTTTTGTTCGACTGGATCGATGGAAATGGCACCTTGTACCTCATGCCATCTCAAAGGTCTCTGGGCTGACAGCATCATGGAGAGGATTCGACTAGCAAGAGCTCTCTCGTTTTCTCTTGGATTGTTCTGGATAGAGAAGAACGTTCGCTTGTAACTATTTATAGCATTTAGTCGAGGCGTTCTATGGAATATCTGGATGTTTACTCACGCTTGCCCGAGCCCACTTGGGAACACCTGTGGCTGGAGCTCTCTCTGGAGATCGTACATTGTTGGCTGGGCAATCAGGTTTTCCGTGACTAACTTGGCAAATAGAAACATTCCTGGAAAATCGGTTAGATTCCAATGCTGGTGGCAGAAGGGACAAATGCAAGTGATTGAAGCTCTTACCATCTGTCCTGTCCAATACACACTTTTTAATGTAATCCAAGTCCTTAGTCTCTAAGTCGCTGAATCTAGATTTTAAGCGACCCGCTTGGTACTTGATGTATGTGTTGATATCTTCAAGTGTATCACGCGATGTAATCCTCAGAGTCTCGCTGCCAGCAAGGAATTTCTTGATGTCCGGCTCCTCTCGGCTCAAGATCATGAGTCTCACTTTCCCCGGGAATGTCGCATCACAAAGGTCGATGAGCTGAATGAGGTGTTCTAACAGCGCCTTGCGCTCACCCGGAGCGCATTCGTCAATCCCGTCAATGACGATAAAGCCTTTGCGAAGGTTTTGCATTGCAGAGTCAATAAGTCTTTTAGAAAGCTTTGTGGACTTCAAAGAGACGTCGCCGCTTTGGATTCCTTCATCATAATAGTAAGGGACTGAACCTCGGTTTTGCGAGATCAACTGACTGAGCAGAGCTCGAAGAATCTGTGGGTAAGAATTTCGCTCCGAGTCGCCATCTTTGCAGTAGAAGAAAGCGTGGTCCGCTGCAGCTCGGCTTTGGATCTCGTCTATTACCACAGAAGCTAGTACGGATTTTCCTATCATAACTATATGTTAATACTCATGTATGACTTGTCTTTCCTCCTCGCAGGACGCTCGCTTACCTGCTCCTGGTATCCCATGAACCCATATTATTGAGGTTTTCGGCACGTCTAAATCAAGCCAATTCTTGACTTTCTCGTTGTGGATGATCCACTGACCTGTCTGTATATTGGTAGCCCTGAAGAATTCGTTCCTTACCGTCGCCACATCTTCATGGATTTCAACGGCAACGGGGGCATTGAGCCAACGAAGAACATATTCATATTTCTCGTCCGCTGTACGTGCTGCAATTCTCTCGAACTCTTGAAAGATCCTTGTCCTGTCTGAGATATAGTTGCGGATGTGAATCTGGTTCGCATGGCTTTCCACAAGAGCTTTGTGATGTGCAAGATCATCTAAAATGTGTTGGAAGCGGCTTCGAAAATCTCTCCACAGTGATCGAAAGAATATGTGCAACACTACTCGAGAAAATCAGTTTTCTCCCCCTTGCTGCCTGTGGAGCGGTGTCTTCCGTCTAATCGTTGACTCACTGGAATGGCTGAAGATACGTAACGCTTTGGAATGAAAATCCAGGATGTTCCCCCACACAGACTCTAGGACTGACTGCATTTGCGGCTCATTCTGGAATAGAGTCTGGTACTCTTGAAAAATGGGAAGATTCTCGAAGATGCGCTGGTAGGCATCAAGTAGTTCATCGAGAATCTCAACCCATGTACTCGCAGTCTTTCAAAATAGAGGTTATTTTAGTTAGTCCAAGAGATTCAGACTACCTCTCATGATCACACTTTGCCACATACTAGAAGGAGGAGTTTGATCGGACCCCAAACAAATGCTAAGTAATCGGTAGCATTAAGAAATATCTCAATGACCTTTCCAAATTGTTCCATGGCCTCGAGAAATGATTCAATGCGTTTCATATGTATCATTCGCCTGCGTGCTCTCTGGTGGGATTGGATTGAAAGGATAGACATTCGCAAGTCGTCTATTGCCGTAATTTGGAATTGAGCGTCTTCCTCCGGCGAGAGCCTCGCACGAAAGGTCGCCAGAGCTCTTTCAAACCCGTTTGTGGATGGCTTTGCCATTGTATTGGCTGCTTATGACAGGTCCTGAAATCGTTGTTGGGTCACTATCATGTATACAATGGACGGACGGGCGTGCCACATGATATGGCAGGACAATTAATGCGGCAGCCTCATTCTCAGAAAAAGCTCACTGTGCCACAGAGAATATGCAGCTCTAGCGCTGACATTTTGCATGGCCTCATTGGCATCGCCGAGGCAGGGCTCAGCCACAGCGGAAACAGCACTTGCAGAAACGGCGGTGGCTCAGTCGTTTCCAGTGCGAGCCTCGAACTTGTGAAGCGATCCGGCAAACGTTGCAAGGCATACCCGCACGTTATCGAAAATCAGTGCAAGCATACAATAAAATACCAGCAAGCAAAATTCAAAAGTGCGAGTCACTGATGTGGCTCCAAAACAGACAGGCTGTGGCATTCGTAGCAGTCCCCTGTGACCTGCAGAAGGACAGGGCATCATGCAGACGGGCAGTAGTCGAGCAATTGCCACTGGTCAGATCACTGCGTATGACGAACCGACCAGACCCGAATTAGGAACGGAATCCGCCACACTGCAATGGCCAAGTTTGAGCGAATAGGTCCTTCCATTTTGACCTGAACACCTCGGTGGGGTTTCAAAGCCGAATACGCTGTTGGATTGAACTTCTTTCGTCTTTCATCCATCCATTTGGAAATTCCACTGCTGATTCTTGCACAAAGACCCCTGAACGTCCAGAGGTACCGGTCTCAGGACCGGAAACGTTTCAAGCTGTGATGTCTTCTGCGGGGCCAAGCACACCCTTTCATGGACACAGCATTTCGGACGCGCTTAAGTAAGTGGGTCCCTTATACTGGACTGTTGGGTACTTTAAGAAGTCTCACTGTAAATAAAAGATATAATGGGGAAAGTGATGCTTTACCGCCAGAGCCTTGGGGAGACCTTAAGGATGTATTCTCTGCTGAAGATCTTCACATGTTGTTCCCGAACGCCGACGATCCGGGACGTGACTTGGACCATTTGGACGAAAGCTGGAGCAACATTCAAGAGTGGGCTGATTTGTCCCTCAATCTTCCCGCCAGCAATGAAGAAACTATCGCAAATGCCATCGATACACAGATGGAAATCGTGGGTGCTAAAGACTGTTGCTATGGAGCGGCAAGTGGCTATCCCTCTCTCTTTTTCTGTCTCTCGCATAGAGATAACTTTCAATTTCCAGTGGTTGGGCCGTATCATACACCCATAATCTTCAATTCACTGACGGATTTCAACCTTGCAGATCTACAATGTTCCAATCAAACTGGTCGGGAACATGCTACAAATTTCCGAAACAATCAACTCCGACGCAGACCAGAGCTTCGACGTACTACCGCATTCCGAATATTATATGCTTAAGTTTGCTGAAGGGGGACTCTTCGCTCAGGTTTGTGAATCAGTATCGAGAGGCTTTCATGCTTTGAAAGATTGCCACTCAGTCGAGATGAAAGCTACGGTAGACATGAGAGCAATCAAAGAAGTTTTAGCTCGAGCTAAACGACCAGGAGAGGCAACCTCGAACGCGTGTATAACCATTTATGGCTCACAAGATGAAGGTTTGATCGCTGGGAAGGCTTTGTCATCGAACAAGATCTTCTTGCAAGACCCTGAGGAAGACTCTGAAACTGTTCCATACTACAATCCTCAAGAGGCTCGATTTCCGGGCATAGAAGAGCCAGTCTCTATCGTCCTAGACCGCTCTAGGGCCGCTGTGACATCAAGCAAGGGCCAGAAGAATGAGCTGGAATCCGAAATCATGAGTCAAGCAATCGCTACAATATATCGGTCCTTGAAACGATTTCGCATTCAAGATCAGCAAAAAGGAGGAGCGCGCGTCCTTACAAACCTGCTACAGTGAGTTAAATCAGTATCATCATTCATGTATTGCACACCAAAGGAAATTAAAATTGAAACTGATCCTCTTGCCAATTCAGCCACCAGCAAACAGCGTTGCACTTTATGATACAAAGAGAGCACGGTCCGGTACCCGAATCTTTCAGTTTCTGGCATGTAGATCGAAACGCTCATTCTGTGAAGTAAGTCGACGCAAGAATATCACTTATTGTTGTGTATCTAATATCTTAATGTTTAGATATCAACATAAAATCACCGGGATCCATACAGAAGACCGCCCTTTTGAGGAGGGTGGGGGTATATTGGCTGATGATATGGGAATGGGCAAAACGTTGACAACACTTGCACTCATTGAGGCGACGTCAGCAGAAGCAACTTCGTGGGCTTCCCAACCTCCAAGAACGGAAACTGATTACCACAGAGAACTTCCGCGGATCAAGTCCACCCTTATTATTGTCCCTTCCACGTGTAAGCTCAGCTTCTATCCATTGCGACAATACGTGACTGACATGAACAATTAGTGATTGTAAATTCTTGGATGAAACAAATTGAGACGTAAGATTCGGTAGCACTGATGATAAGCGTCACTGTCATGATCTAATTTTTTGGAAGGCATATTGAGAAATCCTTCAAAGCCGTGGCGTACTATGGAAAAGACCGAGACGCTAATTCAGATGCGTATTTCGACAGTGATGTCGTATTCACAACTTATCACACAGTCGCAGCTAGTATCAACCTCCCAAACAACTTGATTGTTCCAATTCAGTGGTTTCGGATTGTTCTTGATGAAGGTCGGTACAATTCCCGGTGCTAGTTGGCGATCTCTCTTTTGATTCAACACAAGTTGTCTGACGAAATCTCGACTGAACAGCGCATATGATTCGAAGACCACAGACAACTTTGTTCCAAGCAGCATCCCAACTATCCGCTAGATTCAGATGGTGTCTTACTGGAACCCCTATTCAAAATCGGCTAGAAGATGTTGGCTCTCTTCTCTCTTTCCTCCGGGTCCCGCATTTGGAGAACAAAGCAGTATTTCAGAAATACGTGATTCTACCATTTGAAGAAGACCCAGAAGAAGCTTGCCGGAAGTTTGCTTTCTTGTTGGATTGCATTTGTCTCAGAAGGCCGCAGACTCTGCTTTACCTCCCGAAGATGGTGGAGACTGTTCACTATTTAGATTTGTCACCTTCTGAGCAGCAGCAGTACCGAAACACCATGCAAGCGATGTCAAAGATGCTGCAGAGAAAGGCTGGACAAGGCCCTGGGAAGAAAGTCACATTCGGGCTGTTCCAGGCGCAGCTCCAGCTCCGCCTACTTTGCAATCACGGGACTTTCCAAAAGAGGATCACAGATACTATCGAAAGAGACACGCAGGCAGAATCCGAGGATATCATGTATTCGCTTGGCCGCCAGGCTGACGATTCATGCTCGATCTGCAGCATACAAATCTCTATCTTCGACACAGTGGGTAGATCGAGAACTCGACAATTCAAATGTGGTCACCGTGTTTGTCAAGAATGTGCATTGGATAGCACCGTTATGGGTACCAATACTACAACCCAATGTCAACTCTGCGGCTCTGAGGCCACATCGGACACAGCCTCAGCTCCTGCGAAACCCTCTATAGGCCGGCGCAATGAATCAAGCAGGATAGAGGCCTATTTCCATACCTCAGGGCACTCGTCGAAAATGGCGGCCTTGATGCATGACCTTGACAGCAATCGTGGAAGCGGGAAAAGGTGAGTCGATACAAACCTTCCTGATACATGATCTGCTTAAGCATCTGACAATCTCCTGCCAACCTGCTTAGCATAGTGTTTTCATCATGGACAAGAACGCTGGATTTGATAGTCATTCATTTGGACCGCCTAAAGCTTCCTTATGTCCGAATCGATGGATCTCAGTCTTCGTCACAAAGACAGTACAATTTGGACAGGTTTACTTCCTACCACTGGATCCCTATTTTGCTAATGAGCACAGGTGTTGGCGCCGTCGGGTGAGTTCATAACATCAATTTGGGTATATCACTAAACCTGAAGCTCCATATAGGTTGAATTTGACTGCGGCGAACCGTGTCTATATTGTTGAGCCACAATGGAATCCTAGTATTGAAAGTCAAGCTATTGGACGGATCTCCCGGATCGGACAAGAACGAACAGTCTACGTCACTCGGTACTTGATCCGAGGTACAGTTGAAATGGTAAGAGCTTTCTCGCTTTAACTTAAACAAGTTGTCCTAGTTTGCAGGCTGTCTTCTGATTACTGTATAGAAAATGTACTCGCAGCAAGTCCGCAAAATTGAGCTTGCCAAAATTGGCTTGAAAAATTGATGTAATAAGACATACATGTAGAAAGAATACACACTTCAATTTGAATTCAAAGATGTAGATACAAAAGGGGAAACGGGGTGCTGGAGCGGAGGAATGAATGAAACGAAAATGGAATCGGATCAAATGTGCTCACATGGCTGATATTCGCGTGAGGAGAGACGTCATCTTTGGAGGCCGCGAACTTTTATAACTTCGTTGCATAGTTAGGAAGCTTCACTTGGCCCTAGGAATGTTTCATGTAGAGGGATTGGCCTTCAGATAGATCAATTTTATCGATCGACCCCTTCATGGATCTGACTCTGGTGATGCCCAATCAGAAGTATGGATCGGGGTCTGGATGGCAGTACTTCCTTTGACCGAAAGAAAGAAAGAAAGCGTAGTCCAGTTGGCCACATTAGGATCTGGAATCAGCTTTATTCTACACAGTGGGCATATCACTTAGCAAAATGACTCTAAGGAGAACCCGTCTAAGGGACACAGTGCGTATGATCACTCGCCAAGTTTGTTATCTGCCGACTCTATCCGCACTTCGCATCTCCGTACACGCTCTGATCGTTTGGCTCAGGTCATCGGGCGGCTCGCTGTCTGACGAATCTGATGGATATGGTCGTTAAAGCTCATTACGGACGCATAAATGCTACAGCCTAGCGGTTCATATGAAAATAGATAGGGAGGTCCAGTCACTCTTGAATAAGAACGATTTTGAAGCGGGTCGGGTGAATTTGGGAGGGGGGCTGTTTCGGTTCGTGGATGCCTGGACAGGTGGATCGCTGTTGTAGACTGGCGCTGCAATGAGTCCAATTCATATGCACCAACAAGTCACTGGAATGGGTGTGATGGAAAAGAGATAAACTTATCATAGCGTCAAATCATGTCCGATGTGTTTACATCCAGCCAGTAGGCAAATATGCCAAGGCGTTGGGGCAGTTAGTGCAGATCCGCAATCGAACGACTAGAACATGATTCGAGTTCATCGCGTGGTTGAATGTTGATGCACGACGTAACACAGGATTTATATGCTAACGAGAATAATTCATCGAGCCAAGAAGATAAAGCTGCAACTTTGAAGTGAGTGAGACGGAAGTGTGCTGATTCGCGATTACATAATATGGAGTAGCGGACATAACCTCCGTGGACATCATTAGTCACTAAGCCTGTAGACCAAACGCCATGATGTGTAAGTTTCGGAGCCTGTGTGGTTCGGTCCGGGGTACCAGGAGTGATTCCAAATGATCAAGATTCCAGAGCAGACCATCACGTATGTCGCCACCTTGGTGAAGCAACATCTGCAATGACCACTCAGGGCTCTCGTGTACATTGGTTATGACGGAGACACGCCCGCCCGGCAATGATCGTTTTTAAGACGGACCCTTACTAAATATACTTGGCAAGATTCCATTTGGATGTACGCCGCGTGAGTCACACATTACTATCAAGACCGTAAAAGGGTTCAAATTCGACCGCTAGTCCGTGTGCTGAGGATGTGAGGTGTCTGTGCGGGTTCGACGGCAACGCATCCTAGGAGTTGCGTTGCTTGAAATGGAAAAAGTAGTACATTGAGCTGGATCTTGCTTCGCATAATTTGTTGCATCTCTGTATCTGTATGATTGCTGCACTGTCGATCTCCCATTATTACAATCCTCTGCAGCCAAGGTCGGTGCTGCCTAACACACTGCAGTGCAGCATGAACTTATAATTGCAGAAGACAATGATACGTACAGTCCAATCAAGCATTCACGTTCGAGAGCCTGATTCTTCTGCATAACGCGTGATAGACGCCATTGGTTTGCTGGTTCGGAGCTGGTTCGGACAAGAGCTCCACACTAGTCCAAGGCAGACTCCAGGCTGGGCATCAACCCTGGGAGCACAAGCAGGCAACCATCACCAAATCACTCACGCTCTCCGATCCTGCCCAAGCTCCGAGAGTTCCTTCGTAAATACAAATAGGTGCACATATTAATCATAGTTTTTCGAACTCATTCTCTTCCTCTTCATTCTGCCTCTCGTCAAGGACAGCCCAACGACCTTAAGTACCCAAACCACTCCGAAAATACTGCACGATGGGCTCTGTCGTTGTGATTGATGTCGATAAAACAGCCTCTTCTCTGCCAAAATTGGCTGAGAATGCTGTAACAACATTGTATCGACACGACTGCGCGAACGAAGACGGCTACGGAGAAAAGTGCCCTCCAAGATGGTCCAAGTTTGCGAGCCATGATGATGACCAGTCTCATCTCAAGAACTCTATCAAGATCGATCCCATCATTCATCGCCACTTTTTCAACAAGGATGACAAGAAATGTTTGTGTCCCAAATTCTTCACGTGATCCTCATCAAAATCAAATCTGGTGTACACATGTAGACACACATGCTTGTCTTGGCGGGATGACCTGGAATGCAGCTGATATCGGTCACTAATTGTCTATTGAAGGGGTAACCGAGTCGTTCACCGTCCAGGATCCGTTGATGCGCAGTCATCTCCGTGTTGCGCTAGCCAATTATCAGGACTTCGATCTGGAACTAAAGAACTGGACATTCAAAGAGCCGTTCTCTCCTATTGTTCACCGTTGGGATCGTCTCAATGATCTGTGTGAGAAGACTACAGACCCCCACGCGAAGACAGCCATCGACCATTTGATGAAGTTCCTTGGACCAATTCTGGCTCCCTCCATTGGATCTCTCATTCAAACCAAGGCAACCGGCAAGGTCGATTTCGACAACGTTTGGCAGATCTTCCCACCAGGAGAGCTCGCCGTCACATCTTTCTTCGGCATCCAGGCAGTCACCCGCATACTTCGGTATGAATTGATTCAACCGCGTTGCGAACCGCCCTACTGGCAAGTAGAATTCGAGTACCTTGATTGGAACGGCGAGCGCTGTGGCTATACTTCGGCCAAGTCAAAGATCAGGTATTTCGATGGCATGAAATTTGTCACTAGTCTTGGCGTGTAAGTTCCAATCTGCAACAAAGGCTACCTCCAGAGAATCAACTTCTGACTACTCGTAGTTATCCACTCTCATTCAGTTCTTCCGCCTCGGAAATCAGGGAGCGGCTCACGGCAAGAGGGCGCAAATTTGAGAGCCTCAGAGGTTACCATTTCAGGACTTGCATGGGAACCAAGATTCTCCTCGAGACTAAGTGTCCTGAAGAGCGGCCCGTCGCCGGCAGGGTCATCGTTGATGCTTTCGCCTACTACACGAGCAACAACATCGTCAAGCCTAACCTGAGGTCTTTGGAAGGTACAGAGGTCACTGAAGTCGTCACCGATGCATCTGAAAGTGATGAAGAGGAAGAGGACGAGGATGAAGACGAAGTGAGATCTTGCACCAGCTCTGAGGACTCCGACAATAGCATCTCGGACCTAAAGGCCGTGAAGCCTTCCGGGGGGTCGCTGGAGCGGACTGAAACCCTGCAGCCTCTTACCGATGAGCAGTGCCTCCTGGCGTCTCCCTGGCTCAAAGGTCTGGACCTCAAGACTAAGGATTGGGCGCAATTCAATGTCGACGAACTCGACGATATTGTCTGGAATGAAGCTGCATTTGATCATCTAGTCCTGCCTGGAAACGAGAAGGAGCTCGCATGGGCTTTTGTGGAAAACAAAACTCTGTCAAACAACCAGTTTGACGACTTTGTACAAGACAAAGGCAGGGGGCTGATAATCCTGTAAGTGATTCCTGTGCGTAAAACAACATGTTGACAAGTGCATTTGTACTGATGCGGACGTTGCAGTATGTTCGGACCCCCTGGCGTCGGCAAGACGTACACGGCCGAAGCCGTCGCCGAGAAATCTCGCGTTCCACTTTACGGAATGAGTGCCGGCACGCTGGGTACCAAGCCGAAGCAGATCGAGGCAGCCCTTGACCGCGCTCTGGAGCTATGCAGGCTCTGGAACGCCATGCTGCTTCTAGACGAAGCGGACGTGTTCCTCAGCGCCCGGACTGACACGGACCTGGCTCGCAATGAGCTCGTGGCTGTCTTCCTTACGAAGCTCGAGTACTACCAGGGCATTTGCTTCCTGACCACCAACCGTATCTCCAGCCTGGACCACGCGTTCCAGTCCCGAGTCGATCTGTTCCTGCCTTACCGGGACCTCAAGCCGGAGGCGCGCCGACAGGTGTGGGACAATTTCATCAAGCGTGCTGGTGACAAGCAGTTTGATGTCGACGCTGCGGGACTGGACGAACTGTCGAACATTCAACTGAATGGCCGAGAGATCAAGAACCTGATCAAGAGCGCGCACCTCTTGACACTCAAGGGTGGCGAGAAGATCACCAAGGATCGACTCAAGATGCTGGCTGAGAACCGCATCAATGCCCTGGGAGCGCTCAGCGAGTGAGTAGGGCACCTGGATTGATCAACTCGGATTTGGTATTTGCAGGTATTGACGGTGGGATATTCTGTGTATGAATTTTGAAGCTGGTAACAGACTACAAAGGCCGCATGGGTCGACAGAATTCATCCCTTATCTCTTTTGTGACTCTGATGGCCTGTCAGCCCGCGTGATGTTTTCTTTGGTCGCTGAATTACACCATACAAGGGTAGTAATAAGCCGTTGGGGGAGGACTCAACGCACGATATGTTTTCCTGCTAGACAGAATTCGCAATCGAGCTCATGTCTCACGATGTGGTTTGAAAATTTCTGGGTCCGTTGATCTAAAATCTGACAGATACAGCGTGAGTGCATTTACCTAGCAGAAAAGTCATACGGAGGCGATGCCAATTTTGTTTTATAATCATACCCTTCCACCAGTTTAAGGCATGAATCCCGACGTATAAAGTGGAGCATTTTCTTGAAAAGCTCATAGCTCATAAAATAGTGGAAGCCACATTCGATCTGCACTACAACAACCTCCCCCGACTGGTCAGAGGCTTGGGGTAAGCGGTCAGAAGAGCGCATGGCTTACTGACCGTGTTACTCTGTACGGAACGGGTGTGTGTACGGCATTTCTAGCTAGTGAAATGCAATGATACCTTCTGATCTTATTTGTAGATTCGCAGTTACACAACGCACACCTCCGTAAGCCATTCCTATATCTGCCTCCGAAATGGCTTCCGGAAGGACCCAAGAGCTGCACGATGTCGGTGTATAAATCTCACTCGCGCCCGACCATGCCGGATCTCTTATGGCAACCATTTAATGACCTCTTTAAAAATTAATCTCCAAGATGCCTGCGCCTTTTAATATCGCTATCTTTGCGGCCGCAGCTTTTGCTGCTGGCACGCGAGGACACGAGTACGTTGACAGAACCTACGATTTTGTGAGTGCATCTCAGTATTGTAAATTAGATTTTTTGAAATATGAGAACAAACCACGCTGATCCTTTTCACGCTCTTAGATCGTTGTTGGTGGAGGAAGTAAGTCAGAACAAGCTACTCATTCGGGCACCTACTAACACCATCAACCTCAGCCTCTGGGACTGCTGTTGCTACTCGACTTAGCCAGACGCTGAAAAACAGCAGCATTTTGTTAGTGCACTCTTTCTGATACTCATCCTGATCCACTTGATGGCATTGGATTTTACACGCGTGATCATGCGAAGTTCGTCTCGCTAAATTGTGCAGATTAATCGAAGCTGGGCCAGCGGCTCCAGATGAGTTGAAAATCAATGTTCCTGCTATGTTCGGGTCTACACAGGGTGGCCCATACGACTGGAACTTTACGACAACGCCCCAGCCAGGTCTTGGCAGTCGCGTGGTTGACCTTTCGCGTGGAAAGGTTCTAGGAGGCAGCTCTGCTATGAACTACATGTTATGGAATCGTGCCTCGGCCCCCGAGTACGACGTATGGGAGACCCTCGGAAATCCAGACTGGAACTGGGACAGTATGCTTGCTGGCATGGTCAAGTCCGAGAATTTCACTGGAATTGACAGCCAAGATTATGGTCACGTCGGGAGAGGCACAGAAGGGCCGATTCATAATGTTATCAACCGTTACAGAACCGAGCAAGTCCAGGCCTGGATCCCGACGCTGGAAAATCTTGGGCTTTCGCACAACCTGGAGTCTCTGGGCGGGAACCCCCTCGGGGCAATGCTCCAGCCTAGCAGTGTTAACCCGGATAATTACACACGCTCCTACAGCGCCAACTCGTATCTGCCTCGAGTCGGACCGAACCTAACCCTTCTGCTCTCCACTCGTGTAGCGAGGATCAACTTCGATACCCCATCGAAGAGTCGGCGCTGGGACCGCGCCTCACACGACGACGTGGTGGCTACTGGAGTTACCCTCGAGGACGGGTCTGTCATCACAGCTAGAAATGAGGTGATTATTTCAGCTGGATCGCTTCAAAGCCCCGGGATTCTCGAATTGTCCGGTATTGGACAGAAGAGCGTGCTGGAAGGGGCGGGTATTAATCAAATCATCGACCTTCCGGGTGTTGGCGAAAACTTGCAAGGTGGGTGACAACCCTTTTTTCTTTTGCTTTTTCTTTTTTTTCAGATTTACCATGCCAGCACAAATTTTTCATGATTATTGGAAGAAGGTTCTGATCCCTATACTTGTGTGTGTTCTTCAAAACAAGCATCCGTTACTTGCCCCGTCCGTACTCAATGTTTGGAGCCATCTCGTGGAATTCTTCCTCGTGGCCTCTCAAGTTGTAGCTTCAAGCTCAACATCTGAACAGTTTTATTTCTGCGGAGACTGCTTTTCTGACACTCCAATCAGATCACGTTGGCGTGGGAGTTACATATCAACTGAAGCCTGGCTACAACTCACTTGACATATTCATATATAACGCCACCTACGCAGCCGAACAACTCGATCTGTGGGAGAACAAACACGTGTCTCGATATGATTACTCCATTAGCGATATTGCATTTTTTAATTGGAAGCAGTTGTTAGGCAACGACACCGCCATTGTTGATCTCGCGGTTCAAGCCGTCGGGAATTCAACAAATGTGATAGACCAGGCGAAGCTTTCCTTTCTATCCGACTACGCCGTTCCGCAAATGGAGATGACAATGTCAGACAGCACAATCGGCCCAACCTATCCTTCTCCGGGCGACCCTCTCTATGGATCCGATTTTGTTACCCCTCTAGGGATTGTGAGTAAGTACATATGCAATGATCTCAATTCTGCCCCTAACACACAGTGAATAATCGGGGTTACTACAATGTAGAGACGACATGAGTGTTCTTCCATGACTTATTCAAGCCTTGTTCAATGGTCACGCTACACCATAGCAAGCATTCAAATAACTGACTTCGCGTATTTCAGTGCGACCTCTTGCCCGTGGCAATGTGCACATTCGGTCGTCCAACATCAGCCACAGTCCAGAAATAGATCCTCGGTACGCTTCAAACGCCTATGACCTGCAAAATCTGGTGGAGGCAGGCAAATATGCGCGCAAGATTGCCCAGACCGAGCCTTTAGCAAGCCTGCTCGTCGGCGAATTCGCACCTGGACTTGCGGCCGTTAGTACAGAGGACGAGTGGATCGAGTATGCACGGGAAGCAATGATAACCATATATCACTACTCCGGCACATGTGCCATGTTGCCCAAAGAAGACGGGGGAGTTGTCGATCCACGACTCAAGGTCTGGGGAACGAAAAATCTTAGAGTTGTTGATGCAAGCATTGTGAGTATAAACTTTACTACTGCACAAATCCAAGTCCCAGCTTCTCTTCGGGAACAAATGCACACACAGTGACTGACGATTAACATTTCACAGATTCCGGTACTCATGGCATCACATACGCAGACTGCAGCTTATGGGATTGCGGAGAGAGCCGCAGAAATTATCATTGAGGATTACAAGGGACTCTAGAGTAGCATCTCTTCTCACAAAGGCACGGAAATAAGACAGTCTGGCGTGAAGATTGTCAAGCTCTTCAGTAGGGTGAACCCTTGAGGCTGATCAAAAAATGGGCTATTTGGACATCATTCTATGCTCGAGGCTCTGGTCAATTTGCCGGTGCTCCGGCGTCTGTACAAGTAGTGCTCACTGAATTGAGGCTCTACAGCATGATTGCCCCACTATGACACGTACCACTTTGGACGAGGCTCTGAATACCTCACCGGTTACAGTGCATGGGACAGGGTACTAGTGTGGGCGCTCATCAATTCTGTGCCGCAGTAATGCACTGATGTGCGTCTGATTCCCTGTCTCCACCAATCAGTCTGCATCTAGCCGCGACGAGCTGAATCTTTGCTCCGGTGAGCTGAGATTCGGGCAACCATTCTAGCCCAGACTACCAACAGCTCAGATCGAGGTCAGTAAAGATTCTTATTGGGGTTTGACATTCGGCTGTCAGCAGACCAATGCAGCACAAACAGGCAGCAGGGCCATATTCTCACTCTGCCCCGAAATGAAGTATTCCCACAGGACGCACGACATGGCTCCAAGCATCCTTTGCAGGGTAAGCACTTGCGTACATGCTTCCCCAACTGCTGCAGCCGCAGAACGCTGGTGACTTCGATTCTGCTATAAGATCCAGGTGGTTCCAGTCTCTCTGTCGATGGTGGATCCGGCTTTTTTCTGTCTCTTGCAAACTTACTTGGTATTTTGCTGCCATCTTAGTCAAATATGAGTGAGCATCCCGCAGCCTCGAGCGGTACTCCTGCCAAGGAGAAACCGCCACCGCCTCAGCAAGTTGTAGCAGACTTCTGGGCTAAATTTTCCATCGAACAGCCTGGAAGAGTCACTCGCATTCTTCCACCTAGTTCCCATGCGAAACTGCTCAAGAAAGAGATTTCGAATGGACCAACACTTGGAAACGTGAAAACAACGCTGGGTTATGAGGCTGCGAGAGACGAATGCAGGAAGAAGGTTCAACGTATTGCGAATGAGTGCAGGTAAGAGCAAACATCACGAGGAAGCACCCAGTGAAATCCAGGGAAATTGCCTACATGAAAGTTCCTATGGAGATTCAGACAATTATTCCGTTGGAAGGGCGCAGAACAGAGGCTGACAAGCGATGTTAGACGATTGAATGAGAAGTGGTCGGACCCAGACTTCAATCTCGAATCAGACGAGGACAACTGCCTGCACGGGCTGATCGATAATGACTCTCCACGAGGGCCCAGCGTAGATGTCTACGACTTGAGGAACGCACTGAGGGTTCTCAACTCAGCACCAAATCTTTTAGCTCCGCTCGAGACGATCTCGTTGCCAGCCCTCGGCAATATTCTTGAACGGGAGCCACATAAGGATTCATCGTATCCTCAATCCGTGCATAGGGTCGTGAGTATATCTCTTCTCTATAGGAATCTGTTCCAGTGATGTTTCACTCCCGAGATGTTGGCCTGAGAGCCCGGTGGCTATTATTAAAAACTTTGGTCTACATACTTTTTCCCCGAGAAGAGCGCTAATACTGAGACCGTAACAGGATTTTATATTCAACAAGCCTCAATTCACTATTGACGGCTTCGGAACTTCTGACGTCCAACAAGGCCAGCTAGGTGACTGTTGGTGGGTGGCATCTGCTGCTGCACTGTGCAATGTGTAAGTGACCTCAAAATTGGGTTCTTTCGGCCTTGATCGGTTGTCCAAAAACTGGAAGGTTGCAAAGACGGGATTCTAATGAATTTGTTTCGCTCTTTTCTTCAATCGATCTGAGAAACTTACTAATAATTTCGAAGTGACGGTCACATGGACAAGATCTGCGTGGCTCGCGATGAAGAATGCGGCGTGTATGGCTTTGTCTTCTTTCGAGACGGCGAGTGGATTTCCACTGTTGTTGATGATAATCTATGCCTCAATTCGGTTGACTTTGATGATGCATATTCTGCCGCATACGACCCCAGTGGAAAGAAGGCGAAGAAATGGAAGGAGCAGAATCAGACCGGGTCCGAAGCACTCTTCTACGCAAGCTGCGAGGACTCGAACGAAACATGGCTGCCATTGCTTGAAAAAGCATACGCAAAAATTCACGGTGATTATGCCGCTACCGAATCTGGATGGGCAGGAGAAGGAGTTGAGGATATGAGCGGCGGAATTGCAACTACTAGTAAGTGGCACAGCTTTTGCTAGTGTTTGTGTGTCCCGGTCCCCGTTCGTGGGTGGTAGAGAGGACACATTGGCCACGTGTGGAAATGGCCAACCCTTGCTGACATCTTCAAGTCAATCTCAACAGGATCTTGAGCAAGGAGAGGCTTTGGCAAGAGCTTCTACGAGCAAATAAGGACTTCATCTTCACGATCTCGACACCCGGTGCGGAGGGAGGAGACTCCGATTCACGAAATGGGTTGACTAGTCAACACGCCTACACCGTGCTTGAAGCTGTTGAACATGAGTACGAAGCTGGAAAGAGTATTAGATTTGTTCGCATCAGGTATGGTCATCTCTTCCGCATCTGAATCTCGAAGATCATCCCCACCAAAGCTCAACCAACAAGCAAGCTGTTTCGACAGAAATTCTGTCTGATCAGTCTACTTTTCTTGAGTGTTGTTATTGAGTACAAAATATGGAACACTAATACCGAATTAGGAACCCCTGGGGCTTGAGAGATCCCACAGGCAAGGGTGAATGGGACGGTTCCTGGAGCGATGGCTCTAAGGAATGGACCCCATACTGGATGGAAAAGCTCAAGCACAAGTTTGGTGACGATGGGGTGTTCTACATTTCCTTCGAGGATATGCTGAAGCGATTCAACTTACTTGATCGGGTGCGCTTGTTCAATGGAGACGACTGGTACATTTCGCAGTGGTGGACGAGCGTCACTGTCCCATGGATGGCCACCTACTTGGACGATTCCAAGTTTGTAGTTGATGTCACGGAGCCCGGTATCGTTGTATTCGCTCTTTCGCAGGTGAGTCTTGTCCCCTTTTATATTCAAAACCCAGTCAAGATCGACTTCTCACGCAACGCTCGGAAATTAGCTCGATGAGCGCTATTATCAGGGTCTCGAGGGCCAGTATAGTTTCGACCTTCACTTCCTCCTTCGGCAGGCTGGGTCTGACGACCATATTGCGCTTGCTGGATCGGAGCTCCGCGCACGATCCGTTAGCGCGGAACTTCAACTTGAGCCAGGAAAGTACGAGGTGGTTCCCAAGATTGTCGCTTATAGAAACAAAGACGACGATCTTGTCGAGGAAACGGTGAAGAAGGCCGCGGAATCAAACCCTCGAAAGCTCCAGCAGATCGGGCTGAATTATGACAGAGCGCACCTCAAGGCAACTCAGTGGAACCCCATCTCCGAAACTTCGAAGGATCCCAAGTCGACACCTACTCAAGAGTCCAAGACGTCGGAGCAGCCTACAGACGAAAAAGTGGTGGCGAGGCTAGAAACATTAGCGATCTCTTCGTCTCAAGGGGTTACTGCCACAGAGAGTACTGATGCAGGTCCAGTGCAGACTGACACCACCAAGGATGATGAAGTCAGGCGAGAGCAGCCACCGGGCACATCAGCCGTGGGCTCAGTTGCCACTCAACGAGATGAGCCACAGCTTGATGTGCCTTTAGGTCCCGAGGGTGAGGGCGAGGGTGATCGTGATTATGATCATGATCACCATGATCATGACCATGATCATGGTCCCGACAACATTGAGCAGCAACCGAAGACAGAAGATCAGCCAGATGAAGCCAAGCACGCAGCAGGCCCATGGAACGCCGTCTGTGTGGTTGGTCTGAGGGTTTATTCGAAGGATGCCAACCTTGGACTCCATTTGGAACAATCCTAGTCTGACTTCGGAGGAGCTCTGTCTCCCATCGGCCTGAAGCCATTCATCTAGTCTAAACTCCTATCCACTCCATTTCATCAATGTCAATCCTTAGCTCCCTCACTTTGGATTGATCCAAACCGTCTCTCCTGTGAATATTGCTCCCATCAGAGTGCATTGGCCATGTGAGAGGATAAGCCCGCACATAGACCTTGTGTGTCACATCTGAATGCCAATCGTCGAACTCCCAGAGAGATCCCACTGTTTCGCCATCATTGCCCGGGTTCCCGTAGTACTGGTCACCACCCTCTCGAAATATCGAGTCCTCTCCCTGCTCGTTGCTCAGCCAGAACTCGCCGATCACGTCCTCCATCACATCACGCACTCTGCAGTTCGCGTCGGCCAAGCTCACGAACATGCCACAGTTTCTCTTCTCCCCTTCAGCCGTATTACGATTATGAAATTGAAGGTGATGTTTCCTGATATGTTCGACCATGAACACACATCGTGGTCTCCATGTTTTTGGCGTGCGCGATGGTTCTCTCAGATTCTCATGACGGTTCTGCTTCGTAGGCGGCTGATCTATGATCTCGCTCGCGGCCGTCGAAGAAGAGCGTTTGCGAGTGTCAACGTTGAGATTGGTGGTTTTGTTCATCTTGCTTGAGACTGTGATATATTTGCTGGCATCACTGGAAGGACTACTGTTTCTGAGACTGCGAGTCGATTTGATATGAAAATGCTGCTGTAGCTAAGCCCCCAAGAGTCGGTAAAATTGAGTTCCGACTGAAGGAATCTGAAGCCGTTTTAAGTATCGGACGGGCTGCGTAAGAACGCCGTACTCGGGTCCGCCGGGTCGGAGCGAGACTCCGGTAAACAATTCGACCCACTACAACAAAAAGCATATAATATGGGAAATACAAAGCTTAGCATTTCCTCAAATTTGTTCTGATACTAATTCGAAAGACCGGATTCATGTACCGCCTTAATCAGGTTAATGTGGATTTCGCCATCCTGAGCAAATGGGATCTTGTGGATGAACCCACATGGCTTTGTTTCCCGAGATGATAATTCGGCTACTTCTTCAACTTGAACATTCCATGTGAAGTCCAGACTACTCCAAATAGCCGTCTAAATACCGTTCATAAGCTCATCAATTCATACTTTTTACTGTCTTTCTGTAGCAAGTTAACACTCGGAATCCGTATTTCTCAAAACTTTGTTCATATCTCCTAAAGACATCACACCAAACTCGTGCGCAGACACTACCATACAGGATGAAACCCGTCATCTAATCACCAAGGCCCAACACCATAAGCACCAACAACCTTGCCCTCCTCCCCATCCCTCTCCCCCACAACACAGCCCACAAGGACCTGAGCCCCGACCTCAGGGCCCTGTATCCCATTCCGCCTCGCCAGCTCAGCCCTCCCCTCGCCCATGAAATCCGTGGCATTCGCGCCCGGGTCAGCGCTCCACACCCTGACCTTCGTGTCAACCCCGACCCCGCCAACAGCAACCCGCGGCTCCGCCCCGTACCGCTTCCAGTACTCGAGCATCAGCATGTTCAGCGCCGCCTTGCTGACCCGGTACTCGAGCGGGCTCGTCCCCAGCACGGAGCGGTAGTACCGCGAGGACGGGTCGGCCGCGCCCGCGAGCGACCCCATCGAGCTCGACACGAACACCAGCCGCGGGTCCGCCGCCGCCGGCCTCAGCAGCAGCGGCAGGAACGCCTCCGTCACCGCCGCCGCGCCCAGCACGTTGACCTCGAGGTCCGCCCGCAGCGCGGCTGCCACGCCCGCCGGGTCCTGCGAGAGCGTCCCCGCGTTGTTGACGAGCGCGTCGAGGCATCCGTGGTCCTTCTCGAGCTTGGCCGCGGCGGCGGCGATTGATGCTGCGTCGGTGACGTCCAGCTGGATTGCCTCCACGGAGCCGAGCAGGGGCTTGCTGGGACTTGCGGCGGCGGTGATCACGGCGGCCGCCTTCTGGCCCTTAGCAAGGTCGCGGCTGCCCACCAGGACGTGGTAGGTTTCGCCGTTGGGGCCGTGGGAGTGTGTGGCTAGGGCTTTGGCTGCCTCGAAGCCTAGGCCTTGGTTTGCGCCTGGGGAGCATTGATTGGTATCAGTTCAAATTGCTATGACAGACGTAGTGGCCATCTGAAATGGAGACCTTACCTGTGATGAGACAGACGAGCTTCTTGCTAGGAGTAGCCATGGTTGATACCGCGTTCAGAATTCTCAAGTTGGCAGCGCCTCTTTTCAACTAGGATGCGGTGGAGATATGAATTGGACCAATTGCAGGTATATGGAAGGCATTCCAAACATGGAAAACACCATTGCCATACTGAAGGCCATTTATACACGAGTATACGTCGAACAGGAGCTAGACGGACTTAGCACTAATCGCCGGCCACCAGCACTCCCCGCCTGCAATAGGATTCTGAGAAGGATTCATTGACTAGCAGGGTCACGAAAGCTTCTCATTTCTCCTAAGTTGTATTCAATGACTACGTTTGTATGATCATCGGGCTTAATATGAGGTGTATTCAGCAGCTCATTGGTACCTTGAGGGTTGCTTTCGGGCTTACCGTCCAGCTCGGTGGTCGGGCGCTTCATCGCCATCGCATAAGTCTCCCATGCGCCTAAATAGTGATGACAGCTAGTGGAATGTGGACAAAAGTCAGCGATACTGTTCACATATTGAAGTGCTGTGGTCTGCGCCAGGGTTGCGTACGATGAAGTGCCGCAAGAGTCTGACGCAGATGTGCGTCTTACGAAGCGCGATGATAGGACTGCCTGTCTCACGCGCAGGACCTCGGACTCACGAATTGCTTATGTATATAGATCGGGTCAGACGTCAACCGATCGATGCAAGTCAAGTGATGTCAATACACACAGGCGATCGGCGGTTAGACCTCGTCGGCGATTACATACTGGCACAAGACATTTCTAAGCAGACGAGAAGAGGTTGATCAACAAGATTGAGTCGATGAGTTCAGCTCATCATGCACTTCTATTTTTCCAGGCGACACGTAATAGTCTAGTCGCATCGATGCTTCTTCCCACGCGCCAGCATGCAAGGGCACATGCTCAAAATGCTCAAACAAACGAAAGGGGGTATTTCCATAACAGGTTCCAAAGCCCACCACCAAGACAAAACAAATTTGCTCGAGAGAAAAAGACTCCCGAGTCAGTACAGGCAAACAGTGGTATCTTCGCGGCCGTGACACATCCGACCATGCTTTGTGATGACGCTCAACACCTCTTGCTCCAAAAACACAACCCTTGTCCATGTGGATGAACCCGGGCCCAAAACAAATGCCTCCCAAGCAAAACCCTCCTTCCTAGGCCGGTAATCCGCCCGGCCTCACGTGGGCTTCCTGAACAGCCGTTTCGTCCCTCCCACCTTTCCAAGTTCGCCGAATTTCCCGCCTCCGTTACCCTGCTCTCTCGGCGGGCCCGAGCCGCCACTAACGGCTCGCACCTTCTCCTTGATGCTCTCGACCCAGTCGAGGCTCTCCTGGGGGATGTCTTTCCTCATGCCCCTGGGACCTGCCATGCCCAGCGAGCTGTCGTCCTCCGTCCAGCTAATACGCGAGCTCGACCGTGAGCGGCCGGTACTGCCTGAGCCCGAGGATGGTGGCTCCGAGGCCCGTTGGCTGCCGTAAGCAAGAGGTGTTGCAGGCAGTCTTGGTCCCAATAAGTCTTCTCCCGCGCTGGGCTGGCGCTTCTTCTTGACGTAGATCGGGCTGGTCGAGTCTAGGGCCGAGCCCGGGCGGCTGGGAGGGCTCGGCCGGATCGAAGGACTGGCAGAGGGTCGTCGAGTGCTAAGAGCGCTGGCTGATCGAGGGATGTCCCTCACCTCTACCTTGCTCTCACTCCCTCGGTGAGATCGTCGGCCGTGGTGGATCGCGTATTCTTTGAGATATTCTCCAAGGTCGGCCCAGCCGCCACCTACACGAACCATGACCCTTTCGCCGTTCTCGCCAACACAGCGAATGAAAAGCTTGATCGGAGCCTCCCCGTTCGCTCTAGATAAATGGTACAGTTTGATGTCTTGGTTTCCCCGCTGATGTCTCGGTCGAGGAACCGGGGCGAGCATGAAGGATGGCGTGCTGGCTCGAGATGACATGCTGGCCCGTGAAGACATGCTGGACTTGCTGCGGACAGTCCTATCTGCCGTCGGTCTTGGCTTGGAGTACGGCAGCTGCAGGTCCGGAGGATTAAGGTGATTGATAGTTGGGCGCGAGGAGAGCTGGATTTTGGCCGGGATGTTCTCCAAGATCTGGCTGATCTGCTTACGCAGGTGGTCATCCTCGCCATTTGCCTGGCTCAGTACGATAGGACTTCCAAGTTCCTCGGCGTTGCTGTTGAATGAAGAGCTCAAAGACGTATCCTCTGAGCTCTCGTCCTCGGGGTACTCAAGAACTGGCGGCATTTCTCCTATTGGCATCGATATCGATCTTGTTTCTCTTGGCGGAGTATGCGGAGAAGCGCGGGTCCCATTCAGTGGCAACAAGTCCGGAGTCATTGATGGATCGCGAGGGTGTGCACGAACGATAGTCGAAGCATCTGATACAGCGGTCCCAGGCCTGTGATGCTCGTGTTCGTCCGAAATTGATGCTTGAGCACCATGGTCCAACGAAAGGTGATCAGCATCAAGATCCGAGTCGAATGCTGACTGGTCGGCGTCTGGACTGGCGGTGCTTCGTGTGGATCCGTGGTCGTTGGTGACAGAGATGACTGGAGACTTGCTCAATGCATCGTAGGTTTCCACACTAGGGATGGGCCGATCAGCATCGTCCATGCCGTCGGCTCCGTAGCCCTGGGACTCAACCTCATCGGCATCGTCAACACGGATAACCGGTGTAGCAGGTTCCTCGGACTCGGCGTGTGTTGCAGCTTTTACATCAGTATCAATCCTGGCGGGTTTAGCCAGCTTCTGCAAAGCTGCAACTTGCTCGTCACGAAGCTTTTTCTCAAAGGCGGCAGTCCAGTCCGCGCATTGACGTTCGACAGCCTCCATGCGGTCGAGCCATTCGTCCGGCAGGGTATCATCCCGGCCCTCGAGGTTATCGAGCATGTAGTCGAGAATATGCGCGGCTGTTGAAACCTTCTTTTCCAACAAGAGCTTCGTGACTTCGTAATTGTTCTGTGAGAACGTCTCCCCCTCAGAGGACTGCTCTGAAGATGGTCCCTGTGCCACGGCTTTCGAACCCTGCTCAATTGTAGCCCAAGCGGACTTCAGTGCAGCCTCGGCATCAGCCAGAGAAGACGTCCAAGAAGGAACGCGTCGAAGAACCGTCAAGCGTGCGCTCCACGCGTTCATAAGTCTCAGCAGTCTTGAAAGGTTAGGCAATGCTTGCACAACCGTGGCTGTGATCACGGCCGTCAAGTCGTCCATTTTCACGTAAGACGCGAGTGAGGCCATTGCGAAGGAGCGTTCAAAAGTAGGGCTCGCTGGAGTGCCGGGTCTTGAGAGAGGCATGATGTGGTTGTGCAGCACGTGTCTCTTGATGTCCTCGATCTCGAGTTTGTCCAGCTCTTGCTGTATCTGAGAAATGCGCGTTTCGTACCGCGCCATGTCTGATTCAACCAGGCTTCCATTGTATGCCTGCTTGAACGTCGAAGCTTGGTCTTCCGGCGCGTGTTCGACAGTCGAGCCGGCTCTGCCGCGCGACTGAAGCTTGCCCTGAGCGGAACTCGGCGTCTGGAAGCCGAGGCCCCCCTCTGTGGACCACGGCCAGTCTCGCAGCTCTTCAAGCCACTCGTAGATATTTTTTGAGGCGACTGCGGCCCGCAGCGCAAAGCTCTGTTCACTGGGTGTCGCCGCGTCCATGCAGGCCTTCAGCGGGCCGCTAGGCGCACGGAAAGTGTCGATCGCGTTCATGGGGGAAAGTTGGGATATGAAGTCGTCGGAATGTTGGCGTTGATGCTTGGGTGACTGAGGTGTCGAGTGATACTGTCGACTCGAGAACAGCAGGCGGCCCGCCGGCGGAGGATATATCGAAGGTTCGGTCATGTTTGGGGTCTCGTCAGAGGGAGTGGCTGCTGATGTGGTCGTTGCAGTGGTCGGTCACAGGAGACATGGCCCTGTGTGAGTGTTCCAGCTTTTATGACCCGGTAAATAAAGGATTGACAGCGAATGGTCGAGTAAAGCCCATAGTTGAAGCTCAAAGGAGCGTTTGAGAAGGTTGGATGGAACAGATGAGCTGAAGGGGCGGTTGCCTGTTCCAGCTGCAGTCAGACTGTGCGACTCGGCCCAGTTTGGACGCCCACGACGCGGTTGGTGGATGGCGCGCAGAGGAAGGATGACAGATGATGACCGGGCGGCTCGGGAGCCAGGGGCGAGACCGACGGCGGAGACGGACGGACAGGTGCAGGAGCTGCTGCGGCCACACGGAGCAAAGCACGGCGTCTGTCGGTTTGTTGTACAGCGGGGCCAGGTGAGGGTTCGGCCGTGATGGTTGATAGGGTCGAGAGGCACGAGAGGGCGCAGGGTCTAGAAGCCGGATGCAGGGGGATGGGCCAGAGTCTGGTAGAGGGAGGGGCGTGTGGATGTTGGACGTAAAACCATGCAATGCGATGCGATGCGGTGCGATTCAATGCAAGGAGCAGTGATGAAGTGGCTGCTTCTGCTGATTCGGGTGTGTTGTTTGTGAAAAGAGGGCGGTCCAAGAGAGACGACAGCCAGCAGAAGGTCTGGAGATGAGGGCTTGCTTGCTTGCTTGATGAACAATGCCAGGCAGGAGAGGGAGTGGGGAGGGCTGGTTGGTCCAGATGTGAGACACGGCGCAGATCAGAAACGAGCGGCAACCAACTGGAGGTGATTGTGTGTGTGTGTGTGTGTGTGTGTTGTAAGACACGCAAGAAAGGAGAAACAAGCGACTGCAGTGACGGTCGAAGGGGAGAGAGAGAGGGCTGAAGGTGGGCGATGCAAGATGATTCGTCTCTGACGGTGATGCGAGCTGTCGCGCCCATCCCGGTCAAATTATGCAACCCGCGCGGGATCTCCCTCTCTGGCCCTCCCTCCTGCCAACTGCCAGCTGCCGCTGCCAGCACAAAGGGAGCCTAGCAGCTCTGGAGAGCTGGAGAGAAGAGAGGGAAAGGACAGGGAAGAGCAGGCCCAGCAAGGCGTAACGGGGTGACATCTGGAACTGGGCAAGCTCAAGCAGCAGGGGGGTCGCTGGCAGGGATGGCACGTGTCACCAATGCAACCTCACGACCTGGACGCGGATCCACATGGTGGCTCGCCTCAGTGCGGTTTATTGAATGAGCGGGCCACAGTGGGAGATTTGATGGACCCTGAGATGGTAGTCGTTATTAAAAGAACGACGCTTTGCCGAGGTGACCGACATTATTTTGGCGTGCACAATATTGTGTCCTACACAAAACAAGTCAGCTGGGTCTCGGGTGCTTCCACGAAGCTTCCCGTCTCCATCGTGATGATGACATGGGGGAAGGCTGGGGTCATGGCACCGTAACAGTGGACAGACAGGCGGACAAGTGTTGGCTGAGCTCATGCAATACAATAAACACTGTGGGATATGCAGCCTGGTCCGTGCCCACATCGTCTTGTCGAGTGAGAAGGCCGGGAAAGCAAACCAAGGTGGGTATATCTGCGGGTACCTTGCCTTGCCTCGCCTACTCAGGCACCGTACCTGAAGCAAGTGGGGTGGTTTGGTTTGGTGGTGGGCGAGAGCACACGATCAGAGGCAAATTGGAGGCGGCCGGATCCAGAGATGGTCGGGTGGGCCAGGTGTCATGAACAGAACAGGAAGACAAGAAAAAAAATGAGTGCCCACTTGTTCCAAAACACGCCCTCCCAGAACGCAATTAGCAACAAAACACGCACACGGGAGAACACGAACAGACGAAGGGCCGCCACCACCCCGGCTGTGCACACCACGCAGCCCGGATCGTCGACTCACACTCTTGAAGCGAACGCAACCAGGACCCCAAATCCCCCCCACCAGCATGGCATGGCTTCCGATCGGATCGAGACCCACTTTCGATGGGAGGCCCTCTCGGCATGCGTCGTTGCACCGTCTCCTGACCGATCAAACCGTCATTTTCATGTGAAATCAAAACAAAGTTGTGGTACGGGCCGGTACGTTGTATGGTATGGTATCTTTGTATTGATTCTCGACTACATGCGTCAATCATATATTCTCCTAACGATATATGCCTAATGCGCTTGCGCACATCGGTCTTTACTCAGCGTGTTTCTCTTTTCCCCGGCCTGTCCCTGGGGTGTTATTCCTCGTCTATAATATGCCCAAGCTATATATGTCCCCTGTCATATAGCAGTCATGCTGCTGGGGATCGCATCGACATTCGTGTAAATAACGTATCAATTCTCTCATGCCCTCATCTATCCTCCCCCCTGGAGAAACGCATGGCCTGAACAGCTCGGTTGCCTGCAGGATGCTACCGTTCTCTGTTGAAGAGAAGGTTGCTATTTCTGCGGTATCGGGCTTCCAAGCGTGGGCTCGACACGGCTTCGCGCTCGCATCGTCCTCGTCCTGGGTTGTGCTGGGCTGGGCTGCTTCCATCCACTGAGACAGCAATTGCCCTGGAATATGTCTATTTGAAGTTGCCATTGCTAGCGATGAACCGAGAGGCTGGCTTGGTGATATGACTTGTGGTGTGAACTGTGCGTAGCCATGACTGGTACATTGAGTTTCGTAGCACTGCCATCACCGGCCGAACGTCCCTTTCAAGTCTGCGTGTAGCCGTCCGCCAGAGTCTCAAACTGCGCCGCGTTGTCAAACATGCTCATGTTGAAACTTTCCGTGTTGTTCATGCCCTCGGCCGGGAAATCCAGCCACTGGTCAAAGTCAAGGGCGAGATTGGGGGGCAAGCCGCCACCGACGCCCGCCCAGTCCATCGCGCTGATGTCGGTCATCTCCACGTCGGCGAGCTGATGCTCCGAAGACCCGCTCGCCGACGGCGTCGGCCCGTTGTCGCGCTCCGAGTGCGGCGGCGAGTCGCCCATAATGACGGACTGCGGCGGCAGCTGCTGCGGCAGTCCGTCGATTGTCGGCGACGTCGAAGCCGCCGCCGCCGCCGCCAGGTAAGCGTATTTGGATACCTCCATCTCGGCGGCCGTGACGACAGGTCCGACCTGTTCCGGTGGAGGCGTGGCCGGCCGCGCAAACGGCGTGACGGCACTGACATCGACGGGAAGTGCCGTCGTCCTCGTCGTGGTACTGCTGGTGGTCGAGGCGCCGCTGGCACCATTCAGCTCGATGGCCGCCTTCTTGAGCGCCGACTCCAGAAACCCCGCCGCGAAGTCCGCCGCCGCATAGATGTCCCGCAGCTTCACCATGACCTGCATGCACTGTGCGAAGCCCCTCTGAGCTTCTTCGCGCCGCTCGCGGTCGTGGTGCTTGTACTCGACCAGGTGGATAATCATGGCCGGGAGTACGACCGTTACGCCTGTGGTCGGAAGGTACTTGTCCAGGTGGTAGTGGTGCATCTCGGCGGCCATGCGCGTGATCTGCGTTGCTGCAATCTTGACCTTGGCGCGCGAGTTTTCCTGCACGGTCCTGGACGCTTGCGGTGGCTGCGAAAGCGATGTTGGCAAGAACAGCGGGCGGTGTAGCGCCGAGGTGGTTGTCTGGAATACCATGTGCAGGAGGTTGCGCTGCACAGCAACGGTGGACCGCCCGGCTTCGATGTCTGCCCGCACCAGCGACCTGTATTGGCACGATGGCGGGAGCGCAGTAGCCCAGCCAGCGAGCTCTCTATCAACCTGCTGCACGGCTTCTAGGTTGTCCAAGGACTTATTCGGGAACAACATCATCGTGGTGTTGGTACGCTCGGGCTGGAGCCGGTCACGAATCAGGACCGAGTACTGGGCCTTGAGCATGTGGCTGATGAGCACACAGAGCTTGGCCTTCTGTACGCACATCTCGGCGAGTTCTCTCTGCATGTCGGTGTTACGGATCATTGTACAATCAGGCGGCAGGAGGTGGTTGTCATCGGGAAGGACCTCAATTTCAAAGTCGCTCTCCGACAGCATCGGCACGTCGAAATCCTCGTCTTTTATTCTCGTCGGGCGGCGCATGCCAAGTGCGATGAGACGGTCACGCATGAAACACGACCACCACATTCTCTTCCACAGTTTCTGCTTGCGAAGTGTCATGGTACCGTTGTCTGGATTCCGGTGAAGCCCGATGGTGTGTGCCAGCGAGATGGCGACGCCCATCCAATGCCAGGTGTCCTTCTGGTCGTCGGGGGTCTCGTACCAGTATGTCATGAGAAGCAGCGCCTGTACGAGGACGAGCCTGTCGGAGTCATAGTCGAAGTCATAGAGTAGCTAAAGCATTGGTCAGCACAAAATAAAGCCAATATGTCGTCGCACAAGAGAGATAGTGTAAATGAACTCACCCTTGCCCTCTGGAAGAATATCTTCCGGGCAGCCTTTCGATTTGGATATCCATGCTCGGACAGGGCCTTCTTCTTGACGAATGCCGACCCTGCAAACAGGACGGCATGGTACAGAAGCAGGCTGACCTGGCCACCCTGGCCGTCGCCGGCGTTTATCAGGTTCAGGAAGTCGAACAGCTCGAGGAGCGGCATGTAGGGATGGACATATTCGACATAGGCCTGCAGCAGGGCATTCTGAAGCGGAGGATCGGGGATGCTCAAGGCACCCTTGCGCTGGAGGTACGCAATCTCATCGGGGCCGATCTTGTCGGGCAGTGGTTTGACCCAAGCCGGCAGAAGGGTCAGAGGGTCGACCTCATTGGGCTCGTTCAGGAAGCTCGAGCGGCTGTCACCATAGAGTTGCACAGGATTCCAGGGAATCTGGCTGGGGTTCGCATTTGGCCCGAAGCCAGGTCTCTGGACTATTCGGTTGTAAGCTTATGCCATTGGCAAGGGGTCTCGTGGACAGAAAAAGTGTTGTGGTCTGTGTATGTGTGTGTGTGTCCTTGGCATTTGCATGTGAAGATGGCTGGCTGGACCAAGCAGGTTGGCTGGTGGGGGTAAAGTTGGGGGGAGGGATGAGTCCTAGCGTGGGCAGGTGGGATGTGACGGGTGGGTGACGGGTGAGTGAGAGTAAAGGGGCAGCCATTGAGTGAACAACTCTAGTCGTAACTTACGGAGCAGCGGTGGAACCTGGCCGTCGACGCTCCCAAACATGCCTCCAATGCTCTCGAGGCCAGGCATAGAGACTGCAGAGACATTACTCGGCCTCCTCAGATCTGCACTTGCGATGTTGATCGGGCCAGTACTGCCTGCTGCGCTCCCTCCTTGCAAGTGCAGAGCCTCGGCACCGGGCATGGCGCCCACCGAAGCCCCTGTCGAGCTCGCCGCCGGGTTGAAGAGTTTCTTCCTGCACGGGCACACCTTCAAGTCAGCAAGGTCCCGTGTCAAGCCATCTCATCTTGCAGCTCCCGAACTTGTCAAAAATGCAACCTTGAGACATTTTTTTTCTTCTCCAGCTTTTCCTCGCCCCTGAGCGTTCATGTGATCAGGATTTCACATGTGAATATGACGCACCCCAGCTGCTGTCATAATCTTCTCACTCAGGGAATACTCAGGAGGAAAACACGTAGTACCACACAGCCTGTGCTAGACTGCGCAGCTTGGAGAGACAGGAAATGCTGTGTGCACAAGAGAAGGTGTCACTCACTTCCGTCGTCTGCTCTCGTGGACGATGCAGTCGACATTATCCCAGCGGCAATTCCCGCAAGGAAATTGCTCAACCACGTCGCAGCGAACCTTGCGGGCCCTGCAGGACGCACACGCCCGCGGCGCTCGCCGTTTGGTGACTTTGTTGGCCTTGTCGTTGGCTTCTGCCGTCGAGCCGGTCCGCTTCTTCGTCTGCGGGTCGGCCGGCGAGGACTTCTTCGCGTTTGCCGTGGTCTCAGTCACATCCGTCGAGTTGTCTGCCGGTCCATCTCCCGGCGTCGATACCGACTCGGAGCGGGAGTGGAACTCGGCTTCGCTGTTCGCCATTGTGTGGATTTGGGTCGTCGAGTAGGCACTTTACGAGTGCATCGATTCGCAGAAGGAGTGGCCTATGCAGGGTGCTGACTTCGAATGTATAAAGGACTCAAGAGTAGTGAATGGTCTCGGGCCCCCCTTTTTTTTTTGATTTCTTCTTCGTTTTCAGCGTGTAGACCGCACGGGCTGGTGATGAGTGAATCGACTCGTATGGGTGATGCCAGGGTCCCTCTTAGCCAGCATTGAAGCGTCTTTGTTCAGCCTCGGAGCCGATGACGACGGTATAAGCATTGGGGGGAGGGGCGGGGACGGGCCACAAAAAACGAACAGAGGCAGGATGTGAAGCAATCGAGAACGAGGATGAGACTGTTCGCGCACGATGCGCGGGAGGAGTCGCCCTTGTTATTATAATTTCGAGCCCAAACCCGGGATCGTACTTTCCAACTCTCGTTGCACTTGGCCTGTCGCCAAAGTATCGGTACATCGTCCCACCCCTGCACGCCTAAGGTGCCGTAGTGTACGTACCTATCTACTGTAAAGTACACAGCGCTCCGCCTGTCCGTCCCACGGAGAACGCCCGAGTCCTTTTTCTCTTGGTGCCATGCGCTCACTTGACCCTTTCCTCCATCCAGCCCGTTCAATGCAAGGCGACCGACTGTGCTGGCTGTGCGGGAATGGGCAGGCAGAGAAGAAAAGGTTGTGAGGTTGAGTCTAAGTCTTGCCGCATGGATCTACCGCGTCTCTCCCCCAAGGTTCTTATTCGCTTCCGGAGCGGCGACCTGGTCACATTCCTGGGAATTTGTGTGCTATTACGAAGCCGGTGGGCTGCGGGAAGCGGGCTCCTGGACGGACCCATTCTCCTCTTCCCCACGGGCGACGGAAACCCACACACACACGGCCACGACCTGCTCGTCTGGCTCGCACGCCTGTGGGTGGGGACCGTGTGTGGCCAAGACAATGGGGTTGTGGGGAGGCTCGAGTCCACCTGTTTGAAGCCAAAAATTCCTAACAAGCCCACAAAAAGGTCACCGAACCAGGCTTGATGCTGCTTCGCTGGCCTTCTGCCGGACCCTGCTAACTGTGTACAGTATGTATCTTCATTATCTTCACAGGCCTGCCTCTGCAAACTCCTCCTGCTCCTGCTCCTGCTCCTGCTCCTGCTGCTGCTCCACTCCAGTGCGTCCGTCCTTGACATGCTAAACTCTAGGCCGGCCAATGGTTCTTCCAAGAATTGAGATGGGCTAAGATTTTCCCACATTGTATTCGACTCGTCAGCTGTCTTGCTTCCTGAGAAATTGGCCCCATGGATGATGATGCTCTCCTGCCCTAGTCTCGAAGCATCTCAAGAGGGTACTTGACTCGAGTCGGCCCTAGCGCCTAGTCAATTAGTCAAGGTCCAGGCATGTAAGTCAGCTGGCCGGGGCTGGGCGTGCTGAGGCTTGACAGACGGGTTGATTGGGCTTTGACTCGATGAGAAAAGATGCATGGCGTCTGGCTTGTGATTGTGGTTGTGCGGCTCTCTGAGGTAAGACGCCCGCTTGCAGCGCCTGCCATCGACGACACCGCGACCAAGACGAGTCTGCTGCTACAACACTGTAGCTTCAGCATGACTGACCGACATGCCTCATTTGTCTGCGAGGGATAGAGCGCGCGGGTCTCGACTCGGCAGGTGACGTTGTGCTTTACTTCATCACTGACGACACGGCAGCAAGCAACGCATCGCGAACAATGCATGTACAGTACAAGTACATGCAGCGTGTATGTAGTCTACTTTGGACTCTTGACGGGGTCCCAAGACGCGGGGCCGAGGGGCCCATGGATCGTCGTCAAGATGAAGTCAAGGGTTAATCTGAAATCCAGCAGAATTCCAATAAAAGTTTCCCCCCTCCCAGACGACAAGGTCGCATCTCGTCGCATTCCTGAACGGCGAGGGTGCACCCCAAGCCCGAAACGGCTGTCTGGTCCATGCAAGTCGGCAACTGTCGGGTTCTCGCGCACGCTCTCCTGGGATTGATAGACTATCATTTTCGTAACAACACTTATCCAAGACGAACACGACGACTCCGTCTCCTGGATCTATCTTTTCGCACGATCTTCGACGGCGCATTTCACGCGCTAGGCTTGAAACAGGGTTGACCGCACGCCAGGTAAGACGTGTTGTCTATTCAGGCAATGGGGACCGGCACTACCGAGCAGACCCATCTTGCGCCCGCTCTGTTGCATGCCTTGTGGGCAATACACACAAGAACTCCCCTAACAGAGTAAAAAAGAGGTCCATGTACTGTGTAAATCGCTGCTAGATCTTCACCGCTGACCTCCCTGGCGGAGGGGCCACCCTCTCGTGCGCTCCGGCGATAAATGCCCCTTCCCGTTGACTGCGGTAACCAGCGCCTCGGGACTGTCACGCGCTCACCAGACAATGTCTTGGTGTGACAGAAGTCGGCCTCTTGGAAGTCGGCGGGTATGCCAAGAGGCCTGCCCAGGTCCCAGCCACTTGGGACAAGCCGCTGCCAGAAGCAAAAACCTCTTGGAGATTGAGTTTTATTTTTCTGCCCCTGGCAGACCAGACAAGAGCGAGGGCGCGATACGAATGCACCCCAAGCAGTGATGATCCTGTTCCTCGCGTGCCGACAAGGTAGCTCAACAGAAAGAACCTCAATCTGGCTTTTCTCTCTCGCGTCCTTCGGCCTTTACATCTACGCCCTGCGCGCCCAGCGGCTCCACTTTCCGCCCAGATCAAGTCGCATCACGATTGCGCAAGCAGCGAGCGAGACGCGAGAGCATGAGCCAGCCAGCCACAAGGGTTCCCGCGACGTTGTTGTCCGTGTTGTTCGAGCCGCATGTGTATGGATGGACCATCGTGCGGATCCGAAATATATTCGTGCCATCCAACCCTCATCGCTGACAAGCTTTTCGAATCCTGGAGACGTTCGAGCCCGCTCGCCCGCTTTGCCAGTCGTTCAGGTGAGCCAGTTTGCCCCCCCTTCCCCTCCCCCAAACAATCTGCTCCACATCTCCGCAAAAAGGGTCACCCGCGAACCCCAGGAATTGGGGGCGGGAGGAAGGGGGGGTTTAGTCAAAAAAAAGCCATCTCCTTTGCTCCGTTTGGATTTCCCATTTTCCGGGGTCGCCCGACGGCATCCTTCATTGGCTCAGGGGGCAGGGTGTCCAGGCACAAGGCCGGCCTCAGGTGGGTGGGTTGCAGCCACACAAACTGCTTCGGACGTTGACCGAGCGCGTCACGGCTGCGACAGGCATTTGATGTTGGGTCACTACTTTTCCCATATTGTTAGACAAACTAGACAACCTTGCCACAAATGATCATCTGCGCGGGATGGGTGCTCGCTGTCGAAGGGCGATCGCTAAGTAGCTTGACTTGTTACCCCAGATTTTTCTGACAGCTGCGGGAAATCTGGGGGTGCTGGGTTTCTGCTTTACTCCACATACTCCTCACGCGATGACAGCGTCGTCAGGCCACCCAGATCGACTGCGGAGGCCTAGATCTTTGACTTGGCATTTCGTGGTGTGTTTGAAACTCAGGATTCTATCTATCATCACTTCTCTCCCTCGTGGCAGGGGCTCTCTTCCAATTTGGGAACACATCCGCGTGCTGGCATAGTGGCACGGCTGCGTGCTAGGCAGTCTTTGACGTGCAGCCAGCAAGTCGCTGGATTAAGTCGCGTCGTTTGAGGCCCTGCCGTGTTGGAGTGGGGAGCTTTTGTCACACGACTTCATGTTGATGCCCCTAGTACAGCATTCACACTCCTCTGCCCTCCGATACCGTCGGAGAATACCGCCTTACCAGAGACGACGGTACCTCGACGGCGGCGATGGCGCCCTTGCTAGGCTTCTTCGGCCTAGCTTGATCAGGCCAGCTTTGTGAGCTCAGAGTCTCTCGCCAGTCTCCTAGTCAGCCGTCTTGCTCATTGGGGATTGATGCAGGAACGTCCGCGCTGGCCAGAGCTGTCTCACTCATTTTCGAGCTGGCCTCTGGCCGGCTTTGTTCCCAATTTCCCCTGGCGGCAGCTACCAAACCACGCGAACATGATATCCCGCCTCGCACAACCGCTGTCGTACAAGCCGTCACAGCGATTTCGGAGCCTGGTCGGAGCCAATCCCGCTGTCCTCGATGGACGGATTATCCACCGGCGGCATGTCTCACGAACAGGCCGGCCGAGTCGGCGCTGGAGACGGCAGCTTCTGGTCTTGAGCCGCCTAGCCTTATCCGTCGCAGAAGATTAGACCAGGCCGAACGCAACTGGTCACTGTGCCAAAACGCAGTCGTTATGGGTCCTGCTGGTGGTGGGCAGTCAACTTCCTGGAGTCGTCGGCGCAACAAGCTAGACGGGCCCAGTATTCAACAGGCAGCCCCAGGGGTCACGGCTTCTGGTGCTTGTGATTGCAGCTCGTGCGCCCAACCACAGACTGGCTTCAAATATCAATGACACCAACGAACAATGCCAACAGGCAGTGCGCAGAAGTTTCTTTGCCGCAAACGACACACTTCCTCCTGTTCGTGGCCTAGGAGAATGAGCGAACCGATAAGGTCAGCCTGAATCTAGCAAGGCTGGATAAAGATGAACTTCAACCACTGAGGCGATCAGCGGGATGGTCCGCGAGTGTAGCTGCCTTGCAGGCAATCGCTTCGCGGAATCAAGTTCTCTATTTTCACAGGCCACCTTCAAGGTCCAAATCTGGCCGTGTAGGTGCGTGGGATCTCGTGTGGACGAGAAGGTCGCAGCGCTCTACCTCGTAGCCTTCGTCTTCTCGTTGAGAAGCGTCATGGATTTGCAACGCGCCGCGCTGGATAGGCGTAGCTGTGCGACCGTCTCCCTCCCGCGTTGTCTTTTCTGGAAACCCGCACTGGAGCTCATGGTGAGGTGGCAGATTGGCTTGTGTGCCAAATTGAATGCACGGCCTACAACAGCCTTGTACCCGTACAAGTTGGGGATTCCCAACGTAATGACAATACTGCGAGCCCCATCAGCCCATTGCTTTCGTGAAGTCACCGACCAAGCATCAGAGATATCTACCTGCATCTCGATGTGTGATGCTCATACTGTCATGGATCTGGTTCGGGCCCTGCTCAACGAATAGCTTCTTGTTCTTGTCGTCTCGAGATATTCAGGGTGCTTATGGTGTCAGGACTCCGACACATGCGCGAGTCACGCTGGTCTTGCGGTTTTGGCACTTGCACATAGCACGGCCTGATGATTCTAGAAGAATTCCATGTCGTTCCGCGGCAGCGATGCCCTCGCCTACTTGATAGGCTGAAAACTATCATTGACTAAAGGCTGTGTAGATATTGAGAGTGTATCATGCGGTGCTAGCAGTGAGACTCGTGCTTGACACAGATACGCCCTGAGAAGATCAAGATATGCTTTGTGCGCCTCAAGAACCGAGGTTCGCCTAAGCTTCGACAAGGTGATCAGTCCCAAGGTGTGAGACAATATGAGTAAGTCCAATGATATCCAAGATGTCTTGAGCCTCGCGTCTCACGAGCTGCCGGATCTTCGCGAAGGTCAGGGTCGCCCCAGATGTGTTGCAATTTCCAAGTTGGCAACGAACGTGAATCCGACATTAAGATGACAGACAAATAAATTATGCCAGATCGGTGGTCACAAATAGAATGGAATACTGCTGAAGACAGCATTGAGTGACTAGTGGTGAATGATGCATTGTGGGAAGGGGGTCTTCGCAGTACCAGTTATCTCAAAACTCAGATATCCTTGCCAGATCGTGACATGAAGGCGTAAGTCTGGGATTAGTCATGCGGTAGGGAAGAGGCCTGCGAGTCAGAGATAAGGGCCAGCATCTACCGGCGGCTGCGGCGTTGCTTATTTTTAGCGAAGGCAGGGGTCCTGCAGCAGGGCGGGTCGGCCTCATCAGCTCTCACACCAGGACCAGGGAGCCCGTGTGTTGCGTTGCGTAAGCCTTCAGGAGAACCTTAAACTCTAGAACCCAGCTGGCTGGATCACTCCGAACTGCTTGCCCTGCGTTTCCTACGTCGTTTCTCTTGACTTCACATGCTGCTGTTACTGCTTTTTTGACATGTGCTGACCAGGAGCGTTGAACAAGCGTCAATCCCGTCCTTCACGAGATCCGCTTTTTGTCTCTCATTTCAGATTACTGTCTCTCAACGAGTAAGGTTGCCTCCCTTGTTGAAGAATCCGTAAAAGGGTCGGCCCTGCCTTCGTCTGCTTCTTCTCGCCAGGATACTTTTTCGCAGCCAACACATTCCTTTCTCAATTCGGCAGCGAACGGTGGCGTTCAGAAAGACGACATGGCTAAGGCTTCCTGCTCCCCGCTGATGGGCTGGAACAAGTCGCTGGCAATCGGTCTACTCATCATCATATGGGTTTTCTGGAGTGTGAGCTCACTCGGGCCCGGCGCAGCCGACGATGTCATCTCCCGGCTCCCTTCTTTTCCTACTGGTGGTGCCTCACCACCATCATCGGATGCGAGTATACGACCGCTCGTCTTGTACACATATGCCGAGTCAGACAATGCACGGGAGAACCTGGCCTTTTTTGTCAAGAACGGGCTGCACGGGAATGCCGATTTCGTCTTCATCTTTAACGGCGAGACGAGTGCCGTCGACCTGCTGCCAAAGGCGCCCAATGTCCGCATAATCCAGCGAGACAACAAGTGCTTCGATATTGGCGCCATGGGCGAGGTGCTGCGCCAGGACGATCTGTGGAAGAAGTATAAGCGGTTCATCACCATGAACGCGAGCATCCGGGGGCCCTTCTTCCCGGTGCATTCCCCAGGCTGCTGGACCGACACGTTCCTCAACCGGATCACAGACAAGGTTAAGGTAGGAAATTAAGCTTGCTCAAATCCCGAGCCTATCCTTTGACAAGATCGGTAAAAACTGACAAGACTCGAACGCGCAACAGCTCGTGGGCACGTCTCTCAACTGCCACCCCCGGGTGCACCTACAGTCGATGCTCCTCGTGACCGACGACGTGGGCATGTCCATCCTCCTCGACCCAGAGCTCGCACTGAGCGCGTCCGTGGACGACTTCTACGGCACCTCGAAGGATCCCGTCGGCTTCTCGCCCTGCTTCAGCACCCTGCACAAAGCAGTCCACGCCGAGATCGGTATCACGTCGCTCATCCAGTCCCAGGGCTACGAGGTCGATGTCGTCATGACCGCGCCCCATTCGGCCGAGAGCTTCGACGCCTTCTGCGCCAAGGTGGGCAGGCCCGACGACTTCCTGTACAAGGACCACTACCTCGGCACCAACGTGCACCCGTACGAGACGGTCTTCATGAAGGCGAACCGCGAGATCGACCCCATGTTGCTGCAGAGGCTTACCGAGTGGCACTTGGCCGGGAATATGTCGAGCTGGGAGACCTGTGGGCGATGAGCCGTTCCAAGGAGGCCAGAGTAGAAATATAATTAGCGACGCAAGCGCGCGATTGGGCGTTTGGTCCCGAGATGGGCAGACGGGCGTTGCATCGCGTGACGCGGCACCATTCACAACCTGGGTGCCGGTATGAAACATCCCGGTTCCGGATATCAACAATCAGCTCATCCATCGCATGGTTTGGACCTTTTTCAGCCAACTCTAGGACCTACTTCTCGGACAGGCTTTTAGGTCAAGGATCAGCAAGGAGACTATCCGATCTGTCACTCGCGAATATTGAAGCCTGTACAAGCAAACCGATATCTATGGTCCAGCATACATTGAGCAGACTAGGAACAAGTCTAGGCTACTTCTGAAGAGTCGTTCTCTTCAGGACCTTGTGAAATCTGTCAACACAGGGTTATAGCGCACGTCGAGAAATGATGGAACCAGTCCTGAGCGACAGCTACTCACGCTGGCGAGGTACAAGCGAGAGCAGCGTCTCGTGAGGTTTCTGATAATGGGACAGACGTCTCCTGCAATATCCAAATTACATACTCCATCATGCGAAATGCTCATCTTGATCTGTGGTGGGCGGCCTCAATCTCACTCGCATTTTCGATGTTCTAGTCCCGTGCTCGCAAGGCTACAACATGTTCTGATGCAGCGTATCTACGTCCTCAATTACAAACCGCATTGGTATAGTGCGTAAATACACAAACCTTCAAATGAGCTCACGTTGAACTCTCAAGCAGCGATTACGACAGGCCCCATCCTTTGGACAGCTAGTGGGTCTCAAACTCCCGCCGTTGCCGCATATATTTACTTGTGCCCGCATGGCTACCCAGATATGCTACCCAGATATTCGTCGTTGTTCGGTCTGAGAGCACGGAGGAATGCTTCAAGATTAATCGAGGGTTAATCGTGGTGTAGGCTTTTTTGTGACCAGATGCACCCGACTAGTGAAGCTGCAAGAACTCCTCTTTTCATTGAATCGTAGGTTGACTCTGAATGGACTCAGCATCTACCAGAGAGCGATCTACATCCTGATCAACATTTCTTTTCGGAGGGGCCTTCGAACCTTCGGCCGTCAGGCGCCTCGACCGATCACGAAGGGCACATCAGTTCCGAGCCGATACTTCTCTAGACATGCAACCTCTCGCCCTCATTGTCTCCAGAATCTCGGACAGGCGGATGCTCTGATACAGGCTGTGGTGGAACGAACTCCAGATCTAGAGGCCGGACTGATGCTGCCGGGCAGCATGGGGTCCGCGTAGAATTTAAGAGGCGTTAACGCTGCAGACAGCCACAGTAGGCGTGGATTCGTAGTCGAGAATCGTATCCGGGCACAAGGAGATGGAATTGTACGGTATGAATCACCGACAATTGAGCAAGGTCGAGGTTGAAGTTCGGAAGTCGGCTCATACCATCAGAAAAAGAGACAAGGGATTGGTCGCATTGCAGATTTATGCCTGCGCACATGAGCAGTGTCTGACTGTCTCCGGAGGGCTTTAATGGAAACTATCAATGATCATCAGGCACAATGGATGCTCTCGGCGTCCAAAATAATATCGGACTTCCGCAGGGTACGAGCTGCGGTCACTGATACGTTCAGCGCGCGCCCCCAGTACTACCCCTCACGCGCCAACATTTATCAGACTCAAGCAGCACTTTGCCAAATTGCCGGATATTTAGGAAAAGCTTTTGCTTATTGAATACGACTCACAGAGTAGCAACTCGGCACCAGGGCAAAAGATTTAACCGTCGGCATGCGGCCGTTTGAATCTCACATAGAGGCTTGAGACTGGTGGGATTACCATGCAGGAACAACCTGCAATTAAAATGCTGGTCCAATGGCCGTAACAAAACTGGCCGACTCGGACTGTTATAGAGTGTTATTGAGATTGCAGACGCTTTATTGTGAATTTGTAAAAGTAAAACGCGCAGCAAAAAGATTCCTTGCAGTGTCTTCGAGTTGCTGCTGTCAATAGCCCAATATATAAGAGCCGAACCAGTCTCTCGAATCTTGTGATTCTTTACCATTGACAGTCCCTTCAGTTATTCACAGATTCCTTGATCAACATCCTGGTAATTCGATATCAAGTTCGACTACTGTCAAGGATGCAACTTTCAAAGATTCTGTTCTCGCTTGGCCTGGCGGCTATTGCCGTTGCCCAGAGCAAAATCAAAATCAGTCAGTTAATGCGATAAGCACTTTCAGACCATTATAAACTAACGCCGTTATGATTAGTGCCTCTTGGTGACTCCATCACCGAGATAACATGCTGGAGGGCCAAGGTCTGGGACCAGTTCGTTGCAGCGAACATTACCGACAAAGTGGAGTTCGTGGGCTCTATGACCAACAACCCACAGAACTGCAAAGCTCAGTCAGGCTCGTTTGACCTTCATCATGAGGGTCATTCCGGCTGGCTGTCTATCAATATCGCAAACCAGTATCTCCAAGGTTGGCTGAACAGCAGCAAGCCCGACGTTGTACAGTGGATGCTTGGGACGAACGACGTTGCCCAAGGTCGAACGACGGCCGATATTATCGCTTCGTACACGAAGATGGTTGATCTGATCAGGGCATCCAATGCGAAGGGAAAGATTCTTGTTCGTACCCATTTCAGTATTTCTTTCATTACCAAGTGCTAGTACTGATAAAGTCGTTCAGGTTGATCTTTTGATTCCCCTGTCTTTCAACGGCGGTGGCATCGACACACTTAACGCCCAGATTCCATCATGGGCCGCATCAAAGAACACCACAGACTCTCCCATCAACATTGCAGACTGCTCCACGAAAGCTGGATTCACGACCTCCATGCTTAGGGACGGAGTACACCCGAATGATCAGGGAGACCAGCTGATTGCGAAGCAGGTTGGGCCGCAGTTGATCCAATATGTGAAAGGCCTCATTGCTGAGCGAGGACTGTGATGAGTTTTAAAGTCTTGACCATGGGTAGTAAGAAATTGGACAAGCTATATAACGCGCGGTACTTGTAGCTCAACTATCGCTATTGAATTCAAGTATTATTTGCCATTCGATGTGTATGATGGTGTTTTCGCGTAGCTCGATTGTTTTATGCCCAGGAAATGCTTCTCGTAAGACAATTTCAATAGCATCATGATACCTCAAAGCTATTATAATATGTTGCAAGGCCTCTGAAATCTGACAGTTCTTTTTTAATTAAAGTAAATCATAAGAAACAGGAGCCAAGCCCCCTTAATATAAGCAATCTCAAATATGCACATATACTATAGAACATAAAATAATGATGTGTCGGATACAAAGGCATCATGTGCGGCTCGATTTGGCTCGGCATAGTGAATGTAATCCTCAATTTGTCTGGGGTACTACATGCTGAAAGTCTTAACCAAAACTCTAGTTTTGCATTATTGCTCCACTACGAAGCCGCTGAAAACCACATCTCGATTGTCACCTGTGGCGAAGATCCCAAAGATGGGTCCAGTGAACTCTCTAGCTTGAAAGTCCTGGACGTCTAGACATCCCAGCTCAACCCAACTGCCCGGGGCCGACTCATCTCGGAAGAAGAACATATAGTTTTCCGGGGAGGCAACGATCCTGAAGCCTAGCCTGTCCACCTTCGAGGCGATCTCGCGTGTCTCGGTGCGATGAATTCTGCTTGCTGAATTGCAGATGTTCAGCTGTACCTGAGAAGCGCTCGAGTTGTACGCAACGGATGCGTGGCGAAGATGGTCCTTGTACAGCGCCAATCCAGCAACAAGATCTGCTGGGTTTCCGCTTAGATTTGGAAGTTGCAATATTGTCGTTGACACACTGTGAAAGGATCTTTGTCTCTTTCCAATGAAAGTCGTCGTGCCCGTCGGTGTAGAGAGTGAGTTAGGAGTAGCACATAAGGTGATCATTTGTTCAGTGTCTCCGTCCAAATGGTAGTGCGATAGGTCCGGATTTCTTATGTAACAGTCCTCCTGCCGTTTTACACGAGGAACATTTTGCCTGAAACCAATCTCGACGATAGCATGCCGACCGAACTTCATGACTGGCTGTGATACCTGTGGCCAGCCCCCTTCTGGCCAGTCGACAGGGGCGAGGAACGACTCGCGGCCGAGAGGCTGACCAGGCTCATTCCTCACTCCAAGTACTGCTGCCCACCAATTCCCATGTTCATCTTGAAACAGATCTCCATGTCCAACATTTTGTATATACTCGTTCTTGCCATCTGCGGTCAAGATTGGGTTCCCTGCAAATGACTCATATGGCCCAGCCACGTTCCGAGACCGAGAAATGCTGAGCAAATGATGCTCAAATGTGCCGCCTTCGGCGACGAGGAGATAGTACCATTCCCCCCTCTTGTATATATGGGGCCCTTCGGTATCATATTTTGCAAAGCCGCCCCAGATCTCACGGGGCTCAGTCAAGGGCTTGCCCGTCGTCAAATCTATTTCAAATTGTTTGATAGTGCAACTTGGTTGTTTCAGGCGGTCCATTTGCCACGAGCCTTGCACGTAGACACGTCCGTCATCGTCGAAAAAGAGATCCGGGTCGATGCCTTGGAACGGAAAGTATAATGGATCGGACCATGTGTCGGAAGCGATGTCCTTACAGCTGATCAGGAAGTTCTCGTAGCGCCAAGCATCTTCGTGGTGGAAACAATTCGTACAGACGATGTAAAATGTTCCTCCATGATGGCGTATTGTTGGCGCGAACAGGCCTGCGCTAGCCACCATCGAGTGGCCAGTGTCAAGAGGAAACGACCGTGCCGTGGCCTGACTGAGATCCAATTGTCTAGGTCTATTGATTGCATGACCTGGACTTCTAAGCTCGTGCCTCACAATATCTCGAGAATGACCCAGGACTTACCAATCAACGCCCAGTCTTGCAGATTGGTAGATGAATATATCGGTATCTGCGTAAATAGTCAGCTCTGGTCGATAATTGAAAACAAGATGTTATAGCCTTGGCTGATGGGGGCTCCTCACTCCTGGGAAGACATGGAAGCTAGAGGTGACGAGGTAGAAGACTCCGCCAACGCGCACAACCGATGGGTCTGGTGCGAAGCCCGGTACAATAGGGTTATGATACGTCCTTTCGCCATTCATGGCGCGCACCTCGTTGCTCCCCATCCTATCTGGAAGAGGCGAATGCCACTGAAGTTGAGCGACAGAAAGAAAACTAAGTAAAACAAGATGATAGTTGGTTTTAACTTCATAAATGGTCAGCGGAATTCTTAGCATCCGTGACCAAGACGAGGGGTGTAGGAAGAGTCCCTAGGTACAATGAGTGTTATCCAATGCTTACATGCCCCTGTTACATACTGAAGTTCTCAAAATCTGTCGGAGTAGGAATCAAGACCCGGTTGAAGAAAATCCTGGCTCCCGCGAGTCCTCATCGGAGTGTCCAAGGGTCATGTTATGCATCAGTAGGCATCAACGAGCCGGCACGTCATTTGTTGTGGCACTTAGGAGAGCCGCAGTCCCTGTCACTTCCCGACGTGCAATTGCCCGGACAATTCGCCGGCCGGAAGGGGCTCACGGTGAAGCGGTTAGCCAAGGTAGCATCGTATCTACGAAGCAAAGTCTCCACTCAATTCTGCCGAGACTCTCGAATTCAGACTGGCCAGAATGTCTAGCAGAGATGTGAAGAGTGACTTGGCGCGAGCAACAATGGATGGGTTGGTCACGCTGTTTAGAATTTGTAGGAGACTCATGCCGACCTGTCGCAGTTTTTCAACCTAGCCTGGTCAGCAGGAACTCACTGAAGGTAACTGAAGAGAAATAAAAGGGAGAAAGTAGCCCGAATACTCACGCAGGGCTCTCCGTTTGCCTGGAGGGCCTCGAAGGGTACGCCCATCGCAACATTGAGTAGGTCACTAGCAATTTCGGTCTTGCGGAAGGCCAACATTGTTTCGTCCTCAGAGAGGCCAAGAAGCGACAACAGCCCGTGGTCAGTGCATTTCTGCACAAGAATTAGCCGCAGGCAGTGGAATGTCACCAGTAAATTGGCTCTCTGCGTCCAGAATGCTCGTCTTTGGGACCGTTCGGATCGCTCGTCAGCCGACTTTATCAACATGGGGTCCCTCAACCATGCTGGTAAGGTATCTAGGACGCCACTGAATGATAGGTATGAGTCCGTGATTGCGTTCTTTGTCAGGTCGCTGGTGGGAACCTCAAGGTTAAATCTCGAGTGAACGTGGACGAGAACTTGAATGTCGACAAGGACGTTAGAGGCTGCCGACCAAATTCCCTGGCACAAATTAAAGCCCTCGTATAATTGCTCCTCAAAATTCGGTGCATCTGGGTATTTTCGTGCGTTGATGAGTTCCGTTTGCTGCTGCCCACAGAACGCAGTGGTTATGGTAGAGCCAAGTAGAATTTGGTGGAGAGTGATGGGCACATTGTTGAGTATGGATGCTGACTTATCCCCACTATGCAGGTGCCAAAACACATTCCTCAATATCTGGCCCTCTACGGCCTCTACATGTTGATAGGCGCTTTCGTCAAATAAGCGCATCTCTGACGCAAATCGTAGAGCGTCCCCCATGAGGTGCCATGACATCCTAGCTCTGCCGAGCGCATGAAGTGCATTTGCTTGGTAGTATCGGATGATTATCGAGCTGGAATCAGGTGCCTGGATGTCAACATCTTGATAGCAAGCCAGCATATTTCTTGACGCCTGCAGGAGCGGCCACGCGAGCGAGTTCCCAGCCGGCCAAATGCTCGCCGGCACAATGCAGCAGGTGATGGAGCACAAGGCCGTCAGTAACGAAAATGTGCGCATCTCCAGAAGGCCAAAATCCTCGGAAACTGAGACGTCTTCTCGAGTTTCAGATAGGCTGGGATCCAGGGGCTGTTGAGGACAATGGGCAATTTGTACGATTGTAGTGACTCCTTTGCGGATATCAGCCTCACATGCGAGTGGCGACAGAGGAAATATCCACTCCATGTACAAATCGATGCAGTCGTGCATTGTCAGCCCCAACGAGCGTGTCGGCTCAATCATTCCGATGAAGTCGGCCAACTCGTCATAGATTGCCCGGCAACGAGTAGTTGGGATTGCAGAGGATATTTGTCCGGCGCTGGGCTGTCTTGGTATGTGCCCATCAATTAACGGAAGATTGGGCATGCGCCCATGGCATGCGTCTAAGGTATGTCTTACGCCCGGTATGTGAACCGAGCTGAGGGGGCTTGCCGAAGGGGCTGCACACGATGCCGAGGCGCTCTCCGGCGCAGCCGTGATCGTGATTTCCTCCGTCCGGCCTGAATGACCGACGCGTTGGCTTCTGAATCTCGGACCTCGTTTTTTGGGAGGAACATTGTAAAGACAAGGTAAATCGGCTGTCTCGCAAGCAGAACAGCGAGGTGACTGCGCGTTGCACTACAGAAACTCAGCTCTCATTCATCTATAGCAAAGCCTCAGGGCTGTTAACTAGCCTTCACTTTCCTCTGCCTGCATCCATCACAAGCCCTTCTGGCCATTGCGAATAGCAGCTGTAGAGTGCTATCCACGAGAGACTGATAAACCGTCCGTGATGTAGTAGGGAAGCAGGATGGTCGGGGTGGATTTCGCCGCGGGGAATCGGCAGAATTTATATTTGCCTGGGGAGGAGCCCAGGGCATGAGACAAGGATGCCATGCGATGACTTTCCCCATGGGCTCGGGGCGCCTAGCGCTTCATGGATTAAGCTACCCCTTACTCGAGGGACCTGCATCACCAGACGAGGCTAGAGTCAGGAGAAGCCCACGGTTCTAGCGTTGTATTTCCCCGATCCTCCGCGGCCATTTGCGCAACACCATGAACACTACTCCAAATACTCCTTCAAATATGATCTCGTTCAAGGATGCGGGCCGATGGAGCTGAGATCTCGACGTCCTAGTCATAAGCGACAATATACTCTGACAGTTCGCGGGGAAGTGGAGAACTGGGGAACCGCGTGGTTGCTTGCATGGAGGAGCGACGGTGAATCCGGGGTTGGTTGGGAACAGAACGTAAGGCTGATGACTATATAACCTTTCCAATCCCCATTTGGTCGTCGTGTACGCGTTTGAGACAGTCGACCGTCTATGTCTCCATTCATCCCCTCGAAATGGCGGATACTGCCCCGAACTCAGCACAAGAGAAGCCTGAAATGGCTCGTGTCAATCCCGATGTCGAAAACGTAGCTCATCAGCATAAGGAGATCGTGTCCGCATCTCGGAAAGCCTCTCCTGGCTTTGCGCAGCTAGTGAAGAATAAGAGGGTGCTGGGATACTGTAAGCAAGCCAGTCACAACCTTCCAACACCACGCGCTTTCTTTCTGTCCTCTAATCCTCACTGGGTAATCAGGCCTACTCATCTTTATCCTGCCCATCAACTTCGGCTATGAGTTAGCACTCGTCGGAAACATTCTCGCGATACCAGGATTCCTCGATCGATACGGCACTACGACCTCAACTGGGCGGGAGATTCCTGCACACGACCAGCAAGTACTGAATGCGTCCACTAATGTCGGCATATTTCTCGCCGCCTTCACAACCGGTTTCATCTCGGACATGATCGGCCGCCGCAAGGTCATCTTTCTAGGCTGCACCCTTTGCATAGTCGGTATCTTCGTCCAGGCCTGGTCTACCTCCATTCTGATGTTGTTCGGAGGCAAGCTGATCAGCACCTTCGGCTACGGGATGGGTCACGCACTCAGCCCTGTCTTCGTCGCTGAGATTTCGCCAGACGAGCTTCGTGGCCTATGTTTGATTCTTGTTAATTCCATGGTTGTCATCGGCCAGTGGGTCTGCGCCTTGGTAGGCTACGCCGGAACATTCATCCAGGGCGACTGGGGCTGGAGATTGCCAGTTTTGGTGCAGCTGGCTCCGCCAGCCGCTATGCTAATCCTCGCCATCCCGCTTCTGCCAGAATCGCCTTCCTGGTTATTAGTTCATGGAAAAAGAGAAGCAGCAGGTAGATCCCTTCGAAAGTTCAACGGTCCGAGCCACGATGTCGAGGCGACGCTCGCTTTACTAGACGCCACAATCGAGAAGGAGCGCGAGTTGAATGCTCAGGGAGCTTCGTATCTCGACTGTTTCAGAGGCTCTAACCTGCGCAGAACAACTATCGTTTGTATGGTATACCTGGCACAGCAATTCGTGGGCGCTAACTTTGTTGCTGGCTATCTGCCGTAAGCTTTTCTATTTACCTAGAGATACCCGCCCTCTGTTTCACTTCTCATCTCAGTTGATCCTTATATTAACTTGGCTGACTGGTGTACAGGTACTTTTTCACCCTCGCAGGGGTGCAGAACGCTGTCGGAGTTGCTCAAGCCTGCTATACGGTGCAACTATTCGGCAACATCTGCTCATGGTTTCTTATCGATCGCTCGGGGCGTCGTCCTCTCATCGTATGGGGTTGCATTGCCATGACTATATTGCTTCTCATCATCGGCTGCTTGGGCATCGCCCGCGACAACAAGCAAGCGTTGTCGGCAGTGGTGGCCTTGATGGCCATTTGGGGTTTCTTGGTACGTCACGCGGAGTAAATATCCCTGTTTGCTCGACTCACGTACTGATGCATCTACAGTTCCAACTTACCCTCGGAGCAGCGGCCTACGCTGTAGGCGGGGAGACTGCCACCCCTCGACTGCGACAAAAGACATACTCGATCAATGTCATGAGCAACACGGCAGCGGCATGCTTGGTCGGCCAAATAGTACCGATCCTCATCAATCCAGGGAACGCCAATCTTGGTGCGAAAGTGGCATTCGTGTTCTTCGGTCCTTCACTGCTCTTCTCCATCTACCTGTACTTCTGCTTCCCTGAGATGAAGGGTCGCAGTTATTTAGAGCTGGAAGAGATGTTCCAAAAGAAAATACCGACGAGGGATTTTGGGAGATATACATGCGTCATGGATGTGGTTGATGTCGATGGGGAAAAGCCAGTCGTTGTGTTACGAGATTGAAAGGCCCCGATCCTTGGCATGTCACTTACGGTACATATCTCTTCATACCCACATAAATGCGTAAAGCTGACCCTCGGTCAGTACTGAGATCTTTTCAATTTCAGTAAGCGCCCTTTAGATTTGGGTATTGGCTCTACCCACTCGCGCCTCTCCTGAAGCACTCGCGACACAGGATGGACCCTTGAGAACGTGACATACGTGGAAGTAATAATCGATCACGTTCCACACCGCGACACAGATTCGAAAAGACTTGTAATAAGATGCAATCATTTTCAATACATCGAAGCAAGTCCTATACAACATCTAAAACTCAGAACTTTGGCTCAGCCTTTACATGACCTCACGCTCAGGTTTGAGATAACTGTCACGGGTAGCGAGAATCGAATTTTCAAGGTCATAAATACAATTCTGATCCAATGGGCATAGTATCGATGAATCTGACTGTAAATTTCCGTCACTGGCTCGCTATTGCAAATCACACCACCCAGTGGGAAAATGCATCTGTGTGGATTGTTCTGAGGCCCTGAATTGTTTCCTGGACTTTGATCAGAGCACGAATTGAAGAAGCTGACCTTTGAACCCTGGAGCATCACTTTAATAGACGACCTGTCTTCTGCGAATAACAAACGAAAGTGACGGAATATTGACCATGGCGGCGCCGGATGTGTCACAGCCGATGACCAGCCCCTGACTATGATAATCGGCGCAAGCTGTTCACACAAAGATCCTCTTACTCTCATGGATGAGTTGCATGGTGTCGTTGCTGTATATTTGAAAGTCTCTCCTCTTGAAGGGTGACTGTGTAAACTATCATTCGCAACTCATCCCGGTACTTAGACTCGCCAATCCCCAGAGACAATTCAGAGATGTGTACAGTTATAAAAGGACGTGAATTTTTCCTACTAGAATACTCTCCACTCGCTCATCCGAATCGACTAACAAAAGATCATCAGGATCAAGCACAACTTCCAAGTTCCAACAACAACCCGCTCGAACTATCCACTCGAACTATCCGCTCGAACTACACCTGTGGCCCCCGGCTACATACAATCATTCAAGCAGCTTGAAAGAAACTCTCTTGCAACGAAGATTTGCCGTAACTCTCGGTTCCCACGCCTCGTCTACTGCATTCGAAATGACCAAAATTGTGGACATGGCGGAGGACACATCGAAGGATGCGCCTCGGGGATCCAAGTGCACCTGTGATCCCCCTCGCCGCTTCAAGAAGGAAGAATCACGGTCGATGCTGGGAAGTAAGTATTGCGACTACTGCGGAGGTGGTCCGTATGATCATTACTGGCGATGCCAGAAGACCTGCCATCGCAAATTCTGCAACTCTTGTATGGACACTCTGGGATACAGCAAGGACAAGGAGGAGTAATGTCGCCGCGCCTAAATCTTGGAAGTGGGCGGCCTGAATTCCCACTGTGCCGAACGGCATGGAGGAGCATCTCGAGGGTGGGTTCAGGTTTCGCTGAATCGGCTCTTGGGGTCAAACAAGTAGAGCCGAGAGGGATTCATGCATGATCGATGATTATCTGGGAGAAACAGACAATTCTGTGCTTATTTGATTGACTGGAGCAAAGCTGGTAGCAGAATTATGAACACAGACATGTCTCGACCCCTTTCAGTGCAGCTGAGTTCTCGTGTGATCAACGTGGATGCACAAATTCGAATGGTAAACAGAACACATCGGAAATCACAGCAGCGGCCAATTACTGAGCTCTAACTCTATGAGCTTCATATGCGACGAAGTTGAGTGACTAATATGTTGCCTTTACCGGAAAGTATGTGTAACTCTCCTTCGACGCCCAGAAGCTATCACCAACCACATCACATTTAGGGAACGCACTGTTCTACCAAAGGCATATTCTGAGAGTCGGATCTATTGTAGCCGGCATCCATATGTCGCTGTTAGCTGCTATTACTATTGAACCTCAAACAATGTGGCGTGTTTTCTGAGACTCAGCAACGGTCCATCCTAGCACGTGGGTCTGCGAACAGGGTCCAATTTTAACCTTATCTCGACGTCCTTCGAACCGTCGACCCTGAGGACCAACGACAGCGTAAATGTCTCCGAGCCCAGATGACCAGGAAGTCTATCTGGCTCATTAGAGTGGATGCAAATTGTAGAGCATTGCCAGCAAGCATCTCACGATCGACCGCGAGCTATATTCAAGTGGACCATTAGAGGTCTGTACACGGCCTGAAAGACAGCTGGGTGGACTTTGAGCACAAGGCCAGCAATGGCATAAAACCGCAAAATACAAACTTGAAGGGAACATTTCCGTGCCGACAAGCAATGGAAAGAAACAGCAAGGCTTCTTTCACCGATGTGGCCCCACTGTCAGCTTCAGGAGATAATGTATGGTCAAGGGTATGGGCGGTGGCATGGGAGCCAGATACCAATGCTGACGTACGCCACCTTCATGCACCTAAGGAGAAATTTTACTCTCTGGCTATTAGTTTTTGGAGTGGGACTATCCTCTATTAAAACAATTGGAAGAGAAAACCAGCACAAGAAAAAAATTCCTGCTTGTGCAGAAGGGAAAAGTCTCGACTCGGCCCGTTACGAACGTTGCTCCCGTCACACACCCGGGATACCACCCCCGGCCCCAACCGAGATGGTGGACATGCACCCGCTGCCGAGCCCCGGGAGGGCTCTCTTCTCAAAACCGTACATGATCATCCATATCAGCCCAGAGGCTTACAGAAATAGCCCAGCAGCTGCAAGCTCCCGGTATCGACAATTTAACATCTGCATGCACACACGTGACGATCCAGCGCACCGAACCACGCCGCGCTAGGGCACCACCACTGCATGCAGATAGATGCAGCCGTCGAATAGTCGCGACGGGCGCGGGCCAATACCGTGTGGCTGATATCCAGGTCAGCACCGAGACTGGCTTGGCGTCCCTTATCCAGAGCAGGAATACGAACGGGAGCAGGGGTCGGCATCCTGGTGGCTCATCTCATCTCCCAAGGCCCCCCGAATCTAGAATGTCACAATGCCAGTTCAAGGCTGCCACCGAGTGGGCCGATGCCACGATACTATCGTGGCCCAGCCGAGCCTAAGATACGGGCGCGGGATACGGCACGGTGATTGTGGTGGTCAGCAGTGGGACAACGATGTGAAGATTTCCATCTTACAATCCTTCTGAACTTTTTGCGACTTCTTCATCTTCTAGTTTCCCCGTGTATTTGCTTATTCATCGCTTCGTGCCGCTGCTCCTTCTCTGTCTCTCGTTGACATCGAGTCTCGAGTTCATCTACTCGACGACGTTCTAGCATTTAGTTGCCCGGTTCTTAATGTGTAATATCTAATTGGAAGATCCACCGGTTTGCCCAAAATGCTCCTGAAGACTGCAATCGCATTATCGCTGTGCTTGGCAACGAGCGTCCGCGCAGATCCAACATGGCCAGCAGCGACGGACGAGATAGAGGAAATCATGTACCAGCTCTATGGCTCCGGGGCGCGCTTGTTCGCAGACACTATCACCCCCTGCTCTAAAGAAGCCCATGGGGTTGGCCGGAAGACTGCTTCTGAATGGCTTCGAGTTGCATTTCACGATGTGAGCCGGACTCTGATGTCCTGACGGGCACCTCATGCTAATGACATGCGTAGGTGGCAACAGCGAACACATTCTTCGGTACCGGTGGCATTGACGCCTCAATCATGTACGAACTGAACAACGGGGAGAACACCGGGCCGGGACACAACACAAGCCTGATAACCTACGCGGGCTACTTCTCCCCAAGGAGCAGCATGTCAGACCTGATCGCGCTGGGGGCAGCGCTGTCAACACGGGTGTGCGGCGGGCCGGCCGTGCCCGTCAAGGGCGGCCGGGTGGACGCCACGTCCGCGGGCAGCATCGGAGTGCCCCAGCCACAGAACGCGATATCGCTCTTCATCAACCAGTTCTCGCGGATGGGGTTCACGCAGGCGGAGATGATCGGCCTGGTCGCCTGCGGGCACACGCTCGGCGGCGTCCACACGCCCGAGTTCCCGGCCCTGGTGCCCCCGGGCACGGCGGCGAACAACGAGTCGGCGCTGGACACGACACCCGACGCCTTCGACAACAAAGTCGTGACGGAGTATCTGGACGGGACGACCAAGAGCCCCCTGGTCGTGGGGCCGTCGGTGGCGCTGAAGCAGAATGCCGACTTCGTCGTCTTCAACTCGGACAAGAACGTGACGATGAACACCCTGGCGAGCCCGACGAATTTTACTAGCACCTGTGCGAGCCTCTTGCAGCGGATGATCGACGTCGTCCCGTCGGGCGTGGCGCTCTCCGACCCCATCCTGCCGTACGCTGTCAAGCCGGTCGGCCTACAGCTGGCCATGAACAGCGGCGGCGCGACGCTGCAGCTGAGCGGGAGCATCCGTGTACGGACGACGGGGCTGTCGCAGGCCGTCAGCGGTGTGACGTTGGCGTACAAGGACCGCAGCGGCGCGAGCTGCGACTCGTGCACCATCTTGGCCACGGTGCTGGCGTCCGGGTCCGGGCTCGACGACACGTTCGACTTCTTCCCCGTCTCGGCCGACATCCCCGTGGCGTCGGGCATCTCCTCCTTCACCGTCACCCTAGAGTTCGCCGATGGCACAACGAAGCTGTACGACAACAACGGCAATGCCTACCCCATCTCCGACGCCGTTATCCTGCAGAAGCCGCAGAGCTGTCTTCTCCAGGGCCCCGGGAGTCTGAACGTGTCGGCGCTCGTTCTCAGCGACCGTGCGGCTACGGTGAATCTCGGGATCCAGTACCAGACGCCACAGACTGGGATAGCAGGTCCGCGGCTCCAGAGCACCAGCGTCGCGATGGTGGCGGGTACCTGCGTGGGGCCGTACACGTTTTACACGGCCTCGTATACCATCCCGGGCGGCCTGTCCCATGCGGCGAGACTCGACATCACGAGCGGCAGCGGCACTTCTGCGGTGTCCAACACTTTCAACCTGGCGTCCGACTTGGCTGGGACGTGCCTAGATTTCTCTGGGGCTGCCGCGTGTGGAAGTGCCCCCTCGTCGTCTTCTGTCGCGAGCTCCACACTCGTCTCCTCCACGCTGTCTACAGTGTCCGTCCCGTCCAGCTCGCTCAGCACTTCCACCCAGTCGACCGTGTCTGTGTCGTCGTCAGTTCCGACCGTGACGAGCTCTAGTACTGTCACTGCAAGTTCATCTAGCACCTCGGCGGTGGCGACGTTGGCTCACAAGGCTACAGTAGCCGGATACGAACTCGTGTCTTGCTGGACGGAGGGTACAGGCGTGCGTGCTCTGTCAGCGTCGACGTACTCTGACGACAGCATGACACTTGAGTCTTGCGCGGCCTTCTGTGCAGACTACAAATACTTTGGGGCAGAGTACGGAAGAGAATGTGAGTTCGCTCGAAAATGTTCTTGTCGCCAATTTGACCTCTCAACTTGGCACTCTTGGGTTTGTTTGCTAACCTTGCCCTTACAGGCTACTGCGGAAACACGATTGATGCCTCCACCGAAGCCGCCCCGCTGGACGACTGCAACATGGTCTGCTCGGGCTCCAGCGTTGAGTACTGTGGCTCCGGGAATCGGTTGGAGCTCTACTTCAGCAACAGCTCGGAGCCGGGCACTGGCGGCGGAGGTGGGAGTGGAGGCGATGGCGGCGAGCCGACACAACCGGAGACTGTCGGCGCGTATACGAGCATTGGGTGTGTGACCGAGGCGGACCAGACCAGGGCGCTGACCGCGCGGAGCTTTGTGGATAGCGGGATGACGCTGGAGCGTTGTGCGAGTTTCTGCTCGGCTTACACCTACTTTGGTGTCGAGTACGCTCGCGAATGTGAGTTTCTGCCTGCTTGCCCTGGCGAGCCACGCCTAAATTTTAGCTACCTGGCTAACATCTCCCAGGTTACTGTGGTAACAGTTTCGGAGCTGGCTCGATAGCTGCTCCAGCGAGCGATTGCTCCATGACATGTGCGGGCAACGCCACAGAGTTTTGTGGTGGCAGCAATAGGCTTAGTGCCTACCAGAAATCATGAGATGGGTATCACTCCATCGGATTGATTGCTATCCACGAACTCCTTGGTTTCGAGTCGGGAGTTGAAACCCAAATCCAAGAGCCGTCTGCTTCAGTCAACGCTGCCGTGGCCACGAACTACGCTTGTGTCACTTCGTCCACGACCGTGCTTTGATGTCAAACTTGAGCCCTTCCTACTGAGAACGTGTGCCCTGGAGATGAACCCTTTGCCCAAGTACCGTGGCTTTCTGGGTCGGCAAAGCCGGTCAACGGTTTACGCAGTAGCTTACTATGTGGACCATTTGCCGGCCCCCCAAAGAGCACACACGTACGACCAGTCTGCTCATCTCGTGCAGAGCGACCCTTCAGGGCGGAGCTTCGAGGCACAATAGCATGTGCCGCAGACAGTGCAATGGGATTTGGACCTCGGCACAGGTCGTAATAACCCCGAAAGGACTGGCGCCCAAAGTCCATTTGCAACTGCCTGTGGCCTGGGTCCATCAATGTCCTCACCGGCTGATGGCCAGCGACGGATGCGTGTGGCTGGTTGTTTGCGGCGCATGCAGTAGTCTGCCGTCTGCTCGGTCCAGGCGCTTCCAGACGGGCCAGAGAAGGGCGAAAAGAGAGGGGAAGCGGCCAGTGATCGCGGACCACTAGCTCCGAAGGCTCACGGATCGAAGAGGGAGCGGAGACAATCGAGATTGACCTCACAGGCGCAGTCGTGGCATTCTCTGCCTGCAGGAACGCGCGAAGCAGTCATGTGGCGGACCGCCCTTGGCCCACTTGGTCTGATGTTCCCGGCCTAGCGGCTACTGTTTGTTGACTGATGAGCCTCTCAGACTCTCTTACCTCTGCTGGCAAAGAGCATTGATGGGCTGACGAGCTGAAGAACGCGGGACATTTTCCTCTGCCCCTTGACGTCATTACAGGTTTGACAGGTGACTGCCAGGCCAATGAAGGTTGTTGCCCCGCCAGGGGTAGTCGCTGGTGGGGGAAACCGCCCGCGGGCGACGCACAAGGGGCAGGGGGTAGCTTCTTTCCGCAATTGGTTAGTGGCAAGTGCTCAGCATGCCCACCGTAACGTCATACCTCGAGAGAAGAAAGAGGATGGACATTTGGAGATGGGAAAATAGAGTGGCGACTAGATCTGATAAGATGCGAATCATATACACAGTGGCCAGATTAGCTCGAGCAGCTCGGCACAAGCCGCGAACGCAATGGCACAGCACAGAATTGGTGCAAGACTCGCAGGTTTTCTGGTGGACACAGCCATGGATAGTGAGCCACCAGAATCAATGCTTGATGTGGAGTGCTATGCTAGACTATCGACTATGTAGAGAGAGTTGACTCTCCTTCACAATATTTGCGTCACAGAGCCCACCGATCGACCGGGAAACTATCTTCCTATCTAGCTATAGCTGTAGGTCCCTGACGCACATATTTTGCCCCAGCACGTCAAAGACCGTGTCCAGCCGCTCCTCTCGTTCCTGCTTTGTGGCCCACAACCAAATCGCGGGGATCTCATTGCCTGGTGGCACAGAGTACCTACCCACGTAGCTAATCGAAAAGCTTGTGCAATGTCACTGCCAATCTGATGGACACCCTCCCTCTACAATCCTTACATGCAGACGTCTTCTTTACGTCAGAGGTCATGCCGCCCCACGTCTTACACGATCTCTCCCTGCCCCGCCAACCCAACCTGCCTCCAGAGTGCTTCATGTCGACGGGAAAGTCCAGCAGAGGACGGTCTGGCCCTGGTTGCTAGCCCTATGAGGCTACTCCCTCGACGTAGCTCGGCCCTCTTCGTGTCTCCTGCCCGGCAACTCCCTCCTCCAGCTCTCGCGCACCAAAGGGGCTCCATGACGTAGCTGCGTGCTTCACATGATAGACACTAGCCTGATTGCTTGTCTGCTTGCCTCCTAGCTTCCTTACCTGGGGCAAGCTGCTCTGCCTGTCACCGGAAGCAAACGAGAAGGAGGGAGGCACGTCAGTCACTGTTGATGTTGACAAACGCTCCGGCTGTTAGTCCCTTCTCTCCCGTCATTTCCCTGACTCTGGCTACTACTTAAAGACCCTCAACTCCTCTACTCTCGTCTCTCGATTTTCTTCCTTCATCATCAACCTCAAGCTTCAAACTCAAGATCTTCACAAACAATCAATCAACACCACAACTTCCAAACCAAACCAACAACCATCACCATGGATACCATCAAGAGCACCGCTAACTACGTCTCGGGTACGACTCGTTTCCTTCGCACACCCTTCTCTCACTCATTGCACCGAGGCTGACCTTCACCCCAGACAAGATCCAGGGTACTACCCACGAGGCTTCCAAGGAGGCCAACAAGGAGGTCGCCAAGGACTCCAACGTCAGCGTTGGCAACCGGTAAACTCTTCACACTTACTCCCTTCATCAGGCAATGATTAACAATGTCACAGTGCTCAGGCCGGTGTCGACGCCCTGAAGGACAAGTCCAAGGAGCACTCGCACGATGCTTCCGCTGAGGCCAACAAGCAGAAGGCTATCCACTAAGGGCCTTCTCCTGACCTCAACATCATGACGACCTCGACATGACATTGGAATTATGGCGTCTCGGAAAGACTCGAAGAGTTTTAAGGACGGACAGTCTGGCATGACATCGTTGGGCAGGACAGATTTCTTCACATACCCCCTAGGCAGTACTTCAGTTTCCTAGACGAAGAATCAACACATCCGTACAGACAATTTTGGCATGCAAATGCGTGTGACATGTTAATTCCTGCTTGAAATTGACGTTGCTTTACCTTTGCGTCGAGCGACTAAGCCCCTCTTGTGTACACCTTATCTGCTTTACTCGGTAGCTTGCTCCTCAGTTTCTGGGCCGAATCATATAGATTCGTATGTGACAAAAATCTATTGAACAATGTGTACGTTCAATTGTGTCGCTCACAAGTCCTAAGCGCTGGAGTGGTTGGGTGCAGATTTAAGGTTGCATTGGATTCTATGCGCACGGCCCTTGTCTTCTGTTTCGTATGGACGGCAGAAGTGAAGCGACTCCCCTGAGTTCCACCGGACCACAATTGTCGCAAGGACTCGACGACAGTCCAACTTATCACCTTCTGAGTGCCGAAACTCTACGGAACAGCTTCAATTCAATTATACCCCAAGTTCGTAAGCTGCTCACCAACGCCTCAACCATCACCATGGCCAGCAACACCACAGCCGCCGACCCTGGCCTCCCGCCGGACCTATTCGATCAGACCACCCTGGTGTCCCTCGCCTCCACCGTCCTGATCTTGGCCGTGGCCTACGCTACGTCGCTCAAAGCCCTGTCGCCATCGACCCCGGGCAGCTACCGATTCCTGTTCATCTGGCACGCGTTCGACGCGTTAATCCACTTCTTCCTCGAAGGAAGCTTCCTGTACCACGCAAGTTACCACCCACCGAGACGGCCAATTGCACCCAGGGCACTATACAGTTTCACTAACAACTTCCGCACCCCGCGAGCAGTGCTTCTTCAGCTCGATACCCTACGACAGCCTCACAGTCGGCGACCTCCGCTCCGGCCGCTACTACTCGACGCAGCAGGGTTACCTGGGCCATGACGACCGCATCTGGGGCTCGCAGGCCGCCGCCGCCGACAACCCCTTTGCGCAGCTGTGGATGGTTTACGCGCGCGCGGACAAGAGGTGGGCTGGTGCAGATACGGTACGTCCCTGGACATCACCACACTCGGGTCGTTTTGGACAATTCCATTTCCTAAGGGGGGCAACGTGGACGAACATTGCTGACCAAGCGCGCGGTTTGTAGACTGTCGTGAGCCTGGAGCTCCTGACGGTCTTCGTCGTGGCCCCGCTGGCTGTGCTGGTCTGCTACGACATCGCCAAGAAGAATTCGCGCGCCAACATCTTGATGGTGATCATCGCGACTGCTGAGCTGTATGGAGGTAAGTGCTGACCCACACCGCACAGGCACCTGCTCCCAATGGGGTTAAGAGGGAGGGCGGCGGACACGGCTGACACTTGTCTTTCCCTGTAGGCTTCATGACGTTTTGCCCTGAGTGGCTTACCGGCAACCAGTTCCTGGACAGCAGCAACTTCATGTATCTCTGGGTGTACCTGGTCTTCTTCAACATGCTCTGGGTTTTCATCCCGTTCTATGCCATCTACGTCAGCTGGAATGCCGTGAACGCTGCTTTCACGAGCCAGACTGTGGTCCAGGTGGTCAAGAAGACGAAGTAGCGGTGCTCAGAGCCGCGTGCAGGAATTCCTTAAGCAGCAGCAGGCCTGGGATATACCTAACGAAATGGTGTCAGGCTTGCACGGCGGCTTACTCTCCGATGTGGGATGGATGTTTGAACTGGGTGTGGTCGCTTTTGATTATTCACGAGGTTTACACTAGAATCTCGGTCAATTTGAATTGTTCTGGACATACACTTCTACTCTCTCGGTGATTGAGATGATTGAAGTTAGTGAAAACCTTGGCTAACTCTGTGAACAGTGAACTGCAGTTACCAACGCTTTTTTGCTATTTCTTGTTGACCGTGGCAATGAGTTTGCTGTTTCAATTGAAATATAGACGGCGTTCTTCTGTGTGTTCTTCGCGTATGTCCTCGGTCTGTCGTTTCAGTGGAGGTTTTCACCTGCTTCCTAGAGGAGAGCCCCGGGGTCATTGCCCAACTTGAAAGGCTCGAGAGTGAACAACACTTTCGATGAACGGCGGTGGTATCGTCACACATTCTACCCTTTGGTTTCCTCCTAAGTGACCATGGTCCCTTGGGCTGAATCCGGCCATAAGCAGTACGATGCCTTGATCAAGCGGAGTCCACGCCACGGTTGACTTACTCTGGTCTTGTGCCGAAGGAGGACTGTCTCTGCGTAAACATAGGGACTGCAAGCAACCACCTGCTTGACCGTTGGCCGACGCATTCCTTGCTGGGTGTAATACTCTTGCAGAGTCTCAAGGAACGGCTCAGCTCGTCCTGTTCACCATGTCTTCACTGCACCGACTGGTAAGGAGGCAAGATATGACGGTGTTGGAGGGACACCTTTAAGGAGTCGAGATTTGAACAGTCGTAGGCTGTGTAACTCGGTTGGCACTGAAAACGCGAGAACTGCAGGTCTATGGATCATCTTCAGCATTACACTGGAGATTTTGCACGCCGCAAAGAAATGGTAAATGAGGAAATACCTCGGGTCCTACTGTCAAACTCAGAGGTTAATATTGGCCAACGATTCAACCAGTAGAGAAGCAAGAAAGACTTTGACCTTATCATTTGTGTCTAGCACTTTTATGATGGCAATTATCACGAGTGAGTGTCTTCAGAGGTCAAAATAATGTTTCCTGGAGTGCCAGGTTGCGATGAGCATCTACGGGACGAGAATGGTCGCCTACGATACGAGGCTGACATTACAAGAGTTCGACGACAGATGTCTTTCACACAAGAGTAGTTTTCTGGTAGTCTCGCCGAGGAAGGCTTTTGATAACTCCCATAGACTTGAAGACCAGATCTAGATATCAACAGTCATTTGAGCCCAAGCATTCAGCACGAGCACATGTTCCAAGTGCTTTGAGCAGGCAGATGGCCCCAACCTAGGAGGACACCCATGACGGGTGACTTGAGCGTTGCGTCCCCAAATCTCGATTATTCAGATTCACACTTTCTCGGCGCCCTCTTCTCTCGCGTGAGATGAGTAACTACAACTGGGAGCAGCGGGGGATTTGAGAGGCAGCCCGGTGAACAACCCCTCACGTCCATGAAGGACTCACAGCCATCTTACCAGGAAGAATAAGTTTGGGTCATATTACGCGATGGGACGCAACACTCAAGCTTCCATCTTCTCCATTCACGAAATGAAGGAGACAGACACATGCCAGACAGAACGTCCCACAACCCGGAGATGATCAGAGCACAAGCTCATCAATGCCGTTGAGGAGTAGGAGTAGTGTTCGAGAGGGGCTTCTTCCCAGTCACAATGTCGCCGGCGGCCACTTGCCGCCCGGCGAAGCACCAGCACCACGCATGGGCATCGCCAGCGCAGCGCGTCGTAAGCCAGGTTAGGTGCGGGCACCCAGCACGCGCCGCTGAACCATCGTCTGGACTGTGGCAGGCTCCGGCACGGACCGACAAATTGGAGGGAGCGCTGAGAGAACCACCTGAAGCAATCTTGTGAGCGTAGGACCAAGAAAGAAAGCGATATAGCAAGCCGGGGTTTATTTTGAGTTGGCAGGCGAGGCTTGATTGGCGCTGGTGAGGTTATTTCCGCCGCGTGTGTCATCGCGGTCTGCCAGGTAACCTTACCGGCGCCAATGGAAGCCGTCCTCGGCGTTGAAGCCGGCCGTGAGAAACCTGATATCGCGCATTGATGCTGGAGGCTTAGGTGGGCGCACAGGACGTCCCAACTTGAGTGAATATCTACCGCGAATCGTAGTTCAGGGCGACACGCAATCGTGCAACCCCCACGATAGCGGCGTTGACCCCAGCAATGGGACGGCGCACGGCCAAGGTGGTAGTCTGATACCAAGAGGGCTGAGGCTGTGATAGCGGTCAGATGCTGGGTAGTGTCCGGCGCAACGGTCGCTTGGGCGGTGTTGGCGTTACCTGAGTGCTGGTAGCAGGCAGGTAGGCAGGCAGACCGGCAGGCCGCCTACGACTGCGCGCCATCGGTGGGAAATTAAGGGCGTACACTGCCTCCTGCTCAGAGTTCGAAGATGAAGCCGCAGTCCATCGGGATGCTTTCGTCCCGTCTTCGATATTCTCCTAGGCCTTGTCCTCGCTAGTGGCTGGCGGGATGGATTGTTCGGGCAACCCTGACTGGAAACCCCATCTCGACACCCGAGCCCTGCCCAGCTACGTGGTGATGGCTTCAGCCCGCACCAACGACAACGGCCGGGCGAACATGCATCAATCTAATTGAAACCACCTCCGCACCCACACAGACGAGAGGTCACAAATGGCTCGTGGGGATTTCAAACGGAGTCAATGAGACAAAATCGAGATATTGCTGGGACGAGGCGTTACGGTTTGCACTAGGCCAGTTCAGAGTCGAAACGAAACGCCCACTCAAACTCTCTTCTTGCGGGCTGTGACACCCCTTGGCTGGGATCAGGTCTCCTGGGCTACGCAGTCTCGTCTGACAAATGAACGAGTGTTTGACGGGGCTTGGCCTCTGGAGAACCCAGGTCACGGAAAATGCGGAGATACACGTGTGTTGTCCGTGAGCGTTGAGGGCGGGCAAGTAAAGACGAAGATGCGCAGATCTGCTGATGATGATGATGGAGCAGATCGCCTCCCGCCTTCCCTTCCCCTCCCTCACATCGGTTTTCAGATGGAAACTGGGCAAATTTTTTGCTCCTCTTTTTCGTCGCGATATTCACTTTTCAACGGGCCGAATTCGAGACGAAATGATTGCCCCCAAGCGGCTGGGCGGCTGATGGACCCGCGATCTGCAGCAGTGACCGTTCAGCCGCCGGCTAAGTTGAACATGACAAGACTGAAATCCAAATATATCAAATATGGAAACAACGGGTGTCCCCAGATGTTCGCACATTTGACAGAGAGCTGTTGATGCTTTCGCGATTGTAGTACCGCGATTGGCCTTCGCGGTAGGCTGACCCGGCTTTGTGAGACGGTCAGGTACTGTGTGCAGCCTAGATAGGCAAGTTATGGCGAATCTCTAACGATATGTGATTCCTCACTGAAAGCCTTACGCAAGCCGGAGAGACCCTGCAGACAGGAGAAGCCGTCTTCAGACGAAATGGTCTTCGGACGGGTGGCTTGCCCGTGGCCTATGGGCGTGGCTTGGGATGAGGCTAGTTCGGACCACGGCATTGACTTCGACTTGTCCTGGGTGCCAGGAAGGCAGGACAGTCATCTAGGCAGGAGTTGAGTTCGATCGGTGTCCCCACAGTGAGCCACCTGACGTCGAAACTAGCTACGTTCAAGCTCCTGCTCGGAGCATTGTTCATGTCGGTTGACAAGCGGAAGTGTCTGCAATAGATTAATTGTCGACTCAGCCCACGATCATGGCTTAATACACCCCCGCTATTAGATCTCTCCGAGAACCCAATGGGCCGGCATGCCGGGTTGGCACCCCCGCGCACGAAGGATGATGCATCGAAACCTGCTCGATGAAATCTTTGTAAGTGAGGGCCCTGACATGGGAAGGCTTTAAGGCGCTCCCAAGATGCCTAGGATTGCGGTCATGACGCCCAGTGACTGCGGTACCGAGCCACGTCCGCAGCGATAGGCGCAGATCGTGGACCGCCCCGTCATTTCGGATGACGAATGTTCCAGAGCCAGGCTGAGATCTCATGTTGTAGAATGCTCTCGCCGGCTGCTGCTTGCCACTGTGGGGCCGGACTGCAGTCCATGACCACGCCGAGACCGAGGCATTCAAGGGGCGTTGCGGCCGAGGAAGAAACAGGGAGACTTGATGATGAGACGATGCTGGGTTGTGAGCGTGCGCAATGTGAAATGTGGAATGTGGGATGAGGGATGTGGGATGTGGGAGGTGGTCTTCCGCACGGGACCGCACGGGAAAGCCTTCTATGGGTCGTCGGAAGGCCACGCACTTCGGCAAAGGTGCCGCGGATATTAACTTAGTAAGACAGGCGTTGGACCCAGAAGGCCGGAGGCTAAGCTATATGCTTATTCTTCTTCCCCAGCTGCGAATACTTCCGAGAGGCTATTCCATCAACGCACAAAAGCACTCTCTTCGCGAGCTCGAAGCCTAAGCAGGAGTGCTGCTGTGCGATAAAGAGTCACTCGACTTAGACAGTGTGCTTTCGTGCCCAATTCACTTACCTCAATCCTGCGATGAAGCTGCCATGTCTGCTCCCATTCGCTGTTCACCTCTCCAGGACTGTGATACAGGGGCGGCCTCGACGTCAGAGACGGACGGAGGGATGGACCCTGCAGCCAGCCGAGGCGTGGGTGGGGCTGGGCTTTAAGGTGGGCGTGTCAAGCTAGGAGATATTCCTCAAAACTGCCACCCTATTTTGCGCTAGGCGGATACCACCTCTGAATGGCTATACCGAGTGAACGGAGGGTAGGAAATGTGTTTCTGGGAGCTCGGGGCGCAGACGAGTGTGGCTAGATCATAGGTCCAGCCAAAGCCCTCGCAAGGTTTCCTTTTGAGACGACGTCGTCGAGAATGGCCACGACAGACGACTGAAAATAGCCCGGTTTCGTGGGTTAGAATGCTGCACTTGCAGGTCTGGTGCTTGGGCCAATCGCCACGCCGTTGGGTCCAAGAGCACACAATGTTCGACTCATGAGCACTCGTCTAGTAGATCTGCATGTTCTGGATATCGAAGCCGCGGGTTTCTTGTGAGAGAGAGCACCCATGCACATCGGGAGAGTTCTAGAAATGACGAATCGCCGCGAAATACGTCCTGGGATTGCGGATATTATCCAGAAATTTCTTCATCTGTCAACTTAGGCTCGGAGGGTTTTCCCACGTGAAATCTGACCCGGCCGGCCCATGGCCAAGGGGTGGCTGGCCATTAGGCTTAATTGCTAGGCGAGGGCGAGGGCAAGGGCGAGAAGCGAGGGATGGTAGCATGTGGGTGGATGAGGAGAAGGCGACGCCGTGCCGGGCATATGCGTTGAACGTCTGGCCGGCAAGGCTGGATGTGTGGGCGGTCGTTCGGTGAGTGGATGCTATCATCGGGAGGCAGAGGAGAGGAGAGGGGATAGATAGAGAGAAGGATGCTTGCCCTTGTCTGATGGAGTGGAGAAGGGGGTCCAGGGTCAGACGTCTGACGCCCAGCAAGCACGGCTGCGTTCGATCCGAGCCACATTGGGCCTAGCCTGGGCAGCCGCAAGCTCAAATTCAACGTCGTCCCAAGATTCCGACAACTACGAAACCCCAGGCGTGTATCATGACTGCCTCATCTCGTGCCGTCCTCAATGCTTGACTCACACTACCACCACTCTGCTGTGCTTGCTGTGCTCTCACCCCGGCCTCACCCGTCGACACAGCAGGTTTTCCCTTGCCACTTCATGACAGAATGCAGTCACAGACGTCCGAAGCGATGCTCTCGTTCGGCGTGGCCCCGGCTCCTGCATGTAGCCACCCTCGTCCTTTTGGCCGCGAGATACATCGAGTCCCCTACGTCCCCTACCTCCCCTAGTCAGGGCCGGAGCCTCCAGCTGCCTCGCGAACCTTATCGGGCCTTGCCACGTCTTGTCGCCTCTTGTCTGCTCCTCTCGCCTCCATCATAGGCTGGATGGGGTCGCTGCTCGTGCTCGGCCAGGTTTAGTTCCAACTTCCAACCACGGGTGGGCACACGAGTTGGGCAATTGGGCCTGGTCCTGCGTCTGCTTCTGGTTCTAGCTCGGCTTCCATCGATCTCCCCCCCCGAGCCTGGCCCCTGCTCGTCGAACTCCTCCACCGTCGTCCGCAGTGTTGCTGAGATCATATGGCCCACGACATTTGCAGCTAAGTGGCCGCACCAGTTCTTCACCCTGGCCCGGCTTCACAGTCGTCCGCGCGGGGGGTGCCTCGTCAGTCGTCACCAGGACCAGGGTGGGCTCGACTCTACGTATCTCTGCTCAACTCAACTCGTCCACACTCTCACATCGTGCCGTCCCTGTGCACGATCATTCTTTTTATGGACCACCCATGCGATCTCTATCTTTATGGCTGCAGTCGCCTCCCTCCCGCTCCACTGGCGAATCCCCTCCCACTCCCTGCCTTTCTATCCCTCCAACTGCCCACAACAGGTCAGGGTCTGTTTCGTCTCGTTCGCCGTAGTAGAGCCCTGGAGGTGCGGGAACTACACCCCTGCATGGCAAATCCACTTCTCTTTGGCTCGACACCTTAGCATATGTTCTTTTTCCTCCCCTACTATTGTTTGATGTCCCATTCTATCCTCTCCATCCACCCATACCATCGTGTATCCAAACATTCATTATTCGTATCGATGACTTGACGAACGACGGGGGAGATCCGCGCGGCTCGACGCCATCAACCCACCTCTTGGAGGTACAACAATCTCTAAACTTCGAGCCGGCTCTGGTACACCGACATCATGGACGCCTCGCTGTACGGAGGGTTTTACTCGTCCGCCGATGCGAGCGGCGCTGCTGACGGGGCCTCGACCTTCAATGCGACGAAAGAAGCCTCCCAACAGGCTATCTCGAACAGCTTCAAGTTCGCCGCATCAAAGTCGATCCGGACGTCGACCATCATACTCGCTTCCTTCAACGCTCTGGCGGCTTTGGCAACGGCTCTGGGTATCATCTACGGTTGCTACGCATACAAGAGGAGGGCTATTAGGAGATCATCCGATGCGTTAGTCTGGCAGTCTGAGATGGAGACGACTTCGGTGCTGACTTTTCCTAGACCATCGGGCCTCTTCTTCATCAACACCGTCGAAGTATACCCACTCGTGCTGTCTCTGGGCATCACCATTCAGAGCATCATTTTTGCCGCCGCCCAGTCGATTGGCCTGTCAGCCCTGCTGAGCAGGGGCTGCACCGTTGTTTCGATATTTCTTTTACCTGGTAAGATCAATTGCTGCCATCATATTGGGGATCCAGACGAAGGCTAACGCCGGCATCCAGCTCTCTTTATCGCACCGTACATTCACCTTGTTTTCGGAGTAGAGACGGCAGCACGTGGACTGCGTTCGCAATTCTCGCCTCGACGAAGATGGACTGTGGCGATCTGCCTCGGCACTGTCTCAGCGTTCTTGCTGGCAACCCTCCTCGTCGCGGCCATCAGCCGAGCTCCCGATTTCTGCTTTGCGTCCCTGCTGTGGATTGTCAAGCCTTACGCCAAAGGAATTTTTGCGATTTATCTGGGTGTCTCCGTCGTGCTTCTCGCTGTCATTATCACGATATTCGTGAGATTGAGCAAAAGTCGCATGGTCGACCCCACCGAGAGAATGGCAGCTTCGAGGATGATCTACTACCTGATCCTCGGTTTCATTTCGAACGTAAGTGATCGACATATGAAGCTTGTTAAGTTCAAATGACTGACAACATCATCAGGGTTTTATTATTCCATTCTTCTTCAGCCTCACATTCCTGGACCAGAAGAAGAACATTTTTCAATCGCTTAACCTATCTATGGTTGCCTCTGTCGTGGCAAATGTCAACGGTCTTATGGTCGCTGGTCTACACCTGTTCCTTCGATCGCAGAACAATGCTTCTATTGGACACAACTTGGGAGAATATGAGCATCACAAGACCAAGCACGAGCCACGTGAGGATGACGGTGGCTCGACCCATGCGATGCACCCGGTCAACGGCACCAGCCAGGACAGAGCTAGGTCGGACAGCATTACGACGCTTCTGCGCGCTGTTGACGCAGAAGAGGGACAAAGTCCCATCAGCCCAACTTTCCGACCGAAGGTCACCATCCCGCAAGCTCCAGAGCCCACCCAGCCACCTTCCGAGACATCTCCATCTCACATGCGAAAACAATCCTATTCTTTATTCCCAAACAACCCCTTCGCCCCCGCCGCGGTCCTGCCCGCAACGACATACGCACCTGCTGCATCAAAACCGCTGAGAGACACTTTCAGACCACCACCAATTGTGAAGCCTTGGCTCGGACGGGGCCACAAGAGAGATTCGTCAATCGTCTCTTCGGCCACTGTCCAAATCGGCATTCGCTTCTCCAATGTGGATGACTTCCAGCCCGCTAGGATCAGCGATGCACAGGATAGCGACCGACCAGAAACAGTCCTGCGCCCTTCACCACTGGCACAGAATGAAGTCAGGCCAGAATCTGAGTACACGGAGCCAGAGATCTTGCCAGAACCATTGTTCACCAGGAGAGCATCCAGGGACGCCAGAATGAAGACGCTGCCTCCGGTACCGCGGGAAGACCCCCCTGTTCAGAAGGTTGAGAGTGACGATGAGCAGTCTGAGAGCGAGAGGAGCGACAAAAGTGACCAGGATGGGCTTATTACTTTGAGCCCCTCTGTCTACACTCCCCAAGATACTCCTCAGAGGAACAACTCAACTAAGACCACAAGAATGCCCAGTCCCATGGGTGTAGGCTTCAGCAACCCAGCCGCCCGCAACAATGGCGAGAAGCACGCACCCCCACGACCAAACGGCACTGGGGTGACAACACCGGTGCCTTCGAACAAGTCCTGGATCTAGACTCCGCACTGTCTAGCCCACTCTCGGACTTTGTTCACCTTTTTCTACCAACAATTTTTTTCCCATTCCTCCAAAAACGAACAAAAGACCACCTGGGACGTTAGACAAAAGGCTGTCTAAAAGTTCCTGGAATTGTGTGATAAGATTCATGAGCATCGGCGTTGCGGTTATTTTCACTTGACGTGAGGCGCACAAACTTTTTCTTTACTGGCATTCAACGGGACGATCTACGATTGACACGGGGCGGGGATGGCAAATACACTGTACAATGTACAAAGTGAGGGATATATCCTTGGGGGCAACATTGCATATGTTGATGGCGTCGAAACATTCATTCGTTTTGTGGACGTCCTGCTGTTGGAAAGCAGACTTAGCAGAGATCGAACCCACTTGAAGCTCACCTTAGGTAGCTGTGGCCACGTTGTGAGAGACCACCTTGGTCGGGAGACACGGCCTGAAACTAAATCAAAAACCATGATACCAACAACATAACACTGAGCACAACTGCATTTGCCTAGTGACATGTGTGTGTGATTTGCAAACTAATATGTTTTGCACGCGGCCTCCCGAATTGACCATGCATACTACACCTGCATCATCTCGCCGGCCTCTACTTTTTCTTCCTGGACGATGGACCAGCAGCGGCACCCTTCCTATCCTCCCACTTCTCCCAGCCGGCCTGACACAGGTCCTCGCTCACAACAAGATCCCTGACTCGCAGCCCCCTCGCTACCGGCGACTCCAGCGCCCAGGCCAGCAGGCCCGTACTCCTGACGACGGCCGTGACCGCGTACCACGCCACTGCGGACAGGGCGCCGGCCAGGCAGCCGACCAGGACCTGGTTGACGGTGTGGTAGCCGAGGTAGACCCTGCTCCACGCGACGAGGGCGGCGACGCCCAGCACGAAGACGGCGGCGACGGCGCGCTCCGCGTACGACCACGGCCGGTGCGCGTAGCTCTCGACCATGACCCACTCCTGGCCCCAGCTGCTGGTCCTCGCCACCCTGCTGCTGCTGCTGCTGCTGCTGCTGCTGCTGCTCCCCTGCCTGCCACTGCCACTGCCACTACCACGAGCACCACCACCACCACCACCACCCTGCTGCCCGTTCGTAGCCGGTCCTCCCGCTGCCGACCGCGGCCGGTACCCGTGGTCCGTCCAGCTGGGCGAGTGCCTGGCGAGGAGGAAGAGGGCCATGGCGACGGCCCAGAAGGCGACGAACTGGGCGTGGCTGCTGGGCATGCCGTAGCCCTTGCCGGTCTTGTGGATGCGCATCGGCCGCTCCTCCTTGATGAGCCGCTTGAGCACGAAGTTGACGGCCTCGCAGGCCATCTGGCCCGCGAACATGAGGGCCACCTCGGCCTCGCGCGTCGACCAGATCAGGGTCACGTAGACGATGCAGAGGGCCTGCGGGACGAGGGCGAGCCAGGCGCAGAGGTACGAGATGTTGTCGTTGGGATCCTGCCGTCGGCCACCCCCACGGGGTTGGCCGGTTTGGTCAGCTGGATTGTCTTTCTCGTTTCGGGGATGTGTGGTGGCGTGTCTGGTTGTACTCGACATCTAACGAGGCTGCTGCAGCTGCAGCTATCCGCCGCAGGCAATTGACGTGCTGGTCAATTGGTTGCTTGGTAGGTCGATTGGATACTCACATAGTAGACATGTGTCAGGGACAGCGAGGCCAGAGGGGTATCGTCAGCCATCGCGGAGGTAATGTGCAGCACACGAGACCCGAGGGTGAATGACGTCGAGCGCACCGCCCTCGCCGGCAAAGGCAGGATACGGCCAGGAGTCAGGAGTCGGGATCGGGATAGAAATGCTGCGGTGTGACGACCGTATTCTAGAGCCCATCTGCGGTTGCACCAGGAACAGGAAGCAATTCCCAAATTAGGCTCTGGGAATTCGAAACGTCGCCGTCATATGGAGCCAAAAGTCTAAACTGGAGAGGTGCCACGTGTGGCGGGTGCACGGACCAGTTTGTGGCTTGCGTCTATAGCATAGAGGCGCCTCCAAATCACCATCAGTCAGTCAGTCACTGCCACGGGGATAGAGAGGCCAAACACAAGACATGTCAAGCTCAGAGACCATGTATCAGATGCCTCTGGTGTTGCATGTCGTGGTAGGGACATTATCACCTACTCCGAGCTTGGAGAGCTGGGTGCTTCGGATGCTGGCTGCGTCCCTCCGCCCACCAGCTTCTTCTCCTTTTCCTTAGCCCTTCGCTTCAGCTTCTTCTCCCGGTTCAGCCTCTTCTTCTTCTCTGCAAGATGCTCCTCCTTGGAAATCTTCTGCTTCTCCTCCGCCTCCTTCTTGGCCTTCGCGGCCTCTCGCCGCTCTTTCTCAGCCCTGGCCTTGATCCTCGTAGCTATTCTCCGTTTCTTGCCCGGCCTCTTCCTCTTTGCCCCATCCTCTGCATCGCCACTGGCTTTCGTGGTCCCAGCCACAAGACCCGAGCCGGATGGAGATTTCCTTGATGACAGCGAGATCTTGACAACCCGCCATGGCCTCTCCAAGCCCCACGCCCGTCTGCTCGCGCCCGCGGCGATGTCCTCGGCCGTGACCGCCGCGTAATGGTACCTCTCCAGCTGCTCAGGCGTGGCTTCACCAGCTAGGTAGTAACTCTCCGGCCGTGAGGACTGCACAAAAGCACCCTCTCCGTTGGCCGCATCTTCGTCATCTGAAGCACTCAGCACCACCTTTCCTGGCGCAGCGGTCTTGGCCGAGGTTGAGAACAGCCGAAACTCAAACTCCTCCTCCTCGTGGGTGCCCTCGTCGCCTTCTGGACCATCGTGCCCTTGCGCATCGGCCGCGTCCGGCCTCTGCTCGGGGGCCGGCTCCGGGGCGGAAAGGTCCAGACCCAGCAGGCTCGACAGCCGCTCGTTCAGCCTGGCCCGTTCCTCTGCGTCCTCGACGCCATGCTCGCTGTGGTCCTCACCTTCCGAGGATGAGCCGTAGAGTTCATCGCGCCTCACCCTAAGATTGCGGCCTGTCAGTCAAACTGTTTCGTGTAATCTCCCGCGTATTGCACGTCTTCAGGATATGCCGGCGTGCCTTACCGCTTGGCGTTGGGAATCTCGAACATGGCCACGATCGTTGCAGCCCCACACGATAGTGTGATGATATTATTGCAATAGAGAGAGGCTAAAAGTCCAGGATTTCAAGGCGCTCGCGGAGGCAACACAAATTCGGGCAGTGATATGTCGGACGTTTGGTCCGTTGTATTGTGCAAGCATTTATCTCGTATGGGTACGAAGTTGTAATCTCAGTGTCGGTGGGCTGCTGAGTCTGAATGCTTGATCCATGTCATGCAGGGAGTGTTAGGTCGCCAATAAGTTGTCGAGGGGATCGCGGAGCCGGCCAGGCGAGCGCTCGAGGTATCTTCCATGCACTTTCACGATCATTATGTAAGCGACTCTCACCGCCAGCTGGTCCAGCTGGTCGCCAGCTGGGACAACTTCCGCGTACCTCTTTGTCACTGTACCCGTTGGGGACTATCAAAGCACCTCCTCCCTCGAAACTTAGAAGCACCAGACCTGCAAGGTTCAGAACAAAACATGGACAGCCTTCCACTCAGTCATCGTAGCATTGCCATCTGCAACCCCCCCATCCCCTCCTCCCCATGACAGCTTCGTGCGATTACCTCCCAAGTACCGCACTCTTGGAAACGGCGGCCGCCCTCAGCCAACGCGTATCATCGTCTCGCTCTCTCATTTCTGTTCGGCCTACCTCCATCCTCCGCCTGGCGTCGCACCTCACATCCAACCACGGGCCTTAACTCGCTTTGACACCTTGTCATACGAACCTTATGTGCCCCTTCAGGTGGCAGTCACACAGCAGTAGCAGCAGGAAACGTTCCAAGACGACGGCCTGCCCTCCCCTGCACGGTCTTGCGGTGGCCCTCCCCAACCAGAACAGAAGGTATACAGTGACTGTAGACATCCACACAGACAAGATGGCACGCCACTCCGCACCCACCCCGACCCCCTCATCCCATCTCTGACAGTCTCCAAAACAAAACGGTATCGTGTAACTCTCTTCTCTCTCTGGAAAGCCCGGTGGCCAGAAATTACTCGCATCGCTCAGTCCACCCCCGTCCACCTCACCCCACCCCTGTGCCCATCAGATGAACACAGACGGTTTGACCGGGCCGCTCGAGCATGAAAGAAAACGAAGAGGAAGGAAGGAACGAAAGGGGAAAAGAAGGGAAAGGCCGTGGGTTCGTCGCTCTCCTGCAGGTCATCCGGCCGTCACCTGGGGTGAAAATTCTCCGCCTGCTACTGTGCCATGTGCCCCGGGATCACGGGAAAGTGTATCATCACACAAGGTACCTAGAGTCTGCCTGCCTGCCTGCCTCTGCATGTATCTTGTCTCTTGGCCCTGTTCTGCCTGTCTGTCTGCCTCTCTTGTCCGGCCCACTGTTTTTTCGGACTCGATATTTCCTGAGGAACTTCTCTGTTTGACCGCCCCCCCCCCACTGGGGGCTCTGTCACACGTAGCAGCTGCACACATCGCAGCGGATTGCACACCCGGGGCCGAAGCTTGTCCGCGTCTTCGATGCTACGGTTTCCATAGGGGCCGACGCGCGCTTGGGTCCTGTGACAGTACGAGATCATCCGAGCCCTGTGCGGGAGGACGATGGACGGGTGGGTATCTTGGCCGGAATGCCGCTTCAGAACGCGTCACGGTAGATGAATTCGAGACAAGATGTGGTGGAAGTGGTATTATTCGGTTCATTTTTGTAAAAGTTTGCCTCCCTCTCTGTCTGTCCCCCTCTGCAGGCGTAGCAAGAGAGGTATGATATGATTTATCAAAGCAGTCTTCAGCCTCCCCAACAGCCCCAGCAACGTTCGTACACATACACACTGTCCCAGAGACCAGGCCCGCCCTTCTCTCGGCGCCTCCTCCCATTTCCCCCGTCCTCTCTCTGCCCTCTCCTGGGTCCAGGTGAGAAACAAGAAATGCAAGCGCAGCCAGCCCCTGGACAGGTAAAGATGAATAATAAAAAGACAAATGTTCGAGCCCAAGAAAGATCAAAAACATGTTGTATATAAAAACGAGGCGAGAAACTGGAATTCCCCTCCCAAATAGCGAGAAACAGAATAATTTGTAAAAAAGCAAGAAGCCACTCCACCCCTCCTCAGCCTGCCGCCCCGTTGCCCTCTCTATCATAGGGTATTTGAACACATGCATATGAATCATGCCAACTTGGCCCACATGAGACCGTGTCGTCCCTTATTTGCTCCCGAGTCCGAAGAATATGCAACTCCGTGTGGTGATTTTTTTTGGGTGGCGTGTGCGTGAGAGTGTACGCATATGTGTTTTCGTCTCCTCAACTCCCCCGTCCCCCGGCTCCTTTGAGGGCCGTTGTGTGAAAGAAGTGAGGTTTCGATCGATTTCGACAACAGAAAATTGGTATCGGTATTGGGCGATAGAATTGAAAGAGCAAAAGAGGTATGTGGGCGTGAAAACAACGGACATGAAGGTCGCACAACAGTAAAAATAAAAATAGAACGCGTCAATCTTGAAATGCTTCCCAAACTCCTGCCTCCCCTCGTCGCGCGCCTGAAAGTTTTCCATACGCATTAAACCATCCATTATCAGTTCGGACAAGGCCACCCCATGGTGATTGTACATAAAATTTCGGTCGGTAGGGACGGGAAGAAATCGCATCGTTTAGGGGGGTATATCGCACTCGTGGCTCGGGGACGGTCGGAAGAAACGCGGCTGGTATTGGGGCTGCTGTTATGCTGTCGATTCGGATTCGATGTTCTTGGCATGCATTTCAAACTCGTCATGAGGCGACCCTCGGACCCCAAAGGTCCCAGATACCACCCCGATTGTTCCCGGAACCTTCACACTATAGTGCGATCAAGAAGTATTCCACGAGTAATGGCTCATCGCCTGGCCAGGATAGACAGGCGGAGGAGGGGCGTGCGGATCGCTCTTCACACCTCCCGCAGTCTTGTACTGATCTGTCGAGTAGGGGTAGGAAGACCGATGGTCCCCGTTCGTGTATGTAGGCGCGTTTGATTCACCCGCAGTCGTCGTCCACGATGTTGACGGCGGGAAATAGTCCCTAGGTGGCGGAATGGTGCTTGAGGACTGAGCACTGGCCCCAGCGCTGCTCTCGTGCCCTCCGGCACCATGCCCCGTTGAATATGAGGCGTGTTGAGAAGTCTGGGGGCTGATTTCGGCCGAGTTGGTGCTCATGGCGCTATAGGGGGGTCCGTATCTGTATTCACCAGATGACTCTGTGCTCGATATCGACCCAGCGTGAATGGAAGGGTGGCTGGGATGCCGAGGGCTCTTAGTAGGTCGCGGGTTGCTGTCGTCCACATATCTTGGTACGCTCAGGCTGCTGTTCGCGGTCGAAGAAACGGAAAGCGGCGGAGGAGCATTGGAGCTCTGGACGTAGGAAGCGTACTGTGTCCTTATTGGCGGAACTTGAGATGTCGCTGATTGTTGTTGTTGCTGCTGCTGCCCCGGTTGGTCGCTTGAAACCATCGACAGCTGCATGGAAGGCATCGAGGTGGGCATATGAGACTGCATGTCTTGTGGCTCGGCCGAGTATGCCGAAGTCCCTGAGAGAGGCATCTTCTGGTACGGATCGGACGCTATCGTTGTTGCTGGATAATTTCCCGGCCCTGAAGATGGCATCGATGGGTTCCATGTTGTCGGGTAAGAGCTATACGCGGTTAGCACAAAGTTCCACAAACGAGGTTCACCAGCGCATGTCGAGGGGCCATTATCAAGTGTGTGGGGAGGCAGTTCCTCGAGCAGGCCTAAGAGATCGCTACACTTACTTCGATCGCATACTAGCCATAGGGCTCGCCGGCAGCTTGGGTGCGTTGAACGTAAATGCTGTCCGCGGCAGCTCCATGTTGAGTGGCCTCGCCTTCACCTCTTGAGGCTTGATCGCCAGAGGTCCAGCAACAATGCCCAGCCCAGTCTCCACAAGAGCCTGGCCTCGGGACCCAGCGCTGGACCCCAGGAGTGGGATCTCCTTTCTCGCTTGGAAATTGCGTGGGCTTCGTCCTCGCACCACGATTGGTGCGGTCGCAGCTTCCGTCAGCACAACTTTGGATCCGTTGGCCAGCGTCCCCATGACTTTCAGGTGAACCACAAAATGCTGCTGGAGCTCCTTCCTCCTGCCGTTGTTGGCCGTCGCGCTATCAAAGCCCATGTCAGTCATTCGTCTCGGAGTGAATTGTCTTCTCGGCGGGTTGCTTACATTCGGAACTGCAGACGCCTCCATCCGATGGGGTAGACTGCGTATTCTCCGTCCGCGTCTGAACCATCGTCCTGGAATGGAATCAATGGTAGCGATGATGGCTCTTGATCGGGCGCTTGGGATACCTCCGGCGAGTTCGGTGGAGGGGTTTTCCACGGAATGACGATCAGTCGAACAGGATGACCATCAACCGACTCAATCGATGAAATGGTCACCTCTGTACTGCTCACTGGTGCTGTCTCCCCAGTCTCCGTAATGACAGACATTTGTCCCCTTGGGGTGATCAGCGATCCGCTGACCTGGAAAAGGTTTCGCCGGTAACAAGTGAGCTCCGGTTGCATGACGGATCCGTCGTTGTTGGTCGCTGGCATCTCAGAGAGAAAGAACATGCCATGTAGTTGAGCAGTCAGCTCCAACTGTTGCATGCGACCATGGTGGTCGAGGATTGTATGCTTGTCCGGGACTTTCCTGAACGAGAGCAGCTTGTGGTCGTGTCCAACGCCGAGCTTTGAGCCATCGTCTCGCAGGTCCTGGACGATCTCCTGGTATGGAGGTTGCTCTGTTGCCGAGTATGGCCGTTTGAGGTTTGGAAAACTCTGATGACTCGACAAAGAGGGGTGTTGATGCCTCTCGTACGGGTCGTTTGTGTCGTCCTGGGAATAGCGGCTGTACGAGGGATACTGCTGGTGGTGGTCCACGCTGCCCCAGCCACCTTGTCTCGGTCGTGCTGAATGAGGTGATGCTGAAGTTGGATTCGAAAGCCCTGCGTCCACGCCGTGACCGGAACGACTCGACGGCATCTGCACCGGGCTGGCGTACCAGAGGCTGTTGTGCGCCGGCTCCTTCAACTCTGCCATGGTAACTGCGTATGTTGCGGTGCACATGGGAACATATCTCGCCCAGAAAAATTGCTAGAGTCTTTCCTTTCTTGACCAGAAATCAACGCTGTGGTTACGACGGAGGATCAAAGCACGTCGTTCAAATGCTCGTCGCTCCGGCTGGTGGCCAGTTAAGTTCGAATAGATGCCAACTCGAGCAACACGGCCAAAGCACCCGTTGTGACCCTTCCAGGCCGTCGGGGTCAATGACTGATGGGTTCCAGATCCGTGACTGCGCTCAGCCAGCTACTGAAACAGGAAGAAGTTGAACGGGCTCAACAGACGAAACGAAGATGAAGTTAGAATCGAGTGAACGATGAACGTAGGGTTGCAGGGCAAGTGGTACTTGTATGAAATGATACGGTAGATGCGGTGGGGGACGTTTTATGAGAGCCACTGGCACACTATCCTGGGGTTGGATCAGGGTCGATGGGGCAACTCTCGAAGGGCAACGAACGGCCAAGGTCAGGGGATTGAGGGGCCTCACAGTGGATATCCGGGAGGTGATGAGCCTGTGAGGGTGGACCGTTTAGTGCACAGAATGGAGAGCTGTACCGCAGTACAGTACGTATCTCCATGTACATGCGGCCGTACAGGGAAGGAGATGGAGGCGGCGGCGGCGATCTGGCAGGTAGGCAACAGGGGGGGATGTTAGTCGAGATACGGCATGTGGAATACAACGTGAGCCCACCCATGAAGTATCGCGCCGGGCTAGGTACATCACAGCAACTGACTCTCGCTTCCCCATGAACAAGTTGCTCCTCACCGGCCAAATCTCAGAATGCCCATCTTCCAGCTGGATCCTCGGCCAAAAGTCAGATGGCTGGCGTGTTGCCAAATTGGCTTGACGCATAGCTGGACGGATAGGTGCCCAAAATATTTGACCGAGAAAGAGGACAAGAGTGGAACTCGTCATGTATCGGTCCAGGGGCTTCCACTAGGGCACTAGGGCATCCGAGGATAAAGTTTGTAAAGTATCATCGGACGAGCCAACGATTGCTGTTCTCTCCTTGAAATGCTCTGCCGAAGGATCAAGGAACTCCTGGCTAGTGTCGACTATCTTGCACAAGGGCTATTGTGGGTCGCAAGAGATGCAAGACACAGCATCCCATGGCTTGGACCACACCAAGATCATTGAGCTGACCATCTGAACAGATTGGCAGAGCCATTGCTGAATTCTCCGACTCGATGGAATCGATTGTTCTAGCACTGTCTTGTTGAGGAAACAGAATGGAAGCGCAAGAGGACGGAGTTTGGAGATTAGAGAGGTGATACCCGGTTCCCTCCCAGATTCCCAGTGGTCTCCAGTCCAAGATGGCTAAAGCTGCTTTTACCTCATCAAGCTCACAACACACCTGGTCCATGTACGTGGTAGGCATCAGCAAGGGTATCTGATTAGAGCGAAATTCTCCGACAAGCTCTGCGAGGCTGCAGACCCGTAAATGTCGAGGGGGCCGTTGGACGAGACGGCCGATAAAAGATCGAAAGGGAATGGTGTGCGGGCATGGGGGCCAGGGCAAAGCGAAAATCGGTTCACGAGATTGCTACAGACCGGGGGGGGCTGATCAAGAGTGTGGGCGGTTGTTTTCTCAAGGAAAGAGAGACCAGGGGTGCTAGTCAGGGGCCCCCGGGTGCTGCATTGTAGGCAAAACACCTTGACGCCGTTTTCATCGATCTCAAGGATCCTCTGCCTCCCAAAATCAAGTAATGGGTAAAGCAATAGTCGAACCTTGTTCCGTATATCTGCACTCGGCTCTTAAGACGTTTATTATAAGGGTGACCTCAACTTTAGGGTCTGCGAAATTGCATTGCGAATGTCTAAAACAACACCTGTGTGAAAGACTTCTCAAACAGTTATATTGCATACTTATGCGCTTGAACCCGCCGACAAGCACACCCCGATGTCGAAACAGAGACCAGACTAAGGAGCCCATCGGAATCGTCCTTCATCACATATCCAAATACCACGTTGCCGCTTGGCGCGTATTGGACGTATGTCAGTCGATAGCGAGAGGCCCAATGCAGGATGAGGAGGCAGTAGATGAAGGTGTCGATAAAGGCGGGCAAATTGATGGCAGGGAAGGCGGTAGTTCGATTGACGACAGATGTGGTAGTTCTCCAGCTGTATCAGCATCACCTCGGCTTAGAGAGGCAGTGGGCGAGTAGGTGTGAGCAATCCAGCCAATGGTGGGAGGCGATCAAGTCGTCATGGGGAGACTGACCTCCCTAAAGGGGCAACCAAGAGCCCGCTGTCAGGCCTGCATTCACGGATCTAACCACCGCAAGCATGTGTGCGATATTCGCGAAGTACTTCCGGGATGGTTGGATGATCCCAGCCTCAGTGATAAAATCTGTGAGCCTTCAACGAAAGGGCCTAGGTAGAGAATGCCGTCTAGCTCCCCGCGTTTATTGTTGGATATCTGGCCGGCCAGTGTAACCAGCTAGGCTTCGTGGTCGACAAATATCACAGCGCGGGTATTTGACCATTCGCGGTAATTCTCCTGCTTTGACATTTGCCGGCCGAAGTCGCATGCGCAGTGGGTTGTGATGGGCCCGCATCTCGTACAGAGCGGCTATTCTCCACTTGTCGGATGTTGTAGACCTGGAGCTTGCCGCCTTGGCTACGATGATCTCCAGAAGCAATAGACGCGTAACGTTGATTTGAGAGGGTTAGAGTGTGAAGGCCAGGGACAAGGTTTGACATTTCCATTGCCGTAACACATCGGAATACAATGCAGGCGCATGCCTTCTTGACAGCGTCTCTGTAGACGACATGTCGGAAGTCAGGAAGGTGAAGGGCCGAAGACAGGCCTGGACCCACGGGGCCACTTTCCTGGCCTCTGGGCTGCGCGAAAACGGCCCTTCGAGGGGCCACCCCGGCATGAATCCTGCAGATGATGGTGGCAGGTTCTGCTTTCGAGTGCTCTCCATGTGGACAAATTGCTTTTTGGGCTGTAACACCGCATAATTGGCGAACAGGTCAGGACGACTTCTGCAGGTGAGAGTAAGCGGAACGTCGTGGCTGCTCGACAAAGCTCTACGCTGAGATTGTGCAAGCCACTCCTCCAAGTGCAGCAACGTCATACGCAGTACAATACACTGTGGGCTACTGCACGATTTCTTTCCGCACCACACCCCGATGAAGGCATGCAAGCACCGGGGAGAGGCTGTTGCGCTGCGGCAAGGAACCACTGAACATGGTAGATCAGCGAAGTAGACACCTTGCCCACCGGGGCGGATGCCGCGGGCGGCACTCGAACCACAACCCGGTATCAGGACCAACCATTGAAGTGCCGCTTCGAGTATGGGGGGGACCCGTCATTTGACTTCTCTTTCTGCCCCGCTTCGGCCATCATAGCAGTGCGAGTGCAGGACTACCAAAGTAGAACCCTAAGTCAACCCCGGTCGAGCGTTGGTCGGAAGATATTAGTATCAAGATGAACCGTATGTCGGTGCACCTGCCGATCCAGTGGCTGACATGGACTTGTATCTGCCGGTGGGCCTGAGTAGGTGGTGGTTGATGCACATGATGCAGGTATCGTCGATCATCAGAATCCTTTTGAGACGGTATTGGTATCTAACCATGTGCGCTGCATCCATCGCGAGGCACTTGGGGGCCGAATCGCCCAAGACCACGCCCCCCTGCAGCACCAATGTCGTCAGACAGCAGCACCAGTATGTTCTGAGCCATCGAGGCGTCTTGCTGAGGATAATCCATTCCAGCCCCTATTTGCTGCAGTCTTGAGGACATGCTACAAATAGAAAGGCGACGCGCGAGACGACAGCATAGGGGCAACTTCTAAAAAAGAATTGGGGGCTCAAGCGTGTATGCAATGATTTGGTCGTCGCAATGCACATGTGGCAGTCATTTCCTCCTGAGCGGCAGACCGTGATCCGTGATAGATCTTCTTCTGCTGCGCTGTCTGCGGCGCTGCACGGAAACCCTGCTAGGAGATCTTGCCCGTCGTGATGCAATCTCTGTATGGGGAACCAAAGTCGTGCGGAAGTTCAACCCAGCAGTCCGAAGCCACCTGGGCCCAGATGTGCAGGGATGCGGCTGATCCAGTAGCCCTGCCCTGCTTTGTTTAGGACAAGTGCTAACACCTCTAGTGATATTTGGCGGCCGTTGGAACTCGCTGCATCCTCACGTCGCATGACGCCTTCGCCCGTATCCTCATCTCCCGAGAATTTCGTTTCCCCCTTTTTGTGAAAGGTGAGAAAATAGGACTTCGTCATTGATGGACATTTGGCCCAAAGACCACTGGATTTGCGGCTCTCGTGACCAGGTGATGCGGAAAACGTGCTCCAGAGCCTCAAAATGCGCCGAGGGCCAGAGCGCAGCAGAGGTTGCAGCCGCGTTCGTAAGGGGTAAGGCCAGGGGAGTAACGGCCAACTCCTGAGAGATCCGAACATGTGCAACGGCCCACGGGTGCCATCGTTGATGTGATTGCAGGTGACCCTTGAACTATGGTTGATCTCGACGGGCCTGGATTCCCCTGAGAGATTGAAGCAGCACTCGACACCATCACGCTGGGGACGTGCGCACGACGTCAGAGCTGGGAGGAGCTTCCCTGAGCTCCTCCGCAGGCCTCGATTCAGGGTCCGTCGCACTGGTTTCCCATATTTGTCCGCTGCTAGCGATCGTGAAACTTTTGATGTGTGACCAAACGATTGTCAAGCCTATATTTATCAAAGCTTCTTTTTGACAGCCAGGAGTTGCTAGCTTAGAAACATTCAACGGTTCTTAGCGTTTCGTTAGCAGGTTCATGAGGCTCACACGAACTCTATCACGGAACGCAGGCCTGGCTATTCTTGGCGTGCGACCAGACGAACAGAAGGTTTGTGGCGACTACTGTGTATGTACTAGTAGGCAGTAACTAGTTGTCGTTCCGGTGTGACTGCGATTGGACGTGTGACATGGCGTTTTAGAGCCGTCTCCAAACAGGCCCACCAAGTTGGTCCTGGTGCGGTATTGAACTTAATCTATTGTGCGATGGGGTCAACGTGGCCGAGAGAGGAAAAGAAAGCTTGGCTTGGTGCAGCGAAGAATCGATTTGCTTGACTCTTGGGGTCATGTTTTGTCACTGTCTCGTCTCGTGCAGAGCCCGTGGCTCACGGGTGGCCGGTCAGTCGCACCGAAGACTTGCCTGCGGCGAAGGCTGGTGATAATCCAGGTTTCAAATGCGGCAGATCACAGAGAGCTGCGATAGGGCAGCTTCGCTCTCGTGTTGGAAGCAGATGAGATGACTTCGTCGACGAGGGTGTGAGAAGGCCGCCCGTCTTGCCCACGGAGCGTGCTCTCTCCGGGCTGGCGATTTGAGCCTGTCTGTCTGAAGACTTCGTTCGTGGATTTTGGGAACGTCGGACCTCGTCCCCTCTCCATCGGAAAGCCGCGCCTCTATTGAAATGTTATCTGTGACACAGGTGCGTCACGAAACAGCCAACTGTGTGTCTACTATGAGGAGAGCGTTGGAAGTTCGACTGCATCGTGCAGTTGGCCCTTGACAGTTTGGCATCACCAACGGCGTGAGGGAGACGTGTGATATCTCATAGTCAGCTGCACAGCGACTGGCACACACGCAATAGCTCCCACCGGCCCCCGGGGGTGGGTGCAAGTGCTGCAACAGCATACCCGCTCTCCAGCAACCCCTGCTGCACTATTGCCCCACAGCGTTTGGTCAGGAAGTGATTACACATCTACCAGCAATTTGTGCTGCGTCGCGAGGCGTACACCCGGCTCAAGCGCTCGAGTCAAAGGAGCAGCAGCGCAAGGAAGTGCGCCGCGTTTTCCTCCCAAGGTCGCACCAGAGATCATATCAATTAATCTTATGACGTTGCGTAATGTGATGACAGTGTGGCTCCGAGGCAAAGGGAGATTTTGCGGTCGGGAACGGGCCAGTCGTAAATCGTCACTTCTAATGACAGGTTTGGACGGAACTCTATTGTCGTTTCGCGAAAAGGCCAAGCCAGGTGCAAGTTCGCAACGGCCCGGGTAGTGACTCGTCGTGCAAGCCGTTTGTGGTTCCATCACTCGAGGCGTCCGTCAGAATCCTGTCGCGGGTTCGTCCGCTCTGTGGAGCAAGTCAAGCCGGAGCGACCCTCCCTATGAGCACTATGCAGTGCACCGGCGTGGGGACCTCAAGTACCTTCGCAGTGCGGCACTGTACGACTCTGTCTGTACTGCGTCGCAGCAGGCCAGATGCACAACATTGTCGGCCATCACAACTCTATTGCAGGGGCGTAGCCAGGGCTGAGGGATAAACTTCGGTGCCCGAGAAGGCCCCCTGCCGCCACCAGAGAGGACTGTGGTAGTGCCTTCTGGGTGCTGTGGCCTGAAAATGTTCCTGCTGGAAATACTACAGTAGCCACTCTGGGTTCCGCGGCTGGCCTGCTGGGGCCCTGGGTGGCACGGTGCCTGGCAGTTGAGAGGAGTGTTGCAAACCGTGCTTGCCGAGGCGGATGGCTTGCAACCTGAAGAGGCTCAGCCCGCTTTTTTTTCTCCGGAGAAGCTCATCTTAGCAGCGCTGCGTGTTTATGATTTGCGCCAGTGTGGGCGTCGCAATTTTGGAACTCTGTCGCAAGAATGGCGCCCCCCGCCCCTTTCGATGCAGGGCAGTCGGTGAGGAAGCGAGCCTTGTCTCGATCGAGCAGCAACGCCGACCAGCAGCCCCCGTCCGAATGAAGATCACCAACCCCCATCAGGGCACCCGCGCACCCTCGATCGAGCAAGGCGCGGCCGCGACCAGTGGCTACGGCAGAGTCACCGTTGGGAGGGAGGGAGGGTAGGAGGGCAGGAGGGAGGGAACATGCACCAGGCTGGACAATAGTTGGTGGGTTGAGTTCCAGCGTCGCTGTGCCCTGCGCCGCGCTGAGGCAGGTTGTCGTCGGAGTGTGTGCGGTCTGTCGATGGATGGCTGGCTATGTTGCGTCTAGTCTGGGTCCGACATGGAAATCGCCATGGCAGAGACCGATGAAGGGCAGGGCAGGGGAGATCGTGATTGTCCCTCAACGGTGAGGGGCGGGCTCGGCCAGGCTCTTCTGTCCATGGCCATGCCCCATGCCCATGTCAAGACCGAGTGGCCGTTCTGCGCGTACCGTGCTGTACTGTAGGTATGGATGTATGGGTGTATGTACGAATGTAGATGGGTAGGTAGGCATGTGTAGAGATGCATGCCAGGATCTTAGGTACCTAGGAAGGCAGTTGACGGGAGGGACATGGGGTCGCGATTCGAAAGGCTGCGTTGGGTTGCAAGTTGCAGGGTGCAGGTGCAGGGGACAGGGTGCAGGGTGCAGGGTGCAGGGTGCAGGGTGCAGAATGTGCGAGTGCAGGCGCGAGGGCCAGGTGCAGTAGGTCCAGGCAGGTGCAGCAGGGAGCAGCAAAGTGCAAAGTGCAAGTGGAAAAGAACAGTTAAGATGCAGGGATGACCTCGCAAAAGTCCCGGCCTGCGATAATGTTCCTTCCGCTTTGGTCGACCACACCTGCGTTTGGCTGTCTCTGTCTGTATCTCTGTCTGTCTGATTGTGTCCCTCGTCTTTCTGAATGGATGGAAGGATGGGTGGATGGATGGATGAATGGATGGATGACTGAGCGAGTCCAGGTACGCAGGTACATGTCGTGGTGTGGGATTTGCCACAGAACTCAATGATATGTATGTATGCTTGCTCCTCCCTTGGCCTGCACATGGCATTATCACAGCTTGCTCTCTCTGCACAGAGGCTGCACAGAGGCTGCGCAGAGGCTGTCGGACTCGGTAAAGCAGAACAAGGTTGGGCCAAGGCTGAAACCATCAGAGAGGGCAGCTGGAGAGTGAATGACTGACTGACTGGCCGGGTGAGTGAGCGAGTGTCCTGGTGTCGAGGCCGCCCGAGTCAATCAAGAAATGAGGGTGATGAGGTCCCAGATGCTGTGCTCCGTCCGCAGTAGTCCAGAGCTACTCCAGTGCAGTGCTGCAGTGCTGCAGCGGCACTGCTGCACACAAGACAGATCAGATCACGTCCGTCTGCTCTGTGCACGCCCCAGCTCCGCCTGACAGGCGGGGCGAGAGGGGTGCTGCGGTAAACGGGACTGTGATCAAACGGAAACCTGGCGAGACGGCCCACTGCATACGAGTGCACAGCTTGCACAGAGGTCAGTGTTGTGTGCCTTGTGTGTCCGATCAGAAAACGCAACCAGCTTGGGGACAAGGGTGTGCCAGGAGGGAGCAGGGAGCAGAGAGGACTGGCCAGAGGGGGGGAAGACGACCCTTGGGAGCCGAGTGGAGCGAGGTGGGGAAAGCTACTCCATGCCTGGGTGGTACATGACTAGTAATCCCAGTCTGTGCAGAACAAAGTACCTGAGGCACCGCGGTACATGCAGCCGTCCAGGCCCACATTGTATCCTTTTTCTGTGGAGAGGGCGCCCTACTGCGTAATGAGCTTGGCCTGTCAACAATCGTCAACGCGGAGACATGTGAACTGAGCCCATGCCGGCCGTCCATCCGTCGAGCCGTCGCCTGTGTGGTCAGGCACGTTTGGTAGGGGGGTGACACGGGACGAGCCATTGCTTGCTCTGACCACCCACTGACGATGCGCGTCCAATCCGATCCATTCCATTCCAGCAGTTTACTGTGTTAGTCCTCTGCTCGTTTTCGTTGCGTCACTTCCACAGACTTGGCTCTCTGGTTATGGTCCTGATCCTGGACAAGGGAGAGTCGAGTAAGCCCGATGATGGATGCAGACTGCAGACGACCAGGCCTGCTCGCCCATCCAAGGGTAGGTAGGCTGGCAGTTGGGGGCTGATGTTTGGTATCGAATCTGGAGTTACATCCCATCGAGGGCTTGTGTTGCATTCAGACGCCCCAAGGTTCACAGTTGCCAACGCCAATCTTCGGCTCCGAAGCCAGCAATGCACAGTGCTCCAGGCCACCTCCGACTCTCCGAGAAGGGGTCCTCGACGATCTTCGCGTGTCAACACTACGACGCTCGAGCAATGTCTCATTTTCACGTGCCCCATTCCATGTGCCTTAGTCGCGCGTCTGGTTCCCGAGGGCGTCTGCTGGGCCACCGCTGCTCACCTCGACGACGCTAGCCGGGCTCATCAGGCTCACCTCTCTCCTAGATCCCACAACTTCAGTCCAGCCCAGTCCAGGCTCCAGAGGCTCCAGAAGAGGGCGAGCAACCCATCTGGACCACCTGCTTAGAACGGACATGGCTCCGAGGGCACGGAGACCGCTTGTTAACATCCGGCGCGATGGGGTATGGCAGAATGCCCAAGTCTGTCTTGTCGACCGGCATCTGAGTCACCTTTCTGGTATGGCCTTGGCCACCCGGTAGGCTATCGTACTCGGTAGTGCCTGTGCCTGTGCTGTACACGTATATGGATAGTATGGTATATCTTGCATGTATATGTATGCACAAATGTCTCGGTGAGAGATAGCCCGCCCTGTCCGTTTCTCAACCAGGAGGCCCTTGATCCGTCCGGCTTCCGGGACGCGGACGCGATGCCGTCGACCACCCTGCCCTTCCCCCTTTCAACATGCCGAGGATGCTCTACACGAAATGCTCGCCGAAAGTCTAGTTGAGATGTTGACGCACAATGATGAAGTAAGAGAGGTGGAGAAATATGGAATGACTGTCTGCTTTACTGCTGGCCATCCCATGAATGAGATACAGGCATCAAAGTGGCAAGGATTTTGGTCCAAAGAAAAAAGGCCCGCATGCACTCCAATACGGCTGTTGTAGATGAGATGACAATGCAGCACAATATCAGTAGCCTCGACTGACCTATCAATCGTACGACTCGCCGTGGGCAGATGATATCGATGCGATGCATGCGCCACGACGAGTCCGACTCGGCCCTTCCAAGACGGTACCAAGGTGCCAGGTTCGTCAGGGAGGAGGACAAGGAGGGAAGCAGCAGCAGCCAGCAGCCATCAGCCATCAGCCATCGGTCATCAGCAAGCTACAGTACAAGCTGCAAGCAACAAGCAACAAGCTACAAGAAGCAAGCAGCAAATGGATCCGAGGTGCTGCTGCCGTTTCGGGCATGGTGGGTGATCGCGGAAGGAAGGACAACCGGCGATTTCCAAGATAAGCCAATCACCATCGACGCTTCGCATGGTCTCGAGGCCCACCTTGATGAGATACCTGGGTACAAGTTACGGTACTTCTCGCCGACCGTGGTACCGCGCTCAATTTGGGTGGGCTCCCTGCAACTGGCCGACGAGATGCTGCAGCAAGTCAGTCTAGCGGCAGGTGGGCTATTACTCGTCTCCTCCTCCTCCTCCTCCTCGACCAAAGGCGCAGCAGCACAAGCAAGCTGAGGGGTGAAGGGGAAGACCCCATCTTTCGCCCGATGTCTGGTATTGCAACAATGCAGCCCTATTCCCAACCGTAACAATCCTGCTTTGCCGCTTCCAGGCATTCTTGCGCGGCCCTCAATGTCATCACGGAAACGCCCGCCTTGAGACGTCATTCCTCACTCCGGCCAACCCATACAACCCACACTTACCAAGCCAGCCCATCCAGTCTGACAGCCCGCCAGCTTCACACCTACTCGACCGCAGTGATCGCCACGGCAGTCATCGGACATGACTACGCCAGGGCTAAGTCTGGCTGACCAGTCACTACTGAGACAAGACGGGACTGCGGTGCGGAAGGCTTCTAGAAGGGTGGGCTGGTCACATCGCCAGTCCGTCTTGACCTCGACCGCGATGGACACGGACAACCACCTGGAGAAGCAATTTGCATCACTGTATGTATGGTACAGGACATCCATTCTCCCCCCCCCCCCTCCCGGGCCAACAAGCCTTGCAAGTCCACATGCAGCTCCAAGGTCCGGTGCGCCGCCTCTCCCTCGGAACTAGTGGCTCGTCGAGCTTGTTCCTGGCCTCGAGGATGCTGGGCAATTTCCATCAAGGTCTCGCATAGCGCCCTGCACAACCCAAGGGCCTGCCTGCCTGCGCTTCAATCGGGAGGTGCAAGTGATCACTAAAGGTGTCTGGCCCGGTCAAGACACTGGACAAGAATGGGCTAAATCTTACCTTCGCTTCCAACTTTCCGAAGGGCACTTTGTCCAGGAGGCCCAATCATTCCCGCCCGTCGACATCGATCCTTGCCCACCCCGGCACCTTGTTCTCTCAAGCTGACCCCCACCAGATTGCAATCACACGGCTGTTTGCTTGCATCGTTACTTTTACCAACGTCCTTGTACTACACAGGCATGTCAGACGCCAAAACGCAACACCACCGCCTACCCCATACCGCGGGCGCCTCATTCGGCATAGCGGTTGGACATTCTGGGGAACCCATGGTTGCTCGCGACAAGAGGCTTACCCGTCCCGTCTAGCACGCCGTTGACGACGGGCAGACTACCGACTTTAGCCTGGAAGGGCCGGACTCGACAGCTTCATTTTACCCGCTCAGTCATCCAGGGACGGCGGGTGGGCATGGAAGCCAACTCGCGGGTGCCCTGGAACTGCGGCAGCGGTATCCCTTCGCAAGACCACCAATCTGTGACTACCGTGCCTTCAGCTTCAACCTAGCAATGCCATCCTGGCCCAGCTGGACAAACCAGAGACTGCGTACGTGGACGTCCACCTCCGCACATCTGCCCGCTCAGGCTCTCTCTTCTTTCCCGCCACTGATATGGTGGGTCTCTGACTGCATCCAAGTGGGTGTGCCATCATCAGCCAATTCAGCAGCAGCCGCAACAGAGCAGCGCAGCGAGCTATCACAGTGGGCCTAGCTCCCCGTGCTACACAGTAAATGGCAGTCTGTGCTCCGTGACTCCGTCGACATGCTGCAGGCCTTGCTCTAGCTTGAACTTTATTCCCTCCTGCTCTGGGCTGTCTGGACACATGCCAAGCCCTGCGCTTACATGGTCTTTGACCATCTGCGGCCAAGTGGCGACGACTGGATAGCAACGTTTCCGCTGAACCATCTCTCGGCCTCTTTCCTTTAGCGCACCCACGGCTACCATAGGACGAGACGGACAATCTACACGTGTGCCACAGGATCTATCCGTGGAATTCGGGACGTAGCCTACTCTAGCCTGGCCACCACACATTAGGAGCCGTTGAAATTCTGAGCACTCATCTTGGTTGAGATCCATCCATGGCCTCGCAGACCGCGGCTCGCTTGCAGTGCCAGACTGGTGCGTGGAGCAAGCCAGCAGACGGACAGACAAGCGGGGGGAGGGAGGGGGACTTCATCTCAGCACACCCGATGACACGAGGTCCTCCCAAGGGATAGCCTTCGCATCGGTTTCCAGGCCAGGAAGAAAACCTCCCATGCGTTTTCGGTGAATGAACCTCGGGGAATGAACTGAAAGTTCGACCCGAGAGGCGATGAACGAGACCGTGGCGGTGGAGCTGCAGGACATCAGACGGACAGAGAGGAGACAAGCAAGTGCCTGTTGATGTGCATCACCGCACAGAGTTCGGAGCCGGCTCGTCGATGAAAAGCAGGACGACAAGCACGGACGCTCACAAGGCTGTCACCCTGCAAGCAAGAGGCAAACTTTCAGTCCGTAATTTGTCCCCACAGCTGACGATCTGTTCATCTCGGGGAAGCTTAGTCGTCCTGACCTGTCCGAATAAGCTCAGCCAGCATGGAGAATGCGGGAAGTTACTCCACACAGGAGAGAAGGGGAGAGATTGACGAAGGAGATTTTGTTTGCTCCCGGAAGATCACTCAGTCAGTCACCCGCCGCCTCTCAAGAACGCCCCCCACCCACTTGCTACTCTGCTAGTGAGCAAGGAGGCAGAGATTTTGGCAAGCACGGCGACTGGTCCATCACCAGCTGGGCAATCCCCACCTCCAGATCATCACCGGACGGCACTTCTTCAACAGGCGCGCTGTAACGTGTGCGATCGCCATCCCTACCAGACCGTGACAGCAGGGCATGCCCTTGTGTCTCCTGATCTAAATATCAAAGTGGCGCTTGGCCTGCACCCCCTACCCTCCCCTCCCATCTCCCTGATCACTCAAGGATAGGGGTCATAGGAATCACCATTCCCATCGTAAAGCCATTTCGTACCGATCCGTACCCGTCAAGGTATGGGGCAGAGAGTGTCTTCACACATCAGCAACAACAGCGATGAGGCATGATGAGATGGGATGCTACCTACCGCAACTGCAACGATGGCCCGACCGGCTCCCCTTCCCCTCTCCGCCCTCGCTCTACTGTCTGTTCGGTGTCCTCGGACATTTGATGACGATTGCGAAGTGACTGAGTTCGTGTTGGCACCTCGCTGACACTGCAACCTACACAAACAAGAACGATAGCGGCGAAGGGGGCTAACGCCATTAGCGGCGGGTCCTTGAGCCACACCTTGACTGCTCGGCGTCACGACCAAGGGTTCCTGGGCTTTTTGTCCCCTTCCCAGCCTCCCCAGCCCAGGCCCCAGGCACGACGGCGGCCGCAAGGCAAGCTTCACCGCCGCCGTTGCAGAGGCGGCTACCACAGTAGCTATCAGCATCTTGTCTACTGAGGGATGGCGCGTGGGAGGGAAGACCTGGGTGTGCTTGCCTGGCTGCGTGCTTCCCGGCTGACCTAGACAGTGCTGACCGCCTGATCTGCATTATTTCTATATGCGTGTGTACATGTATAAATATAAATATCTACTCCCGGAGAGTTTTCAAGCCCTCGGCATAGTATCGGCAAGGGGAGACAAGCATTCAGGGACAACAGCAACAGCATGTCTCGTGGTGCAAATCCGGCGGAGGAAAGGCAATAGCAGCTGCCGGCATTGGGGATCATACAGAACTGCACCTCATTCTCAGGGGTTGATAGAACCTCTCACATAAGCCTGCAAGGAACACAAGCCGGTGACCGGGTCCGAACTTCCTTAACCAGTACTATTATGATGTTATGGCTTTGACCCGGAGATATCTTCGGGAGGAACGTCAACGGCAACGTCAACATGGCCTGATAAAAGCCAAGGAGGCAAGCTGGGATGTACATGGGGGACCCCGAACTCAGTTGGCAGCGTATTGTGCTGTAGTACTTTGTTGTAGGCCTTTTTTCCCCCTCTATCTCTCTCCTGTGCTCTCCTCCCCACCCGGTTCGAGACCCAGCCTCCCCCCCGCCAGCGCGCCGTCTGTAGGCCGCTTCCCAAGAGGGATAGCCTTTCCACCCCACGTCGCATCGCCCCCTTCGATCTGATCTGTCCTCGCCCGGTCGAGAGTGGGATCGTCTTGTAGCCGAAGCTAGCCCGCTCGATTGCCTTTTGTCGGCATCTATTACGCGGGCGGGGCACGGGCCACGGGCCCACGGGCGTGTGCCCTGCCCAGAGTTTTCGTGATGTTTATTATCGTCATGGCACCGTTCGCTCGCGCAAGCTTCACCCCCGACCCAAGGCCAGCGTGATTGTTGGTTCCTCGGCCGAGCGAAAGCCAGGAACAAGATTATCGGACGAGGTTGTGCTCAAGCCTTCCCTTTTCTTTTTTTCTCTCGTTCGCGCCGGGGTGGGGGGCTGTTCATGGGGGTTGGGTTGGTACGTGATCCAGTGTTTCGATGCTACCGTGGTCGGTGAAAGGGGGGCGGCACAGCTAGATAGATAGATATCTCGCGTAGTGTACCTTGGCCCGGCGCGCCTCCTGACGAGTGCGATGATGTGTCCTTATCCCAACCCCCCGGCGGCCGCGCCGGCCGAGCGGTTTCTCTCGCTGAAAGGAGAGGAGGCCAACGGGGCTGTCGTGCATGCGCTGTTGTGCATGTGCAAGATAGGCCATGCGGGCACGTAGCCACCAACAACAGCCTGCCTTGTGCGGCCTAACTAGTCGTCCTGGTCAATCAGGTCCTCGTTGTCGTTGAGCGCGAGCTGCACAAAGTGTCTGATCCAGGCCGCATCTCCGGCCTGGATCTCCTCGTGGCCGGCCTCGTCGCGCTGCTGCTGCGCGTCGAGGTGACGGTCCCGTCGCATGAAGTGCCCTCCGCCGCGGTTTGGTACCTGGTTCTGGTTCGGACGGTGACCAAAGCCCCTCCCTCGCCCCCCTCGTCCTTGCTGAGCTGCTTGCTGTCGTCCTCCTCCCATAGGATTGCCCCTGCCCCGAATCTGAGCGCCGCCGCGCGGTTGCGCCGCCGGAGCTGGCTGGCGTCCTCCGCGGGCGCCAGGAGCAGCCGCCGCCCCGGCATCGATGCGAAGGACCAGCGGCCCCTCCCGCTCGACATCCACTCGCCGGCCGTTCTCGTTGAGCACCGGTCGTGGCTCAGGCTGCTGCTGGTTATGGGCTCCTTCGTCCCCGACGATTGCCTCCTCAAGAGCGATCTCCGCAATCTCTTGCTCGTTCCTAGGAGCCCGCTCCGCTCCGCCACGGCCTCCAGCGAAGAAGTTCTGGCCATCCTCGTCGCCCTCCTCCAGCTCCCACAAGCGCATGTAGCAGCTAGTCACACGGCCGTTGGGCTGCTGGTTGAAGTGCTGGTATGGATTCAAGGGATCCAGCCATGCCGAGCATAGGTAGCAAAAGTGTGTTTGGCACCTGTAGCAGATCCTGCAAGACTGTCAGAAAGAGTAGCCTGTGGAGGGGGGGTCAAAATACGTACATATGATTGCAACCATGCGTCTTCTGCGCAGGACACGCACAAGTAGGACATGGTGTCGTGTGCAAGCTGATGAAGTCCAGCGAGGCTTTCTCTTCCGCGCTGAGCTCTCCATCGTCGCGGCGCGGCGCGCATATGACGAGATCGCCGTGCCAGCCTTGGTAACACCTGCTACAGAAGGCAAAGCCGCAGTCCTCGCACACAGCAAGCCTGTCAACGTACGGCCTGGGCTTGGACTTGGCTGTTTCCTCAGCTTCTGTCTTTCGCGCCTCCTCGGCTTCGCTGTCGGAATCATCCTCGGCCTCGTGCAGCTCGAAACCTTCTGGCTTCTTGCGCTTCTTGGATCGAGCCGCGCCCTGGCACCAGGGTCTTGGGCAGTAGACCGTATGCTTGTCTGATTCGAGCTCAGTCTTGTACTTGAGAGTCACGTAGCGTTTCACCATGTCAGGCTCTAAAGGGATCTGGAGAAGCTCGCTGGGACTGATGAATGTCCTCGGTTTGCTTCGCTTCTCAGTGCTGGAAGCCTGGGCAGCAGCCCTCTCCTTTGCGCAACTAGGTTCGAGACATCGGACTGCGGCAAGATCGCCTTCTTGGATGGCATTATTGTAGAAGTTTTGTAGACACTCGGTACAAAAGACATGACCACAGTCTATCATGCGATGGCACTTAGCCCCCTTCTTCGGATCTGAGGCATAAATTAGCGGACCAAGATCTATTTCCAGAGTAACAAGAGCACCTACCAAGGCAGACACCACAATCGAATGTCCCATTGTCAAAAGCGACCCGCTTGGCTTCAATGTCGTAGTCAAGCACAGCAATCTTGTGCTCAGGACTGATTTGCAAAGCACCGTCACTCACAAGCCCAAAAACATCGTCTGCTGACTGCTGAACGTGGTCGAGGTAGGTGAAGACAACCAAATCGCGACCGAGCTCCTCCCACAACCGCGCGCAGTCGTCTTCCAGCTTCTTGGCCGTGGCTGAGGGAAGCCATGATGGCTTCGTTGATACGCTAGCTGCTGGTGGTTCCTCCGTCGGGTATGCCGGAGGCAGCGAGATTTGTACGCGGACAGCAGGCAGGTGGGAAAGCTCGTGAGAATCAAGTCCGGTTGGATTGGCCCCCACAACGGCAGCGCCGGCTTCCTGGGCTGCTTCTGGGTTCAAGCCTTGGGCTTCTGTGGCTGCGGGAAAAAAGACCGTGACAGCCTTTGTTGGGTTGACGGGAACATCCAGCACAAATGTGTACGGGTCGTCATCGTGGACTCTCTGGATCTCGGGGAAGATGGCCGACAGAGAGGACAGCTCGACGTCCCTCTGGTCCTCGTTATCCATGGCCTGGATGTCAAAGGCCGTCTCTGGGTGTAACTGGCACGGGCTGTGTGGGTGAGAGGAGCTGTCGATCAGCGCTCGCCGGCAACGATGGTGCAATACGCTGCCAATCGGCCATCAGCAGTGATCCGATGTCGAAGAGAGAGTGCCAAAAGGTTTGGAGGAAGAGAGAGTCATAAGCTGTCGCTGCGGTGAGATGCAGACATATTTGTCAGTATCATGGGCAGTGCAATGCCTGACAGTCGCCACGGTGAGATGAGTAAAACTAAGGCAGAAATATTGCACGCCGTCAGCAAGGTTCACGATGGTGCATGCAGTTTCTCGCTATCAGACTCGATTGATTGATGACGGATGACTCTTGCCGAGGAATGGATCCCCTGTGGCAATTCGGCGTAGGAGCTGTCGAAGGGTTTCTGGCAGGCACCTCGGGGTCTAGACTGCACACCCAGTGCTTCACCGCCTGCCATTTTTGCCCGGTGACGTGGGGTGCCCAAGTGGGATTGGAGCCCACCCACAGTATAGCAAGCCATGTCCATGTCAGGGGAGGAAGAGCTGCTGAGCTCTGTTTGTCGCGACTGAAGTTCGCTGCCGTAGCCGTCCACATAGCACAGCACAGCACAGCACAACAAAACAAAGCTATTCCGAGTCTCGCATCCCAGTGGCCCAGCATGCATTCTTGATTTGCTTGAATAGTCTCAACACTTCCTTTTCATCGATGGAGCACTCTGCATGAACGGCGGAAACATTGGCTGCCAACTATGACCACATTTCAGACCCAACCTGCCCGAACCAGAGCATAAAAGTCGCGTCGATCCGGACCCTGCATCAACATGAACTCTCTCTGGCCATCCCGAGCTTCAAGTGAAGGCAATGCGGCTGCGAATCCTCCCACCACCGACGTGACAGACACCGGCGTGCCGGATGCTGGGCTAAGCAAGGGCGATCAGCAACAACAGGTGGCATCCGTTCGCCCCTTGCTGCAGCGTAATGCTCAGCCGCAGACTCCTCCTGCCTTTCCTCCGCCGCCCTCGGATCCTCCGCCTCCACCAAGCGCAACTACTCCCTTACAGCCGCCCACAGACTCGCTGTCTCTGGCTCAGCTGAGGCGTCTTGTTGCCGACTTCCCCCACGCTGAGGCCGCTGCCTACGACTTCGACTACCAAGACACCGCACCGATCGAGGAGGAGATTGACGAGTGGTTCGTCTACCAATTCTGGCAGTGGGTGCGTCTCAACGGGGTACAGCGTGCCTTTGAGTGGCAATGGCTTAACAGCCACGGGCAAGACACAACTTGGGAGGACGTTGATGACGATGTGAGGAGGGCGTTTGTGTCGGACGGGTTGTCAGGGCTGTCGTCGGAGACCTCCAAGGAACGGTCTGCAAACGTCGCCAGGCTGGTCTACATCACGCTTGGGAGATGGACCAGTACCGCTGGCGGTGATAAGCCGGCAGCTGGGACGGAGAAGAGGCCAAAATGCGTGGCTACGCCTTCTCAACTCGAGGCGATGAAGGCTGGGGTGCGGCTCATTGCAGACGTCGGGGGTGTTCAGATTATTTTCGACGCTCTCAAGAAAGCGTTTGAGCCTTTTTGGTAAGTACAGGCGTTAGGTTCAGGAGAAAGAGAGTCAGTAGCTAATACTTCCAGGCCCGAGGAAGCACAGCACTCTCAACCGAACAGTATGCAAGAAGCATTGGATGAGCTCATGAATTTGATGACAATTATGTACATGATTATACAAGAGGTTTTGGCAAATCCTGACGAACTGAAAGACGTCGAAACACAGCTTCGTGAGTTTGCACCGTCTGAAGAGAGGCAACAGACTAGCTGATACGCGCCAAGTCGCCCTGAATCCAAGTGTGGTAGACTTCTTCGCAGAAGTCACAGGCAAACTGCGTTGGGATGAGGCCCAGATCGTGCCTCAAGCTCAGGTGTTCCTGTTACTGTGGAAATCGATCCTGCTCGTCTTTGGCGGATCTGAAGAGCTGGCCGAGACGAAGCGGGCTACGAGAGAAAACCCATCAGACGACAAAGATGACAGAGATGTCATCACAGCCTCTCCGTTGGATTATCATGTCTTCCGCCAGGAGATAACATCCAAGTACCCAGCTTACATACCACCTCAGCCAGCCATTCCCTTGGAAGCGGAGAATACCTCTCTTCTTCCACCTTTGCCGAGTCAACAAGCCCGTAACAACGGCGCTCAAGGCATTCTGCCCCCTCAACCAGGCACACAAGCCGGAGGTGCTTCCATTCTTCACCAACCCGTACACATAGCGACCCCTGCTCCCTCACCTCCGCCTTCGCCGGGTGTTGGCGGCAAAGGTGTCAAGAAGCAGAATTACCAGACAAACCAGAACTTTCCTTTCATGTACCCGCCCTTGGACGAGTCTAGTAACAGCCTAGGTGGCAAGGGCAACACCGCCTTACAGGACTTGCTTGTTACTCGGAAATGGGAAGGTGGCGATGTCCCGGCTTCAATTCTCGAGGCCGGCGAACTGTTCTCCAAACGTGTGAGGATGACGCGCGCGGCGAGACAGCTCTGGCAGGAGCGCGAGAGATTCATCAAGTTCGAACGCGGTTGGGATGAATCCACAAATGACATACTAGACGAGCTTGACCTCTCGTCTCTGACACTGGAAGAGAAGGAAGAGTTGGGCTTGGTGAAGCCAAAGAAGCCCGAACCTGAGGAAATCGAGGTCGATTATGGCCCCAACAAAGACCTGGACGCTAGGACGAAACAGCGTCTAGATGCTGTTGAACGATTCTACGTATGTTGCTGAAGGTGTATTCAATGCTACTCTCGTGAAGCTAACGCTTAAACCAGGCCAACTCTCTTCCCATCTTGCAATCGATATCTATGACTTTAATCAAGTCCATCATAGCACACTGGACGGTCGTAATGACACAGCAACCACAGGGCTCATTTGGGATGCAGGGTCAAAACAACGCGAGGCCCAACGGCAACGGGCGAGGCCAAGAAGGCCCAAACGGCACCAATGGGACTGGAAGCGGTGATGACAGTGAGCCCTCGCCGGAGGAATTGGACGCGGCAAGGACTCGCGAGATCACTCAAAAGGCAGTCAGCGCCATCATGCTATTGCTATTGAAATGGTTCAAGCTGTCGCGTAAGTCATCAAATTTGTCATTGCAAAGTTATAGTTGCTAACACGTCAAGCGCAGACGTCCTCAAGTTCGAATATCTAGCGCAGCTACTTTTGGATTGTAATTACATGCCTTTGGTACTGAAGCTGTTCCTGCACCAGGATGTCCAACAAGTCATTGAAAGCAAAGCGGACCGAATCGAGAATAGGTAGGTGTGCTCAGGATGCTATACGTCATGTCAAAGACACTAACCTCAATCAGCTTCTTCTACTTCTGTAATGTTCGAGCTGGGGCCCCAGAGAAGTCTGCACAGCAGGAAGTGGAAGCACCAGCCGCTCAGGAGGAGAGTGAAGACGATGCGGCGCCACCGCCCATCAAGCGGCGCCGCTCGCCAACACAAGAGGCTGCCTCTGGGGAGTCATCCGGCGCATCCCAGCAGAATGAGAACGGTCCGCCTGTCAGACCAGAGGTGGACGAGCTCGGTTACCCGGTCAACCCGCTACCGGCTGAGCCGATCACGGACTTCTCGAGGCGCAACTTCTTCACACTCATCAACTACCTGCGGGTGATGCAGAAGATCTGCAAGCACAAGGCGCACCGCAACCTGCTGCTGGTGCACTACAAGTCGTCCAACGTTTTGCGCAAGAACCTACGGATCCCGCAGGACCGGCTGCGGCTGTACACGCTCAAGCTTTTCAAAAACCAGGTCCCCTACTGCAGCCGCAAGTGGCGGCAGTCCAACATGCGGGTCATCACGGCCATCTACCTGTACTGCCGGCCGGAGCTGCGCGACGAGTGGCTGGCAGGGGCGGACATCGACGCCGAGATGGACGAGGCGCTCCCCCTCGAGCAGGCGCTGCGCAGCCTCACGCACTGGTTCAACGTCCGGCGCTACCCGGACCGCATGGCGCCTGAGGTGCGCGACGCCCTGCGCGAGGAGCACGACTTCTTCTCGCGCGAGCTCGAGCGCCTCGAGGTCAGCTGGGACGACATGGGCGCCGCCGAGAGCGTCAACGGCGAGTGGGAGGAGATCCCCGGGTGGGGCTGACCTTGCTGCGCGGACGGTGGTGGTGGACCGAACGCTTTCTTGAGTACCTATTACCTGTTTCTGTCAGGGGTGCGGGTGGGTGACTGGCGGTGGAGAGTGGAGCCCGAATGGCACGGGCGGTGAAGTGTATATCTCTATCCGCGTGTTCGTGTGCCGAGGCACGATCATTTGTGGTAGCTATGGTTAATTGATACCCTCTTGAGCGGTGTATTGATCTTGGTCTTGAAGTAACACGTGAGTCAAGTCAACGAGTAAGTCCGATGCCGGCTGCTCTCTGTTGACACGGATCATCTGCGATGCTCGTCTTTTCTGAACATCTCGCTATGAACAATGTGAGAAGGGAAAATCAGTAGAAGAGGAGGGGGTTATCGCGAGCAGGTATTTTGATGGTGTTCACAGGCTAAAGCTTCATTTGGCCGATGCAAGGCAATGATTTCGAAGACATTACCTTTTCTTGAATCGCATTCGGAGAACACATCCTCATACAATCACGATTCTATCGCAGTATCGCCTGTGGCAAACGGGACAGCACGAAGATCACAAGATGCAAGACATGAAAATAATTTTCTCGTAAAAAGTAGTCATTTATTAAAGCTATACTAGTGCAGTATTGCTATTGTTTAGAAGGTTGTGCAGCCCTCAAGGCGAAATGCAATCTCTCGGTTGTTCCTGGCCGACAGAACGCCTAGGACTTGGGTATATCCAACGCCGGTGGTGTGTGTAAAACAAACATATCGATAGGAAACCTCCCAGCTCTTTGTGGCGGTATCAGGTCATTTCAAAGGGGGGTGACCAGCCCGCGCCGGCGTTTCGTCATTTGCAGGTTGGCTGCAGATTGGCCTGCCTGGACCAAGCCAATTTCCAGGAGCTGGAGTAGCAGCACCGAGCGAAGCGGGCATTTCTCAGCCTTTCTCATCAACTCCACAATCAGGAGCTCTCGACTTTTTCCTTCCATCGCCCTTCCTTGCACTCCAGCTCCTTACACGTTGTAAGTGCCGTCGCCGTAGCGGCCCGTGTTGGCGTGGGTGGCGGTGCCGTGCTCGTTGTAGCCGGCCTCGCCGTACTTGGCGTAGGGCGAGCCCTCGCCGACGCGCGTGGCCTCGGTGTTGTAGCTGGTGCGGACCTGGTCCGGGCTGGTGTGCATGGGCAGGGCGTTGGGGTCGGCGAGGTTGTCCGTGTCGGCGCGCTTGTTGCGGCGCAGGCCGAAGAGGCCGCGCTTCCGGGAGCCGTAGCCCGACGTGTAGTTGTTGGCCGGCGAGGGCCCGAAGCGCTGCTCCTTCTTGCGGTGGCGGCCCAGGGCGAGCTCTGTTACGGCTGAGACGATGAAGAAGACGCTGGAAATTGTTGTTAGCTCTTGGGATCCGGTGGGATTTTTTAAGATTGTGGTGAGTTTGGTGAGGCTTACATGGCGACAATGGACACTGCGAGAATTGCCGACTCCATCCGGCAGATCGTCATGTACTTGGCCAGTGGGACGCCACCGTCCTTGGGGGACTGGATGTTGGCATTGGCATCGCCACTTCCAAAGACGGTATTCACGTTGCTGCCAGAGCAGGAGCTGGCACCGTCCTTATTCACGGTCGCAACGTAGATGAAGGCGCCGATGAAGGCGATGTCCAGGACGATAGCGATGAACGAGGTCAGGGTGAAGCCGGCGAGACAGCAGAGCAGGAGGAGGCCGATGGCGGTATACAAGACGGCCACGCCCGAAATACCCTCAACGGCGCGCAGGTTGGTGGGTATCGTGATGCTGTGGTTCGACATGGCCGCGAGGAAGTACGAGTTGAGTGCGAGGACGAGCCCCGCGCAGCAGAACTGCACGCCCCTGTTGAACCATTGTAACAGCTTGAGGCAGAGACCTGCACCGGCTGCCATTTTTGGTGAGATGTAGGGTGTTTGTTTGTTTGTTTGCTGTTTCTCCTCTATCCTCTCGGTCAAGGAGGTTTTGATGTCGAGTAAATAATACTACTTGGGTAGAGCAACCGGGACCACAAGCGAGAGCGGGTTTTGTTCAAGTACGGAGTACGGGGTATCTTAAGCTTATATCGGAGTGGGCGGAGTGACGGAAACAGGCACTTGGGGGACACACGAATTTAAGACGGGCTACCGAGGATTCGTTACCTCATCCTGAGCACGGCCACATGCATCAGACTGGAAAAGGTGGGAACAGAAACTGAAAAACATGACTTCACAGACATCATGTGCATCAGGAGACGTTGGAGAGACCAGGGGGAGGGGGGTGTGCCTCAGTAAACGGCCAAGAAGAGGCCGCCCCCCAAGCCAAGTACCGAGACGACCCAGACCATCAGACTGGCTGAACGGACATGCAGATTCCCACAGAGATCGGCTTGGCCAAAGCAAGGCAGGGCCGATCGCTGATGGGGTCGTTAAAACGCGACACTTGAATCAGGGGACGAGCTGGCTAGTTGGATGGACGGATGGGGGGGTTGCAGAGAAAAAAGCTACTGCTAGTCCATGTGGTCCATGTGGGCAAAGAAGTCTGCAAAAGTGGACGGAAGCGGCCAGTTTGATGACGATGGTCAATGAGAACCACTATATCCCAAGCAGATTTGTCTGTAGAAGACACACTTGCTTGTGTGCCTTGGACCTTGGACCTTGGACCTTGCTGGGACCCTACGAGCTTGTCAATCTATTTCTCTCTTTCTGTCACACCTCGTCATCAAGGTGACCCCTCCACCATTCATCTGCCCACACCCCAATGCAGGCATTGCCAGGCTGACAACGTCATACTCCAGCAGGGATCACCTCTGAAGCGAGCAAGCCATGGCACAAAGACGCAGCTGAAAGTGCAAGGCTGAGCCACACAAAGCCACAGCTCCAGTCCGTCCCGAGCACGCCGAGAGAGCCGAGGGTGTGTGGGGTTGCTTCTCGCTGGACAGCGCTGCTCTCTCCATTGGGTATGGGCTAGCCTACCGCGTGGGCCACACACACCCGCCCTCTCTCACAAACCCAGGCGGCCAGGCCGATTCGAGCCGGGGCCCGCGCCGCCGCGGCGTTGAAGGCCTCACGTCCAACAAATATGGTTTCCAAACCCCATCTCGAAACATTTCGCTTTCCTGGGCCCTTCGAGAAGGCGTCGCCTGTGTCTCTCTGCTACTGAGCAATGTCTTAGATGCTCTGCTCAGTACCGCCCTGATTGAGCCGCTGTGCTGCGTCGCCGGATTGCTCGCGGACCTGGCTCTCCAGGCGAGCGGGTACTGACAAACTGCATCGACATCGCCACACATCTTTGCGTCGCCACCACCGCTGGGAAACCAAGGTTTTCGCTTTCGGCAGCGCAGTCAAACTCCTCGGGAGGCCTACGAACGATACCTGCCCGGCCCTAGCAGCGAGTCCGGCCCGGCCTACGCTAAGTAGCTCCCAGAGCTTTGCGTCATGGCAAATCGCTTGGAGAGCTAGGTGCTCCAATCTAGAAATCGGACGGCCCAGAGCTCGCTCTGTTTAGTGTAAGCTACTCTTGTGCTCGGCCCCTGCGACGTGCTGGGAAATTGAAGTGGGCAGCCCGGGCTCCTCCTCCGCTCCGCGCTGCTCCCGCAACGGCGGGTGCCCCTGGGCTAGAGGCCGCGACGTGACGTACTTGCCCACTGCGCTGGGATCTGTCGTCAGAAAAATCCCTCTTGTGTTGCTCGGGAGAGCAATGCCTGCGTGCTGGTCAGGCGCTATAGAAGCTCAAATTGGCCAGTTCGCCGTGAATAGAGCGGCAGGACAACGCAAGACGCTCCGCTGCGTGATTGCCAATGGAGTAAGTTGTAGGTCGCTAATGTACTGATGCGAGGTTTAGGCCAAATACGATAGCGAAAGAGATACCGAGGTGTCCAGAATTGTATAAATGAGGGTCTGGTAGCACATTGCGAAGCTTCAGGGCTGAAAAAATTGCCTTGTCTGTGAGGACTGCCATGCCACCCACCAAGCCGAGGCCGCCGATGCCTTCCAGAGCGATGGGGGCAGTTCGACTACATGAACTTTTGTTGTTACGGTAAGGCCAACATGATCAAGTTCATGTGCTGTTTTTGCTGGTGAATAACCACCATTTTTGCATATGATGTCTAGCTACAACGTCAATAGCCAGAAGCACAGCTTTGAGGGGCGCTTCTTGGCTCGAACTATTATTAGAATAAAATTCGAGGTCACGACGCCGGAAATGGACGTGACTGGCGGGAGAGCTTGACTGCTATTTGTGACTGTTTAACTAGCCTATGAGCGTCGGCTCGTTCCTTTCAAGCCATATTGCGATCTCTTATACTTGAACAAAAGGGTTCCCGCGGCGAGCTCTCAAATTGCTGGCGAGATGCATCGCCAGCTAGGCAATGCCGTCCAGAATGAGGCATACTTTGGAGGTCCATAATGAGTGTTGGTATCCAGGCTTCCGGAAACGGAAAGGCATACTCAACAATGATTCCTACTCCGAATAACTTGTCATCATATAGCGATACTATTTGTTAACTAAGCTCTCCGTCCATAGAATTCTTAGTCGGAAGTAATTCACTGGAACATTGACCATAAACAATTATACCTGCGAACCGACATTCAAAGGGCATCGAAATTAGAGACAGAACTGCTCAATAAGTGTGATCTGCTGCCTGCAGCCCAACATGGCTGACCAGCAAGACCAAGGCCAAGATGAAGGCCAAATCCTCAGCTGGCCTGAGTTGTACCGGCTGCGACAAACCATTGACTTTTTTGACAACTTCTGGAAGAAGCAAAAGCGATGGGAACCGCGTGAGCGGGTTCCCATCTTCGAAAGATTGCCGATCCCATTCTGGGACCCCCCGAGGCCCGACCCTGCCTATAGGAATCCCCAGGTGACGCAGGATGACGCTTCGGGACGCAACGTGCCATTCCACCACTCCCCCAGGACGGACTCCAGCAGTGATTCGCCGATGGTTGACCAGATGAGGCGCTTCTTCGAGGGCTTGAACATGGGCTACACCATGGTCAAGGTCCTCGGGGCTGGGTCGCAGGGTGTGGCTGTCCTGTTCGACTTCAATGGGGAGAAAATCGTCATGAAGTGGAGCACCGAGCTGCGCGCGATGGTCACGGAGCTGTGGGCTAATAGGAAAATGGTCGGCGCAAGACATATCGTTCAGGTGAGTCAGTCTCGGCGCTTCGTTCCTGGCTCCGCTCCATCACGTGGGATTCGTTTCTGCCAAATTGCACCCGAAATGATTGAGCTGTGGCTGACTTCGATATATACAGCGAAAATGGAGACCAGGAATTCTTGAAATGGGTCTGGATCGTGACGGTGAAAGGATTAATGATATTCTCGTCCTGGCACACCTAAGCTACTACAAGGAGGAACTAAATGACATCGTGGGCCCTAGAGTTCCGTTGATGGTAAACAACTTCCGCATAAGTTTTTCAACTTTGTCAGGATATGAACCAGCCATATACGTATCATGTTTCACTGTTCATCCCGATTCTCTACTTCAGGAGGCTGCAGCTTTTGAAACAGGTTACTGGCAGGTTGTATCCTGCGCCTTTCCCCTGTCCATGTGAATATTCTTTCTCGGTATTTTATGAGCTAATTTAGGCTGCCGCAGTACGCAATGGAGTTTATGAAGCACGGAAACTTAAATGTAATTGCTGTCCTTTCTCTCCCTTGCTATTATCCCATGCTTCCACTCAACGAAGCCTACTTTGAAGTGGCTTGCAGTTCTGCCAAGGCATCCGGGTTACTATGTCCAAGAAAAACCTTCTGCGCAAACTGCCACGGTGAATTAGGCAGAACATACATAACAAGAAGGGCTTAGTGTTGACATTCGACTCTGGACAGTTCGCTGACACCATCTACTGCGCAGGGCCTTCTTCGGAAAATATCTCAGCAACGGCCTTACCTAAAGGACTCAGAGCTGTGGAATGTGTTTCTGTGCCTCTTCCGAGCCTGTGTTGGCCTGGCCTATCCCGATCGCTGGGCCCCTCAAGGATATGTCCCGGGCCAAGGCGACGCCCCTGACCAGGAGGAGTTCGTCCCCGTAGACGCTACTGGTCGAGCCCTACCCACAGACCTCGGCATTATCAACTTTGACATGAACGACCGCAATGTCATGATCGGCGACTTCAGTAACACGAATCCGCCAGAACACCCCCACAACCCGGTCCCGGTCGTCAAAGTCGGCGACCTCGGAGTCGTCTCACGCTTCTTGCCGGAGCACCGTAATGACTTTACTGCTTGTGTTATGGGAAGGATCCGCGGAAATATGTGGTGTAATAGTCCTGAGCAGTTTACTGACACATGGAAAAATGTCGACAGCATGGAGTCGTTGGCTGCGGACGATGTGGCTGGAAAATTTGACTGGTGGTCGAATCTGTGGCAGGTCGGGCGTCTTATGGCTATCATGGTGAGTAGCTCTACTCCTGTGAATATACCGTGACCTTCTGCGCATCGCATAGGACCCTGTGAAGGCGGTAGGTTTCCCTGAAGAAGCAGCTAGCGCTGCTCCAGGTGAGACAAGCTACTCCTGATGGGTTTCTCTATCCACTATCCCGTCGATAAGAAACAAAGACGCAGGAATCACAAAAGAGAGCCTTCACTAATAGGAGCACCTTTAAAGATCACAGGGATGCAGCCAGACGTTCCCCCATCCTGCAGGCGGTGCCCAATAATCAAGCTGGACGGGACAACCCAGATGATCTGGACATACGCGGGTCACCTCGTGGGCCCGGATTATGACCGTTACGATCCATTGCTTCGGTCGACGGTCGCCTGGTGCATTGCGCACAGGCCAATGGACAGGCCTCAGATTCTCGAGCTGGAGACACTTCTCATGGCTGCTGTAGCCGTGGACCGCAGCGCCACTGAGGGACCGGACCGCACCACCATTGCCTCCCTGCTCGGCTCCGTACCTCCTGCTATGACACAAACGCCTTCTGGACTTGTCATACCTGCTGCTGGACCTGCTGGGCCTGCTGGGCCGTGATAAGGCGTGCATTTGACCATGGCAGGCCGAAGGGATGTATCATGTTAGGTACGTAAATATTTTTACGGCTCATTAGGACCATACGGCCGCACTCCGTGGGAAAGAGGCCATTGAAATCATTCATCTTCTAGGTGGTGGTCAATTACTTGTACTACACACTGTAGACATGTGTAATGTTCTTGCCTTTGAGGGACAGAATTGTGGATGTAGATAACTAGGCATGACATGTTATTGAATTTATTTCTTGACTGTACTTCACATCTTTATAAAGATACGAATTTCAAAAACAATGTCAACGATGAAAAGTCCTCCGCATGTACTTGACTGTTTATGGTCAATGCGTCATGGCTGGTCCTCAGATTCCAACACACGAACACTAAATCGAAGGAGATTAAGCAAAACTTATTTATCTAGGACGATTGTGCTGTCTCAAAACTCTAGAGGCAAAGCAGACGAAGCAATCATGTGATTCGACAAGGCTGACGATTGCAGCAGGCTCCATATGTCGACGTCGAGACAATGAAAATTAAACATACGTCGTAGAATTCACACCAGCAGAAATTCTCCAGTATTCGAAGGAGTGTCAATGTACCCTATAAATGCTTGTCTCGTATCAATGACGTTGCCTTGCGCAAATCGAGGGAGCTTGAAGGTAGAGTAAGGACGCGGCACGATTGGACTTGCGATCCAGCCGTTTTCAGCTTCCTTGAGACTAAATAAACCGGAAAATTGATTCATTGGTAGGAGTGTTGATTAAACTTTCAAATTCACCGGAGCATCTTTCGCTAGGGCTACTCTTGCCCATTTTTGCTCGTGCGTGGCGCCTTGGAAATCATGCTGCTGGTATGAAAGAGATGAAGCTTCATAAAGCATGCAAGCCTCATACCATTGTGAATAGCTCATGACGATTCTCAGCCATTCCTAATGGGCCGCTGGACAGGGCCTTGTAATAATTTTCTATAGTGCGTACAGTGGCCATCCCATCAAGCGCCGAAATGAGGTATCCGGGATGAGGAGAGCCCTTAGTCTGAACCAAGTCCTGGAAGGCCTGGATATTGACCTTCTTGTTTTCGTCTTGAGTGGATCCTACAGGGTCTAAACGGAGTCTCGATTTAGCTTCGTTAACACAAAGTTCTTCTGCGGAGAAGTGTCCACAATGTAATAAGATCTCAGCGGGTGCGCCCACCGAAATGAGCACTGGGCTTTGCCGAGGGGTCCAATTTCATCGAAAGGGACGGTAGGTCTCAATGAATCCTTGAATACTACTGTGTACTGAGCGAAAAAGGCGTGAGATGTGAGATATGAGATGTACCATTTTGAGACTGCTATGATGACTATCACGAGTTGTCGCCCGTGGGAGGGACGAAGTATCCGCCCTGGATAGAAGACAACCTCAGGACGACATGCAATAAACGGCGCCCGCAAAGCAGCTCCTAAACCCCCGCGTCTTTTACCACGGCCGCACTCTGCTTCAGCAGATCCGCAACCAAAGTTTCTTCCGTAGCCTCGCACAACGCACTCAGCATCTGCCCGGGGATATGGCGCACCTGCTCGGCCCAGCCGAGATCAATCTGCCGCGACTGGACCTCGAACACCGTACTCACGCCGTCAGCCTCGTCCTGGAAAATCGACCAGTTGAGCAGGTAATTATGGCGCTGCTTGTCGCTGTATGACCAATTGGAAGACAGCTGCGGCACGTCGAGGAAGGACAGCACGATGGTAGTAACGGTGCGGCGGTCCGTCGTCAGCGCGGTTGGCAGCGCGTTCGGCAACCCGTCGAACTCGAGCACGTCCAGCGTCGTCTTGTGCATGGCGTCGACGAGCCACTCGCGCACGCGGGTGGCGCCGGGCACCCACGCCCCGAACGGGGCAGTGCCCAGCAGCGGGCCCACTAGGAACTGCGTGCCCGGCCACGGCAACGTACGCCCTGCCAGGCTGATCGAGAAGCCGACACGGTCCCACCCCGTCACCCTGCTCAGGAACAGCGCCCACGCCGCGTACACCATGGTGCTAGTGGTGATTCCAAGGCGGCGGGCGGCGACGTCGAGCTCCGACTTGCGCACCGACACGGGCGACTTGAGGCGCACGAGGTCGAAGGCATCAGCCGGGGGCGGGTTCGCGGGGCGCGGCGGCTGGAAGATCGAGGACGCGGGCGTCGCGTTCACGATCTCGCTGAAGGTGCGGATCGCCTTGTCGATGTTGGCCTGCTTGTGCTTCTGCAGGAAGCGCGCGAAGGCGCGGAAACACGGGCGCGGGGGCAGGTCCTGGCCGGCGAGGACGAGCTCGGCGTCGCGCGAGAGGATGGCGGACGAGAACACGTCGACGAGGACGTGGTGCGTGCGGCTGACGAAGGCGAGGGCCTTGCGCCCCGGCACCGACACGCAGGTGATGCTGCAGTACGGCACCTCGTTGTCCGACGGCTTGACATCGTCCAGGTCCCGCCATGCCTGCGCCTCGGCCTCGGAGCAGGCGTTTTCGAATTTGGCCTCGTCCACGCTCACCTCGCGCCACTCCATGTTCACTCGTCCCAGGTCAGACATGGTGAAGTTGGCCAGGTCGAACCGCGTTTTGAAGATGCTGTGCGCTGACCAGACCTTGACGCAAGCATCGTGGAGCTCCTGGGCGGATGGCGTCTTCGCAGGGTCCCCGACATACTTGCTCACGCCGATGAGGGCGCAGAACTTGGGGTTGTTCACGGAGCGGTTGAGGAACAGCTTCTGCACGTCGGTGACTGGTACTGTGTCTGAATTGGAGTCCGGACTGTCATCGCTGCCGTTCGCCTGTCCATCGGAAGACGAGAAGTGTTGCAGGTATTCCTCCAACTGGCCTATCGTGTCCAATCTCAGGATTTGGATCACTGAAATCGGATACTCATGCTTCTTGAGGAAGCTGGCGAGCTTGATTGCTGCTAGGGAGTTTCCTCCCTGCTTTGTAAAGGAGGAATCTTTGTTGACCTGTTGGAAGGGTACTTGTAAGACAGTGGAGTAGGCCGAACACAGAATCTCGTAGATCGAGGCTGGGTTCTCTTGATCCAGGAGGCTCTGTTCTGCCTCACTTTGAGTATCTAGCTCGAGTTTGAGGGCATCTCGATCCGTCTTTCCGTTCGGCCTTAAGGGAAAACTGTCCATGGCCAAGAGGATGTCGGGGATCACGAAAGGATCATTGCGCTCCTTCATGAACTGGCGTAACGCGTCGACGTCGACAGTTGCCGGCTGGACGCATCCAACTAGTCGGCCGCGCCACATGAATGCCACAGCAAACAAGACTGGGTCATAGGAACGCAGCGACGCCTCGACCTCGGTGTCGAGGTTGATCAGGAAGCCTCGGTTCTTGACCAGAGAGTCGGATCGGCCCGCCCATACGAGCTGTCCATCCTCTGTCCTGCGAGCGAGGTCGCCCGTCCGGTAGAACCGCTTGCCGTTCCACTGGATAAACTTCTGCGCAGTCAGCTGTGGGTTGTTGAGGTAACCGGCAGCGAGCCCAGGCCCGGCGATCAGGACCTCGCCCTGATCGCACTCCTTCAGGTCCTCATCGATCAACACCACTTCGACGCCTGGAATTAGCTCACCGAACGGCGGCTCCTCGTCGGGCTTGAGTTGTCCGAAGCTGATGGTGACGGTCGTTTCCGATGGGCCGTAGGTAGTCATCACCTTCCGATTGGGAGTGATCCATTGGCGGACGACGTCCAAGGCGGGCGCCTCACCGCCCAGGAATATGTGGCGGACGGAGTCATAGGGCCCGTCGGGATCCATGGTCGCCAGCATCGACGGCGTCATGCTCAACAACGCGCAGGTTGAGGAGACTTCGGGGAAGTTGGACGGCGAAGCCATGACCAAGCTGCCGCCCTTTGCCAGAGTTATCCAGACAACCCCGGCACAACCTGATGATTTGAACACAACTATTATCAGTAATTACTCGATTACAGTCGGGCGAAATGGGAACTTGCCATCAAACGCAATGGAATAAGCCAAGAGACAACGACCTCCTCCTTGCTCCGCGGCCTCTACAAGCTCGTCACCCATCTTGACCCTCGAGACGGCGTAGATACCCCGGTGATAAATCATAACGCCCTTAGGCTTGCCGGTTGTGCCGGACGTGAACACGATCCACGCAAGGTCATCTTCAAGGATCCCATTCTTTATCTCGTCCAGCCGCGCATCAAAGCCACCATCGTCGTCGACGAACGGTGCATGCAGCCACGCCTTCTGGAAGTTGACGGTGACGGGCGGGAGCACGACGCTGGGACACGGGCTCGTGACGACGGCGACTGCGGGGCAGATCTCGGCGAGGATAGACTCAACGCGGGCGCTGCTCCAGGCCACGACGTCGATGGGCACGTAGCAGGCGCCGACGCGCAGGATGCCGATGACGGTGGGCAGCATGGTGAGCGACATCTCGGTCAGGAGCGGGACGCGGTCCCGGGGCTGCACGCCGGCCGAGAGCAGCGCCCGGCTGACGTGCAGCGAGCTCGCGCGCAGCTCGGCATACGTGAGCTGCTCCTCTTGCCACTCGGCGGCGAGCCGGTCGGGATCCCGCGCGGCCCAGGCGTCGAACAGGTCAACGACGGTGGCGCCGAGGGGCTTGGGGTCGTGTGACGCGCCGTTGGTCTGCATCTTTGGCAGATAGATAGACAGACTACTAGGCCGATGTGTTATGGGGTTTTAGGAAGAGGTTACTCAGAGGGGGTCTCGACGGCTCGCGGTATGGGCAAATGAGCAAGCGTCACTGCCCTCGTTGGTAGCAGGTATTACATTGGTTTTTAGATGTCTATGTAGTTATACCATGAGTGGTAGGGAATTATACACATAGTTATACAGGGCTGCCTGGATATAACTTGCTGTTGTGCGTCTCGAATGTCCATGGAGGATGGGCAGTATTACCACATTCCTGGGACAATCCAGAAGAGTGAGTTAGGGATATCGGCATGGGATGAAATTCAAGAGCGATACCAATGGCATGTTCTTCCGAGGTGGCTTCTGTGTTAGCGAACTGTCGATGCTGACCCTGCATAAGCAGCGTATGGCGTAGTCCACTTCAAGATGTGCCTGACATGCATGTTTGGGGCGTTATTGCGCGGCACGTAATCAGGCGCTCCACTTTCTACATGATTACTATCGTGACCCTGAAGTTTCGCTACCTTGGGATAAGTCTCTATTGGCTGCTTACTTACTGAATTGTACCCTGTGGTTCCACGCAGTCCAAGAATGTGGGCGTCGTTACAGATATTCAGCAATCAAAGAAGCTACAGAGTGGTAGAGTTATCGCTGGAATGGCACTACGCAAATTCGAACTCGATTGAAAGGTCTGTATTTAGAAATGTCGTAGTCAAGGAGCCGCTTAACGGCCAGGGATTGTAGACCGTGCGGTTTGGCAGTTTGGAACGTGTCGCGCGTGGACAACATGCTAATTTACGTGCATGGACATTGCATCTTGCTGGTTTTCAGTCGAATGAGAGATGGACTGACTTAGATCTGTTTGTGGGAGTGTAGGAAAACCTGTCGTAAGACTCTCATGTAAGGGCCTAGACTGATCCGAGTACATCTCTCACTTTCTGAGGTATCAGCACACAACCTGTAGTTGTAGAGAAGCCCCTTGTAGCTATAGCCTCATACAACTGTATCTCCTCTCTCCTTGGCTATGTCGTACAGTATGATTCTAACAGCACAAATCCAAACTTTGCCAGAGTCTAGATGCAACAGCTCACCAGTAAATATCCGTAATAACGCAAGCAACTTGAAGCAAGCAATAGCATCTAAAGAGACGCGCGAGCCTCCGTTAACGTCACCCTCGCATCGCAATAACCACTGGCCTCATCCAGCACCCTCCTCGAGACCTCAGTAACGCGCTGATACATGAGCAGCAGATGCTCGCGGCTCTCGCGCGAGAACAGCAAGAAGTAGGCCATCCAGCCGCTCCCCGCCGTGGGCGAGACCCGGGTGCCGGCGGGGGCGTACAGCTCGGCGCGCGACACGTGCGGCGCAACGTCAGGCAGCGCCGCGCGCACGCGCGCGACGAAGTCACCGGGAATATACAGGTCGTCGCGGTGGATCGGCACGATGCAGTGCGCCGTCCAGTACTGCGCGCCCCCGCCCCCGCCGACAACAGCGTCCTCCGGGAACGCGAACGGCGTCGCCAGCGCCGCGAACCGCTCCCCTTCCCGCTCCCCCAGCGCGCGAAGCACCTGTAGCGACCCCAGGTCCACCCCGTACGTGTACAGCGTCGCCCAGGTCCCCGCGGTGCCGGGCTCGCGCGCGTTGACCTCGATGAGGAAGACGTCCGGGGGTGGGGAGGCGAGGGATGCGGCGCGGGGGGCGAGGTCGACGACGCCGCTCGGGTACGGGCGGTAGTGCATCGCCGAGTGCGCCATGCGGGCCTCGACGTGGAACACGCCGGAGCGGAAGCCCAGGCGCAGCAGGCTGTCGAGGAGGGAGGCGCGGATGGTGTCCTTCTCGGGGTGGGGCAGGGCGCTGCTGGAGATCTGCACCGTCTCCATGAAGTTGTCGGTGAGGGCGGCGGTGCTTGCGTCGCCGAGGCACGGCATGTTGTCCGTCACCTCGAGGAACAGCACGCGGCCGTCGCGCAGCACGAAGTTGGCGTCCAGCTCCGGCCCGTCCACGTACGTCTCGATCAGGATGCCGTGCTCGGCTAGCCCGTCCTGCGCCAGCGAGCGTACCGCCCGCCGCATGCTCGGCGCGTCCGACACCTTCTGCACGCCCCGCGACAGCAGGCCCCGCGACGGCTTGACGATCAGCGGGTACCGGAGCGATTGCAGGGTCGCGGCGAGGCCGGCGTCGTCCAGCTGTGCCGCGCTGTCGAGGTGCACGGCTTGGATGTTCGTCTTGTTGACCAGCGCGCGCATCTCGTGCTTGTAGTGCGCCTGCTTCATCGCCTGCGACGGCTCGGTCGGCAGGCCCATGATCTCGGCCGCCTCGGCCGTCGCGATGACGAAGTCGTCGGTGAACGTGACGATGCCGTCGATGTGGCGGTGCTCGAGCGCGGTCGCCATGTTTCGCGGCAGCTCGGCCAGGTTGGACATGTCCATTGCGATGAAGTCCTCTCGCAGCCAGGCGTACTTCGCGTCCGCGAGCCAGTGGCCCGGCTCGTCGATGACGAGCATCGATATGCCGAGGGCGTGGGCGGCCTCGAAGAACCCCCGAGAGCCGTACATGCCTTTCTCTTCGTTGTACATACCGCGGCCGCCGACGACGCCCACGCGATACGCGGGGGATTTGGTCGGGAGAGCCCAGTCGAAAGAGAGGCGCATCTCCAAGTCCTCCTGCAGGAGCATCATCAGGGTTTCGTCGTCGTGTACTTGGTCCTGATTTACCACCAGGGCACCCGGCGAGCATGGCAGGATGTCCAACACCGAGCTTGTATCATGTGCTATGAATGCTTGCAGCTGCTGGCCCCAGGAAGAGAAGGGAACGACCATGTCGACAAACGGAGAGTGGCGCATCCTCAACTCCAGAATGTCGCTCCGACATAGATAACCATTGCGTGGAGACAAGATCACCTTTGCTATCACATCTGTTTGGTCGGCCAGCCCCTGAGTCCCCTCCAACGTGCTATGAACAAGAGTCTCAAGCGCGGTGCCGGTAGCATCTGACATCTTGCGACCTGCATCGGCACGCACCTCGCTTTCCGGGGTTGGTAGTAGGCGCAGAAACAAGTCGGCAGTGTAGAAGTAGGACGTCTTGCCCCTGCGCGATGATGATGAAGAGACTCTCCATTGACAGTGGACCCTGAATGGAGCTGTGCATAACACACCTAGTCAGTCTCCATATCTGTGTGGGAGTTGGGGCATCATACCTTGGCTGTTGGAAGTCTCGAGTAACAAGACTTCATCGGTGAAAACTCCGGGTACGCAGCACGTGATGGCCATTGCTTGTTTGACGAGATACTCAAATCTTATTCTGGCTACGAGGAACGAAACCTGCGGACGAGAGGTAAGAAAGGTGAAGTGTCTGAAGTGTCTGAAGGGCACTGTAGAGTCCTCATGTCACGGAAGAGGATGTGTGTCTGAGGACTTTCAACGCGTCCATCTCTCCCGGTTTCTCGTTTCCACTGCGAGACCGTCATCTAGTGTACGACTTGGCTTATCGCGTCGCCTCGCCGGGCACGCTTCCTCCAAGCCATCTTTTGCGGACTTGGTCTGGCCTGAGTAGACGTTATCGTAGTGTTGCAAGGCTTACGTGAAGAAGTATTATCGGCATGGGTGGATTAGGGGACCTAACCCTGCATTTCCCATTACATTCAAGCTCATAATCTGACCCTGTCACGGTGTCTGACTGCGTGAGCCTGACCGTGCATGCTTACCCCCAGCTAGATTGGCCCCTCTCTCACGTATTTACATACTGTATAGTAGTTCTATCGACAGTAGAGGGAAAGAATTAACTCATTGTATGCATATGCAGCACAGCAACGAAGCAAAGACCATGGCTTGTCGAAGCATTCCGAAGAGTTCTGAGGTACACACGTGCAAAAAAAGTCCAGCCCGACGTGTGCAGTATCACTTAGACTGTCTACACACGCCCTTAGGCCGTATCTACCACGAGCTGCCACCGAATTCGAGGGCACGCCCATCTCATTCTGGATGTGTGTTAGATTTCAATTCTCGTGAATTTGGCCTCACGAGATTTCCTGCTAATTAATATGCTTTCCTGGTACGTAGCAGGATTAATGACGAAATTCGAGCGATCTCGTCGCAATAAACACCGTCCATACCAGCCAGCTCGGTTAATAAAGGCCATAGATGGGGTATGTGCCAATAAGTTAAAGTAGAAGGCGAAGAGGAGACAGGATGTCTCCTTATCATATCCGGAGCGTTGTCAATCGGCTCCGATGATGACGATGCTCGTGCCTCCCTGCCCGACTGGCTCTTTCCATCTTCCTTCGCAGTTCACGTGTAATTTGGAAACAGCCACTCGATGACGGCGAGGAGATTGACTAGCTTGAGCTTTCAGGCTGAGACAGTATCTCCTTGACCAATGCTCTATTTCCTTTGTGCACAGGATGCCTTCATGTCGATCAGGTATCATCGTGGAAGATGAGATTCGAGAAGGGAGCAGCTTACCCGTAGCTTCTGACAGGCTGCCGTTTAGTAAAGGCCTCGCGATTCTCATCGCGGCCACTTGCTGCCTCTCTCCTGTATTTCTCCAGTATCGGCTTCAGCTGGCGGCTACGGCTGGAGCATTGCATGATGGCGGGGATGCTTCGCTTTTCGAACTTGCCGGTGTAGTATGTCGTCGCCATCTCGTCGACATCTTGAAACCCAGCCGTGCGCATCGCTTCCGGCACAAACTTGAAGCGCCGCGTAAGGTCGGCTGTGTCTGTGTTGGTGTGGCAGTGTTGCTGGCTCCCGCTGAAGGGGATTTCGACAGCGCGGGAGCTAAGTTTTGCAGAGAAAAGTCTACAGGCATGAACACTCGTCCGCCTATATTGGAAGAAGTTTTCCTTTTTAAAAAAAACTTGATCGAAGGGGAAGGGGATGGATGCTGCTTTGCTGTGAAGCTGTTTTCTTGAACCGTGCGGAAGGGCGGTCGGCATGTCTGTCTACTTGAAATGCATCAGATCAACTCAAGAGGACCAGCAGCTTGAAATCCGACTCGCTTTTGGGGTGGTCTCCTGAAGTGAGTGATATTAAGAAAAGATACCTAGCTAATTCCCTGAGATTCGATATTATCCATAACTTTATATCGTTTGATGAATTCCAATGTGGGATTTTCCACAGCGACTTCACCCTGGCAACTGTGGAGCAAAGTTTTCAATGAAGGAATAGTCCAAAAATCAGGACGACGCCGATCAGCAGGTTCAGCCGCAACCGAGACATCAGGCTTCAATGCATGTGCAAGGGGTCATGAAAATGGCGATTACTATGTGACCCTTTTTGTGCATTTTCTGCTGCTGTACAACACAAGCTGAAATGAGCAGCTGTTGGGCGCGGGATGTACTCTGAACACAGCTTCAAATACCACTGAACTGATTGTCGTTAATCCTCTCAATTTACTATGACCAAGGTAAACCTCGCGAGCTGCCCCCGCCTTAGTGTTGGAAAGGAGCAAGTCGAAAAGTGAATAGCACGCGTTGTTGCCGGCATAGTAAAACTCTTACCTTTCTGGCAGACAGCAGTGCCGGCTACTGGTACACTTCAGCTCGTGTCAGGCAGAACGGCGAATCAGGGGCATTTGTCTCTAGACATGCTGCTTTATTACCTCGCTAAGATGTGGAAAAACTATAGTGCATGGTGTGCGTTGCACAAGAAAGCCTTGGGCTATGTTTGATGAACCCCGCTCCAGATGTCTGCGAGCTGAAAATAGACCTTTCCAGAGAAGCTCGCCGCCATTCTCTTTGTCTACGTCTGCATTGAACGGCCTCTATTTATTCGAGGAGAGGAACGTACTCTTACCGCAACATGTGGCTTATTAACACCGAAACCCTCAAACTTGAAGGCTTCATGGGAGAAGCTCCCTCCTACGCCATTCTTTCCCACACTTGGGGCCCTGAGGAAGTAACTTTCGCGGATTTCCACGATGAAATGACCAGACACAACAAGGCGGGGTTTGCAAAGATCAAGCTCACTTGTGAGCAAGCCAGGACAGAAGCAATCAAATATGCGTGGGTGGACACATGCTGTATCAACAAGGGAAGCAGCGCCGAGCTCAGCGAGGCTATCAACTCCATGTTCAAATGGTACAGACTCGCCACAGTCTGCTATGCCTACCTTGAGGACTTCCCACAACAAGTTGAAATCGCTGATTCATCTAGCCTATCATGCTGCAGGTGGTTTTCAAGGGGATGGACGCTACAGGAATTAATCGCACCTAGAAGTCTCGTTTTCTTCATTCCCAATGGCGAGACTTGGAGTGCTATCGGACGGAAAGACGAATTACACCTAGGACTCGAGGAGATAACCAAAATCCCTGGCGAGATACTCCTTCAACAAAAGGCTATCGAGACGATCAGCGTTGCTGCCCGAATGAGCTGGGCTGTAAAAAGGCAGACTACCCGGGAGGAAGACTTAGCGTACTGTCTAATGGGAATCTTCAACGTCAATATGCCTCTTCTATACGGTGAAGGCACGAAAGCCTTCATACGACTGCAGGAGGAAATCCTGCGCGAAGTGCGGGATAACTCCCTATTTGCATGGCGTTCGACGGAGGAGGCCGCAGTGAAGGCTCCTTACCGCGGTTTATTCGCATGCTCGCCGGAAGAATTTGTCGACAGCGCTGACATCCAGCATTTTGATGTATACGATGATGATTACGAAAGTACGACGTCGACGTTGGGCCAGGGACGAATTTCATTCAGCTGCAGTGTGCACGAGCTACCGGGAAGGAAAGACAGGGTGATCCTCAGCCTCAATTGTTTCCGGGGAGACTTGTCCAATAGACAAGGCATTGAGTGTGTCCGTGTCGGTCCTAATTACTACATGAGGTCCGAGCCATCAAAGTTGTACAGATGCTCGCTTGGCAGACTCAGGAGCGTCACCATTGATAAGCATGTGGTGAAGACAAGAGCAAGCAAGGATGAGCACGTCTACAGACTCGATAGAGTATATCTCCGCGATATGGATAACAACGTACACCTCAGGCTCCTTCATTCAGAGGCAAAATTGAGCGACAGACAGAGAGCCCCTCAAAGCCGGTCAGTGCCGTTTTCATGGGCCCTTGGCCGCAAAATGGCTTTTGAGATCGGAATCCGGCGGCCGGGGCCAATCGAGGACGTACTCCTCATACTCTTCTGGGTCGACAAGATTCCAGGACCCGGATCGCACAGCTATCGTTTCAATCTGGAAAAGTGCGAGAGCTCGGCTCATGACGGGGATGCGAAGCTCAGGTTTGAAAACGCGATCAAACCATCGCAATCGTACCGAAGGTGCGACCTGGACTTTGGGCCGGATGTTGTCAGCGTCGAGAAGATTGTTGGGAATCAAAGGGAACCTGACATGTTGACGCTTGATTTCCGTGTGATCCTCTTCGTCAAATCGCTTAGAAAATCAGTCAACAAAAAAAAAGGAGTTGAGACAGTGGGAGGACTAAGGCAGGGTGGGGGGAAGGGGCGGCAAAAAGTCATGCTTTTGACCAAAGGAGGCAGGACTACAGATAATTGCTTGATTGCTTTTCCTATCTTCTCTGTTCTCTCACCAAACATCTGGAATCTGGGCTTGTAGTGCGTTTTTGGAGGTATGGTGATGATGCTGATGTGGGCAAGTGAACGAGGTCGTGTGCCAGTATAATGTAGAGGAAATATCGTTTCTGTGGCCTCTCTCTAAATACGGAGTGAGCTATGGCGATGAGGTCTATTTTATCTTGCCTCTCTTAAATCAATTTTGCCTCCAATCTTGCCTTTGCATACTGCGAACATTTTACTTCCTTCTGCATAAGATGTTGCAACATGTAGACTAGGACGAGTGTAAATTTTCGAGATGGATGTGACCAATTAAGGCAGGTGAGCTTATGCTGCCCGATGTGTGCTGCTGCCGAGAGTCTCGAGTATGGCGGTTTATCTTGATGTCTGTGTTCACCTCTTGGGTTATTACTACTAGGGTTGTTTGGTCTCCTTCTCCATACTTGTGCCTTGCTGTATATTGCACCTCGGCTTATTTTGATACTTTGTGTCTCTATTTCGGCCATCGCCACCTCGCCGATGCTCGTCGGCGGGAGCTTGGGTGCCGGTGGAAGCACGTAAACGGTGCTTGCGCTGGGACAACCTGTTCTGCACCCTACATGGCAATCTGGTCAACGACTTGACTGAGTTATCACCCAAGACCAACCTGATTTTTGAGAACAAGGTCTCATTGCAGGACAAACCTTCTTCTCTGCACGGCTCTTGGGCTGTTGGAACGGCGTGACTTTCTTGGCGGGTTTTGGGGGGTGTGCTCGTTGCAACAAACATTGTGTTGCACAGCCGTAGATTAGAGACATGATCTTTAATGTCAATACATTAGAGTAAGCAATTACAACGAATCCTCCGGGGACGGATGGGGCATCTCTCAAAGTACATGCCTACTGTGTACAATGTAGCTAAGGTACCCGTAAGTACCTACATGTTCAACAAGGCGATGAGATGTACGAGTGGTTGCCATGGATTACTGTGGGCACGCAATGGAGCCCCGTAGTGGGTCAAGTACCCTGCATGCAACGGCCGTGCATGAGCCAGCGATTGCAGTTGCAAAGCCCAACACAGGATAAGGGTCGTGCTACATTTCAAGACTGGTGGCGTAGGTAATCGCGGGCATAATCATAATCATAAGCATCATCATTATGTTCGTAACTAGAACCAATCAGCCGCTGCATCCAAAGTCATGCTGATACATAGTACTGAGTTTGCCTGTCCACAAGCTTTGCGGACTGCATCCGCATGCGAAGGAATTCTTCTCGGTTAACCGGGACAACCACTTGTTTGAGCTCTGGAGGGAACCTGTTGGTTCCAGGGTATGTCCTCATAAGATGTTTGGCCTGGTACAAGTGTACGAGGGTTCCGAGATAAGAAGGAGAAGGGGTACTGGTAGGGGGCGGCAAAACATCTGAGAATGGGCCCACGCTCACTTCCGGCCTGCAGTGGTACGCTGGAGCCTTGCATAGATTGGAAACATTTCCCAAAAAGTGCCAGAGGCCCTAGCCAGATAGATTCTAGCTGCAGACGAGAATCTGATCAGAGGCTAAATTCTGGCCGGAGCCCCGGCCAGACACTCTAGAATTTCTGATCCTTCATCGTCACCTTGCAAGCAACACACTCATTCCGCCCCCACAGTACAGGGACCCCATCCTAGAAGGACACTTTTCCCCTCGCCAAACGCCAACAGCAGCTCAGTAAGCACACGCTTTGACGCTTTGCCGCTTCCCAAGCCATTTCGCGCCTTCAGGTGCTTCTCTTGCGTCGCAACCCTCCATCTCGGCCACTTCAGTTTGCATGCACCCCCTCCGCGTCCACCCAGGTCTCCCAAGGTCAAGATGGCTTTCACGAATGGCGACGGTGACTTGTTCCAGATGGACCGGGAGCGCTTCGACTTCAGCCTGCAATTCGAACAGCTCTTCTTCTCCATCATCCCGTCGGCCTTGTTCATCGTATCATCACTATGGCGCACGCTTTCCCAGGCACGGAAGCCCACCGTCATTCATGCTCCTGTCTTCCAATACATCAAATTAGTAAGGTCTTCCTGTCCAGAATTTCTGAGCTTTGATTGTGTGTGCCGCTACTTACATGGATGAATTATCGCAGGGTGCCATCGTGATCTACATCGGACTTGAACTCACACTCCTCGTCTTGGCGGCGATTGGGAGTGTCTATACAACGTCGATATTTATGGTCTCGTCTGTGCTGAAACTGGTGGCCACGCTTCTCATGACAACCGTAAGCGTTATCGATCACAGCAGAAGCCCGAGGCCATCGATACTTTTAAACTGCTATCTATTCCTGACTCTACTGCTGGATATAGCCCAGACGCGCACTCTCTTATTGCTGTCGGGCAGTCATCCCGAGCGTACCTATAGCATAATATTCACTGCTTCCATGGCTTTAAAGGCAGTGATATTGCTATTAGAAGCAAACCCTAAGTCCAGATGGATTACTTGGAACGAGAAAGAGCATAGCCCTGAGGAAACAAGCAGTATCTTTTCGCTCGGTGTGTTGTTCTGGATGAATGAAATGTTTTTAAGGGGTTATAGAAAAACCCTTACGATGGATGACCTTTATCCGCTCGATATATCGTTGAACACCAAGCTCTTGCACGAAAAGTTCTCCCAGAATATCGACTACTCTAAGCTTAAGGGCGACAAGTACGGCCTTTTAAAGGCCTTACTCAAGACTCTAAAGTTTTATCTCTTGATACCTATCCTTCCGCGTCTGGCGCAGCTTGCATTCACATTCAGTCAGCCATTCTTCATCGAGAAGCTACTCGAGTACCTTAATCAACCGCAGGTTCCCGCTAACGTGGGCTATGGTTTTATCGGGGCTAGTATACTGATATACTCTGGAATTGCTATCTCCACAGCCCTCTGCATGTACAGTATACCCGAAATATGATGAATGGCGGTACTTATCCACTGACAGATACGTGCAACGTACAGGTATCCCCATCATCGGATGCGTGCCATGGCAAGGTCGATTCTCGTCACCGAAACGTTCATCAAAGCCACCGAGGCCCAAATAGGGGCTGACGAGCACAGCGCTGCGGTGACTCTAATGAGCACCGATATCGAGCGCATCAAGCTGGGATTCAGAATGATCCACAACGTCTGGGCCGGCATTATTCAGGCGGCGCTGGCTGGTTGGATGCTGTATATTCGCCTGGGGGCCGTGTTCGCGGTGCCTATTGGAATCGTCACCTTCTGCTTCCTCTGCATTGGCGTCCTCCTGAACTTCACAGGCGACTCGCAGAGGTCCTGGATGGCAGGAGTTGAGAAGCGCGTCGGTCTGACGGCCGCTGTTATCTCCAGTATGAAGAACCTAAAAATCTCTGGCCTCTCATCCACAGTTGGGGACTTCGTGCAGAAGCTCCGCGTCGAGGAGCTCGCGGCCGGAGCACGATTCCGCAAGATATTCATCCTCGCCGCGCTCTGTGGCTTCACGCCCATGCTGCTCAGCCCGCCATTGACAATTGGGTTCAGTCAGAACACTCTTGATACCCAGACGGTATTCTCAAGTCTTTCATTCCTTGTGCTGCTTACCAATCCTCTGTCACAAATCTTCCAGGCTCTCCCTGAGATCATTTCCGGTCTGGCCTGCATTGGCCGAATCCAAGCTTTCTTAGAGTGCGAAACCCGACATGATTTTCGGCGAGTTCTTGGTGATCGCGGATACGATTTGAGGTCCGAGTCTTCGGGCCAGACCACGGCTACGGGCGCCGAAATGAGCGAGAAAAGCACCCGGTCTGATGATGCAGTAGAGAACGAAGATGTCTCCCCTGAGGCAAAACTCGAGTCGCAAGATCCGGCTATTCTTGTCCAGAATGGAAATTTCGGCTGGGAGGCAGATACCTTAGCATTGCAAGATATCAATGTTCGAATCGGCAAGTCCTCGCTTACTATGGTGGTTGGACCCGTTGGCTCGGGCAAGTCCACACTCTGCAAGGTACTACTTGGCGAAATTCCCGTCAGCAAAGGCAGTGTTGTGCTAGGCACGCGTTTCCCCCATATCGGATTCTGCGATCAAACGGCCTTCATCTACAACGGGACGATTAGGGACAACATTATCGGCTTCTCTCCTCTTGATGAAAAGAGGTATGCTGAAGTTGTCAAGGCTACAGCTCTGGCTTACGATCTTAGTGTCCTCGCGCAGGGTGACAGGACGGTTGTCGGGTCTGACGGGATTATGCTGTCCGGCGGCCAAAAACAACGCATTTCTCTAGCGCGAGCCCTCTATCTGCAGTCTGATCTTCTTGTATTGGACGACATCTTCAGCGGCCTGGACGCGGATACTGAGCAGGAAGTGTTCCGCCTTACCTTTGGGCCTAAAGGTCTTCTGAAGCAGAGACGCTCTACCGTCGTATTATGCACGCACAGCGTGAAGTACCTCCCATCATCAGATCACGTTATAGTACTCGAAGATGGTAGAGTGGTCGAGCAGGGAGACTACGAGAGCCTGATGACCGGCCGGGGTTATGTTGAGCGCCTAGGCTTCAAAGCCTCTTCAGATCGCGATTCTGAATCGGGCGAGGTGAAACCCACAGACAGCACGACTGAACCGCAGCCACAACAGTCTAGTGTGACGGCGGCGAGGCCGGCTGCTGTTGCCGTGCATACAGAACAGTCTCGTCAACTTGGTGAGAGGACGGTATTCAAGCACTACTTCAAGAGCATGGGCTGGATACTTGCGGCCTTCTGTCTCTTCTTTGCTGCTCTCTGGGGTTTCTTCACCAATTTCCCAACAGTCTGTAAGTTCTTCAAAGGCACCCAATCACCAACACCATCAATATTCGCTCATGTAGAAGCAGGAGCTAATCAGCATTACTTCTTGCAGGGCTCTCCTTCTGGACTGACGACCTCGATTCTGAGTCCCCCGAACACTCCCAGACATACTACGTTGGAATCTACATCATGCTGCAGGTCATGGCCATGATCTCGTTGCTGCTCCTTGGAATCTTGATCTTCATCGTCTCGGTGAAACGAGCTGGCGCTAATCTGCACCAAGAAACTCTACGGACATTGATCCACGCGCCCCTCCATTACATCACCAGGACGGATGCTGGGGTCATCACGAATCTCTTCTCGCAAGACTTGAATCTTATCGACACCGAGCTACCGGACGCCTTGTTGAACACACTCTTTTGTGTACGTCTGTCCCTGTGAGCCGCGGATATAGCGTTAGGTATAACAACATACTGACAAGGACCTGCAGCTCTCCCAAGCCATCGGACAAGCGGCGGTCATGCTTACTTCGTCTGCATACCTGGCCATCAGCTACCCATTCATTGCGGTCGTGTTGTACGCGATACAGAAATTCTATCTCCGGACTTCGAGGCAACTGAGGCTGCTTGACCTCGAGACCAAGAGCCCTCTCTAGTGAGTACACAATGCAAACTTTCTATCATTCATTCGCAACTAACATCCGATCAGCACCCACTTCATTGACACCCTCAAGGGCATTACCACCCTGAGAGCTTTCGGTAAGTCCGAGAGGCAGACACAGACCTAAAAGCATACGTAGGCAATGGTCACAGTGTCGGTGGCTAACTCGATGTGCGCACAGGTTTCATCCCCAAGGATATCACCAAGAACGCCCACCTATTGGATTCGAGCCAGAGGCCAGCCTACCTCCTGGTCATGATCCAGGAGTGGCTGAATCTTGTTCTCGACCTGTTGGTGATGGTGATGGCGACGGTCCTAACCACTCTCGCCGTCCGGCTCCACTCTAGCGCTGGCTTTGCGGGTGCCTCGTTGGTGACCCTGCTGAGTCTCGGGGAGAATCTGTCCGGATTTGTGATCTATTTTACCAGGCTAGAGACTTCGATCGGGGCGATAGCCAGACTTAAAACCTTCAACGAGACGGTCAAGCCCGAAGAGAGAGACGACGAGGATATCTTCCCTGCCGCCTCCTGGCCGCAGCATGGTGCAGTCGAGTTTGAGGGTGTCTCGGCGAGCTATCAGTAAGATCCGCGATACCATTCCATCCTTTATCTACAAGATATGCTAACGCTGTCAATAGTGTGGGCAGCCAATACGGAAACGAAGACGAAAATGAAGATGACGACAACCTTTCCAACTTAGCCCTCCGCGACATTCGCCTGGCCATCCAACCAAGAGAGAAGGTGGCCATCTGCGGTCGTACGGGCAGTGGCAAGTCGAGCCTCATCGCCCTGCTCCTCAAACTTCTCGACCCCCTGCCGACGAAGCCAGGGCACGTTGTACTCGACGGGGTACCACTCAAGAATGTGGATCGGACCACGCTCCGCCAGCGAATCATCGCGGTACCCCAAGAAGCCGTCTTCCTGCCGGACGGCACCAGCTTCCGGGCCAACTTGGACCCAGCGGGTGAGTCGACGGCGGAGGAATGCGAGGCTGTCCTCGCTGCCGTGGGCCTGTCGAGGTTCGTGCAAGAGCGCGGGGGCCTCGACTCGGGCATGAGCGCGGGGACGCTGAGCGCGGGGCAGCGGCAGCTCATGTCGCTGGGGCGCGCGGTGCTGCGGCGCCGCATCCGGAGCCAAGGCAGCGGCGGCGGCGGGGTCCTGCTGCTCGACGAGGTGAGCTCGAGCGTGGACGTGGACACGGAGCGGGCGATCCAGAAGACGATCCAGGCCGAGTTCGAGGGCTACACGGTGATCGCCGTCAGCCACCGGCTCGACATGATCATGGACTTCGACCGCGTCGTCGTCATGGACAAGGGCGAGATTGTCGAGGTGGGCCAGCCGAGGGCGCTGGCGGACACGGCGGGGACCCGGTTCGGCGGGCTGGTGAACTCGGGGGCCAAGTGAAGAATGATACTACCTAGAAATCATACGTGAGTGCTTAACTAGTTGCAAGATATAATTATTTTCCAGGGCATACACACTCGTACCTGCGTTGGAGAAAATTCAATGTACATATAAGACCTGGTTCTTGCACCTCAACATCGCACCGTTGCAGATTCTCTTGGTGGTGTCAAGCGAATGATCAGGCTGCCAGGCCGGTAGGGCGAAAATAAAATGAGATAAAAATTTAGATTGTCTATCCACTCTGTGTCTTATTAGCCTCCCTCATCTTCTCCCACCCCCCGCGCTCCCGGATCTTCTGGTCCAGGACGTCTAGCCCCGACGCCTTCTTGAAATGCGAATCCAGCGCCCCGAGCGGGAGGAAGGACACGATGCGGCCCGAGCCAGCGAGCCCCCCTCGACAGACGAGGTACGGCGGGTTGGGCTGGCTCAGGTCGCGGACGACGTTGGCGGCCCAGTGGTTGGGGTCCTCGCGGTTGTTCGGGGTGTTGCGGCCGTTCATCGGGTCCTCGATGGCGTCCTTGGCGAGGTTGAATATCGACTCGGGCGGCAGCACGGCGTCGTTGGAGTTGTCGAAGAAGGTCGACCTGACGCGGCCCGTGACGATGTTGCACACGCGGATGCCGAAGGGGGCGAGCTCGAGGCGCAGCGCCTCGGTCAGGCTCGTCGCTGCTGCTTTCGAGGCGGAATATCCGCCCTGGAACGGCATACCGCACCCCAGCAGCCCCATCGCCGAAGTGTTGTTGGCGATGAGCGGCCGGGCGGTGGATTGCAGGAGTAAAGGGAGGAAGGCGCGCGTCACGCTGATGATGGAGTACACGTTTAGCTCGAAGAGGGTGTGGATGTGCGGTAGCGAGCTGTCGGTTACCGACATGCTGTACCCGACGCCGGCGTTGTTGACGAGGGCGTCTAGGGAGCCGCCCGTGAGGGCGCGGACGTGGGATGCCGCGGCGGTGATCGAGGCGGCGTCCTGCACGTCGAGGGTCTCGCACTCGATGCCGGCGGCGTGGACGGCGGAGAGCTTGGCAGGGTTGCGGGCGGTGGCGAAGACGCGCCACCCCGCGGCGTGGAAGGCGAGGGCGAGGGCAGAACCGAGACTGCCGTCGGAGCAGCCGGTGATGAGGACGGTCTTCTTGCCTTCCGTCATGGTGGTTGAGGTGTAGTTTAGGTAGTCTGTCTTGACGAGAAGGGGGGAAGGGGAGGGGAAGGGGGCAATTGGAATCTGGATGGGTATCAAATCAGCATGAGCTGGCTGTGTTGTGTAAGAGATATAACTTCGATGGTCTACGAAACAGACATGAAGGTGGGGAGCAGCACTTAGTGTTTCGTGAACATTTCTTCACTTCACCATATCATAGACGAACTCGAGGGTTCACCTTCACAACCCAACCTTCCTGTACCTGTTTTTCGTCAAGCTTCACCGGTTGCTCAGAGAAACGGAGTGATAGTTCAGCCGGTAATTGCCAATCCCTCGTCCATCTGCATTTCCAGATCGGGACGATAGCTCACCCTACTACTGATTTGGGTACACTATACCTATCTCGGTGGCTTACATTGTTGGATTCTGGTGTCTGACCGTGCAGGCCCGTTAGGTGAAGGAGGGTGGGGCCCAGAGAGTTGGGTTCTTCTTGCATTGCTTACAGCCGCCGAGCCCTGCAATTATCTACTAGCTTATGGACCTCTCTAATATGTAGGTTTTCCTATCTTGACATGGGCCATGACTTGCATCCGTCAGCTGGGCCGGTATCAATCCTCTCCCCATCCGATGAATTTAGTTACAGGTAAGTGACTTACAGAGGAGATAGAGGCAGGCCATCCATGATCTGGACGTGGGCCCAGATAATTACTTGTCTATCTCTCCGAGGGAACCACTTTACTATAGCCACTCCATGTTATTTCTGTTTGTTTTTTTCTTCCTTTTTCCTTAGACTCAGATGAATTAGACAATTAACAGGTCACACCGCATCGCATTGCATCGCATAAGCCAAGCCTGATTGTTCCTCTCTCTCTGTCTCTGCCCTATCCCAAGATGTACTACGAGTCCCTGCTCAAGACGGTGCTCGAGGGCCAAGTGCTCCGGGCGCCGCACATGAAGAACGAGCCGGCGTTCTACCGACGCCTCGAGCAGTCGATGGACGTAGCGCGCAAGAAGAACACGCTGACGACGCTCAAGCCGCGGTGGGAAGACGACGTGCTGGACCTGACATCGAGCGACTTCCTGTCGCTGAGCCGGACGGGCCGCATCCGCGACGCGTTCCTGGCCGAGCTGGCCGAGTGCGGCGACTTCCGGCTGAGCGCGTCGGGGTCGCGGACGCAGTACGGCAACTACGACTACCTGAACGTCGCGGAGTCCGAGATCGCGGCCTTCCACAATTCCGAGACAGCGTGGATCTGCCACTCGGGCTTTTTGGCCAACATGGCCGTGCTCGAGTCGGTACCGCTCTCGGGCGACGCCATCGTCTGGGACGAGTTCTCGCACGCCAGCACCAGCTTGGGCATCAAGCTCAGCTCGGCCGCCCACAAGCTCTCCTTTCAACACAACAGCGTCGATTCCCTGCGCGACGTGCTCACCTCGCTGCGCGACGGCGACGGCGGCTTTCGCTCCGGCGCCAAGTCCGTGCTGATCTGCGTCGAGTCCATCTATAGCATGGACGGCGACATATGCCCCCTCGCCGAGTTCGTGGCGCTCGCCAAGGAGCTCTTCCCCGCTGGCAATGCGCAGTTCATCATGGATGAGGCACACAGCAGCGGAGTCTTGGGTCCCAACGGAGCGGGCTTGGTCAGTGGTCTTGTTTTTTCTTCTTCTCCATATCCTCATCGTATATTATATTAGTGACGTCGCTAACTCAGTTTACCTATATAGGTTCAAGCACTCGGCTTGGAGAAAGAAATCGCCATCCGCATCCACGTCTGTAGCAAGGCATTGGGTGCAACTGGAGGTATGTTGATTTGTATATTGTGCAGTCGCTCTGCCGTCACGATCGTTACACCCAGTCCTTGTGTTGACTGACACTTCCCGATCCAGGTGTGATCCTCTGCAACCAGACAGTGCGCAACGCCATCATACAAAACTCCCGCGCGCTGACCTACAGCGGTGCCCCATCCGTGCCCATGGTCGCTTGCATCCGCGCCGCCTACCGATTTCTGAGAAACGGCGAGACCCAAAAGGTATGCACATACAAAACCAAACCCACCAAACCAAGCACAGTTCACTTCAGTTCAGTTCAATGTCTGCCTTATCCCAGAGAACTAACAACCGCCTCTCTCGCAACTCCCACAGGAACAAGAGCAGATCCAGACCATCGTAAAGTACTTCTTCGAGCAGGTGCTTGCGCACCCAGTGTGGCAGGACGCCATGGACGCGGGGCTGCTAGCGGTGCCGCTGGCGGAGGAGTTTGAGACGCGCCCCTACCAGTCGCACATCGCGCCGCTGCGGCTGCTGCGCGGGGGCCACGGGCACGAGCAGTTCCTGTTCTGCCACCTGGCCATCGCTAACATGAACGCGTACCCGATCTCCTATCCGACCGTGCCCAAGGGCACCGACCGCATCCGCCTCGTCTTCCACGCCCACAACACCGCCGACGACGTCGACCGCCTCGTCGCCACCGTCGCCGACTGGGCCGAGGAGATGATGCAGATCGAGAGCAGCGGCTCCAAGGATGCCATGCCCTCGGCCATGCGCAAGGCCTACTGGATGGAGACGTCGCTGGTCAAGTGAGGGGAAGGGGGGGGGGGATGTGTGTAGTTTTATTAGGATTTATCCTCGAGACTGTTGCATTAGTCGTTAGATAGTGAACGCAATGAAGTTGATGATTAGCCACGCCTCAAGCGTTAGGCACCTACTGAGAAATGTCACTGGAGTATCAAAATTAGATGATTTACATTGCATTAGTCACTGCCAGACAACGACTACGCTGGAACAAACTAAGAGCAGTCACCGGCGCAATTGCGAGAAAATTTAACTCCAATTCTCTTGAACCAGAGCGTCCCAAGTTGTCGCAGCTTGTGAAAGTCGATGTACCCAAACTCAGTGCTTAGGTACTTGGATTACTTAATATACCTATTCGAACAGCAAGACCATGATGAACGCCTTGACATACCGAGGAGATGGACGCCAGACACAGCTGATAATACAAGGCTGCTCTAGGTGCCGTCCTCTTGGGCCATCGGAGTAATTCCTGCATAAAATTCACACGTACTCAGGTACCCAAGGCATCAGGTCTATGCAGAACATACGACTCTTCGCTAACATGACATGTTACAGGCGGGTCTGCAAGTATACGGGTAATCCGCTTGCAAACCCCACATTTCTACATCCTGTAGATGTCTGATTACATTCGATTATGATTACCAATTATCTCAGAGTAATACTTGTTTACGACGATTACGGTGCAGTTGGCTGACCTGCGTCTGGTCTGATCTGGTCTGGTCTGATCTGGTCTGGTCTGGTCTGGTCTGGTCTGCAAAGACAAGGGGAGGGAGGACTGGTAAGCGACATTGTACCCATGTCGTCTCGTATCCTTGTACCAAAGCACCCATTCCCATACGGAAAGCATCCCGAAGAGGAATAGTCGGATTTGGGAGTTGACCCATAGCGACGGAACCAATCATATTACACGGATCTGGACCCTAATCATGGTCCAATCAGAGTCCAGTTACAAACTCGCCGCATAGTTACTTCCCTGCAGTTACTTCCCTGTCATGCCAGTAGCCAGTAACCTGGTTACATGGTAGCTTAGCTAGTAATAGACTGCTGGTAAGTTTTGATAACCACAGCTATTCTTTTCTCGTCAGGCGTGATGGATTACGATATAGGATCATCTGGTTTTGGTGCTAGTTTCAGCCTCTGAGAATGAACGAACGCATCAATGAACGATCAAAAAAATTACCAGGATCCTAAGTTGCCACCTGTGAAACACGATCGTGTATATAGACAACCTCGCCGCCGTCGTGCCCATCATAATACCGAATTCGTAGCACGTCCAACAAGAACATTCCCATGCCTTCTTCTCCTTCCTTCTCTCACCTCGCCTTAAGCCTTCGAGTCGCTCCAAATAAGCCAGCAAGATGACCCAAGTCACTGCCACCAATGGTCACCACACTAACGACCACTCCACCATGAACGGCTCGAACGGCGTAAACGGCCATCACAGCGTCAACGGCCATCACAGCAATGGCACCAACGGCCAAACCAACGGCCACACCAATGGCCACACCAACGGCCACACCAACGGCCACACCAACGGCGCCAACGGCGAGAGCAAGTCCAAGAAGCAGCAAGACTTCGAGCCCATCGCCATCTGCGGTATGGCCTGCCGGCTGCCGGGCGGTATCCACTCGCCGGAGGAGCTGTGGGACTTCCTGGTCGAGGGACGGGACGCGCGGACACGGGTGCCGGCGAGCCGCTTCAACATCGATGCGTACTACTCGGCGACCAAGAAGAGCGGCACGACCAACAGCCAGCACGGTTACTATCTCGACGAGAGCGTCGACCTCGCCGGGCTCGACACCTCCTTCTTCTCCATGTCGCGTACCGAGGTCGAGTGGCTCGACCCCCAGCAGCGCCTTATGCTCGAGGTTGCCCGCGAGTCTCTCGACGACGCCGGTGAGGTCGCCTGGCGCGGCAAGGAGATCGGCGTCTACATCGGCTCATTCGGCCAGGACTGGTACGACATCCTCCAGCGCGACCCGATGCGCCACAACCCCGTCTCAGTCGTCACCTCCCACGACTTCATGATCTCGGAGCGTATCTCCCACGAGATGGACCTTCACGGTCCTAGGTATGTACCAAACCCACTATCCTGAACCCTGGATGCACCGTGTCTACTGACACGGAATGAAATAGTATGACCATCCGGACGGCCTGCTCGTCCGCCCTTGTCAGTCTGAATGAGGCCTGCATGGCGATTGGCAAGGGAGACTGCGAGTCCGCCATCGTGGGTGGCACCAGCCTTATCCTGGCTCCCGACATGAACACGAGACTGTCGTCGCAGAACATCCTCAGCCCGGACGGTTCGTGCAAGACGTTCTCAGCCGAGGCCAACGGCTATGGCCGTGGCGAGGCTATTGTCTCTGTGTTTGTTAAGTCGCTGAGCGCTGCTCTGCGCGACGGCAACCCCATCCGCTCCGTCATTTCGGGGTCCGCTGCCAACTTCGACGGTAAGACCAACCCGCTGACCACCCCCAGCGCCACCGCTCAGGAGACCCTGATCCGACGGGCTTACGACGTCGCCGGCATCTCGGATTTCTACAAGACGGCCGTGTTCGAGTGCCACGGCACCGGCACTGCTACGGGTGATCCGATCGAAACCAAGGCCATCGCCGCCGTCTTCGGTGACCACGGCATCGTGCTGGGCGCGGTCAAGCCGAACCTGGGCCACTCGGAGGGCGCTTCGGGCCTGACCGCCGTGCTCAAGGCCACGCTGGCGCTCGAGCACAAGACCATCCCGCCAAACATCAAGTGCTGGCCGCTCAACCCCAAGATCCCCTTCGAGAGCGCCAAGCTGACCGTCCCCTCCGAGCCCATGTCCTGGCCCGTCGGCCGCGACGAGCGTGTCAGCATCAACTCGTTCGGCGTCGGCGGCTCCAACGCCCACACCATCCTCGAGTCCGCTACCAGCTACCTCGAGTCGCGCCGGCCCAAGCCGGAGGCGACCAAGGTAGGCAACGACACGCCGCAGCTGCTCCTGTTCTCCGCCAAGACGGCCCACTCCCTCAAGGAGATGACGGCCAAGTACCAGACCTGGATGGGCGAGACTCCTCCCGCCAATCTCGCCGACGTGTCCCACACCCTCGCGAACCGCCGCGAGCACAACGCCCACCGCTCCTTCGCCATCGCGTCGGGCGAGTCCCTGAACATCGCCACATCTCTGCCGTCGCGCGAGGGTAGTGGGCCATCCTCCATCATCATGGTCTTCAACGGACAGGGTGCCGCCTGGCCGCAGTGCGGACGGGACCTGCTGCTGACCAACCCGACCTTCACGGGCACGATCCGCAAGCTGCAGGCACACCTCAAGACCCTCGGTGCCCACGCCCCATCCTGGTCGATCGAGGAGGAGCTGCTCAAGCCCGCGCGCACGAGCCGCATCTACGAGGCCGAGTTCTCGCAGCCGCTCTGCACGGCGCTGCAGATCGGCCTGGTGGACGCGCTGGGCGCGCTCGGCGTCCGGCCCTCCGCCGTCGTCGGCCACTCGAGCGGTGAGATCGCCGCCGCCTACGCCGCCGGCGCGCTGACCGGCGAGGAGGCCATCACGGTGGCGTACTACCGCGGCGTCACGCCCGACGAGCAGAAAGACCAGAAGGGCGGCATGGTCGCCGTGGGCCTCGGCTGGGACGAGGCCGCCAAGTACCTCGTGCCCGGCGCCGTCATCGCGTGCGACAACTCGCACAGCAGCGTCACGCTGTCCGGCGACCTCGACGCCCTCGAGACCGTCACCGCCGCCATCAAGCAGGCGCACCCGGGAGTTCCCGTCACCACGCTCAAGGTCGAGAAGGCGTACCACTCGCACCAAATGCTCAGCGCGGGCGGGGACTACCGCGGGGCGCTCGAGGACGCGGGCGTCGTGGGCAAGATGCCGTCGGTGCCCTTCTTCTCCAGCGTGACCGGCAGCCGGCTGGCCGACAGCAAGCTCAGCCAGCTGGGGCCCAAGTACTGGGAGGCCAACATGGTGCGGCCGGTGCTGTTCAAGGCCGCCGTGGGCGCCATCCTCGCGGCCAAGGACGTCGTGAACGAGGTCTTCCTCGAGCTGGGCCCGCACTCGGCCCTCGCCGGCCCGCTGCGCCAGATCCTGACGGCCGAGTCGAGCAAGGCGCCCTACGTGGCCACACTTGTGCGCCGCCAGAACAGCGCCGAGAACCTGCTGCAGGCCATCGGCAAGCTTTTCGTCTTGCAGGTGCCTCTCGACCTCGCCAACCTCGTGCCCTCCGGCGCCTGCGTCTCCGGCCTGCCCTGCTACCCCTGGGACCATCAGCGGCGGTACTTGTTCGAGTCGCGGCTGGCCAAGGCGTGGCGCGGCCGCGAGTACCCCGAGCACGACCTGCTCGGAACGCGGCTGGCCGAGAGCACGAGCTTTGACCCGACGTGGCGCAACCTGCTGCAGGTCAACGTGACGCCGTGGCTGGTGGACCACAAGGTCGGCGAGAGCATCGTGTTCCCTTTCGCGGGCTACGTGTCGATCGCGGCCGAGGCCTGTCGGCAGGTGACGGGGATCGACGACGGCGTCAGCTTCCGCAACATCTCGGTCAGCTCGGCGCTGGTGCTGGATGAGAACGCGTCGACTGAGATTGTCACGACGCTGCGCCGCGTGCGGCTGACTGACAAGCTCGATAGCGAGTGGTGGGAGTTCTCGGTGGCCTCGCACAACGGCCACATCTGGATCAAGCACTGCTGGGGCGAGGTGCGCGGCGAGACGGTGGCACCCACCGTCGACGTCGCCGAGCCGATGCTGGACCTGCCCCGCCGCGTCGAGGGCACCAAGTGGTACGACATGGCCCGCGAGCAGGGCCTCACCTACGGGCCGACCTTCAACACGATGGAGGACGTCAAGACGTCGACGCAGTGGCCGCACCGCGCCACCGCCAAGGCGCGCAACAATCGCTGGGGTGACGAGGCCGAGTACCACATCCACCCCATCATCCTCGACACCCAGTTCCAGCTGCTCAGCTGCGCCCTCACCCACGGCATCTCGCGCACGTACCAGCGCACCGTCGCCTCCAGCATCGAGAACATGACCCTCATGCGCTGCGCCGACGACATGCTGCAGATGTCGGTCATCTCCGAGCCCACCGCCGAGGGCATCATGGGCTGCGGTACCGTGTACTCGGGCTCCAGGCCCGTCCTGCAGGTCACCAACTACCGCGGCGCCGCCTTCGAGGAGGCCCCCGTCGAGGACGAGAACAACACCTCCATAACCGCCCGGTGCGTCTGGGCGCCCCAGGCCGACTTCAAGGCCCTCGGCGACCTCATCCACCCCCCGCGCGACCAAACCGAGTGCTCGGAGCTCCTGGACGAGCTGTCCCGCCTGGCCATAGCCCACAGCCACCGGGTTGCCACGAGCGTCGCCGTGCAAGCCCCGCACCTGGCCAAGTACAAGGAGTGGCTAGCCCAGGCCGTCGCCTCGGACCTGTCGAGCTGGGACGCGTCGGCGCTGACGACAAAGTTCTCGTCGCTTCTCGCGCGCCTCGACGACACACCGTCCGCGCCAGCGGCCAAGTCCGTCGCGTCCGTGATGCAGAACATGGGTGCGCTACTTCGCGGCCAGACAACGGGGCTCGACGTCCTCAACGCCGACGACAGCCTCGCGCAGCTGATGACGTTCACGCCCTCGGCCGACTACGCCGGCTTCCTGCGGTGCTGCGGGCACACGAAGCCGAGCGCGCGGGTCCTCGAGTTCAGCGCCGGGTCCGGCGACGTCACCGCCTCGCACGTCAGAAGCCTGGTGCGCGCCGACGGCAGCCCGCTGTTCTCGCGCTACAGCATCGCGACCTCGTCGCCCACGCTCAAGGACACGCTCAAGGGCGTCCCGAACCTCGAGTTCGTCACGCTCAGCGCGGCCGACAACCTGGTCGACCAGGGGCTCGAGGGCGCGCAGTTCGACCTGATCATCGCGCCAGGCGTCGTCAGCGCCTCGGACAACATGCGCGCGACGCTGCAGCACCTGCGCGAGGTCCTTAGCCCGACCGGCCGCCTGCTGATCGAGGAGGCCAAGCCCGCGACGGCGTGGCGCAAGTTCGTGCTCGGCACGATGCAGCGGTGGTGGGCGCACGCTGAGGACGAGCGGGCCGACGGGCCCGCCGTCGACGCCGCGCGGTGGCGCGCGGACCTCGCTGCCGCCGGGTTCGCCGACGTTGAGGAGGTCGACCTGGGCCGCTGCGCCAACTACCTGGCGGTCGCGCGGCCGGAGCAGAAACCGTCCCCCGCGAAGCGCATCACGCTGCTGTGCCGCGCCGAGGCGCCCGCGGCCTTCGTCGCCGAGCTCGAGACCCGCGGGTACCAGATCGATCGCTGCGTGCTGGGCCAGGCGCCGCCGGCGGGTCAGGACGTGGTCGCGCTGCTCGACGAGGGGGAGCCGTTGTTCGAGAAGATTGACGCGGGCACGTTCACACAGTTCAAGGGCTTCGTGCGCGCGGTGCACGAGCAGGGCGCGGGGATGCTGTGGGTGACTCGGCCGGCGAGCGTGGGGTGCAAGGACCCGCGGTGGGCGCAGGCGATCGGGGCGATCCGCACGCTGCGGTCGGAGCTGTCGGTCGACATCGCGACGTGCGAGATCGAGTCCGCGGCGCAGGGCAGCGCCGTGCTGGCCGACGTGCTGGCCAAGTTCCAGACGAGGCGCGAGGACGGCGTGCTTGGACCCGACTATGAGTATGCCGTGCGCGACGGCGAGGTCCTGGTCAACCGCATCTTCCCCTTCTCGCTCGAGCAGGAGTTGGTCACCATGGACCAGTCCAACGAGGCCTGTGTCACCATGACCCAGCCGGGTCTCCTCAACACCCTGACCTGGTCCTCGACGTCGGCTATTGATCCCAAGGACGACGAGATCGAGCTGGAAGTCCACGCCACTGGACTGAACTTCCGAGTAAGTCGGCGAGAAACTTCTCACTGGTGTTCTTTTATGGCATTACTAATTTTTCTGTTCGCTTATAGGACGTATTGGTCGGTATGAAGATCATCCCGAGCGCGAAGGAGCCTACCTTCGGATACGAAGCAGCTGGTATCGTACGCCGGGTTGGTAAGAAGGTGACGAAGCTCAGCCCCGGCGACCGCGCCATCATCGTCGGCGCCGGCACGTTCAGCACCGTCGTCACCATCTCGGAGATCCTCTGCGAGAAGCTGCCCGACAACATCAGCTTCAACGAGGCTGCCGGTATTGGCACAATCTTCTCTACCGCCGTGTACAGTCTTACCAACTTGGTGCACATTACCAAGGGCCAGGTTAGTCACTTCCACCCCGTCACCGCGTCGAGAGGGGGAACCAGGTCCACTGACGCGATATTGCAGTCTGTCTTGATCCACAGTGGTGCCGGTGGTGTCGGTCTTGCCGCCATCCAGGTTGCCCGGATGCTGGGTGCCGAGATCTACACCACGGTGGGCAGCGAGGTCAAAGTCAAGTATCTGATGGACACCTTCGGCATCCCCAGGAACCGGATCTTCAACTCCCGCGACACCAGCTTCGTCGACGACCTGCTGCGCGAGACCGACGGCAAGGGCGCCGACGTCGTACTCAACTCCCTCAGCGGCGAGCTGCTTCACGCCACGTGGAAGTGTGTCGCGAAATGGGGCACCATGGTCGAGATCGGCAAGCGTGACCTGCTGGAGAACGCGAAGCTAAGCATGAACCACTTCCTGGACAACCGTACCTACTGCTGTCTGGACGTCGACCAGATGAGAAACGAGCGGCCCGAAATCAACAACCGGTATGTTTACCTACTCACCTATATTCTCCCGCTTCTCCCTACAATGGAAACCCCCCTTCCTGGCAAATTGCTGACACTGCTGGAAACACAGTCTCCTCCGTTTTATCCTGGACTGCTGCGCCGACGGCCGCCTGAAGCCTGTCCGCGTGGACCAGGTCTTCCCGGCCTCCGCCATCCTGGATGCCTTCCGCTACATGCAGGGAGGCAAGCACATCGGCAAGATCGTGATCCAGCTGCGCGACGACAACTCTAAGCTGCTCCTTGACCACGTCGATTTCACCAAGCGAGCGCAGGTCCAGTTCGACGGCGACGCCTCGTACCTGCTGATCGGCGGCCTGGGCGGCCTGGGCCGCGCAATGTCGGTCTGGATGGTGGAGCGCGGGGCCAAGCACCTGACCTTCCTGGCGCGCAGCGCGGGCAAGGGCGCGCACGACGAGACCTTCCGCAAGGAGGTCGAGAGCATGGGGTGCTCGGTGCAGTTTGTGCGGGGCGACGTGTCCAAGGCGGAGGACGTGGCGCGCGCCATCGACGGCGTCGACGCGCCCCTCAAGGGCATCGTGCAGATGTCCATGGTGCTCCGCGACTGCATGTTCGAGGACATGAGCATCGAGGACTGGGACACCGCCGTCCGCCCCAAGGTCCAGGGCACCTGGAACTTGCACAACGTTACCGTCGAGCGCGGCCTCAAACTCGACTTCTTCCTGCTGTTCAGCTCCCTGTCCGGCGTGCTCGGCCAGATCGGCCAGGCCAACTACGCCGGCGCCAACACCTTCCTCGACGCCTTCGTGCAGTACCGCGACAGCATGGGTCTGCCGTGCTCCGCTATCGACCTCGGAGCCATGGAGGGCATCGGGTATCTGGCCGAGAACCAGGAGCTGCTCCGCAAGATGCAGGGCTCTGGCTGGCGCCCCGTGCGCGAGGCCGAGCTCCTCGAGTCGCTCAACCTGGCCATGATGTCGCCGGCGGGCCGCAAGCAGGGCAGCAGCGGGGTGTTCGTGCTGGGCGTGGCGCCGACGACGCCGCTGAGCAGCCCGGACAGCAGCACGCGGCTGCGCAAGGACCGCCGCATGGCCATCTACCACAACACAAGCAGCAGCGGCAGCGCGGCGGCCGCGACCAACGACGGCCTGCGCGTCTTCCTCGCCTCGATCAAGAGCGACCCCAGCGTCCTCGACTCGCCCGAGTCGGTCGCCCTGCTCGGCACAGAGATCGGGCGCAAGCTTGCCGGCCTGCTGCTCCTCAGCGACCAGGCCGTCGACCTCACCGTGAGCACCGCGGACCTCGGCCTCGATTCGCTGGTCGCCGTCGAGCTGCGCGGCTGGTGGAAGCTGACCTTCGGCTTCGACATCAGCACCCTCGAGATGCTGAGCATGGGCACCCTCGAGGCCCTGGGCAAGCGCGCGGCAGATGGGCTCAAGTCCTTCTATGGGGCCTAGGTATAGGCGACTGCAGGACTACAGTGTCACGAGAGGGATATAAAAGAGGCGATGCTCTCAAGTCTCGCTCATTATTGTAGAATCCTGGATTAGAACTTGTCTTGCTAAGAAAAAAGAGTAGGAGGGAAGGTTGCCTCCGGTTGCAAGTCAGGCCTTAAAAGCAGAGGGCCTTGGGGCTGCAGGTGGTCTGTGCGCCATTGCCCACCTGTAGTCACTGAGCCTGCACGCAGCGCCGTCACATACAGTGAGGCTTAAAAAGTCTTGCAACAATTAAAAGTTTCAAGCCTTAAATCTATACTTGTTTTCTTGTAACTAGGCTTATAATAAATACAAAGGAATTCCAGATATTTTACTTATAATAACTACATTATTTCTTATTATTTGAAAAAGGGTTAAAAAGATTAAGACTATTATAATTTCTTCAATGGAATGAATGAAGTTGGCATAAGCCAATCCACTCAGTTTAGTTGAATTAATTCAGTGTAGTTAGTTGACACACTGGATTGGGAAAAGCAACGATGCTGATAATCTCCGCGAATTCGACACCTTTGTCATTAGCCAATCTATTGCCAATGGTCGACACAAGGCAGTGGAGCTTGCGGTTCAATGGTGGTTTAATATTTCACGACCGACAAAATTGTAGGTATACGAAGCAGTCGCCAATCTTACCAAAGAGTCTTCGACTACGGCCTTATCCGACTAAAAAATGGATGGAACTTTATTTCAAGGAAAGGGGCTTGGTGGACAGTCAGGTTTCTCGCAGCCACTCGGAAGCGATTGGATATGTGCTGCCAAGGCATTGGAAGTCAGAAGACTAGAAAGGCCGGACGATGTCTAGATGCACAGACTCCGTCCTTTGGGCAGAATGCGCCTCCCCGACGACACCAGTCACTGGCGCCACATCACGCTCAATGATGAAGGCAAGCTTGAAGAAAGCTGCTTTGTAAACTGTTATGCCCAGTGTCACATTAGGAGAGAGGGGGGGGGGGAGCCACTCGGAGCCGGATTCGGGTTCATGGTACAGGTCTTCAAATGTGGGGGCTGTTGGAGTGGGCGTAGTGACGACGATGGTGGGGATGTTCATGTTGATTGACGATGATGATGGTCTGCAAAGTCCGGCGCATCGGCTGTTTAAGTGTTGGGGAATATATCTAGTCAAGAAGTACGGTGAGCTTCAGCTCCGGGTACTAATATCAGGTTAGCGGAAGTCTGCAATCCGTCTTCAGACCCCACCCCTGACAGCGAGTCTTGTTCCTGAGCTCAGATTCAATTCACGTTTTGTTTCTGAGACGCTCTGACCTCGCTGGTTACGGTCTACGAGATCAGTCCAAGGACACCCTGGAACGTGTACATGTTTGTCTTCGTTGCGCGAGAAGTACCGGGGGCTGAGGACTCGTAGGCACAGAAATGAGAGTGTCAGGTCTGTGATTAAGCATGGTCAGCATTTGGAATCAAGGGCACATTAAGGGAGGTATGCGACCAATTTGTTCCTAATTAAGGGGTGTAAGATGCCTATATTGTGAAATTGTGCCTAGATGTTCGGATCTCGAGTGGAGTGATGACTGGCCAGGGCTGGCAAACCTTGGTACGAGGGCGAACATCGAATGAGCAGGAACTGTGAAGATGGTGGCGCTTGAGTTCAATCTCCAGACGCTAGAAGAAACGAGAGAATTTTGGGAACGGGAGAGAATTCGAATGTCTGGGGACCTCGATTGACTATGAAAATGATGCGAGCAAGAACGGGTGGCAGGAAACAGTATGGAGGGAATGGGGGATGGGAGAAGGTACTGACGGCCAGTTGACGGCAAAATGAAGACTCGTTGGTTGTTGGAGAACGGCTGGCAATTGTTGTGTTAGTCACAACAGCAGAGCTCCTTAATCAATAGATTCATTCCTCCGACACGTACGAACCAGGCTCTCGAAATTTATCGAACGATTAACTTCTCATGATGATTGCAGCTATCAGCCAATGCCGTCCCCACAAGTTGGTGATTGGCTCATGGCAGTACGGGCACTGGATCCCAAGGAGCAGACCTCAGTCTCCGGGACGCCCGGTTCTTTGGAACAGGGGTTGCCAGGGATGCTGGTCCTACCATAGTACGACCGATAAACCTGCATATGCGACCCACACACGTGCCACAGTCCAAGAACGCCTTCAGTCATGAACACCAACAGCTCTCGGGTGCTGGCAGGTGTGCGATGTAACTGCGAGTTTCAAAAGCGGCAGCTCGGCTGCAGATTTCAGCCTTATGCTTTTAACGAGACGCAGTACCACCGCAGGGGCGTATGATCAGCTGTCACCAAGTAGCACAATCCATAAAAAGGACAAAGATCAGGACTGTTGTTGACATTCTCAAGCCGCCATCAAAAGCATTCTTCTCACAATGATCGCAAAAATCACTTTTCTCCCGACGACCCACAACAGCCGCGCCCGGACAGCCTGGAAGCTAGGCGCAACACTACTGCAGCACTGTACGGGCTGCGCCGCGCGGAAGCAGTGCAATTTGCGAAAGGCCCTGACTTTGACTCCATCCGCACCTGTGCGGCACCGGCACCCCCTGTGCTACTTGATCATGCCTGCCGAGAACGATGAAAACTGCCCTCGGATTCAGCCTGTTAGTATCACTAATTGTTTGTCGTAATCAAGCTATCATATGCGTTGGTTGTATGTTGCATTGAAATCCTGCGAGGGGGCCATCTCACCTCATCTCACCTCATCTCACCTGTGCCACCGAACATGATTCCGAATCGAGATAAACATGATTCCGAATCAAGACGTGGTAGGTTTCTAGTTCTAGGCAGCGATGTGGGGCGTGCATGTCGATTTCTTGGCTTCTTGCTTCGTGGACCAGGCGCAAGATTGAGCCGATTAGAGAGGAAGTAGTCGTGGTGTCTTACAAGAGGCATCCGTTTGGCTGGAATCAAGTGCTCTGTCTCCCCAAGCGCGAAGCCAATACAACCCAAGACACAACAACGAAATTACGCCTAAGAAAGATGGAAGAATCTGCCCTAGAGAAAAGGCGACGTCAAAACAGAGACTCCCAGCGTCGATTCAGTAGGGCGTCCCCGAAGCCGATTCACACCGTGCTACCGCTAAGCGCAGACGCAGGACAGAAACACGCCAAACGAACGAGTGATTCAAATCCGCGGGCAACTGCAGCCGCTTTTCCCGTCTGGCCACCCCTCTCGCCATCAGAGTCGTTACTACAAAACCACAATAACAACAACACCTTTTTCGAGACCACCAACAACAGAGCCTACAGCCAACATAGTGTGCACCAACCACTTATGCGCGGCAACGTTTTCCAAGAACTAGAACTCAGGGACGAACTGCATCGCCCACCACCAGAGAGCACTCGTCCGAGCTCCAATGCAGCCAACATCAACCCCTGTATGCCGATACCACCGCTTGACAGCTATTCTGGGATCGGGGCCGATAAGAGCTTGGGCTATCCGCAACAGTCTCTATCTCTCAACACCGCTAATCGGAGCACGCGAGGCGGAGAGCAACCACCCTCCGCCATCGACCACTCGCCTAGCGCCGATAGCTACACGCCAGCCTACTCTCAGCCCCCGCGCAGGCCCCCCGGCCGCACCATATCAAACGCCGAATGCATGATCACGAGGGTGGAGCAGCTCTACGAGGTCGGAGTGGACATAGGCATTCTGCCGGAGGATCCGGCTTTGCCTTCGTCCCTCCACAAGATGAAGGCACGCTTCCGGTCGGTAACTAGCGATCGTTACACGTATGATGATGAACTGGATGATTTAGCCATGGGCGGGCTGGAAGATTCCTCACAAGATGGTGGTAGTTATTGAGATAATGCTCGACTTGGCGTGCAAATAGAAGCGTTAGATTTCACTGTGTTCTTGATGTGCTGTGGAGATTCGCTGTTGATCGCCGGTCTCCATTGTCTTAACGGTGGGGGAATGGGACTTACCAGGTCAGGAAAGTGGATGAGTTGCGATCCACGATAGAGTCTCGCGTACATTGTCTTGGCTTGCTGATCCGCCATCTCGCTCACTTACAGACTCGCTGTAATTATGGCCTAGACACATACAAAGACCCAAAGATCACTTAGCGCTGTCAGGAGTCGAACCTGACTAGCGGGCGGATACAGCCGCAAAGCTTATCGAGAGCGGGTGTACCCGAAAGTATATGTAACGGTCACCGGTTGTCGTTAGGTTGTCGCTTGGCAGGCAGTATCGAAATAACGGTCAATCCAGGTTCTAGCTACAGTTTAGGCTCTACTCACGGTAGACACAGGCTCTGTTGACAAGACGTAACTCGAAGAGCTACAATTAGAAGATTTCTACAGAATGCAAAGGTTTTGACAGTGGTGGTTTATGTAATCATGGTCTAGCCTCTCATGGCTAGACCCGAAGGAGCGGAACAGGGTATGCCTACGCAGGGCCACATAAGCTCGTATCAGCAGTCGTTATCTCTGGTCCCACTGTCACGGGCTGGAGCCCAAACAATGGCATGAGGCGATGCCCAGACTTCGGCGCACACCGACACCCAACAGGTGCGGACCCGGTGACCCACCGGGTCCCTCCCCAGAACGCCGAATCTTCGCGCATATCGCGAACTTCCCCCTTTCCTCCTCCTTAGCTTCATGTAGACAGTAATAGAGCCTCCCTTGCTTGAGTAAGCCCGGGACCGGCCCTTCGCGCCCGCCAGCATTTAAGAGGCAGAGTTTACGAGAAACGCGAAGTTTGTTAGAAAGCGTCAAGTGTCCAAAAGGCACATGTGACGCATTAGAACTGTGTGTTCCACTAGAATATTCAGTCTATTGATGATGAACTGGCTTGAGGACCGGCGAATCTTCCAAAGATCCGTCTCCTGTCTGGGGTACCGCACGCTCGATCAAGGAAAGCCGGTCCCCCTCCACTGACTCGTTGCAAGCGAGGGCGAGGTCATGGGCAAACTGCCTATACTGCTCGGTCTGGAAGACCGTGCTGTGCAAGTTGAGCGATCCTTCCACCGCCGAGTCGACCACCGTTACTATGGAAGCCTGGATATTGTCGGAGAAGCACCGCTGAATAGCTGCGCGGTGCAATAACGAAACGGCAATCCATGATTACAAGAGCGGGAAGAAGTCCGTCCTCAAAAGTTTTCATGGTCCAGAAGTCCCAGGAAACATTTAGAATGCCGCAAGATTCGAAAACGGAAGCAAGGGATGCAATTTCCGCGGTCGAAGAGTTAGAAAGTGCATGTCACTAACTCGGGAAAATTGAGCAAAGAGGATAGAGGGCGTGGGCTCATTGATAACGAATGTACTTTCTTTCGCGTTAATCTTGACATCTGCTGTTACCCGCGAAACAAGTGGCTCGTGGCCATAATCTTCACATTCCTTCTCCAGAGTTCTCTCGAGATGACCTCACTGGTTGACAGACGCACGTCGCCGAACGTTCACTGAATTTGCAGATTTGGGCATGTCTCACAACGAACTTTCGGATCGGAGAGTTTCAACCCCTCACCCCAGTCTTGCAGATTCCGAACCCCGTGCACTATGCTGTTGCCGAACTAAGCCGCCCTATAATGATTTAAGAAGTTGCGATAGGGCGTAGTTCAATCAATTCTGTTCTTTTGAAAAAGCAATGAGAGAAGTTCCTTGGAGTGGAACTGTAAACAAATACCAATTTGATCAAGCCAAGACAATTCTCTTCTAGACAATGACGTCCCCCAAATTCCAGTACCCCATTGTTGATGTTTGGGCCAACCTTCCAGGGGTATGAAGCGCTCAAACTCTACGAAATATCGCTGCTAACTTGTTGACCGCAGCTAGGTGCAGCCATCCCTGAAGTGTCTCGACTTTTCGCGTATAGTCACTCCGATCCAGAAATCGCCAACAAGAGGAAGTCTCCAAGAGAAGTTGTTGCGCTCATGGACGAAGCCGGAGTCACTCACATTTGCCTTTCGGCGTGGAGTCGTCCGGGGCAAATGATCTTCTCGAATGAGGAAGTTGCCCAGTACACTCGGGCCTATCCAGATCGAATCTTTGGGCTCGCAGCCGTCGACCTTCATAACCCCGTTGAGGCGGTCAAAGTGCTGGAGCATTATGTGAAGAAGGAAGGCTTTGTGGGGCTGAGGGTGGTGCCCTGGCTCTGGAACCTTGCCCCGACTGACCCTCATTATTGGCCCCTCTACGTCAAGTGCATCGAGCTTGACGTGCCCTTCCTGACCCAAGTCGGTCACACGGCGCCAGCTTGCCCAAGCGAAGTTGGACGCCCGATCCCGTACATCGACACAATCGCACTCAAGTTCCCGGCTCTCAAGATAATCATGGGCCACATTGGTTATCCGTGGGCCGCGGAGACAGTGGCCGTTGCGTGGAAGCACGCCAACGTCTACATTGACACCAGCGCGTGGTCGCCCAAGTACTATGCCCCAGAGTTCATAACATTCGCCAACACGACCGGCAAGTCGAAGGTCATGTTTGCGACCAATTTTCCGCAGCTTGGGCTTAAGGATTGCGTAGAAAATGTGAAGAACCATCTCGTGGCCGAGGAAGGAGGGCTTAGAAAGGAATCTGTCGAGAGCTTTATGGGAGGGAACGCGCTTCGGGTTCTGAAACTACCACCGGTGAACTTGGCCAAGTTGAAGGCCAATCTCTAAGAGCGACAGCTCGCTTCCATAATCCTCCAGTATGATATAAGCTCCTTCAAATTCTCATTCCAACTGTCTTGCGGCTTGTGAATTGCCGCAGAATCTGGCCTTCTGTTGAGCTCGATCTCGCTGTATCTGGACACCAGCGTACCGTAGCATCTCGTGCCACTGGCCCAGCGTCCAGGATCAGCTTGGGGGACACCTTTAGGGCCGCACTTACACTCATGATTTGACCCTGGCACAAATTTTTGTTTCTCAATCGTACATCGGCGTGTAAGCCCAGACCCGTGGTCGAAAGAGCCGCGGAGCCCAAAACACCCGAGTGCTAAGATCGGAGTAATGTGGATATCGGCCAACCGTCGTTCAAGTCCTCGTCTCCCCGAAAGGGCGTGCCTTGACTCTACAGCTTGGGGGGGGGGTCCGACGCTTGTATTCCTACCTCAAATCTTCGCGATAATTTGTTGATCTTAGCCCGAAAAGCCTTCTCGCCTCTTGGTGCACGTGGGTGGGTGAAATGCATTCATATCATGAGCACACGTAACATTTCGAGATCTGAATTTCAATTTCCCAGACAGTTACACAGTTTTGCTTCCCTTACCACAAGTCTTAAAATATCATTCATCAACGATGGCGCCAAAGATCGACCTGGCAGAGTATTTATGGCGGCGACTTGCCGAAATTGGGCTGCGTTCCCTTCATGGCGTTCCTGGAGACTACAACTTGACTATGCTGGACTACCTGGAGTCCACTGGCATTCATTGGGTCGGTAATGCCAATGAACTTAACTCTGGCTACGCCGCAGATGCATATGCGAGAATCAAAGGCATCGGAGCTCTTGTGACATCCTTCGGTGTTGGGGAGCTTTCTGCCATCAACGCCATTGGGGGCGCCTATGCTGAGAGATCCCCGGTTGTACACGTTGTCGGAACGCCTCCGGTCGCCGCTCAGCGCGCCGGCGCCTGTCTGCACCACTCACTGGGGGACGGCAACTTCAGAGTTTTTGCGGATATGTACAAATCTGTCACAGTTGCCCAGGCGAATCTGGTAGATGCGGAATCGGCTCCCCGGATGATTGACACAACTCTGGCGGAATGTCTCCGACAGAGTCGGCCGGTGTATATCGAGCTGCCGACCGACATGGTTAGGCTTCAGGTTCCTGCACCCGAATCTGCAATAAACCTTTCGATCCCCAGCTGCCAGGGAATGGATGAGGACCGAAGCATCGACGAAGTTGTGGCTCGCATTCAAACCTGCAAGCGACCTATGATCTTGGTCGACGGTCCAAGTGCCAGGTTCGGGATCACACAAGACCTCAACGCCCTCGTTGAGGTAACAGGATTTCCTACACTTACCACGCCATGCGGAAAGGGCATCATCAACGAAACCCTTCCTAACTTTCATGGTGTTCATCTCGGGTCTGCAGCAGAGGCTGCACATCAAACTTGGGTAAATGAGCGAGACCTAGTTCTTCACTTTTGTCCACTCTACTCGGATACGAATACTTTCGGCTTCACTGCGATCCCGGACCCCATTGTTGCAGTGACTTTCGAGCCTGAGTTCATTTGCATGGGCAGTTTGGGGAATCATACTGCTGATGGTTGTCCGATTCCTATCAAGTCTGCTATCTCCAAGCTGTTGGGAAGGTTGCAAACCCTGGAGATGCCGACCCCTGATGGGTATCCGGATGAATGTCCTTCACCCAAGGTCATGCTTCAAAGTCTCCCTCGTCCAGATGACAGCTCCATCGTGGATCAGTCCTCATTCTGGTTGCTCATGTCGAATTTCCTGAAGCAAGGGGATATCGTCTTGACGGAAACTGGTACGGCTTCTTATGGCGGTCATAGTCTCGCTCTTCCAAAAGATACCGTCGTCATCAACTCAACCATCTGGCTCTCAATTGGATTCATGCTTGCCGCTTGTCAAGGAGCCGCCCTAGCTCAGAGGGATATGAGTACGGAAGGTGTTCGGAGATCTGGACGGACTATCTTGTTTGAGGGCGAGGGCAGCCTCCAGATGACTGCGCAATCGATCAGCGACATGATTCGGAACAGGCTCGACGTCATCATTTTTGTCCTCAACAACAACGGATACACAATCGAGCGCCTCATACATGGATTCGCGGCCGACTACAACGATGTGCAGGCGTGGAGAAACCTGGAAGCGCCCAGCTACTTCGGAGCACCAACCGCTGATGCTACCTATCCCGTACGCACATTCGCGGCTGACAACTGGGGCCAACTTCGTGGGGTGCTTGAGCGTCCCGACCTTAAAGACGGCAAGGGGTTTAACATGGTCGAGGTCAAGATGGACATGGCTGATGCTCCACGATCACTAAAGCTGTTCGCCGAGTACTTGGTGAAGAGAAACGGTGGCGGGGCATAACTGGAAAGAAATATAGACGGAACTATCAGCAGAATGCAGTTCAACGACACAATCTAGTTCCAAGTAGTTTAGCCCAGAAGCGTGGGATGCTCTGCTAAGTTCGACCAGAACTCCATTTCAAAGTCCCATACTTGATGGTTAGTGTAAGGCTCCCAGATCTCGGCCTGTTCATTTCTTGACGTTTGAGTTGCTGCTGTCACCGGTCTCGCCGCCAGCAATGAGTCCAGCAAAGCTTGTATTGTCCTAGTTGCCCGAGTGAACAAAGCGAAGTTTGGCTCGCCAGCCTGGATCCATGCGCCTGTCTTGATCTCCGCAACCAGAACGCTGAGGTCTTGTATCATCTTTGAACGCGAGTGTAGAAGCATATCCGATGCGGTTGCCTTTAATAGTGCGAGAGAAATCACGCCTGCAGCGGGCAGTCCGTATTGCGCGACCTGTCCAACCAAGCATGAGACTACGCATGTTACCCCTAAACGGTGGAGATTTTCCTAAATCGAATGTGCCATTACTTACCTTCCAGATCAAGCACGACCCAGAGTTCACCAACTGGTCACGAAGAATAATGACTTCCACCACGATTGACAGCATTTCAGTAGCAACCATCAACAGATCGTCATTGGGCCCAAACAGTCCCGGTTCTGAGACCAGGCCAAGCAGAAAAAGAATATGTAGATAGTCCAGCCTGGTGCCCGCGAGAAAGTCTCGTTGAAATGGACTTGTTCGACACTCTGGGAGGCTGGTCGCCCGTCTGAAATGGGCCGGCAAGTCTTGCCACTACTTCTCAACTCGCCCGCGTAGTTGACTAGGACGGTCAGCCATGTTCCGTGGCTCCCAAATTTGCAAAGGCTGCGCATCGCTCACATGATGTCTTCGGTGACGCTGGACATGTGTCTCCTTCTCAGTAGTGGCAACACTTCTTCTTTCAGCAACGCGAACAGAGCTGCACACCGTGTATCTGCTGTGTAATTAATGGGTTCTAGTTCCTCGGTAACATCATCATTTGTGTTGCGAGATTGAAGCGATGATGATTCTCCAATTTGAGGGTGATCGTCGATCCATCCATCTGGTATCGGTGGCATCCTGAAATGACAGTAATCTTTGGATATACGGGGAGGCCGTCCTAGAAACACGGCCAGGCTTTTATCGGCTGTGTATATCCGCGCGAAGCACGCCTTCCGCAAGTCAACAACGAAGGAAGGGACATTTGGGTTGCTTTCTTCAACACTCTCGTGGTATCCTAAAGCAAAAAGGGAGCTGGAAAGATCCCCGATCCGTCTCCAAGAGTGGTAGCCTTGTAAAAGAGGTCAGCTGCGCCTTTGCACAACTGTGTTGGGACGAAACATCTTACTTTCATCTCCGTCGATCTGGGAGTGCACAATGAAGTTTTCGTATTGGAGGATCAGCTGAAGGTCGTTCAAACAATCAAGAGCGAGGCTTGTGTCCAAGCAGCAATCGCTTATGTATGTCAGTCTCTGAATGAGTCTTCTGCGATGCTCGTTGACTGTATAGAGAGGTGGAAAAGAAGGAGTATCGTAAGCCGCCCTCGCTGCGGCGGCAAAGAAAATGCCAAAAGTCTCCCATCTCAGGTTGGATTCGACCATTTGAGCAAGAAACTCATGTTTTGTCAAATTGGAATTCATTTCAAGGGGCTTCAATGTGTTGGCCAACAAAGCGGCAACACACCCGGCGCTTGTGATCTCCGGGCCGGAAAGGTGGACTTCTCTACTACTGGGGTTTGGAGTCAACACATTTTTCCAATGCTCCACTGACCACAGGCACTCGGAGACTATTGGGCCCGCCAAAGGCAGATTTACTCCCTTTTCGAGCCAGGAACGAAGAAGAGGCGTGACCTCGGAGATGTCCATGTGGTCTAGAAAGGATAAAGCATGCATGGCCCTGTCCATGACACCCTGGTTGCCGATCAAATCAATGGGAGAGGCCAGACAGGACTGCTGAGGGACATGTCGAGGGGAGGCACCGCCCTCGTCACTGGAGAACACCTGGCTGAACAAAGCAGAATGGCTAGAGAGCCCGAGATAACCCGGGTTCGGGTAGCGGTATGGCTGCGTCGAACTTGAAGTGGCCGATGGAGCCTCGGCGGGTGACACCGCATCGGAAGAGGGACGGCAGGCGCCTGTTGACGAGGCCGAGAGGTTTGTTGTTTCCATCTGCTCAGGTACTCTGCGACGTTTCTCAGAAATACTCGGCGTCTTGACAACAGTCTGTTTGATTCTTGTCACAACTTACTCCGTCTCTTGGTTGTGGGTTCTCGGTATCTTTCTCCGAAACGGACGACATCTGTAAACACAGAGGTCACCCTTACTCCGGTCGCTGCATCGTTTGCAAACGGGTCTTTCGTGGCTGCATGCCAGCTTCGACCGCCGGCAGGGCTCGCATGCGGCGAGCCTTACGCTCATGATGGATTTCGTAGTCGAATGATGCCTATCATCTTTGTTACGCTGGATCCGTGGGCCTTTCGCGTCATCAAGGGAGATTCGGGGAAATTGTCTTCGGCGAACCTAGTTCCCTCTCGTTGCTCGCTCTGATACTCACGTACTAGGGACATCTGGGCACGGAACTCCGATCCCCACATCACGCCGAGATCGCTAGAAAAACTAACGCTTTCCGGCCGCCCCAACCCGCCATCTACTAAGAGCGAAGTTGCAGGGCGCGGAGAGTAACTTTGGCCGAAAGAGCCCCAGAGACCAGTCATCGTCCGTGCTCAAATGCGAGGTGCGTACACAATCGCCAATTGTTTCCGTTTCCACAGAGTGTTGCAATTGGCTCAGGTATATCGTCTAGTCCGACGAGATGTGGACTCGAGTGGTGGATCCCCTGTGGGAGTCATGGGGTTCATACTTTCCGTCGTATATCAGGATGAATAGATTCTGCAACTGTGCCCTTTTAAAGACTCAATTCAGTTTCAATTGAAGAGACTGTGCTGAATCGTCAGGATTATATTCTATTGATTCCTCGCGGCGATGGGGGATTACATTGACTTACAGAACGCCTCAGAAGTGGACGATGTCGTTCCGGACCTACTGCGACCTGCTCGTCGCTCCGTGCACCCCGGCCAATGGGGTGTTGCAGCGCCATGCAACACTGAGAATTTCAAGACCAGGAGCCAGAAACACAAGCCTCCGGCCAAGGACTGGAGCAGTGAGTTTTGTTCTTTCTTCTTTAATTTTCTTCTCTATCCTATTTCTCTCATTATATTCATCGATCTCAGCTCTAGGGCTTAGGGACCGCTGCTGATCATGACCCAACCGAGGCTTAGATCGATTAACTCTCGAATCGAGAAGCCGGAGCGGCTCGTCCTTGAAGGCGGCTTTCAAACACCTGCAAAATCCCGACGTTATTTCCCTTGGTGGAGGTCTCCCACTCAGCGAGTTCTTCCCATTCGAAACGTTCTCATTTACTCCGACATTCATTCCGAGTAACACTACATGCGGAGCCAATATCGTCCAGCAGAACGCAGCCCTCCAAGCAAACAAGAACGACATCGCAGAAGGACGAAGCGTCTTCGACATCTCCGTAGCCTTGAATTATGGTCAAGGAAGCGGGTCTGCGCAATTGCTTCGATGGATCACAGAACATACCGAGATCATACACGACCCGCCCTATTCCGACTGGCAATGCACCATGACGATTGGCAACACTTCGGCTCTGGACATGGCACTGCGCATGCTCACCAAACCAGGCGACTATGTCCTATCCGACGCTTTTACATTCGCGAGTGCTATTGAGACTGCCATGCCCATGGGCGTCAATTTCTTCGGAGTCGCCATGGATGAGCAAGGTCTTTTGCCAGAAAGCCTACTTCATGTTCTTGACAACTGGAAGCCGGCGGAGCATGGCGATGCGCGGAAACCCTTTTTGTTGTATCTGATTCCCACGGGGCAAAACCCCACAGGTGCGACTCAGAGCATCGGTCGTCGCAAAGATATTTATCGCGTGGCGCAGAAGCATGACTTGATTATCATAGAGGATGATCCTTATTACTTCCTTCAAATGGATCCATACGTGTCATCAACCCGAGAAGAAGTTCCAACTGCCGCCAACTCTTGGTCATCAGCAGCTTTACTCAAAATGATTATTCCGTCGTATCTTAGCATCGATGTCGACGGACGTGTTATGCGCATGGATTCTTTCAGCAAGGTCATCAGTCCGGGGTCTCGCGTAGGCTGGATCACAGCCCCGCAGTCAATTGTCGAGAGGTACAAGGGCCACGCAGACACATCAACGCAAGGACCTAGTGGCTTCAGTCAACTGGCATTATTCAAGCTCTTGGATGAGTTCTGGGGTCACACCGGCTATCTTGAATGGCTGCTACACGTGAGAAAGGAGTATACTCAGCGTCGGGACTACATGGTTCGAGCCTGTGAGAGGCATTTGCCTAGAGACATTGTTACATGGGAGCCAGCGCAAGCAGGCATGTTCGTAAGTTCATCATGAGCTCCATTCCCACAATGGTTCCCCCTACTAACTATGCCTAGCAATGGCTATGCGTGGACTGGCGCAAGCACCCCCATGCCTCGGTCAAGTCCCAGGCTGAAATTGAGGAAGACATTTGGCGGGAAGCAATCACACAGGGCGTACTTGTAGCTCGTGGCAGCTGGTTCAATGCCAACGCAGATCTTCGGTGCGAGGAGATTTTCTACAGGACAACGTTCGCTGCTGCATCTTTGGACAAGATAGAGGAAGCAATGAGGCGTTTTGGAGGTGCATTGAAAAAGAGCTTCCAATGGTCATAAAGTGGATGACTGATGAAGAAGACCACGCGGATAAGAGGATTTCTTGGTCAAGCCGAGGGCTGTGATGGCAGAAAAGGGCCCATCGATTCGAGAGAAATTGCACGCATTCGCATGTGCAATATGATAGTGTCAGGTTTTATAACAGGTCTTGACGAAAGATTCCGTGTGTCCTGGACGGCTAACGATGCAGAAATGTAAATCTGACTTGACTCTATGTATACCCAACAAGACACCAGACTAATTCTTTGAGGAAGATTCTTCCCAGCAGTTCTTTTACTCCAGATTCCAAAGTATTATTCTAATTCACACCGAGTTTCTAGAGAGGTCTTGTGTACAAGTCATTTAGATATACTGTTGGCGGTCTCCCGCTAGGATAACAAATCGACTAATTCACACTGCTTGGCTTGGCTATGAACGAGGCTCGAATTGCACTGCTCCTCAGCTTTGCACGTCTTTTGTGTCGGTTTACGCTCCAAGTCTCGTTGAATTTACTCTAGATAAGAATCGGACCCTCGTAATGTTTCCGACCGTGACCGATCCAGCCTATTGTACTAAAAAGTAAGACCCCTCCGAGTACAATCCCAGCATAATTCATGTTGACAGCAGTAACAGGCTGAGCAGGTGGTAATAATAGGAAGCCAATGACGATTGTAGTGTAGCAGACGGAAATGATGTTGGCGATCAGTCCTACCGGAGAAGGGAGTTTCCAAGGCCCCCATTTGATATCGTTGCGTAACTGTAGTCGAAGATACAGCATTACACTGACAGGCATCAGGTACGATACGTACAGCGCGACCACAGCGAGTGATAGGATAGCCGTAAACGCAGTTGTAGATGCGATATTGAGGAGTTCAAGCAGAGCCATCAGAGCGGTAGTGAAGGTGATCGCCAGGAAAGGTACGTCGTTGTGTCGTGCACTAAGCTTGGCCAGATATTCAGAGCCTGGAAGTACGCCATCGCGCGCGGCAGACCAGATCGTTCGGGAACTTGTTGCTACCAAACCGAGCGTGGCAAGGGCCGCTGACAGTACGATTGTGCAGGTAAGAGCAGTTGCTGCTGCTTTATTGCCGCGCGTCATCCAGTGGAACACCTCGATGATGGGATAGCCTGTAGGCGTTCCCAAGGCGGCTTCGATATCACCCATGCCAAACAGGACTGCAAGGAGGACAGCGAAACCTAAGATACCATTGAAGCCGATGGCACCAACCATCGCTCGAGGCACCTCGATTCTTGGATCTGCCATCTCTTCGGAAAGGTGCATTGCAGCGTCGTAACCTAGCAGCAGTCAATCGATCGGCTCAGTCCAAGCATGAGTACGAAGTCTGGTCAACACCAAGACTGAGCACTGAATGAAACTTACCAACCATAACATATGATGAGGTCAGTAGTCCGAGAAACCAAGCAACTCCATCGCTTCGCCATCCAGTCTCGTTGACGAAGGTAGTGAAGACAAAACTGGCCGATTTGCGTTCCGGGGGCAGGACGAGCGCTATAACGAACACAACGATGAAGAATAGAATATGCAGAATCATGACAAGTTTCTCCAACAAAGGAAGCATACGATAGCCCCATACATTTGCGATATACCCAACCAGAAGTATGCCCCAATATATACAGCTGGAAAGCCAGGCATGGGGCTTGAAATTCGGGTAATTGAAAACGAGCAGTCCTTGGGTCATTTGGCTGGCCAGGAAGGGGGCGCTAGCTGAAAGGGCCAGCCAGCCGAGCGAAGTCAAGTAAGTGCAGTACCAGGCCAGGACTGGTTTGAACTTGTTGGCAACGATCTCAGACAGAACATGATACTGTCCGCCAGCATGAGGGTACCTTGAGGAGTCAGTCAGCCAAACAGTGTGCGGATGGTTCTGGAATTGAATACAACGTACATGGACGCCAATTCGGCGAGCGTCAAGGCCGTGCACATGCTACCGATAAAAGCAACTGTGAACTAGTCAGATTGCTTCTCTGTACGTTAGGGTGAAGGATTCTTACGGATAGAACCATACACCAAAGATACGGGTCCTCCACTTATCAGACCGGAACCCATGGTGCTGCAAATCGCTTCCCACGTCGCCATCAGTGTCATGGAAACGGCCAACGTCGATATAGTGTTGAAAGGTCTGACGGATCGGCCCTGAAGCTCCTCTACCGAGCCCAGCTCAGGCCCTGATGGGATTGGAGCCAGTGCTTCCATATTATATTCGCCTCCTTTGGCAGACACTATCGAGAGGTCGGTGGTCAGTGGGAGTGTGAGGTGACGATAGTGTGAGCACTCACTCGTGGTAATACCAGCGGTGTAGCTGGTGTATGGTATGGGAGAGAGAAGCCGACAGCAAAATGCGACGGGATCATAGAGTAGTATGAGTAGTTTATAAGTCGACCTGTCTATTTCATCAGTTCAAAAATTTACACAGGCAGCACTGGCATTGATTTACAGCTACGTCGAATAATACGGTGGTGTAGCTACGGTGCTTGTGCAACTTCCACAATGGGACGATACCCGCGAAGAGGCAACCACTACTAATACATCTTCCTCATGACAAGTTCGGAATCTGGGGTTACCGTTGATTCCGTATCGCAAGCGGGAAAGGGCCCTCACTAACAAGGTGGAGATAAACCAGTTACCACTTCTGGACCGACTAGGGCTTTATTGCCCGACCGCGCACCAGCTACCCCCGTACATGTATGTCGTGTCGACTTCTACTCTTCGCTGCTCTATATCAAGCCTTATCGTGTGCCAGCCGCTATCAAGGACCGAATTCCATGCCGGCAAGCCCAATACTGATGTGTCACGCTAGCGGCGGATCTATGCACAACAACAGAAACTCGTTTGGGGGAGATGTTACAAGAGCGCTTTTACTGCCGGATGAGGTACAAAATGATGTTTGTGATGAGCAAAGTGAATGCGTTCCATATCAATAACTCTTAAAACGCAAAACTACGGTCATCCATCCACCAGCCGCCGTCGTCAAGCTTCAAGCGACAGTGTACAGTGGACACGGCATGGTAGGGTGGCAAGAGTTGGATTGGTGATACCGTTCTCTCTGCTATGCTGCTTGCAAGCGCGTCAAAGTTGGTTGCACGATCAGAGCAGGATATACATAGCAGATAATCTCGAAGGTTGAGGGTTGGTATCTGGCATGTCAAAAGAATGCGACAGTTGCAGCCGGCATTCGTCTCGGCAAAACCTGCGGGTGAGGTCGGCTCGTGCACCTCCAGGATGCCAATACGGACGTTGCAATAGGTCGGCTCTCTTCCTTGTGCTGAATGATTGGCATTCGTCAAGGCAGCTGATGAACGTATAATGTGTTGCGGTAATGCACCACGCGCGAGGCATGCGGCTCCTAAAGCTCCCCGTGCAGCGGATACACCTGCAACTGGACGTTCGTCTCAGGAAGATAAAGTTGTGTTTTTGCAGGGTGACACAGGAAGGGGAATCGTTTTTAAGCATCTCCAACTGTCTGGTAAAGTTGTGCCCTCCGCGTAGTTCTTGTCGCTGACGAAAAAAAAAAGCCTACCATGGGTATGTTCGCTATCCGCCGTCTTCTTATCTCCTGCATTCCGTTCCCCGCGCACCAACGATCTTTCTTCTCTCGCTCTAACCTTCTCCGCCCCTTTCCCAGCGCTGCCCTGACCAGCCGACCATGAGTGCAAAGCGTGCCAGCGCCGACGAGCAAGCGGATGCCTTGTCCCGCAAGAGCCGTGATCGATATGTGGCGAGAGCCTGCGACGCATGCCGCCGACGCAAAGGCAGATGCGATGGATACCAACCGTGTGGATACTGTGACGCACACTCCAGGACATGTCAATACAGTGCCCCTAAGGAGTCTGCTGCAAACACCGCCACCACGCCTCGAAGCCTCTCGAAAGCAAAAAGACCCGTTGAAGCCTGCCACCTTGGTGGGCTCGTAATTGACTTACAAGCACAGCTCGCCGCACTCACAGCTCGTATAGACTCCAGGGCCGCTTTGGACGTCCTGCCCATTGTGTTAACTAACTACACTGGATTAATTCAACTAAACTAAGTGGGTAAGTTTATACTAACTCTATCTATTCTACTAAAGAAATACTTTTGCCTACTTTATTCTACTAAGCTGCTTAATAAATATAATTAAATTAGTTTAAATAGGTTATTATTAAATTTTTTAATATTTTAAGTAACTAGTAACTTTTTACCTTATATATCCCTTAAAATATAATAATAATATAAAACTATATAATATATTATATAATTTAATTAATACTAATATTATAATAAAATTTTAATAATTAATAATAAAAAGCTTTATATAATTAAAACCTTTAGTTTAAATAATAAATTAAATTAAATAATATATATTTTAAATTCCTTTATATATTTTTTTATATATTAAAATAAATTACTAATTATTCTTTTTTAAAGCTAAAATTAAAATAATTTTTTATAATACTTTTGTAGCTTAATAATTTAAAATTATATATAAAAGTATACTTTTTAGTATTAAATTTATAATATAATATAATAGTATTATAATATTTTAGCTTTTTATTAACTTTTTTATATTAATATTTTTTTATTTTTAATATAATATTTTAATAATAAATATATTATATATTTTATTATAACTATAGCTAAGCTTTATTAATTAATATTACTTTTATATTAAATTTTTTAATAAAAAGTTTAATATTATAGTTTTAATTATATAATACTAGTTATAGTATAAAGTATATATTATATAAGTAAAAAAAATAATTATTTATAATTATAGTTATATTATATTAATAATTATTAAAAATATAAACTAATTAAATTTATTTTAAATATTTAAAATAGTTTTAAATTTAAAATATTAATTATTAAATATTAAAAATATATTATTATAATTAATTACAATTTAATATTTATAAATATTATATAGTTTATAATATATTAAAGTAGCTTATATGCCTAATAAAGTATATATTAAATTTAAATATATACTTTATTAAATATATAAGTTACTTTAATATAAAATAATATAGCTTTATATAACCCTTTATTTATAAATAAATTCTATAATTATATTATAATAATAATAGTAATATTAATAATTCTTTTTTTACTTTTTTTAAATTTTTTATTTATATATATTAAAATAAAAAGTTAAATATAATTATTAATATTTATTTATTTATTTATTTTAATATATAATTATATAAAAATTATAGCTATTATAGCACTTACTAATATATATAAATTTACTTTACCTTATTAATATATATATATATATACTTTTAATTATTTTTATTATTAAATTAGCTTTATATTTAACTAAATATACTTTATAATTAATATTATTAATATTTTTATAAATTTAATTATTTAGTAAGTAATTTAAGCTATTATTTTTAAAATATAATAAGCCTTTTTTTAAAATTAGTTTTTTAATAATATTAATATTAAAAAAGTATAAAACTTTTTAATTATTTACTTTTTAATAGTTAGCTTATTTTATTAAGTAAATACTTATAGCTTTAAATATTATATTAGTAATTTTATTATTATTATAATTTAAATTTTTAATATTATTAAAGTATATTTATATTAAAAATATATTAAAAATTATAATTTATAAAGTAATTATATTACTAATTTAGTATAAGTAAATTTAAAATATAGTATTTTTATATATTATTATACTAATTATATATATAATTAAAAGTTTATTAGTTATTAGTAAATTATTAGTATAAGTTTTATTATTATAAGTCCTGCTTAAATAATATACTTTTTTAATAATGCTTTAGCTATTCTTAATATACTTATAACTATTATACTTACTTTAGCTTTTACTATTATTTCCTTTACCTTTACCCTTTTTATTTAATTTTTAGCTAATATTAAAATAAAGCTTTTAAAAAGCTTTAAATATACTAATACTAATAAAATTAATTAAATTTATATAATCTTATTTTAAGTTTTAAAAGCTTATAATAAAGCTAAAATAAGCTAGCTTATATTTAATAAAAAGGATTAAAAAAATATTAGAATAAAAAATATTAATAGTTAATTTTAAAAAAACACTATATCTATATAAAGCTTTTTACTAAATATACTACCTTTTATTATAAGCTTATTATTTTAAACTTTATTAATAAATATAAATATAAAAGCTTTAAAAAAAAAAAAAAAGTTAAAAGATAAACCTTTAAAAAGAAAGTTTAATAGTAAAATAAAAAGCTTTTAATATAAATATAGTTTGTAAAAGCTATATTAAATAGCAGCTACCTTTACTCTTATATTTAAATTTTAGCCTTATTATTATTAAAAGTTAATATTATAAAGCTATAAGTTTTATATATTAATATTTAAAAAGCTTTTATTAAGTATAAATTTAGCTAAATATAGTATTTAGTTTTTACTTAATAGCTACTTTTTAAAAAGCTTTAAGTAAAGTATATTTATATATTAGTAAAAAATAATAATTAAAAAAGTATTAATATTTAGCATTTTTATATTATATAGATTTTTATAAGCTTACTTAAATGTCACAACCCTAACAGAAATAGGACCAACAGTTAGTTCTAAAAACAAGCACAAGCTAACTATCATACAGCCAGACAGCAAAGAAAAGGATGCGCTAAGCCATATAACCTACTGGCTTACATAAGGCATAGCTCACTTAAATCAGAACTAAGCCAAGTAAGCTAATACCTGAATCAGAACACTTATTCTTAAGCTACCTAAGCCAATACTAAAGATCAATAAAATCAAGTCTAAGCATAATAATTTAAGCTAAAAAGATAAACTATATAAAACACGCTTATTATTAAATAAATAGTATTAGCCTAAAATAGCTTTTTAGCAGTTAATTTAAATATTTACTCTAAATAGCTATAAAGCTTTTAATTAATTATTATTATATATTACTTAAAATATTACTACTTTAAATGCTTTTTAAATATAAACTTGCTTATTAAGATTATTAGCTAGAAACTAATTATAATTATTATATTTTAACTGCTTTTATTTAAATATTTTATATAAACCTTAAGTAATAACTTATATAATTATTTTAAAACTTTACTTTTAATATATTTAGATTTAAAAATAATAATATATTTTAGTAATACTTTTAGTAGAAATTAAATAATATATTTAGTAGTAAAACTTTTAAAGTTAACGCTTAGTAACTTTAAAAACTAATTAATAAAATAAATAAACTTTAAACTTTTATTAATAAATAGGCTTAATAAAATAAAGAAATAAAATAATTTTAAAAAAAAATTAAAACTTTTAAAACTATTATTAATATTATTAATACTTTAATTTTAATTAGGAATAATATTAAATTTAATAATTCAACCTTATATAATAAAACTTTAAAATAACTATAAGCTTACTTTATATAGGTTTAGGCTTATTAATGCTTTTATTAAATAAACTATTAGTTAAATAGTAAAAAAGTTATATATATGGCCTTTTTTTTTAAAAAAAAAAGCCTTTATATAGTTTAAACCTTACCTTATAAACTATTTAAAAAAAAATAATTTTAAAGAATATAAATAAAAAACTTAAAAGATTTTTAGCAGTTATAAAGGCTTTAAAAATACTTTAAAAACTCTTTTTTAAAACTTAAATAAAGAATAATAGGCTAAATAAAAACTTATAAAATTTAAATAAAAAAGATTAATATTAATATATATTATAGAATTTTAATAAATTTATATTTAAATAAATTATACTAATAATATCTAAATATTTATATTTTATAATAGCTTAAAAGAAAAAGTAAAAAATAAATTAGCTAAATAAAATTAATTTAATAACTTTTTATAGTATATTAAGCTAGCTATTAAAATTAATAATAAGCTTTATAAATAATATTTAAAAAAGAAAGGTAATAGTATAGGAAACTTTTAATAAAATAGTAATAAAGTAAATACAGAAAAGTATTATTAATTTAAAATTATAGTATATAAGTAGTATTTAGGCTTAATAGAGCTTAATATTACTTAAAAAAAGAATAAAAAGAATATTAAATATTATAACTATAGTAAGAAAAAATACTTTATAAAAAAATATAAAAATAAAAAGAAAAAAAAAAATTAAAAGCTAATATTAAAAATATAATAAGCTAATATTGCTAAAAAATAGTAAGCATTTAAAGGCTATATAAAAAAAAGCTAAATAAGCTACTTTAATAATTATTATAAAACGTACTTATTTAATAAGAAAGCTTTAAAATAGTTTTTTAAGGCACTTAAAAGATTAAAAAGAATGCTTATTATAGTAAAATAAAAGCTTATAATAATAGTAATTAAAATTAATATAATAGTACTTTTAAACTTATAAAACTAAAACCCTTATAAGCGTATAAATAAGGTACCTTTAATAGCACTTAAAATAAGTATTATTTAAATTATAATTTTAAAATAAAATAAAAATATAGTAATAATAATAGTTTATAATAAACTATTTAAACTATTATTTATATATTTCCTAATAAATAATTTAAAAATATATAACTAGTATTTTTATTATAAAGATATTTTATAAGCTTTTTATATATTTAATTAATATAAAATATATTATATTAATAAAGTTAAAGAAAACTTTTTTTTTAAATAATATAAAATAATAAAAATAATTTAACTTTATAAAAAAAAAGAATTATACTTTTAAATAATATAAGAATATATACTTGGAAAAGGATATACTATTTTAAAACTATAATAAAACTATCTCTTAAAATACTTATAAAACCCTAAACTATAGTAATAGTACTTCTAATTAAATTATTAAATTTACTTTAAATTAAAATTTTAAAACTAGTATTAATAATATTATATAGATATAATTTTACTATTTAATTTTAAAAATATATAATTAAAAAACTTTATAATAATAGCAACTATATTAAAGGCAGTATAAAGGCTTACTAAAAGAGCTATTAAAAGAATTAAGAATATTTTAATTTAGAATTAAATAATAAAAAATAATAATAGCTGCTTTTAAATAAG